ATGGAATGAGCAATCTACCAAAAAAAGAGAAATAAGACCACCGTCTATACTGACAATAGCGATCCACCAGCCACAAACTCACGATATGAATCCGTCGAAACCCAGCATCAGCAAGCTCATTCAGAAACATACAGAAGTCATTCTGAACTTCTTTGCTAATCGCATGCTTCTTGGCAAGATTGTATGTAAAGAAGGAGCCGGACGACCAGCTGAAGATGAATGGCTTGAGATGGTTCGGAAAGGATCCGAGACCCAGCATTTGGCCGAGGGTTATTGTTGAGCCGACTAGTGACGAATTGTATCTAGGCGCAAGTTTAAAATTGGTTAAACATGAGAAAAAACGATGCACATAGAAGCAAGAATTGCGTACCCATGCACGAATATAAGCGCCTCCTCACGTCTTCCAGCAGCACGTTCAAAGCCTTCTACAGTAAACTCTAAACCTAGCTCTCCTCGCTGCAAGTCGATATGAAGGTCGGTATCGTCTGGGTGTTTCGAGGATCGTCGGTACCCATCTATCCGTATCCTGCCTCGACGGACAGATATGTCTAAAAGCATATTTTGTCTGTCAGCCACATGAAACCGACCAAAAAAAGAACGTCGAATTAGATAGAATACCTAATCGAGGCTCATCCAACAGACTATTCGTAATTCTCGCTCTCGCACTCAAGAAATCCTCTGAATGCAAATCCCCCAATATCTTAACCACACCACCATCCATTGGCGCCGGTGGTGACAACAAGCACGCTTTGGGCAGATGCCAGAAAAAGCGTCCACTGATTGAGGCTTCACATAGCGCGACTCCGTAATGCAGACATTTGGTGCGTGAAGGCACGAGTCGATTCGCTTCCCATGGATCACTGCAGCAGCGCACGACTCCGATGCGGACTGCTGAGACTGCGTTGCCGGTTCCGACTTCACGGGATCTGAAGGGCCCAACGGGGAGCCCGTCAGACCAGAAGCCGAAGAGGTTTTCGCCCATGGAGTCAAACCATTCGCCTAGGCCGTTGGGCTATGAAAGGAAGGCATCTGTGTTGGCCTTTTTTTGCTACAAATGACGTTTATGGACTCTTACCCGTTGGTGTTCATTAACTTCTCCCTCGTAGTGAACGCGACCACGAAACATTGGTAAAAGTGGCGAGGAGTGGTAAGAAAACTCGCCATGCTTTTCGGGTATTGGCGTGACTTTAAACCACTTGAGCGGATTCAAGAATTTAGATTGTTTGACGAGCTGTGGGTATATCACGAAATATAATACATCTTGTTGATTGAAAATAGTGTCAGTCCTTGAAAAACACGGAAACGAGTTTCAAACTTACAGAATGCCAGAAACCCAGCAACACATATAACGAGGAATGACGTGAATGCAACCATATCGTATCTCCACTGGTCTGTCATACCTGCCAGTGCTACTTTGCCTTCAGAGCGAGCGACGGTGAGACCGATGAATATCCATAGTGTGATTTGGTTGACGACTAGAGCCAGCATCATGGTTTCTGAGAGCCACAGGAGCGTGAAGCAGAGTATTGGGAATGCGATCATGATTGCTAGCAAGTCACTTGGGATTGGGCCAGAGAAATCTAAAATTGATGTTAGAAGTCAGTATAATTTGTGAAAGACAAATAGCTTTTTTTGCATGGTCTTACGATTCAAGTTTGACGCCACCACAATAAACAATATCGCAGCAATTATAAAACTAAACGACGTCAGCAGCGTCTTCCACCTCCTTCGAGCCTTGTACCGTCCGTTCATCCTCATTTTCAGTCGTCTATAACTCATTTCCGCGAACGTCCTGTCGAGATTCACGACCCCGTCATGCGAGTAGATGGATACCTTCTCGGTATCGACTACATAAGTGTCTGTGCTCATAAGCGTGTCTCGCGACGATGGCGAAGACAGTGGCTGTGGCGATCCGGTTTGATGATCAGCGAGGGACTTCATGAGGTCGAATGTTATTTGCATCTAACAGATCATACGAAAAGAATTATAAGTAGGTATATAAAGATCCAAACATTGTGCATGGTTTGACTCAAACCTGTGATCCCTTCCTCGAGATCATCCTTGCCGAACTCGGTGTCGCGGGCGTCCTATTCGGCATCTCATCCGCCGAATCCTCATCATCATGCTCCGGTTTACTGAGCTTCCTAAACGGCGCAGGCCTCTTGCGAATACTGGTGGTGGATGCTGGCACCGTTGACGATTCAGATGCAAAGTTTACCGTGCGGGGACTTGACGCAGCACAGCTTCCTTTTACAACTGATGCAGATTCGGGAAGTGCGGTGCTCTGCTCTGTAAGATCTTCCTCTGACGCAGGTTCATCGAATAGGGGGGTTTCAGAGGAGATTCGGGATTGTTGTGGCCGGTTGATGGATAACGTTTGCAGCGTGGATGCTGTGGTTCTGCCTATGGATCCGAGGGAGCTTGCTTCCATGTCTGTCCATATAGCAACTGTGCCGAACTAGCTTAGGAGCGATTGGGTTTTGTGGGTGCAAGTCGTGACACACCCTTCTTCCATACAAAGTTTATGGAGAGGCGAGACTTTGGATGTGATGCGTGGTTTGGTGAGCTCTAACAGAGGCAAGTCTGTGTATTAGCACTTAATTACATCATCCTTTGCTTTGAAAGTCCAAGTTCTAACCCACATCATAGACATCAAAAACATACTTGCTTCCTCACAGTTCCGCCAAGGACCCACAACTAGCCAAATCTGACGCATGGATGATGATTTCAATTAACTTGAGATGAGATATTGATTATTTCGCTAGTGATGAAACAAACAAAGACCTAGCATGTTCTCAACATCATTTCCGCCTCTTCTCAACAAGACAAACTCCCTTCTTGGCCGGAGGTTGAGTTTCTTGGAGGAGAATCGAGTGCGAGGTGCTTGTTGTTGCAATGATGGCTTATATTGTTTGCAAACTGAAGCGTTTTGGTTTCTCTGGATGTTTTGTAAGTCGCTTTTACATAAAGACAATGATGAAGAGTTCAAGTGTGCATTCAAATTCGAGGATTTATTTACTTTGGTTTCCAACTTGACAAAGAGGCTTTTCTTATTTACGGAACGTCGAAGGCCTGCAACCACCAATTTCTTCCCAACAATTCACGCACGTGGAAGTCCTGGAACCAACAAGTTCGTCTTCCTAACATACTCGGCATATTCAGGCACGCCCTTGAATCGCCTCTTGGCCATGGACTCCTGAATGGGGATGCCACTCATCCTTGTGAGCAGGAAGGATACGAAGGATGGCGAGAGTGCGAGCAGTGATTGTAGCATTGGGTTGTTTGCAATTGCGCCGGTTGCGAGGAGCCAGCTGCCCCACCATAACAGGATTTCACCGAAGTAGTTGGGATACCTCTATAGATAATGAGAAGGATGGTTAAAACGACGCCAGCAACCACTTTGCAACGAATGGTTTGGCACCAACGTATGCGGCGACATGAGATGAGCTTACACTGTACTTCCACACTCCATCAGTCAACACCTTGTTGAATCGCTGATCTCCCAGCTTGACTTGCCTAAACCAAAAAAACCCCTTGGTTAAAGTAAAGTACTTGCTAATGCCTCTACTGACATTCCTTCACAAGATACTCACCAAGCAAACTTGGTGTTATCAGCCGCAGTCTCCCATATCAAACCAACAGCCCACGCGATTATTCCCAAATAGTCTCGTGGTCCCAAATCAGGTTGGTCTTCTGGTTCTGTGGTGTTGCATACGTATACTGGGAGAGCTGTCGTTGCGACCCAGACAGATTGGATAAACCTAGTTCAAAGAAAAATATGAGAATCACGAAATCGGTGGTCGAAAAAGTCGAGGTGACAGCTGTACTAATGAGCCTACCAATACATGGCAAACAGTTTCGGGTTGAACTTGACCTTGTCAAATCGGCGATCTCCCTTCAAGACGTGCACTCGGTTCCACTAGATGTCCCAAGATGAGAAGTTAGGTGTGTCAAACAAAATGTCGTTCATGCGTCTTACTAGAAAGCTTCCAAGCCGAATACTCCAGATAGATGTGGTCAACGAGGCTAGTATTTGTCTTGGATGTAGGTTCAGCTGCTCTCCAGGTATCAGCCTTCCATTTAACAGAGAGTGTAGGGTACAAGCCAGGAAGGAGAGAGTGCCTGTGGTATCGTAGAAAACCTGATTGTTGAAGCAACATGCGGTGAGTTGTAGCGTCTTGGTTTATTTAGATTGAATTCCAACTCCAGCATTGCGAGCTTTTGCGTCATCATTCGTCAAACGTCATTTAGACGAAAATTCCAGCTGGCTAGATCAAATACAGCATCACCAAACGCTCAAATGCCTTCTTTGATGAAACTTCCCAACTTGTACAATCACATGTTTCCCAAAGGACAAAATGATACAACGTTTGCCCCCACGTTTGCCAACCCGATAAATGCGAGTTGAACGAAGGACGTACTTCAGTTTCCAAGAAGGCAGCGAAACTGAAGGCAATAGTGTTGATGGCCAAGTCTAGGGCCAGAGTTGGTGCAACTTTTGACAATTTAGAAACCACGCCCTACGTTTTTTTTTGGGAATTGTGAGGAAGATTGCTTAGAGAGGACGCAAAGAAACTACTCACCATTGTTGGCTCTATGAATTCCACGCTTTCGCAGTGCCTGCTCTTTGAGAATAGATGGGGGTTTGAGGGCTGCGAAGTACAAAAAGTTTCGACGCAATAACAGTTTCGTAACGCGTTTGACACGTGAATTATACAAGACTTTCTCAATCTAAGAATGTGATTGTATATTAGTGTTGTAAAAAGCTCTCCATGGCTCTTCCGCATGGACGTGAGTCGAAGTTCTCCCCAAACTTTTACGTGATTCGAAGATCCATCAAAGGACAGGACAAGTAAAGCTGTCAGGTAAGTGTATTAGATTCAAATGGATCGCTGCTTTGATCTATCTAACTGTAATCGCATATATAGAGTGAGTGTCTGTAAACGAACTGAATCAGCAGTCCAAGCATCAAACTCAACAATCTGTCTGTTCAAACAGGAATGGATCAAGATGCATTCAGAAAGCTGCTGGCGACTCCAAGAGCTCCTTCCTCTTCACAGACTCCTGCTACGCCGTGAGTCTCAACAAATCGGCCATTATCAAAAATCAATCATTCTCAGTTCACAGCAACTCAGACGTTTTATTGTTATATAGACGAACACAGCAACCAGAAAAACAGCAAAAAGATAACGATGGATTCGCCAAACCAGCTCCAAAGAAAAAGGCCTATGTAAAACCCAAATCCAAAGAAGCAGTAGACGACGAATCATCAGACAGCATTACGTACCGTGACCGAGCTAAGGAAAGACGTCAGGGAGTCAATATCGACTATGCAGATTCTGAGCAAATGCTCGCTGTCCTCGAAGCCAGCAACCACTCTCAGCCATCCGCTATCGTCGCATCCACACCAACGCTCGTAACCAGTCTCGATCAAGCAAAAACAGCCCTTGTACGTGAACAGACCAAATTCCTGGGCGGTGATGTCGGCCACACACATCTCGTGCGTGGGCTGGACAAGACGCTGCTGGATAAAGTCAGGAAGGAGATTGGACTTACCGAGGATGAGAAATCGAAAGAGGAGGAAGCAAAGGCGTATATAGAGACCCTGCATGGCGATGGTGGGAAGGTGGAGTTTAATTCGCGGTTTGCGGAACGAGTGTATACGCTTGCTGTCAAGACGCCAAAGGAGGGTATACCGTTACGAAATGATTTGTTTCTGGAGGGACGTATGGCGTTTCTGTGGGATTTGGGGATGGGAGAGGGGAAGGAGTATATTGGGAGTACGGATTTGCCTACGGTGGTGATTCGTAGTAAGGCTGATGTCAAGGACTTTGATGTAGGTTCTGCTATGATTTTTGCGGGAACGAAATATACTTATATTCTCTTTCCTGTTAGCGCAAAATGCAAGCATCAAGCCACGAGATTGTCATTGATAAGATCCAGCAAGTCATGGCATTGCGTGGTATAATGGCAGGTGACTCGACTAGCACGACTGGCACGTCAAGTGAAAAGAAGCAAATCAAACGACGAGATAAGGAGAGGGCCAAGCAGCAGCAATTAAAGCAGGAAGAACCTAAACCTCTACCTGCTGCGATGGATGTTGATGACGATGGAGAGTAAGTTACGACAAGCCGTTATGTCTATACGGCACTCGATATTACCCTTTTTTTCGCTTTTATAGCATTTTCGCTGGTGTAGGCCGCGACTACTCACTAACCATCGACGACTCACGGACCAAACACCCCACCGACCCAACACCACCATCCACCAAACCAAAATACTTTGACGACGACACAGATATGACAGACACCGACGCATCACCAGCACTAGACACCCTCCTGCAGCAATCCGCGAATATGGTAGACACCATCTTGGGCGCCGGAACCTCAACGAAAATGGTTGGAGCTACGAGTACGCCAAACGAGTATGGCGCGATACCGTCGCATACCCATGTGCCCATCACGCCCAAGAAACGTTTGTTAGAGGAGGAAGGACGTTTAGATGAGGATCAGATGGCGATTGAGACGTCGAGGCAGAAGAAACTTGTTAGGATGGATGTGGAGGATTTGGATTCGGAGTCCGAGGGGGAGGAGGATGCGGTTAAGAAGCCGAGTATATTTGATAAGGCGGGTGGTAGTAGTGATGGTGGATTTAAGAAGCCTAGTGGTGATGGTAGTTTCAAGAAGGGTGTGAAAGAATCTGGCAAAGAGCCTGGGAAGGGTAAGCCAGACAAGAAGAAAAAGTTTAATGCTGAGTATCAGCAGGTTGAGAAGCTGATGAGTCAAAAGTATGGGCAGAAGCTAGGTAAATAATGTATAAAATTGCATTTATGTATATCCTTATTGTCAATAGCAGTCATCATTTTCATCATCTTCTTGTATTCATCATTTTTTGCTGGAGTATGCGAAAAGATTTGAAAAATACTAACCCACAGACTGACCAAACTTTAACGAAAACAATTAAACTGTCGTACGTGTTATATGCATGTTTTATTTCCTTCACTACTTTTTAGGTAGATTTTTTGGGCTCTACTTTGCTTTGCGTAGATAGTGACGGTGTTGATGCTGCAGTTGATTCTCCAGCTGTCGATCCTATAGCTGGCTCTGCTGCTTTACTCGTGAGCACAGAAGCAGTCGACGTTGGAGTCGACGTGGGTTCAGCTGGCGGGACTTTGCCGATTTCTATTTCTCTCCTCATCCCTACAGAACCAAAAAAATCATAAGACAATCTCTACAAATGATTCAAGAGAAGGATTAAACAAGCTTACTTCCTCCCTCAACACGACTCGACAAGAAGAAATCAGCAGGACCTCGTATGGTGATGAATTCCAGCTGTGGATTCACTATGCCGAGCAGCTTTCGCATGTATGTGTACCACGTTTGGAGTATGTTTGGTGTGTTGAGAGATGATGTTGAAGACCATGCGACGAGATGGCTAGATGGAGGTAATGTGTTTGTAAGTCAAAAAGGACTGGTGAATTGATGCAGCAAGCTTACTCTGGGTTGACAATACATGATTCACCAGAGGCTAGTATCACGCGATTCAGGCCTCCGAAGGCTGAGAAGGCGATGGTTCCGACACCTAAGCATCAAAGGGAAAGTCTGTATAGTTGGCCAAAAAAGGAAACTGCTGTTTCAACTTGCCTGATAACCGAAGATTGAAACCCTCTACCGTAGCCCTCGACGACAGATTAACCTGCGCCGTCGAAGCCAAGAACGCACCCCGCCTCATATGATAATCAATAGCCCCATCCAGATTCAAAATGAATATATCACCTGGCAGTCGTGGAGCAACCAGCACTTCCCCAGCATCGTTCTGCGTCGTGAATTTCGACACGACGAGAAACCCAGCCACGATTTTGGAAGCCATCGCATCGAATATGCCGTTCCGAGTCTCGTTTTTGATGTGGACTGATGGCTGCATGGCAATCAGCGAGTTTGGGTATGTGAAGACAGACATTTTAGGGCCTAGCCGGACTTTTAGGATTGATCCTGTGCCGGCATTCATGATTTCGAGTTGTGGGATTGTGGATGATTTGTGAATCCATTTGGAGGCCTAGTGACGGGGGTAAGGGTAGAGCTAAGAGTTGGGGGAAATGTTGGGGCAAATGTTTGGACTTACGGCATCAGAATCTGAGTAAAAGTCGTGTTAGAACGTGACTAGGGTGATTCGAATATGAGTTTGGATATGATGCTTACCTTGTACAATGTTTAATGATGAAGCATCGCTGGTTGAAGTTGAAGCTGGTTTTGTTGACGTGAATGTGCTCTGGGCTGTTGAGTATGGCCGACGTATGGCGATGTTTTCTAGAGCGAGGCAATTTCTATGAGCACTGGATAAGGCTCTAAAAGCATTCGTTCGCATCTTGAAACACCAATGACTAGCTTGTTAGGTGTTTTGTGGGAGAATTACGAGAACGAGGCAGACGCAACGTGTGAATGCATAAATTACACGTAATTCTACGCGATACAAATATATTAAGAATCTCATTCCGACGTGATTCTCACTTTTACGTCGCTTGCAAATTTCCCGAGTTTCCTCCAAAACGCAAAATATGGCCGTCAGTGCTCATAGACGCTTCATCTGAGGTCTAGGGAGGTATGATATCTGATTTGCTTTCTATCTCTTGTACCTCATATGGGTCCATTTTGCTGCTCCCGATTTCTCACATGGCAATTTCTTTCTGTCACGTTTCGTTAGCAGCACAACGTTTCCTGGCTAGTGACCGCGGAAGAAGTTCTAGTGTGTCGATATAGGGTGTATATAGCGTTGTAGAGGGTCGTCCACGTATCGTACCAGAGGGTAAGTCGTATGGCCCTTGTATTTGCATCATTGCTTGAAATAACAAATTATCATCAACTTGCTAAATTTGCACATGGGGTAGCTACCCAGAGATCTATTTTATAAATTGCTTGCCATCATACAACAACGTCGTTGACAAACTCCTCGTCTCGGTGTATTTCTAGGTTTGCTTTAATCTTTACCACGAGGGAGTGGTGAAAATCTAGTTGGATAGGCTCAACTTTCAAGGATGATGCAAGGCCCTAGTCCACAATCGACCTTCAACCAGCCACATACATCAGGCATGACCTCGTCGAGCTCAAATCAGGCCCCACTGCCTCCTGGAACTAGTTACAATCCAAGAATACCAACTTCACAAGCACCAAACACTACTGGCGCATCTAATGCTCCTACTGCAAAGAAAGTCGGCTGGGAAAGCGATAAAATGTAATTAGAACGGAATGCTTGAACCATGACTTTGAAGCGAAAGAAACAAACTGACCCCTTTAAACCCCAGGCTGAATGTGTACATATATGATTATTGTCGAAAAAGGAACTTTCAGCAATCTGCCAGAGCCTTCTTTCTGGAAGCTCAAGTGCCGCAGGAGGCACAAGTGCCGATTGATGCACCTGAAGGTTTCCTCTATGAATGGTGGACGGTGTTTTGGGACATATTTTCTGCTAGAGCAAACAAGACTGGAAGCAGAGAAGCCGTGACTTATGTAGATGTAAGGCCCGCGTCGTTAGCAAAGATTATGGTGTTGATCGGCGCCATGTCACTCTATTTCGTCACTTCCAAGTAAACTGAATCATAAAATTTTCATGTAGGCTCAGGCGGTCAAAGCTGCACGAGAAAAGGATTCAAGAAGACATCCTAGTGCACCGTTGCCAAATATGACTCAAGGTGGCCCAATTCCAATGCAACAACAACCACCAGACAGTTCCTCAAATGTTTCATCACCAAATGTATTCGTAAGTTAAAATGTATCTTGCCCCGCGGCAGGAGCTAGCACTAACCAGTACCTTTCATACAGCCGCAACAACCTCAATTGACTCCAGACGACCACGCTGTAAACATGAGTCAAACACCGTCACAAGTCTCCATGATAGGCCATGGAGATATAGAACAATCTCAAACGATGGACTCTATGCAGCAGCAGCACCCATTTGCATCTCATGATCAACAACAAGTACCGCATATGTCATATCAGCAACAGCAGCGACAACAACCATCACCGCAACCCATGTTTATAGCATCACATCATCAACAACAACAACAAACACTACCACAGCAGCAGCAGCAACAACAACAGCAACAGCCACCTACACAACAGCCATACATGCAACAACCGATACCTCAGCAGTCTCCCATGATGCAGAATCAAATGAGACCAAATCCAGCACCGCCGACGCAGCAGATAACGGCGTCACAGATACAGGCTAGTATGCAGGCGCTTGGATTGGCGGGGAGAGATCCTGCGTCGCTGAGTCTTCAGGAACGGCAAATGGTGATGGCGTATGTGAGCAAGTCGCAGTTGAACATGATGCAGAATCGAGGAGTCGCGTGGCAAGAACAACCGTAAGTTTGGTGTCTGGTATTACAGTTTTCAATTTTTGGGCTGAGAATCGATTTTTTTAGTGCTATGTTTGTTGCACCTCATCCTCCATCACTGGCTCAACAATCGCCGAATCCCATCGATGTGCAGCAGCAACAGCAGCAGCAACAGGTTCAACAGCAGCAGCATTTGCAACAGCAGATGATGGCTGCTCAGAACTATGGTCGTATGAGATCTGATGGAAATATGATGAGTCCGATGATGCAACCTGTAGGTCAAAATGTCATGATATGGAGAATCATATTTCTTTTCTGACTTGGATTTTCTTTCCAGGGAATGGAGAATATTCCACCGCAGCAGCAGCAACAAGTGCAGCAAGGTGTACAGCAGCAGCAAGTGCATCCACAGTCACAGCAACAAGCCCAGCAGCAGGCACAACAGCAGGCTCAACAACAGCAACAGCAGCTTCAACAACAGCATCAGTTGGCTGCGAATGGTCCCCAAGGACTGAATTCTCAAGTCTCACCACCAATGCCAAAACGACAACGAGTCAACTCGCTTGGAGGATATGCAGGTCCTCAAGCGCCGATATCTATGCCAATGCAGCAACCACAGTCTGTTACAAGTCCAATGAGCATGCCAATGGTGCCTCAATCGCCACAAGCTATATTGACAAGTGTGTCGCAAACCGCAATGCAGAATGGTGGTGGCATGTCTGGAGGTGATCCTGCTATGATGCAGCCAGGAGCAGCATTTAAATGGCCTCCTGGAGCGTCTCCGGCAATGACGCCGCAGCAGCAGTTGCAAATGTTTAGGAATCAGCAGTTTATGAGACAGCGAGGGCCGGCTACACCACCAGTGTCTAGTATTCCGCAGATGCCACCGAATAATAGTAGTAATAATGCTGGCAATGGAGCCAACCAGCAACCACAATCGCAACCATCGCCTCAACAGCAACAGCAGCAACCGCAGCAGCCACAACAACAGCCCAGTTTCGAATCTGTGCCTGGATCACCGGTGTATCTGCCTACATCCATGTCAATGACGACGCATCAGATGGGAGCATACCGTGATGCGACTGCTATACGGGAAAAGTCAGTCAAGACACGACAACAGCAGATGATGGGAAATGTAGCTGCGACATCTCAACCGCAAAATCCTCAGTATGGAATGGCGCCACGAGCGCCTAATAGTAATGTACCGCCAGTAGTCAGCCCACAACCTACCATGCCGTCTACTCCGGCTTCTCCACAAAACCTCGGACAAGCTCAGCAACATCATGGTTTCAATGGCCCAACAGCTGGATACCCATCCGGTGGTGCTCCTCCTTCTCAACCTAGTGTGAAGAGGTCGAGTCCCAGTGTATCAGAGCCGAATATGACGCCACGAGAAATACCTGTGATGATGCAGCCGCCGTCATCGCAGAATACCATTCCAAAGGATAATATGGAGCAGTCTGGTGTTAATGGCTCACATGGGACGAATGCAGCTTCGGCTCATACTCCACCCTATAGTCACAACAATCCGGACCTCAATAAAGCAAATTTGTATTATCAGCAACAACAGCAGCAGGTGCAACAACAGCAGCAGCAGCAACAACAAAATCAACGCAAACCACCAAATAGTACAAACCCAGCACCGCTCTCTCCCTTTGGTATAACACCGACCAGTTTACCAAATACTAGACCTGATTCCCGCAGTGATTACGGAGATCCTGGTAACGTTGATGGCCTGGATCGTCTATTCGCAGATGAAACGTCTATGAGCAGCTCCTACGATGATTGGGCAAACCTGCACACATCCGGCGTATCGCAAGAAGACGACGGTCTAGGAATGATGGATCAGAATTATATTATTGGACTAGCACCGACATCCACATCTGAAAACGAGGCCATGCTCAACCGGACTGGACGTGGGAATGTGAATGGAGAGCCGTCAGGGCATGATGCCAGCTCTGCGAATGGCTCTGATACAGGAGCGCTGCGGCATGTAGCATCGTTGAGTGGTCTTACTAGTAAAGTGCAGACATGTGCGTTTGATGGTACAGGTGAACTCTTTGCTACCGGTGGCCATGATCGTAAGCTTATAATATGGGATGCGAGACGAGCACTTACTGGAGATGTGCCGCAAATTAGTATATGTGATGCACACGCAGCTGCTTTAATCACACTCCGCTTTTTGAACTTGGATTTAATCGTGGGTCCAGATGCTGAAACTCTTGATTTCGTACCCACGTTGCTGGCAACCGCCTCATACGACCAAAAAATCCGGATATGGGATTTATCGCATATACGACAGGCTATTGGAGAGCGTGATAAGCCGGTGCTGGAGGATTCTGTGATTACATTTGGAGGACATCAGAGGGCTGCGGTGTTTTCGGTTGATTTCTGTCCTGTTGGTGTTGCCAAGGATGTTGGGAAGCCGGGACGGAAGGTTGTGTGTTATTGTACTTCCCTGGATGCGGAGGGCGATTTGAAAGTGTGGGAGGTGTGGACTGGGACTATTGTTAGGACTATTAAATTGGTGAGCTTTGGTGGCATTATGCTGTTATAAGATCCAATATTTTCGCTGTTTCAAACCCCAATGAAAGTTGAGCGCTGACACGTTTCCTTGAACATTGACACAGCCTGCATTATCTAAAGCCTCGACGTATACAGCAAACCCAGTCCGCTTCCGGCCTGTACGCTCGAGCCAAAATTGTACATCTGTATATATAGCCACGGCCTATGCCACGTCGCTCCACATAATCGAGCTAGCATTCTCGTCTGAAATGGGTCTCGTAGCCGGTGAAGAATCATATAAACTAGGAAGCTTCCCAACCCCACATACAAAAAACATATCCAGTCTCGATTGGTCTGTCGATGGGCAGTGGCTCGTAACGTCGTCTGAAGACCTTGTCGTGGTATGGGAAGCGAGCGTAGGCTCATCCCTCATGCTGCGCGAAGTCGCCAAGATGCCATCGCAGTCAAGCCCAATCCTTTGTTGTGTGTTCTTGCAGTCGCCAGCTGCAAGTGCACGTAACACGAATCTGCCACTCCCGCTGCCAAAGATTGATGCCAAGCCACCCAAGGTAGCGTTCGGTGAGTATCAGCTAATCTATGTATGGGATGTAGGGCAGGGTACTAGTAGTGTTGCTGTAGGTGGTGGAGGATCTGGTGCGCCATCATATCCATACTCGTTTGGTGCATCGTCGTCGTTTGCATCGTTGCCAAGTCCCGGGAATAATGGGAATAGTAGGATTACGTCGTTTAATACGCAGACGGGCATGGTGGCTAGCTTGTCGTGTGGGAGAATAGCGGATTCGGAATCTCGGGATTCGTTTATATTGGGTAGTAGTAGTGGAACAAAGGAGGATGTGAGGTTGTGGTTGTCGACTCTATAATTTGACTGTTTTGGATGATGAAATGATGATGATAGGTAGTAGGTTTTTTTTTGGTGTGGAGTTTGGTTTGGAAAACACTCGGGTCTCCTTTTATGACTTTTATTATATATAAACTGGAATTGTGCTCTAATACGTATGCTACTAGTGTGTTTAACGCGTTTGTATGGCGGTTTAACGATGGATATTTCATGACTGCGTCAATGCTCTCTTCCACCCAAAAGTCACACCTCAAAACACAACAAACAGATCAAACCCAACACTGCGAAGGGAACAGGGATCAAAGCTGAAGACAACACAATGAAGCAAACTATCGCCATACTCACCCTCCTCCTCCTCGCATTTGGAAGTGTCGTCACGGCACACGAGAACAATCAACACATCCTAACCCCAGACACGAACAAGCTTGATATGATATGCGTGGAAAACGAATGCTACCCGAAAGTATTCATTCCAACACATGGTAAAACACTATCTCACAATCCGACCTCTTACGAGGTGTAAGATCAGAAAACTGACACATCAAACATGAATGATCTAGACTTCCAACCCATCCGCGAATCGCAACAAATCCCACCCGGCCTACACATCCGCATCAATTTCGAAACGGGAACCAAAGAAGCTAAACTACTTGACGACGATAAACCATCCACACGGTCTCACGATCTCGCTATCGTCGACACGTCCACCCGAAACGAGTACGCACCGTATATATCCCGTTTGGAGGCTGCTAGTACGGACGATGAAAGTCTGGACGTGCTGGAACTGATTGCGGGGTTGGAGATTGATGGGATTGAAGAGGGGGTTATGTTTATGAGTGGTGCGGCAGACGTGCTGAGGAAGGTGCTGGATGGTGTCGTGAGGAGTAGTGAGGTTAAAGGACGTGTTGCGGGGGTTGTGGGGCGTGCTGTGCAGGTATGTGTTTATCTTCTTTCGTGTTTTTGAGAGGTCTAACTCTTTAACACATGACAGAATAACCCAAAAGCACAATCCCACGCTGTAAGCGCCGGTCTCCTCGTATCTCTCCTCGCCGAACTGTCTGCGTCGGGATCCAAGCCTGACCTGGCGCACAAGTATATATACGCGCTGGGATCGTTGACGCGCTCGAATGTGGAGAGTGTGGAAGCGTTTTATGATTTGCGGGGATTGGAGGTGCTGGGTGGGATGCTGGGACAGGTTAGTGTGGGGTTTGATAATCGTGTGTCGCAGCTGGTTTCGGATTTGATTGATGAGGCGTTTTATAATGATGAGCAGTATCCGATATTGCCGGCGAATGAGTTGAGGGGATGGTGTAGGGCTGTTCTGGCTGCTGATGGGATTGAGGTGGACTGGGCCAGTAAATGCTAAAATGTAAGCAAAGAAAAAGACCACATTTTTGTTATATACATAGAGTTAACATCAAAATGGAATATATCTATTCTACAATTTTACATTTGAAGGTCAAGCAAGCTTTGCGGCGTTATACAAGATTATACTATGTTGCTATCTATCGACGGCCATAGCGTCATCGTCTTGAGTATTGCCACCAAATGGTGGTGGTGCTGTGCCTTGTTGTTCCGTCTCTCCTGGTTGACTACCACCATTACCATCGAACTGCATATTATTACTACCTGGAGCTATTTTACGTCCGAATCTGCCTGGATTCCCCTTGTAGCTCATGTTAAAGTACATGTTGGGATGAGTGATTGTTTCAATGACTTCCTTTGGAGCACCTGGATCCACAGCCACGTCTGCTTTACCGGCACCACCAGCAGCAGCTTTACGAGTCAATTCAAATACACGGGTACAAGCTATAGTATAATGTTGGTTTTTACTGAGAGCGAGAATCTCATCGACGGAAGCTTCTGGTACACCTGCAGCCAATACTTGAGTCTTTAATAGATCTGGTGCAAAGTGGCGATACGGACACCCATGATTATCGGATGGACCAGGAGCGTTTGATGTTATGATCTTCATGCATCCAAATGGCGACCAGTCCTTTTTTTGACCCTCCATACCAAAATTATATCGGATATTGTAAAGGTGGGATTTGTTGAATGTGGCTTCATCCATCTTTTTAGCGAATGCTCGTCTCCAAAAGACCAGTGCTTCTTCGAGTGGCAGACCTATACCCTTCAAGAAGAGACCATACTGTAGACGCCCACCGTGTTTGAGATGCGAGTCGGCACGCAAGTGGGTATGGAGATTCTTCATACATAATGGGAAGTGGTTTACAAGCCCATCTACGTCTTCGGCCTTGATTACACCTACAGCAGATCCTTCATTCCATTCTGAGCGACCCAAGTATTGATTTCCGATGGACGTGAGGATTGGGATGAGACGATCGGATTCATCTAGAGTTGGGAGTGCTCGTGCAGTGGCATCTAGATCTGCTTTGAGCATGTCACGGAATTGGTTTACAATGAGGGCGGTATGTTCCCGTTCGGGTACGTATGCAAAACCCCAGCGGACCAAGACACGACGTCTACCTACTAGATCTGGTACTATTTCAAAGGGTACTTTATATATGGCTTCTGCACTAATGTCTGCCTCTGTAGCATTTGAAGCAGCAGCTAGATCTCGTAGTAGCCTTGCCTTTTCTTCTGGCCCTACAATCTCTGAAGCCGCATCGAACTTTTCCCGTTTGAGCCATGCCTCTCTCGTCTCTTTATCCTCGTTCTTGAGCCTCATTCTAAACAGCATAGTCTCGTGTTTTAGATACCAGTTCCGCAAGTCTTCAGTTCGACAATACGCCAAGCGAAGTATAAAGTGGGAGAAGTGGTCTTTACGTCGTTCATCCTCTAAAACTTTCAATATACCAGATGATCCATTTGATGTGGCGACATTTGCTGAGCTGTTTGATCCCAATGGCAGGTATTTTTTGGCAATCTGGTCTACGTATGCCTGAGTGTCGTCCTCCTTTTTGCTTCGTAAGAGACAGGATTCTATAGCTTTGAGGACATGTAGTCTGTCGAGAGCAAATGTCTCGAATTCGTTCAATGTCAGTTCGGCGAATGGAGGTGTCCTGTATAGATTTAATCGGTATGGATATATGCCAGGAAGAGGAGTAGATGATCCGAAAGTAGAAGATGTGACTGAGACATTAGCTCCTCCCTGTCGAAACATGGCTGGATATGATTGAAATGGGTTGCTGGGATGTTTGGTGCGAAGTTCGAGAGTGATGAAAGCACAGATAGAGATGAGGAAGAAGTCTTAACGTGACAGTAGGCTTATATGAGCTCAAATCAAATATTCAAAGTATAAATGCCTTCTTGACGCGTCAGTTGTTAAAAGAAAGCGAGAAATGCGCATTCGATGCGGATGAACTTACGTGGATTGCAAGGAATTTTGAATCAATTTCGAGGCATATTTAAGTACATTTGTAAGAGTCTGTACTAGGCAAACAGTCGAAATGGTTGACATTCGCAAACCCACACTTTTCAGCATTCATTTTGAGTAGTTCTATTGCTTCACACGATAGATCGCTACCAGATCAACACATTAACGTACAGTCCGTGTCGTATTCTATCGTAAACTACTGCCATTTCCATTCTAACAGCCTTTGTAAAGCATGTACGGTGGTAAGTCAATGTTCTAACAATTTTTGCAATTTATCGCATTGCTTTGCTAATACGCTACTCATTACAGGCCGGCCTCCAACTGGGTCTCTAGCAAACAGACCTGCCAGTCGTGCTGGTCAAGGAGCAGCATGTAAACCGATGCGCTCTATTATCATCATTATCATTGTTTTTGATCTGATTGTGATTTTTCGTGTTTGGTAGCATGGGGACGAGCACAGGCTACAGGAGGTACTCCCATGCCGAGTAGGCCACCTGTTCCTGTAAGATTGACCGTATTACGTTTTGTTGAAAGGGGATCTAAAATGCAATCATGTAGCAAACTGCTTCACGAGTTCCTGGAACGGCAAGACCTGGAACTATGGCACGGGGATTTGGCGCTGCTGCAACTGGTACGTATCAACCTCATTATTGAGTCTTTGTGATCTCACAAGAAACCGTGTAGGGAACGTGCCGTTTGCAGAACGACCAATGACACAGCATGGTTTGGGAGGCCTGAAAACTGGCGCACAAGGTATATCTGATCTCATTATCAGCTTAAATAATACTTGTTTCTGATTCTCGTATGCTTGTAGGACCTGGACGATTGGTACAGGACAGAACCTTCTTCCAAACTGAATTACGCAGACGCATCACATTGGTCAACAATGAGATTGCTAAATTACAGACGGAATCAGATCAAATAGACAGAGAAAATTCTAATACCGGTGCCCTTGAAAAGCGGTATGGTGGATTTCTGATTAGATGCTACACACAATTTAACACTCTTCTTTATGTAGAGCTGATTCTCTCGCCGATGAGATCCGTGATCTACAAGGACAGCTCGCCGATTTAAATACTCTTATTGATCGTTTATCAGCTGGAGCTGATTTAGAAGAAGTGGAGAGACAGAGGAGTGTGCTAAAGGAGAAGAATATGAGAGAGTCTCGAGTTTTGGATGATCTTTTTGCAGAACGTCAGCAGTATGCCCATAATTTAAACGCTATGACTCGTTCCCGTCTGCTAACCTATATACTTTATAGGAAGGAAGCTGCTGTCAGAGAGGCAGAACGATTAGTGGAGGAAGAGAGGAAGAAGGCAGAGGCACATGTTGAAGGAATGGTGAGCTCTATACATTAGAATGCAGTATTGACTTGATAGCTAGGAGATCAGAGTCTGATCATGCCGCTCAAACACTAGGATCCAGAGTCTCGACGAGAGTATCGTCAGCTAAAAGAAAAGGCAGCCAACCTGTCTGCAGATATAGACAAGCAACAAACCGAACTGGACGATCTATCCAGACGTAGTGCTCAGCTCGAATCAGAGCTCGGCCAAGATCCATTAAAACACAAGGCAGCCAAATTGAGAGCCAAACTAGCTGAACTGCAAACCAAACGAGAAGAATTAGAATCAACATCCTCAAACAGGTCTATACAACCACAAGACAAAGCTAGTCTATTGCACAAAGTCAAGGAAGATAATCAGGAAATAGCAACAATGGAACGCCGCATTGCTGACCTCGAAGACCGTAAAAACCGATTGCTCACAGATATAGAGAAACTGGCGGAAAATGCAGATCCTGAAGAATCTAGTGGTTCTGGTGAGAAGAGCGCCAAGTATGAAGAACTGGTCAAGAGAGATCGTGAGATGCAGACCTTTCTGGATGCTTTTGATGCCAATTGGAGAGAATCTAATGACAAGAATAGTCTTACTGAGAAGAAGATTGTTACTCTGCTTGATCGGCTACGTAGCTTGTCTGAGAAAATGGGTGGTGGGTCACGTAATGATGCTGATGAAGGTGTTGTGCAGAATACGGTTGATGGTCTTTCTAAAGGTATGTTCTGCAATTTGAGCACACCATAGTTGAGATACTGATCCTGTATGCTTATGATAGAACGAGATCGTAAAACCGCCGAGCTTGAGAAGGTCTTGCAAATGGAATCCAAATTGGCGTCTGAAATGGCGACCCTGAATGATCGAGTTGGAAGCATGAATGCAGATCTGCGTAAATTCGCTAATGTGGATGCCATTAAGAGAGAAGCTGAGCAAACACGGAAGGTATCGAACGGGTTGAAGTGGCTTCTCATCATCGCGGTTATTGACACGTTTGTTGCATAGAAAAACATGGCACAACGTGAAATATTAAAGAAGGAGATTGCTCGGCTGCAACAAGATCTACCACAATTGACGTCAGAACTAGAGGCTCAAAGGGCTGTTCTCAATCAGAACGAGACGCATCTTCAGTTGGCGGCATTAGAATCCCGTGTCAAGCATATTCAGGAGGAGGAAGCTCAAGTTCGAGAATGCAAGAGTCTATTACTGTGCAAATTATTGATTACTTTGATCCTCACATCCAATTTTGTTATAGGGAACTCTGCTCGAATCGCCGAAAGTGATTACGGCGTTGTGAAGAGTGAAGTGATTACACTGGTAGATGAAATCAATTCGCAGCTGATCAAAATGCTATCGATTCCCAAATCCGTATCATAGAAAGGTTTGACGTGATGAATAGACAGGTGTTTTTATGTGCTCGAGGTTAACACGAAAGCGGTCACTCTACTCGAAAGAAGGTCAACTGATGGTTCGAATGCAAGAGTTGATGAAGGTGGATCGATTGAGGCTCTTCCTGCCTCTACATTGTGAATTTAATCAAACTTGTAGATTCAAGTTTCCATGTGCGAACACGAAAACAGAGACTGTGGATACGTTATGTAAACGAGAATGAAAAGCAAATTAGTCAACCTCCATACGACCGAAGGTGTAGGCATTCCATATGCCTACACCCAACATGTCGCGCGGCCGTCCTCGGAGCCCTACTGTCATTTGCTTTGGATTGATAAAAACGCCTTCGATATGTTGAATGCGTGCTGATTTGAAGAGCCCCGCGTCTTGATGGTACATGTCATTTCGAATCATACATATTCGAAAACCAGCTTTACCCGCTAGCTAAAACACCCAATTTCCTAGTTCAAAGGGTACCAACACGGCATGGAATATCTTATTCCCAAACGTGTGTCACAGATAGCCTAGCTGCACATAATGAATGGACAGGTGGTTTTTATGTACACCACGAGGTTAACAAACTAGCGGTCGCTCTAGTCAAGAGAAGGTAAACCGATACATCTAGTAGTAAAGTTCAAGAGAGTTAGCTCGATTAAGGCTCTGCCTGCCTCTACAACTTGAAATTCAGCGATTCAAATGCCAATCTGCATACATTGAAACAGAGACAGTGGATATGTTATTTGAACACGATACTTGCAGATAGGGGAGCATTCGTGACTAGTAACATATTGGCGCACCGTATCATACGTGATTGCCGTTTCTTCTCCTTTTTTTCCTCCTCCACTTTCTTCACACCATTGATTTTCCACAAAAGATACGCCAACCAAGCCAGCCCCCTCAAAAACCAGTTCCTCTCCTTAGCAATGGAGCAAGATCTCTCAGCAATCAATCTTAGCGACCTACGAGCTAGTAGCATCACCGTGTCGACAGAACCACGACCAAAAATGTCGGACGAGAAGAAGATCGAGACAGTGCCTGATGTCGCGAATCCAAATGTAGCGTTATCCGATGAGGCTAGGTATGTGAACGAGATGAAGGCTATGAGGAGGAGGGATGCATGCAAGAGGGGACATTTGTCGTTTTTGGGAATCATATGAATGGAGTTGAGTTTTGCTACTACGCAGCAGCACCACTGCCATGCCATGTTTTCATGGGCCGACGAGTTGGTTTTGGAATTTGATTGTGAGCTTATCGGGCACGATCGTGGTGTATCTGGTTGTGGCGGAGTGGCTTTTTAAGGTTGATACATCGTCGTGTGTATGCATCGCACCTTACAGCCCACTTTCACGCCTGATCAACCTCTCTTACAATCTAATCTTATGCTAAAAACCCACCTTTCGTAGGTTGCATCAACTGGGCTACAAGCAAGAGCTGAAGCGAGGATTGTCGCTGCTCTCCAATTTTGGGATTGCGTTTACGATTCTCAGTATCCCGACGTCTTTGCTGCCTTTTATATACTTTTCGCTGCTTGCGGGTGGACCGAGAGGGGTAAGTTGTGTATTATCAGGCTGTTTTGTGTTTGTCAGGACGTGTAAACGATGCCCACAAAAACACAGAGGACAACCAAAGTATTATACGTGTTTTAATGTGTTATCTTAGATGTTGATTACCTGGCCGATTGTTGGTGTCTTGTCGTTTATCGTGGGCTTATCAATGTCTGAGATCGTGTCTACATATCCGACATCTGGAGGCCTGTACTATTGGAGTGCGCAACTCGCTGGCCCGCGGTTGGCACCTGTCTTCTCATACTTTACGGCATGGTTTAATTTTTTGGGACAGTGGGCTCTTACTTCAGCTACGGTACGATGTCAAAGCTTCGATCCAATGGGAAGTCTTTCTTACTTTTTTTTGGCTTGCATTTACATTAGGCATACGTATTTGGACAGCAATTCGCAGCGATGTTTTATATCAATGGCATATTCAATGTAAATGACAATGACACCACGACGTATACGTACAAGGGTCTCGTATTGGCTGGCGCTTTCATATGTATCGTGATTTGCACATATGTCAACTCCTTGCCTGTGTATGTGTTGGATGCTATCGGGAAGATATGTCTGTGAGTATTGCAGGGTTGTCTCCTTTCCCACGAGGTTATTTTGCATTTCAACAACCATCTAACACCCCACCGCTCTTCAGATTCGCAAACGTCGCCGGCCTCCTAGTCATAATCGTCGCATGCGCCGCCGGTCCAGGCGCCGCCAAAGTCGGAGTTTCTGACCTATTCAACTCCTGGGCGAACGAAACCGGATACCCAGATGCATACGCCGCATATATATCTATCTTGGCTGCATGCTTGACTTTCTCTGGGTACGACAGTGCTGCTCACTTGGCTGAAGAGACTGGCGAGGTGTCTACACGGGGTCCAAAGGCTATTCTTGGTGCTATTTTGCTGTGTTTCCCTATTGGATGGATTACGATTGCGTTGGTGTTGTCGGCTATACCGCCAGCATTGTATGACTCGATCTCGGCTGCGCCGAATACTACTTCGACTGTTGTGGATATCTTTGTTGGGTCTGTGGGGAATAAGGGGGCTATTGTGTTGAATGTAGGTTCTTGCAAGAGACAGAAGGAAGACAGAAGGAAGACCAAAATTCTTGAATTAATCATACAATTGTTTTTTTTTCTAGGTCATCATGTTATTCATTGCTTTGACTTGTACTTATTCGTTACAAGGTATGTACAGGAAACAAAGTTTCGCATTCAGCACTTGAGTGTGCTTGTGCCTTAGTCTAATTTTGTGCGATTTTTTTCAGCTACACATATGAGACAATCATTCGCATTCTCTCGTGATGCTGGATTACCCTTCTCGCACTATCTACATTACGTCGACCCAAAGACCCAAATTCCAAGCAGAATACTCGGTGTTTTGGCTGTCATTGGTAAGATACGCAATTGTGGTGCTTATGTTGCTCTTATAAACTGCTGTTTGAAACGGTGTTGCTTGTTTGAACCAAAAGTTTCCAACACACTTGGTCACCAAGAAAACTGAACTTTTGTCCTACTCAATAGACTTTTTGATCCTGCTACCATTGCTTCAGTCTCTTGTGTTCTTCTCGGCGGTCAATTCTATAGGAGTAAGCCATTCTTTGACTGAAACGTGTGAACTCAGTCAACGAAAAAATCAACGCAGGAATGACCGTGCTAATCCCATATAATAGGTTATAGGCACTTATATCTGTTATGGTCTGCCAATTGGATTACGGTTTGCTCGGGCTCATAACTTCCCGAAAGGTTAGTAGCTGAAATTGACGACTTTTCATTACTACAAGCTACTGTCGTAGTGGATGAACACCTCAGGTCTAAACCAATAACTCTCTTGTCAACAGGGCCATTTAATCTTGGATGGTGGGGCATTCCCAATGCGGCGATATCGTTGGCCTACCTCATTGTCGCCTCGATTGCCTTGATCCTCCCCACTTCCAACGTACCATTACCGCCAGACACGGCCGTTGGTGATTACTTGCAATTGTTCAACTGGGCACCTGTCATGGTGAGTTCTTGCTGTGGTATTGTTGTTGGGATTATTTGAAAACTCACATGAATGTGAACATAGGTCGGAGGCCTACTTATAATCTTGTCCATTGCGTGGGTTGCAGGTGTCGGAAAGACATTCAAGGGACCAAAGATTGATTCTGTCACGGTGAGAAATCGAGCAGAATATTTATTATGGGTAGTGGTTAAGCATGGGAACCGTATTCTTACGCATCCATCTCAACCGCTCACGGAATGTATCATAATCATGCTCATACTATCTTGTCATTAGGCGTCCACATTCAAAGGCGCAGACTTTGCAGCCGCTGGATTGGAGGTTGGAATCAGTGCTGCCGAATTGGCAACAGAAGATAAGACGCTCTATGACTATGTCGAGGAGCCTATTACTGCTACTATATAGATCGAAACAGGGGACTCTGTTGTAACTCTTGTGCTTTTTTTTAGACTACTTTTTAATAATCTGTAAAAGAAGAGAGAGTGTGTTTGAGGCGTTAGTTTAAGCAAGCATTTCTTCGTGTCTTCGCATCCTGGTGCACCCAGTCGTATGTCGATACGGGTTTTTGACTTAATGATTGTGATTCTTCATTCTGCGTAATTTTAGATGAAAGTCGAAATTTCAACCGCAACGAACGTCCCTCTAAAGGATATATTCCACCTTCCCATCATCTTAAATGACATTTCATGCCCAAGTATCTTCCTCAATTGCACTGGATCAGAATCAATCCCATGTCAAATTACCGAAGCGCAAATCGGTAATTTCGTTTTTAACGATTACGTCGACTGAAGAGCTTTTCAAGAGCAAGGAAAGGGTCACCGTCATCAGACGACATGTGTACGTGCGTTATCTGTCTCGATTTGAAAACGGCTGTTAGATGATACGTGCCCAAAAGCGATTCTGGACTGTAAAGGCTTGATTTCCAAAAGCTGTCGAGAGACGTTCTAGAGCGCAGATTCAACTTTTTAATGACTCGAAATAACGTGATATGAATGAGAATCGGGGTTATCCATGTTGGATCTCATGCAGCAGCGCTGAAAGCGTTCTAACTTGAATTTCTGAAACTTGAAACCATGTAAACCACAAACATGAGCATACAGGATGTAGCTCACTCTGGACTCATTGCACATTTCAGTCGTATTCCCGCGGCCTTCATGTTTATATCGCGTTAGTTATGTGTAGACGGTCCTTGCACAAAACAGACCTAACTCCGAAATTAATTTCCCGAAACTGTCTAAGCTCTGTCTCGTAGCTAAATGAGGCTCAAATATACTGTCGTGTGCCTCGTAACTGTTTATGCCCTGTGTCGACTGGCGCAAGGGGTAATCCTGGCCTGTCGCGTGTAGGAAGGAAGCCATTAGAGCCTGTCGAGCATCATCTTCAGGCGCCGGCCACTGTCGTGTAATAGTTTTGGGTTATATGAGCGTGTCGAGTGTAAGGTTCTGTAGAAATGGTTGTGTCGAGTCTGCTGGCAAAATCGGTAAATTAATTTCGGAGCGGTATTATATGATATCTAGAGGTGCAAGCCAGACTAGTTGATCCAGGGTAAGATGAATGTACCAGACGTAACAAATGGCCCCCTGCTTATATAGACCTGTTTTACGATTCCTTACGGCGATCAAAGGGGCTTCAAGCGAAGTTGCTGTGGCTTCATCGAAAGTCAGTTCAAAGACGGTAGTGTACAATTGTTGACACGCCATGCTATTGAATGCCTTGCAGACTAGAGCCATGTTCATCAAGCATCGGTTTGTACATACTCGGCGCCGATGTTGTTTGATTATGTTGAAGATGATGAGAAGTAGCTCGTTTGGTAGCAAGACAGCAGACTTCTCGTATTTTATGTCGCATATTTCCATGATTTATAGAGTGCTTCCTCTTGACGTGTGATCTAACTGTAGATGGAGGAAATCGGAATCAGACGTTGACACTCTGGCAGTTCCCATCGATAAGCGTTAAAAAAATTCGAAGAATCATTACTTAACATGTTTGGAATATGAGTTGGAGAACAAGATCTTGCTTAAAGCTCCCAACCTCTAAAGTCTCAGACGTTGGAGGTGCTGAACGAGATTTGAATTCAAACAACGCGAATTGGCAGACTTATGACACCCTGTAGTTCTAGAAAATTATTGAATTTGGTCTTTTTAGTTCGTCATGAACTGCTTTTGTTACTACTGCAAGCAGCTCTCCATCGTTAAATTAGCAGGCTCGGCATCCGATACTTATTATTCCAGCTGTCACTATTCCATCAAAGAGAGGGCCTCACTGAGACGCCCGTTTGGAATTCATAAGCACGTATAAACTCGAGGTTGCAATTTACATTTACTTGTATTTGTTAGTCTAGATACATTACTATTACTCCGAGCTCCTATCCTTCAAGCCGCTTCAGCCTCCTTCAACTTGGCTTCCCTTTCAAGCCGTTCACGATGGTGCTTCTCTTTCTTTTCGAGACGCCATTCCTCACCATGCTTCCAAAGCTGGTATAGGAAGGGCCATCCAAGAATCGGCAATACAGCGATAAAGGAATACACGGGCCCAGTATCGAATCTATCAATGATTGGTTGTATCACTGCGGTCGTGATGGCACCGATGGTGGATCGAGCAAGGTTTTGTGCAGACATGGTGGATGCGCCCTTTCCAGGATTCAAGTCGATCATTAAAGTGTTGAAAGAATTTGAAGTTCCACTTATGCCTAGAAATTTAAAGTTGAACACAGTTAGACCTCAAACCAAAGAGGCTTTCCACTCTGACTTTCCCGTACCAAATCCGACAAAGTACTGGCAAAGCAACACAAGCGCCAAACTTCCTTGATACTGTAGCACCCAGCCGTATGAGCATACTGCACAAAAGAATAAGATGCCGGGGAGGATGGCAACTTGCATACGTAAACGTCCTAGCTCTAGTGTCTCGCCTTCCCGTTGCCTTGCTTTGGCTCGTCGATACAGACGATCTAATATCAGTCCATTGAGACCGGTGCCCGACCTAATGCAACAAGAATTAGTTCAAAGGCAAAGCGTGCATGTTCAATGGTAGCGAATCCGCGTACATGTTTCCTAACCCATTGGAAATAAAGCATAATCCGACCTGGACATCAGATAGACCATAAATCCTTGCAAGCTGGAAGGACATTGGTGTTATGACCCCGACAACTAATTATGGCCAAAGTTAGCTCGAATTCGTTACAGCATCATCAAAAACATCAACATACATCCAATGAATAACAGCGAAGAGTATAAGAGTATACAGAAAATCGATTTATCTCCCAGCATCAGCACTGGCCCTAACGGATTGAACGATACAGTACTCTTTGGTGGCTTTTCCCTCTTTTCAGCTACAATGGTCTGTCCTGATTTTTTCAACAGCAGCTTTCGCTTCAGTATATCCATTGGGGCGAGACCAACATCGCCAGATCCCTCTCCAACGAGTCTTCGCAATGTCTCTGGCAGGAACCAATATAGAGCGAAGAGAAGCAGGATGGCAAAGGCACCGAGAAACCAAAAGATTGCGTGCCAATCCCAAGCATCCGATAGCAGACCGCCAATTGTTGGCCCCAGCACAGGACTAAAATGAAAAAAATTAGGGTGGGGCTTCAAATGGCAGAATTGATATGATACTTACCCTAAGAAGGCACCCATTGAAAAATAACCCATCCTACTACCTCTTGTGGCAGGTGTGCTTATATCGCCTATTGTTCCAGCGCCCACAGCAATCAAAGCGCTACTTCCGATAGCTTGCACCGATCGAAGTACCAGCAATAGCCAGTACTGATGGGTCAGAGCCAACCCAACGCACGAGGCAATGAACACTCCTAAACAGACCAGATATGTTTGTCGTCGGCCGTACCTATACACATCAAGACAGGGCGATTAGTATTAATTCGAAAGCTCAATACGAAACGTTCGCGGTGCATACATATCCGAATAAGCAGCCCACAGAGTCGGCACGATAGCTTGAAATACTTGAAACAAACTGACACTCAAATTGACTTGAAATGCCGTTACGCCCAGATCTAGTCGGATCTAAAAGGACTTACGAGTGAGCTGGCATTGACGATCACGCTTTGTTGTTCATCGTCACAAACAGCTGCAACTTACATTGTTGAGAGCCGGAAAGTATGCATTTCCAGCTAGCGGTGCTAGAAAACCTGCAGTAGCAGCAAGAAACACGACGAAAGCTTGCCGCGACGGCGTCCAAATATCAGATAATGGAATCTCCATCATGGAACCCATCGTTTTAGTTCTTTCGACCGGCTGACCCAGTTCATGACCAAGCGTTTCTTCATCTTGGTCGTCCAGATTGTGATCGTAGTCGTCTTCTACGGTAATTGAGGCCAAATCCTTGCTTTCGATTGAGTTTTGATTCTCATGGATTTTTTCATGTTGGAGTTCCAGAAGCTCGGAATGGCTCTCCGCATTGGTTGCGCCATTGGCAAGAAGTTCAGTGGCAACTGAAGCCTCTACTGAGCTTCCGTTGGGATCCATGGTTGATGCAATTCCTAGTTGCGGAAGCTAAAAAGTCGTGATGAATTTTTGTGAGTTATAACTATTGATCACCAGAGGGACTACTACCTTCTGGAAATCTTACCAGAGTGTATGCACAAATCTCTCCTCTAAACGGCTCGTACCCCTCTACGTTGAGTGGCCGACGTTCCGTGAAACTTTTTTTGTGGGTTTTTGAAAAGTTTGCAAGTCACAGCAAATTCAGCAGTTCCGCGTCCCGCATCACGTTGTCTAGCGTATTCAGTTCAGGGTATTCATTAGGGTGCTCGTTCTCTCGAGATCTAGTTCACGAAAGCAGGTCAGAGAAGATCGTCAAGAAATTGGGACTTTGTTCCTACTGCTACTGCAGTTTGATTCCATTCTGCCCTTGATCCAAGCCTTACAACTAATGAGAAATTAAATCTTACGTGAATACAATGGTATGATCACGTAAATGCTCTCTCTGCATCTCGTCGTCCACACTCGTTGAACGTCAAAACCTAGCGATGCAGAACTTTGGGGAGGGAAGGCGACTCCATTTTGGCAGTCTGGAAGACAACCAAGCGCTGATATATCAGCAGCAACAGCAAGGAGGTGCAGCTGTAAGTTCGTCGTCCTTCCCAAGATATTCAGAAGACATAGTGATTGAAACGTCAAGAAGCTCAACTAACTGACTCATCTTTTCATCCGTAGCAATATGGAGTTAGCTATGATCAACTACAGGCTGCAGCTGACTACGAAGATGAGGACATGGCCGATGCTCACGACTCGACATCTCGAGCAAAAGTAGAACATAAGGCCATCTTGGATGAATTCGAACGACGAAAGCTCGCTACTACTTTGGCCGTCCCAACTGATGATAGACGAGTCAGAGCAAAATTACGCGAGCTCTTTGAGCCAATGACGCTCTTTGGTGAAGGGGTAAAAAAACAGCTGCATCCTTTCGTTGGATGTATTCTCAGACACTCACATATCGTTTCATTACAGCCTGCTGAAAGACGTGATCGGTTACGATATGTTATGTCTCTGCTTCCGCAAACTGAAGCTGAAGAAGAGTCTGCTGGCGATTCGGAAACAGGAACGGATTCTGACGAAGACGACGAGCCTGAAGACGACGATCCTGAAAAGAAGGAGTTTGTATATCCTGGATCTCAGTATATACTGGACACGAGAAGAGCAATCGCTAGTTTCTCACTACCCAGGTATGCGGGTACGATTCATCACTTTTTTTTTGTCAAGTATACACTCATGCAGCCTTCCTTACAGAGCAGAGAAACGAGTCGCTGAACAGCTTGCCGAGCTGGATATCCCAATACCGCAAAGGAAAAAGATACGGCATGAATGGTACCTGCATCTTAAGGTAAAACTAATGCAGCAAAAAAGGTCTACCAATCTGCTAATTCTCTTCGTTTAATAGACATACACCACCATCAGCTCACAATTCGGAGACGATCGACCGATATCAGCATGTGCGTTTGCACCAGACTCCAAATCACTTGCTACCGCTTCATTCAGTGGCCTCATCAAGTTATGGGACTTGCCATCATCCAAGCCGATTGCTACGTATCGAGGTAGAGCCACCTCAGTTACTGTTTCAGCACTCTTTTTTTTGTCTTTTTAATGAATATCTATATGTAGGACATACGGAACGTGTTGGAACTATTGCCTTCCATCCAGACATGAAGACCAACAGGGAATCGGATCACGTTGCATTTGCTTCTGGAGCTTCAGATGGGACAATAAGATTGTGGGCTCTCAACAAGTGAGTTGAATGGTGTTGGTTTCGCTACAAGGTTTTTCTTGGTCGCTGACATCCAACGAATCATAGGGACACACCATTAGCTAGTTTTGAAGGTCATCTGTTACGAGTCTCCAGAGTTGCATTTCATCCCTCTGGACGATATCTTGGTTCAGCGAGGTCTGTGGAAGCTAAGATGTTCGTCGTAGCCGATGCATTATATTCCTGACGGCTCTGGTTTTGTTAGCTTTGATCACAGTTGGAGGTTATGGGATGTTGAAACCCAAAAGGAATTACTGTTTCAAGAAGGGCATTATCGGGACATATATGGTCTTGTATTTCAGAATGATGGGTCACTACTCGCGACTGGGTACGTATAACTCCGCAAACCTTTCTTCTTTTTTGTGCTAATGCTACGACACTATTTACCATAGCGGAAGTGATTCCCATGGCCGAATATGGGATTTACGATCAGGTCGATGCATTCTCACCCTGTCTGGCCACGTACAAGGAATAACGAGCATGGACTGGTCCCAAAATGGATACACGATTGCATCGGGATCATTAGACAACACTGTCCGAATATGGGATGTGAGGAAGGGAGAATCTGTATATATGATTCCTGCGCACAAAAATCTTGTATCGACTGTCAAGTTCTTTTCTCCTTCGGAGGACTTTGATTTTAAACCGCCTGGTATTGCTGGATTTGCTGGTGGAGGTGCTAGCAATGGTGAATCTAGTAATGATATGGTAGTAGATGGTGGTCCATTGTCTGGGATACATAGTCCAGCTGTTAGGAGGAGACTGTTGAATAGTAGTTTCTTGGTGACGTGCTCTTTTGATGGGACAACCAAGTTATGGACTGATGGTGATTGGAAACCATTGAGAGCTTTGGCTGGTCAGGAGGCTAAAGTTATGTGCTGTGATATCTCCAAAGGTATACTCGCTTAATCCGTTGAAGTTTTGTTTTCCGCTTGTGCCGCCGCTCACAAACTTACTTTCACTAACAGATGGACAGTATATTGCTACGTCATCATATGACCGTACATTCAAACTGTATTCTCCTGAAGGGGTGATGTAATATAGCTAATGAGCATAGAAGCATGTAGTTCAAGCATTACAGTTAAAGACTCTTGATCTAAAGTTAGAAAGTGTAAGACATGGATTGCTGTATCATCCTCTTTTGTCTTCTGTGACTTACAGTTTCTTCCAGAGTGTTCAAGAAAATATCAGCGTGCTTCTTTTGGTAGACCAGCATGGGACGCATTCTGACTGAATGGTCGCCAGATCCACCAGAGTTTACACCGCGTTGTCGAAGAGCAGAGACTAACTTGTCTCGAGTAGGTCCATCAGCAGAATCAAATGCTAAATGTGTACCGTATCCACGAACACTCGAGACGTATCTAAATCACGAAGGTGTGTGAGGAGTTGACGACTCGATGCAGGCAATGCAATGACAGCGCGGCTCTAGAACATTCTTTTGCCTTCCGTTGATAAATTCCTAGCCCAGCAAAAAGATACTACAATCAAATGCTCACTTTGGATGTTTACTAGCCAACAAATCCAAACCAGCACGAGTATGCGCTCCAGACTCATTCACGACTTTGAGTAAATCCTTTTTAAAGATTTGATCGATAATCACTTCAGCTTGGTAGGCTCGAATTGGATCACCCATCCAAGTGTTGAAGTTTCGGTAGGGTTGAGCAGGTCTAGTTTCCAGATTGTGGTAGAATCCGGCAGCTTGCATCTTCTTTGAGAATGTCACCATGTCTGGTGGTGTTGTCAAATTCCAGTATTCGTGAGCCTGTTGTTGTTTGTAAGTTAGGTCATTCGTTGAGAGGAGAGAAAAAAACGAAAAGGAGTGATTACTGGCTCTTACCCAGAACTTTCCAGAAGCACCAACACCGGTTTGTACTTCATCAACAATCATCAATACGCCCAATCTCTTGGTGAGTTCTCGAATGCCTTGGTAGTAGGCTGGAGATGCGGCATTGTCACCACCTTTTGGGTTTAAGAATGCATTTAGGAGGGAGCAAAAACAACCAAAAGTGAAAAGGAGCACGAGGTTCGATTTTGTTAACACAGCTCACATACCTTCTCCCTGAATGGGCTCAATAATCAAAGCAGCAACAGGAATCTTGGCATTCTTGATTATTGACTCCATTTCAGCCAAAGACTTTGCTTCAGCGGCCTTGTTTGCAGCTTCATTAGCAGCATACGGGTGTTCTAATATATGAATGAAAGTTCAGCAAAAAATATCACGTACATGTATGAATATCTTTAAAACTTACTGATTATAGGGAACTGAGCTTTCGGCCATGGCATAGCAGGGATATCCAATTTATGAATAGCTTTACTTCTCGTAGCAGATAAAGTACCCAAAGTACGTCCATGGAAGGCACCACTCATACTCAATATCGAGTAGTATGGACTGCCAGGTGGCTGATTGACCATACAAGAATTCAATTCTTCGGATGAGAAATCGACACTGGATCCACGTTTCTTGGCCTGTTGGAATATGAATGCAGCCTTGAATGCGATTTCATTGGCACATGAACCACACATTGCTGTAAAGATTTGGTTTAGGCCCGCGGGTTTTACTCGAAGGAAGGAGTTCTCTAGTGATTCGACCCAATCGGTTGGAGGGAAGACCTGGGACGAAGAATCATCTGTATCAGAATGAAAATATTCGTATTACGGTGGAAACGGTTAAAACTTACACCAAGAGCAGGTCGATTGATCATTGCTCGAGTCCATTTGTCGCTCTTGGCAGCTTCAAGAAGAGCAGGATTGTTGTATCCGATAGCAATCGATGCAATCTAACATAAACAAAATAGTCAAGGTCTTGAAGCTTTGGAAACCTTCGTTGAATCACAATCGGTATGACAAGCAATCAACAGATTGGGGAGTTTTCGAGGAATCTCTCGATATACAGGTAAGATGACGCGTAGTTCCAGCATCTTGATATCACACAAGATTTGATATCTGTGCTCCGCATCACTCTTACCTGAGCGTACACGTCCAACATCATGTTGCCATCAGCATCAGCAATGTAATTTCCCTGACTGTTTGCGGTGTCGACGGCAAAGTATACAGCTCGAGAGTCCTGGTATTTGTCCAGCTGCTTGATGAATTTAAGAGATGCTGGGCCTGGAATGGATGATTTGATAACGGGTTTTGCTGGTTCATTTGGAAAGAAGCCTAGTGGATCTTGCCCTACAGTAGCATATGTACGTGACCTGCATGCCGATTGCGATACAACCCGTGCTAATTTACAGCCTGTTCGGAGCATTCTCGTCTGTATCGACAGGTGTTTGCGAAACTGCGAGGCAGATTTGGTGTTTGGAGTTCGGAGCACGAGATCGCAACCACTTGAGACTGAAAAGCTCGCTCAATGTACGCGTCTCAGATCATTTCAGTCATTTATTATCACTTGCAAGCACTCTATTACATATCTATGAAGACGTGACGGAAGCAGCCTTCTTTCTCAGACCCAGAGTTTCCAACATCAACGCAGCTGAACCAAACAATTGCTCCTTGAACACTATACGATTATAAGATGAAATTTGTTAGCTGAAATCCAGTTATCTCGACGTGTTTTGGAACTGAATTTAAACATCATTCAAGTGTGACTCGACTTCAAAGCCAAAATGACTTACTGAAAAGGAATGCTGCAGTAAGCACACTCTGTAATAGTTTGGATGAGATCCCTTGGTACAGTCCCATGAATCCTTCATGTTTGACAATCTTGACAAAAGCATCGCTGGTAGATGAGTAGGTTGTGGCAGGATCACTGTTGGCAGTTGCTTTGGTTTGCACTTGCATGCGTGCCTTGACGGTTCTAAACAGTTGAACAGTTGCGGTGAGTGGTGATCAATCATTCGAAGCATGTCGACGAGACGGCTTTTTTTCTCTTACATATATGGATATGTAGATCCTGTAGCAGCCAACTTCGAAATAGCTCCCAACCAGAAAAAGTCCCATGGTGATAATGGTTGACCCTTCTTCAATTCCTTGACTTTAGCCATGAGTTGTTCAAAGACTGTATATTGGATGATGGGGTTGATGACCAACACCAAAGCGGGTCCAACACCACGCCAGAATTCTGCTGGGCCAGACTCTCTAAAGATCTTCAATGCTGTTCCGAGCGTTGTTGGTTTGGGTGCATTTGGGTCCTGAGCTTTCTTGGCTACAGTCATTCGAGTCTTTTTGCGAGAACTTTGTTAGCTCGGCGTCATGGGCTTTGTATAAGAGACTGACTTTCATTGCTACAAGCTCCGAAATTCGGACAGCAGCATAAAACGTACATTTACAACCCAGATGGGATTCGTGATCAGAGTAGTGGCTGATCCAGCAATAGCACCGGCAATCATACTCTCTGCTGTCGTCATTCCTCGTTTGACATCAGCTGCACTTTCAAAGAAGGCCTTGACCAACTCATACCAATAATAGTATACACCGTTCGTAACAGAAACACCAAAGAGTGCCGACTCCACACCACTGCAACCACATGAATCATTTAAGCGAGTCAGTAAACGATTAAGAAACTCTTGCGATAGTCATGCACGTACGCGTAGAGACCCCCAACACCTTCTTCTCGCACAATTTCCATAAGTGCTGATGATGCAACAGCAGGCTTTTCACCAGGTTTAGCGACCTTCTTGGCAGTCACTTGTGCACGAGTGGATACCGTAACCAATGGATATGTCAGTGCCATACTAGACAAAACAGAATTGAAATGCATTCGGGTTAAATCGTTTGTGAGCGGCATTGTCGTTGATGTAGATGTGCAAACCTGATCATTCCACCACCAGCTCCTGAAGAAGAGAGAAAGCAAGAGTGAGAGAAAGTTCCAATTGACTACATTCTTCTTTAATTGGCTGGAGCGCCTGCCTCCATTAGTGAAAAATCTTCAAAAACAATGACGTCGAACGAAGTTCGAATTCCAAGATAACGGTGGTAGAGAGCTAGATTGCAGATCAGGTAAATGAAGATCTTACCGGCTAAAGCGTGACACACGTTGTCTGACATTGTTCGTAGTTCTGATATACAGCTGTTAGAAACTTTGAGTTTGCTACTTGACGTCACGAATTTTCGCAAAGTTTAGCAAACGGCACTAGAAAATAGGATGGATCGCGTCGCTTTGTCGCGTATTCATGAAGCACCATCGTTAATAGTCCTTATCTCCACTTTGAGTCGTTCAGATTTCGGAATTTCAGACGCATTTTATCAGACACGAATATTTCAAACTGAAACATTTATTGTATGTTTTGCCTCTTAAACTGTTGTCTTTTGATACCGTTTCAAGCTTCGAGCTGGTTCCTTCCAAGTCTTGACCTTTTAAACCCCAAGCAAGCACGTCCAAAGAGAAAGAGACGACGAAAATTTAAAGTAAGGTCGCCGAGATTTCTTTAGTTCGCTCTTGTCTGCACAATTCACAATATAGCACAGGTCCAAAAGATCTGTTCGTCCTGCGCCGAAAGAGCAGCCAGCTATTTCGACGACCTTGTTACCACGAACCAATTCTGCAGCTTGGAGCCAAACGACCCTGCTACTTTGTAGTCCCTGAGTGTGCCTGTTCACAGCTATAGCAAGAATCACCATCCATGACGTCCAAGAAACCTCGTCGAGCCCATAAAGAAACGTCTTGTTCCGTATATGCTGAGGAAAACAAACTCCTGTTCCCCATCTTCTCTACACAAGCCACACTATAGCACAGCGCCGATAGAGCTGTTTTGTCCTGCGCCGAAGGAGCAGCAAGCTATTTCGATGATCTTGTTACCAAGACTTTCCACCGACTGGGAGCCGAACAATCCTGCTACCTGGCGAACGAGGTAGTCGGTGGACGTGACTTGTGCAGAGGAGTAGGAGAGATAGGTGACTTTGTACTTCCCATGTGTTTGAAGGTTCCAGTTTCGTGGTGGCGTACTAGCACGTTCGGCGTCCATTTAGTAGTGATTAAGCAGCCAGGATACACTTGTATAAATCGAAACTAGTAAGAAAGATTACGTGGTTAGTGATTTAGAAGGTTTTTGCGTTTCTTCACTGTCCAGTTTTGATGTTGTTAATGTACCAGAACTTGACGGTGAAAGAGCCAACGAGAGGCACCGTACTGCTGCAACATGCATTACCTAGCTTATGAGTGCATGTTGCTCTCGATCCGAAGCTCAGAAACACGGTCTTTGACTAGCAGAGCACCATGCCGAAATTTGACCAACAAAACAGAGGCTGAGCCAGTAAAAGATACGGGTAGGCAAGGCAGCGATGATTTCAACAAATGTAAATAATTGCATTGATGAGAAGTTAGCGCATTACTTTCTCGTCTGAGGTTCTGTACGTTGTGTTGTGAACGTTTGTGGTGGGGAAGGCAAATACTAAAATCACGAACAAGTTACAATACCGCATGCAACCTAAAACTAACACGATATATGTTTCAAATACCAAATATAATAATACGTGAATTCTTACAATGTAATATGCGTAATGCGTGACGGGACTCAATGCGAACCCACGTCGACTTCTCTCCCTTACGACAAGTCTTTTACTCAATCCTCATCACTATTAGAATCTATGTCACTACCCAACCCCTCATCTTCATCATCATGATGGGCATGATGGGGCGCTGCACCTATAGCTGGTTGAACAAACAAGTTTGTTGGAGCAAGTACAGCTGGTAACTGGTATTGTGGCGGCCTTGTTGAAGAAGAAGATGGTGGCGGTGACGATGGTGGTGCTATTCTATTCGTAGAGGATCGTGTCGGAGATGCAGGTGTGGTTGTTACAACGGGGACTCGTGGTGGGAGTCCCATTGCCGGAGGTAGAGGTAACGGTGGTATAATTATTTTAGATGATGATGTCGATGATGCTGATGATTTTAAGGAGGCAGCAGTATTTACAGATGCTTTACCCTTTCCTTGTTGTTGATGTTGATCGGAAAACGTGACGTGATTGCTGTTGGAATAGTTGTTGGCATTGCTATTGCTATTGCCGTTACTGTTGGATTGACCACTTGCAGAGCTAGTTCTGGGAGTTGGCAATGATGCTTCAATCATGGGACTTGATCCAGCGTCCGTATTACTTCTGGAGCTTTCACCAGAAGAACCAGACGACCGGCCTACTATTTTACTAGTGCTTGGACCATGATTACTATGACCACTAGCAATTCCATTGCTCAAACCTTCAGCCGTGGGACCTGCAAACATTACTAGATTGCCACTATTACTATTAGGCTTGTTTATTGGTACTGGCGTCAACATCGGATGCTCTGTGCTAGACCGAGTGTATGGTACTATAGGAGGACCAAAGACTTGTTCTGTAGCAATATCGGCTCTTGAATTTATAGGAGCCAAGTTGCTCAAATCTATCAACGGACCTTGACCATATCGTTGCCAATTTAGCATTCCACCATCCCGCAAGAACCGATTCGACAGTTCTGGATCAGAATACCGTTGAGACTTTAGACGGGGCTGCTGAGTTGACACTGGCCGTCCCATAGTAACGACATCAAGTTTACGAGGTGCTCGCAAGTCATTCTGCGGTATAAGCAAGTCGTTTGCAGACATTCCTACATGATGCTGCTGTTGATACATACGATCATTTGTAAAGCCTGGTGGATTATAAAAGCCTGGATGCAAGACTGGTGATAACTGAGACTGTTGACTGGTTACTCTAGACCTAGGCAGCGCATGATATCCCAAAGACATATCACCCCACGGCACATCTTCTGCTGCAGGTGCTACACCATCTAAATCTACATTTGCGTGGGTAGCGTTCCCGTTCTCCTTTGGAGAATCTGCTGCTACAACTTCCAGTGGCAAATTGTCTTCAGATTGTATACGTTTAGCCTCCATCATTGTCTTGGCAACAGACCATGCTTCTCTCGGTCCACCACGTCGTAAACCAGTACATATTTGGCATGCATCACTCCACCTATTCTTGAGGTAGAGAAGGTACTCAGCCCTGTATCTCCACAGAGAATATATACTCCTATCTGGGTATCGGCGATAGCGAAAATACTCGGCTGTGCAAAACATGACAAAGTAAACCGACAGGTATCCTAAATACGGTCCTAAATACTGTCGACTAGCATCTGGGATCAAGGCAATACCCAGGGCCACATTTGCCAGACCTAAAAGCACAGTGGTGGAACCAACAAAAGTATGTATTCTAGTCCATCTAGCCAGAGCTTTCAAACCTTGGATGGTTTCACGATCCATTTGTTGATCAATTTCTTGCGAATCGTCAGCAAAGGTATCTAGATCAAAGTCTGCCGGTGGACGATTATTACCCAACGTTGAACCAGACGACGTAGATGCCGGAGGTAATGCATTACTAGATGATGGCAATGGAGTGGGCGAAGGCGCTATCCTTTCGGAATTATTGACATTATTATTTACAGCGGATGAGTTGCGATGACGTGGTGAAGTTGGGTGCTGTTGAAACGACGTTACAGATCCTTGATCATTGGCCAATTCTGCGAGATATCCATCAGCTCCTGGTGCTCTCCAACCAGGCATAACGACGGCGTCCTGTGCACGTTGTCGTTTAGACGGTCTCGAATGTGAAGTATCTCCATCTATAGTTGTCCTGTTTTTATACGACGACAGAGGTTTACTAGAGCCTTTAAATGTCGGTGGTGATACGTCTGGTCGGAAGAAGGCATAAAATGGCAAAAATACTACACCGGCCAGCACGAGCAATCCAAACCATGCATGAGGGACGGCAGCATGACGAGCTGGGCCAATCATGAGTACTGCAAGACAAAGGCCTACGACGCCCAGCAATGCTCCTAATGACTGTAATGTGCCATGTAGATAGATACGATAGTCGGAACCTCGTGGCAGATATCTTGCCAGAGCTGCACCTAAAGGAATGAGGATACCGAAAGCCACAAACATCAAGATCCCATGGACTACTACTAGATTGGGAGTTATAGGACATCCTAATTCGATAATATCAGGTTTCGTCGAGTTGGCAGGTAGAGCATTTGGCAGTGTGGAGACATTGGTGAATGGACGAAGTAGCCAGACTTCGGTTGATGCACCAGAGCCATCAAAGTATTGACCTCCAAACATGATCACATCAGCTTGGCCCTGATTTGTAGTTGGATCTGTGGCAACTAGTCCAGCTCCACGTCGAGGATTTGGATATACAGTAGTGCCAGGGTATAATGATCCAACAGCAACGCCCCAAGACGACTAATTTTGTAGAGATTAGTACACGGCGATGTTTTAATGGTTCTGTAGGCTCGTAATTGTCCAATGCGGTGCTTACTGAAGGAGAATCATAAATGGCAAACTGCCCCGGCAATTGCTCTGGAAACAGAGCACCTGGATCACCACCGACCAAGATTACAGAATCTGAATATGGATTTGGATTCCTAGTCATAGAGCCATCCAATTGCGGTCCAGGACAATCTGTAGTACTCGATAATTGCCAAGTACCCGTCACTGTGACAGGATCTACGGACAATACATAGGCTTCATTCGCCGGGCAAGTGCCTGCAATGCCCGGTATCTGTAAAGCCCATGGATCATCTCCACAACCACCTTGAAGAAAAAGTCTTTGTGATGACAAGACTGTTGACGCCAAGGACGATCGAGGTGGCGGTATCAGACGTGACGTAATAGATATGGCCTTCCAAGCAGCAGTTAACCCACTGTAATTGGTTCCAGAGACTGCTCCGCCTAATGATAATATATGTGCATCGTTCAGAGTGCCTTGAAATCCACGACCATGTGTCATGAGCAGGAATTGCGTCGTATTCGTGTTTCGGGAGTTTGAGAAATCTATTCCACCGGCTGCTCCATATCTGGGTGATGGCAATGGGCCTAACGGACGTCAGATCATTTAGCAAAAAATACCAAACCGCATGCTTCGTCCCGTCAATGCATTCGACGTCACATTACCAGAGGCATTCAGTTTACTCCATATCTCGAAATTGAGATCAAACGACCATACATCGTTATACAGGATCATCTGTCCATCTGGCGTAGCACCGATTCCAGTGGAAATAACCATGGCATCTCGTTCCTGTGAGATTGGCTGATCCATTCCACAAACTCCAGCATATCTGCCAGGAGGATGTGGATCTGTGACGGAAGCAGCACCTAACGGCCTCCTCCACCTTCTATTATATACATCTAAAACCCATGTATCTTCCAATATAGTTCCATCGGATGCTCTGTCAAAGCAAGATCTCAATGAGCTGTTTGTTCAAAGACAAGAGTGAATAGATATCTTGTCTAGGCTTACCTGCCGCCAAATATATAAGCAAGACGACGCCTCCAGTCATAGCCCATCGCAAAATCAGATCTTGCAGGAGGACTAGTGCCATTGCCCGACCAGTAGACCCAACTCAAGTTGGGTACAGTTGTCTTGGCAGCTACTGGCGATGGCTGTAATAGCGACAATAAGCCAATGAGGTATAGTAACTGTAGCAGTAGATGGAAGATAAACTTTTTGATGGGTGTTGAATGCAATGAGTGAGGGCTTGACCGCGGGTTGGGTATGGAGGGCCTATGCCGTATACGAGAGGCTTTCCAGCGATAGATCCTGCCTTTCCTCCTCTGATTTTTGTCTTTTACGACCTCCAAGTTCATTCTGCTTGCCCTTGCGGTGGTGGTTTTGTGGCAAACACACTTGGCAAAGAGCACCTATTCTATAATCTCAATGCGATGCTTTGCTGCAATCCATGCTCCTACTGCCTCCTCGGAGCATAAAAAGCAAAACTGGTCGGTTCGCTGTGTTGTGATGGGTTTGAAGTTTGAAGATTGGACAAACGTGCACTTCCACGAACTAGAATAAGCCAGGAATGTGATTATGCAGTCGATTCGTTGTTAATCCTCTTATTTGCTCATATTTTGATATCGCTCACGTGAAAATTGCACCAGCGTCTTCTCGATTATTCTTACACGAGCTTATAGACATCTGGTTCGAAATGCATTACGAGGTCATTTGACATTGTTTGAAACGCCAGAACGCAACCAATTTCATCCTCAGCTACTTCATATGTTCTTCAACATTCGTAAGTAAACGTGAGTGTTCAGCAGTTTGAAGACAAGAAACAGCCTTGCAATTCTTGCAGCTGTCAGGTACATACTATCAGCCTCCAAATCCTCGCTAATCGTACTTACTGTCTCGCTTACATTCGCTTTACTTGTCTAGTCTCGTCCAAACCTGCCATTCTGTGATTTTTTGCGAAGTTTTACGAATTGAAAGCCATGACGGGTGGCTCCAACGAGTTCGCAAATGGACTGACACGAATAGCCATCGCTCAATTACTACGAGATATGGGCTTTGATCGTGCATCTACCGCAATCTGTGATGTCTTAGGAGACTTGTTTGCCCATCAATTAATACGACTCTCAAAGCTGTCCCAGTCTCTAGCCACCGAAACGGGGCGAAAACATACTTCTGCTATTGATGTAATCCAGGCATTGGATGTATTTGGTGGTCAGCAGGGCGATATACTGGCTCTACATCGATATGCTGAAATGTGGAAGGATTCATTTGGTGTCGTAGCATCTGTTGGTCCATCCAGTAGCAATAGGCCGAGCAACAGCAGTAATGTACATGCAAATTCTAATGGAGTCGGCAAGAATGGTCTCGTAAAGCCCAAAGTGAGAAAGAGGTTTCCTCGTACTGAACCAGCACCTTTTCCTCTCAGTGAGTGTTTTTAGTGGTGCGCATCTTTCTCTATTGGAGATCTGCTATTTAAATCGGCAGTTTGCATTGCTTTCGTCGCATGAACTATGAGACTGACTCGTTTCGTACCATAGGTATAGACGAGCTGAATGATATACGTCCTCCACCACGACCAAGAATATCACAAATAGATGATTTACCGCAGCTAGATCTGCCCATGCCCGATGAATCCGAAATAACTCAACCTGAATGGCATATAGCTCATACTCTTCATCCCCGACCATATCCGGAACACATACCTCAGCATCTACCACCATTCCCAGCCGATGAACGGCTCATATCCAGTCATTTATCACAGGCGCAAAAGCGTGGAAACACACAGCAGAATGGAGAAGATGATGGGGCAAACCATCATAAACGTAGACGAATAAGATCAGAATCTCCTGTAGATGATGGTGCTAAACGAGGCTCTATGCTCGATATATACATGAATGCAGTCCCATTCGCCAAATCACAATTGGCTAATGAAGGTGCAATATCAGAGTATGCCAAGATTGCTGCTCTGCCGCTTCCTCAACCGCCACGGACATTCAAGAGGAATGTTGTAGTGCCAGTTTCCACTCCTAGTGTAAATGAACGATATAAAATGGTGATGGAAAACTCTAAAAAAGCAGAAGCTGAAGAAGCCAATGCTGCTGGTGCAAGTAGCAGCAATAGTAATATAAATCCTCGGAATACGGAGATAATGGCAAAACGATTCGCACCACTACCTCAGCCACGACTCTTGTCTACATTCAGAGTCACCCAATTTGATGCAAATGCTACATCAGCTATAGCAACAGGAGGTGGTGCTTTCGCTGGTAGTACCTGGGTGTCTGGCTTACTGGTACCTGCGCTATCCAGAATACCGAAATACGTAGGTGGAGAACGCCTCGAACTCGGTTTCAATAGTAGCAACAATGGAGCAAATCCATCAACATCAGGAAATCCGCCAAACAACATGTCACCTGAAAAAGTAAAACCTATCAAACAACAACAGGCATCTTCATCATCATCACAATCCCATGCACCAATACGACAACAAAGCATAATAATGCCACCCACCAAACCAACCATGGACTCCATCATCCTCACACCACGACAACCCATACAGCAACAACCAGCACCGTTCATGCTCGCACATCAGCCAGCCGAAGAACGATACGACGAGACCGTAAACTGTATATGTGAACGACCCCATCGCGATGACGGATCACTCATGGTGTGCTGCGACAACTGTAATTTCTGGCTTCATGGACGTTGTATGGATGTCAAGTCAGATGCAGAGGCGCAGATGATTACGGAGAGTGGGAATGATGGGGTTGGAACGCCTGGACAGTGGTACGTTATCATAACATATTTGTTGAGGTTTTCAAATCCAAGTAGCGTGATGATGTCCTTTTTTAGGTTGTGTCCTAGGTGTCTGCAGATCCTTATTGATTCGCGTAAACCAAAGGCTATTCCGAAAGTAACTTTGAAAATGGTCAAGAATCAATCGTAATGATGATGGTGGTGTGTATGTGTGTGGGTTTTGTATAACATTGTATTTTGCTTTGTCATATACACACGTTGCACGTAATATCTATTTTTTTGCGCGTGAGAAGAAATGTTTAAAGATACAAGCTTGCAACGTACAATATGTTCCTCTATCGCCTTATGTTTTTTGCGTGTAAGAACAAATTTTTAACGATACGAGCGTGCAGCATATCAGTATACCTTTATAGCATCTGCATTATTGTGCATAAGAACAAGAATTTAAAGATACAAGCTTGCAGCAAACACTATATCTCGCTTGATGGATTTGCTTCCTACATTTCAAAGAAGATACGTAAGCTTTGAATTCCAAAAAAAGTGCAAAAATGGGTTATCTCATAGTAGGAGGATGGACCCACCTTCTTTAAACTTGGCACCAAGTGCCTCATTTCCCATCTCCTTCGCCGCATCAGCCAACTGTTCAATCAACTCATTCAGTCGTCGAATAACTCGGATGACATTACCCTCCCAGTTATCAGTCGCCTTCATGATATCCTTGAATGACGCTCCTTTCGACCATGCGTATACGGCGGCCATGAGTGATGGTGAGAAGGACTTTATGTAAGTTTCTTCGTCGAGTGGGATTTTGCATTCGTTAGAGACTCGAGCGATGCGACGGGCTGCGTCCTTTAGGACTCGTAGTGGGGGTTGGAGTTCGGGGAGGGTGCCGCCTTGACCTTCGTCGTCGGGCTGATGATGATGTGGTGGTGGTAAAGAAGTGTGAGAAATGCAAACCACTTCGGCAGAAAGTCTCACGTGAAATAAACCAATGTGATCAATCAACAAGTTCTCATACCTCTGCATCATTCACCATACAACTGAGCAGCGACACAATTTGAGCTACCTCCAAATCCATAAAGACATTATTAAACATGAGTTCAGTCAATACCAATTCATCTCCTGTCGTAATATCACAAGCTACTCGTCCCTTCATTTCAACCACATCAGCAGAAGTCAGATATCCTAAACGTCTCAGCACTCGTCTACGACGTTTGAGTTCATCCAGTTGTATAATCGACTGTGCATCATTGATGGATCTCTTTATGGCTTTTATCTTTTGCATGACTTTGAGTTTTGTAGCATACGATTCTAGAGATTCAGCTAGTTGAGCGTCTGAGGCAAGTGGGTGAGCAGCCAGTGATTTCTGTAGTGTGTCGATATCACGCTCAAGTTTGATAAAGCTCTCATCCTTGATGCCCATGTCATCAACAGGATGGAGTATGGGAATTGTCGAATTACGATACTTGCTTTCGACTTTACGGATGGTAGCTCCTAAAGCTGCTCGTCCTTCGTCACTCTTGACATCACCCAAAGTGGTTAACTTGATTTGGGAGATGCCATCTATACATGATAACAAGCACGGTATAACGACGAATTCACCCTTTTCTCCTTTTTGCGGTGGTTTTGGTTTACGATTATATGATTCGGTACCAGTTGCACATTCCAAGAGCACATCTACTATAAAAGTGGGACCGTCTGTCATGGCAGACAAATCACCACCTCGGATAGCTGGTACTCGTTTAGAGTAATTGATGACAATACCCCAACCGAAATCTACTTCTTCCTTCTCGGCAACAGCTTCGTCGCCAGTTTCCGTCTTGGTAGCTAGCGTCGTGGGTGAAGGTGTGGATGCTAATCGTATTCGTACGAGACGGCCGGAGTGGACAAAGGGCATTATATAAGTTTGATGGTCAATGACGGCTCGTTCATCCTTTTTCAATTCCTTTAGCTGGGTAGTGATATCATGATACCTAGCTACTTCAGCTTCATCCGGGATGACGAGATTATCACGACGTTGTTCCATTATACCTAAATCCTTTTCCAGCTCAGGTAACGACGCTTGACTTTGGAATTGCAAAAAACTGCGTTCCAATAAGAATTCAGGAGCAACACCTTCCACCCTAGTCAAATTGAGAATCATGGAATAGCCAAGATAAAAGGCCGAGTTCAGACGATCGGATTGTCCCTTCAGCATGTTCTTTGCAACATCAGGTGGCATCTTCTCATCTAGCATCAGAATGACAATACCACGATCATCGATACCACGACGACCAGCTCGACCAGACATTTGTATGTATTCACCACCTGATATATGTCGTCTTTCCATCCCATCCCATTTACGTGTTTCGGTAAAGACTACGGTTTTGGCTGGCATATTCAAACCAATCGAGAAGGTTTCCGTGGCAAACAAGACTTTTATCAACCCTTCTTGAAAGAGGATCTCAATCACTTCCTTCAAGATGGGCAAGAGACCTGAATGATGTATCCCTATGCCTCGTAATAATAATGGTTCTATATGTTCTATTGCGGGCAGAGTACGGTCTGTTTCTGAAAGACCCTGAACGGCACTTTGGAAGATGGTTCGGATGGCTTCCTTTTCGTCTTGGCTATTAAAATCGTGTTTACCCATTACAAGCGCGTTTCCTTCACACTCTCGCTTTCGGAAGCTGAATATAATACATGGTTGATAATTCTTCATCATGATCATTTTAATGAGTTTTTCAATGTCGGTAGGACCTAGATTTATGAGACTGGTTAGTTTGTGTGTCGTCGCAGAGATTTCACGGCGTCTGCTTTCATCATGCAGTATTTTGAGGAGTATCTTGGTCAGTTTTTGCCCTTGCCTTGAGTAGATATATCCTTCTTGCCCTTCTTGTTCATCTTCTTGCTCTTCTTTTCTTCGTCAGAAGTCAACGACGATATGGCTCGTTGAAAGACTTGTTCTTTGAATTCACCCTTCTCGTCTACTACTAGATGTATACCAGAGGATCCTTCTGGAAATATGTAATGTTGAAGTGGAGTAGGTCGATAGTCTGTATAGACAACATGACAAGGCTGTTTATGAATACGACAAATCCATTGAGCGAACTGCATAGCGTTTGGGATGGTGGCTGATAAGAAGACGAATCTAACTTGGTCAGGCAACATGATGATAGTTTCTTCCCAAACCACACCACGAGACTTGTCTCTCATATAATGGATTTCGTCAAAGATGACCCAAGATACTTCACGAGATATATCACTACCACGATATAACATGGATCTGAGAATCTCGGTGGTCATGACGATGCAACTAGCTGTTGGATTTATTGTAACATCACCAGTCATCAGACCTACATCTCCAAAAGCTTCAAGCAACTCTCTATACTTTTGGTTGGATAAGGCCTTGATGGGCGACGTGTATATGACTCGCGTCTTGTTGCGAAGCCCTTGTGCTATGGCATATTCAGCTACTACCGTTTTACCAGCCGATGTATGGGCGGACACTAGTACAGATTCGTTACGTTCTATGCTTTTTACGGACAGCTGTTGGAAGGGATCTAGTTGGAAGGGATATGTACGAGCGGGAGATGGGTCGTTGACGTGTTCGTGTAGTGGTATGTAGTTTGGCCAATCTGGAGGTAGAGCAACTTGATGCCTGACCTGCCCTGATATTTTCAGAGTTGCTTGTGGTTCATTTAAGCTGCTACTACTAGCTGCATTGGGTGTAGTTGCGTTTGGGACGGTAGCATCAGAGTCTCGTACAGTGTATTCCTTTGAGAATTCCTGCGCGAATTCATCAGCTACGAGAGGCACGGGTTGATTTGCCTCTAGAATTCGTATAGTTTTGACTGGAGCATCATCCTTTGCAGCCTTGTCGTTCCTCAGCTTTTTCGATGTTGGAGCTTCGTCGTTAGCAGCTCGTTTCTTTCCATTGGTGTTGGTGGTGGCAGGACCAGAAGCTCCATTGGAAGGCTTGGATGCTTTAGGGGCCGAGTCACCAAAGTTGGCAAACAAGTCGTCAATGTCCATCTTGTTTGATTTTGGATTCGACAAAGCAGCGAGCTTTATTACTATATCAGGGCCAGAAACACAGTAAGTGATCCTTTCAGATAATGGCTTGCAAACAAAATATCGAGATCTGGCTACCTCTTGCTTTGCGATCAACACTGTTCTTATTTAGTCAACTGTAAGTCCGAAAAAAAAAGTGCTGAAGAAGTTGTAGAACTGAGGTCGACTCAAAGAGTTGGAACACGTCTGGAAATGATACGAACTTATTTAAAATTTTGTCCATTGAATTCAGGAACGCTATCCTTGCGTTCTATTTCCAACAACACGACACTTTGGCATTATTATCTCTCATTGGGTAGATTCAGAAGCCGAACACCATGCCATAGCCCTCGATTTATGATAGAAAGGCTATTGACTATTTGGCTTCGGATGTCAAACGCTCGATGTTTCCTAGGTCTAGTAACTTACCAGTCCTACCGTGTAGTCTCATTTATTTCATTTATTATTTCCGTCTGCCGACGACCATTCCGGGACAGAAGCCACTATGATGAACGTCGACCGATGAAATGGAGGCACTCAGGTTGTTTACGGTTGATATACGGACGCTTGTCACACCAAAGGCGTGTTAAGTCGGGTGCTTGCTTTGTGGACAGCCAGCCAATCCTTCAGTTACGTTGCAAAGCGCTACACCCCTGCAACGAGGGAACTGAAGTGTATTCTACTGCTGATATTATTGCAGAAAATTATCAAGACACGGTGGTAAGCAACAGATGCATCCTCAGAGCCTAAATATCAATTGCGTGGGTTTGTACTTCAAGTTTTGAGCAGCGGAGCTGAAGCACTGTATTGGAAATTGCAGAAGGAGCTAGGCAGTGCAAACTGTTTCCGTGCAACAACGGTTACCGTTTTCATCGTTGCCTCGTCCTTTTTCAAGACTTTGAAGTGCCACTACACACGCTTACAATTCTGACCAACAGGCCTACTCTGTCATGTCTAGGACCACTATTAGCCACTTTCTGCCAATTCTGTTGGTCTTTTTGACTTGGATTCATGTGTCCGTCGCCCAAGAACTGCATCCCATTCTCTACGCTACTGCTACAGCCACGTTTTTGACATTACTTGCTGTCATCCTGTCTGGTATGAGGTCCTGTTTTGACCACTGACAAATCTGAAAACTTCTTATGACCGATCATCCCTCCACAACAGCTGGTAGAAACATTTTCATTACGGCGTTGCTGTTTTTATCAGTCATTTTGGTTGTTTGGCTTATCGACAATGAAGCAAGACGTAATGTTACTGCTAGATCCAAAGCTGAAGATGTTTTGAAGTTCGAACAGCTTGAGAACCAAAGACTTCGAAACAACTATCAGAGACTGGAGCATCAGGCTAACATATTACGACATGGGAATCAGAGGCATGATGGCGAGAATCAGCTACTTGAACAAGAGAATCAGAAACTTAGACAGGAAAACCAGGGCCTTAAGAACGAGAGACGAGGACTCCAACATCACATTCAGGTATTCGAAGAAGAGATACAAGTCATACGACAGCAGGTTGAGAGGCTTAAGCAATGTAATCAGGCACTGGAACAAGCAAATCCAGGACTTGAACAGGAGAATCAGAGAATTGATCAAGAGAGTCAGGCACTGGAGCATCGTAATCAAACAGTCCAGCAAGAATACCAGACTCTGCAACATCATCATCGTAGACTAGTAGAACAGAGTCATACTCTCACTCGGGAGGTACAGGAAGCTGAATATCGGATTTCTTTATTTCAAAAAAGTTACCAGGACCTCCAAAGACGTAACGGTGAACTGGGTGACGAGATTCAGAGAATCCGTCAAGAAAGTCGAGATTCGAATGGCAGCCTTTTGGAGGATAATCGTACACTGACCGACAGCTTAGGAAGCGAGCATCTCAACTCTCAGAGACTTGAGCACGAAATCACTGAAATTCGATCACAGAATATAGCAGGTCTTCTACGACGTCGGTTGATTGGAACCACGGTTACAGAGCTTCGTGGCCTCTTGGACGAAAAGCAGGCTCGACTGGTGGGTCTCAACCAAACGATTCTAGAGGAGAGAGACAAAGCATTACAAAGTCAGAGGGCAAATGAAGAACTCAGGACTGGGACTCAGGCGCTTGTAGACCAGATTGAATCTCTCCAGGAGAATTTGCGAGAAATATTACAAAGGCAATCTGTGAGAACTTCGTCTCCTGCTGCTGAGGTGTGCCTTGACTTTAAGTGGCGTCCCATGAATCTGTGATCTCAAATTTGTTCTTATTTAGGACGTCGCCCCTTACTCTCCATCAACAAATAATGGTTTCGTGACCCATTCTACTCCTCGCACTCCGTCTCCAGCACCGCGGCCCTCTATTGATATCACTCCGCCTGGCACTGATCGTCGTCGAAAACGGTCTATAACTATTGCAACACCAGCGGAAGGTGGAGAAGCAGGTTCTCCTACTAAAACTACCACAGGCATTTCTGCTCCACCTTTGAACCAAACTCTTGAAGATATTAGAGGCAAAGAAACAACTTTGGTAAGTTGCAGTAGATAGAATTCTACACTAGCGGAATGTTGATGACAGATCTTCCCATAGAATCTTCAAGGCTTGCCAACGAGCACTGCAGACAGTGAGGATGTACCCATCAGCCTCTATGAAGGCTTCCCAACACTTCAGTTAGGCATAAGTCCTTTGATTGTAGCGAATGAAATCTCTAGTACCCCACTTGATGTCAAAGATTTGGCCCGACCTTATGAAGACATTGGAAAAGACAAACAATCAGTTTCGGTAAGATGGGGTAAAACCATGCCCAAGCTATCTCAATATTGACAAAGGATCTGTAGGATGTTCCAAACTACCCAGTGGCCTTTGCATCTAGCGAGGACGTACCAACCACTCTGAATAATATACTTAGAAGCCAAGGCGAATCTGAGGAGGCATTTCTCTCGGTAAGACGGAGTGAACACATGCTCAAGCTATCACAATATTGACAAGGAGCTTGTGTAGAATCGAGTGGCCTCTGCATCTAGTGAGGACGTACCAACCACTCTGAATAATATACGTGCAAGCCAAGCCGAATCTGAAGAGGCAGCATTCTTGGTAAGACAGAGTGAACACATGCTCAAACTATCACAATATTGACAAGGAGATTACGTAGGATGGTCCTAGCGTGGCACTGGCGTCTGCATCTAGTGAGGATGTAACCACCAGTTTCAATGATTGTCAACCAGCATGTTCTAAAGCTATAAGCGCTGGTCCTTGCACTCAAACTTCTCTCGTTCCTACTTTGGTTGGGCATTTCGAAGATATCAGAAGGAGAAATCTAGTTTTGGTAAGACGAAGCGACCGTCAACCTTCCAGAGGTGCCGGGAACTAACCAAGGCTTTTGAAGAGTGATCAAAACCCATATCTTGCTATACCAGTGGCTAGGCTAGCGCCACGATCTGGGGTTGCCGTCATTGGAACTTTCAATATTGGAAGAATACACCAAATGCACCAGTATGTCCGTAGTACGAATCTCGCTCTGGGCATCTCCACGGCCGAGTATACTGATCTGGAGTACTCGGATGATGATGAATCTATTGCATCAATCGATTCAGGGACATCCTATGTTGGGCGTGGCCAACCAGAGGGTGAAGGTGTAGTTGGTTACCTTTTTCAAGGACACGACAGTACGCAACTATTCTTAGAGGCATGTTTCTAAGTCTTCCTTCTTGTGTTATCACCAGTTTTCTATTAACACATGCGCATGTGTAGGACCAAACGCAACCTTTGAGAAAACAAACACCCTTCAATCCACACCTCAGACGTATAGGCGGTGACGGTCGAACTTTCCACCTAGACGGAATCATAAGTTTGCCGATAGTGTACCCAATAGTAATGGTTCCCGCATACGAATAAGGGAGCAACATTGTTGGAAGGTGGCGGTAGTGAAAGTAGAGTGAGCTTGAAAACGAAATATCGAAATATTAAAAGAAATTTGTTGTGTTTGAGGCTGCCATTAATGAGATTTCGTGCGTCTCCATATCTGTATTTCACGATTCGGGTCTTTCGACCGTATCCGTCACCGAGATCACGAAGTTCAAGCGAGGTTCATCAATGCCCAATGCTATTAAAAGTAGCGTAGATTTCCAGTTCCCAAAAATTCAGATCAAACTCGCTTAAAAAGTGCGGAAATTCATTTATCAAGTGGAGGAGGAAAGATGGCCGAAATCAAGGAAGAGAACGACACAGTCGTTAGCAAGCCTGACCCTCCGAAAGATGAGCAGCCTGCTAGTAACTCAGCTCCCGAAGGAAAGGGCCAGGAAGCTCCATCGACCCGACCAAGTGATAATAGCAGTCCAGCTCCTACACATGCAGATACCACCACACCAAATACATCAGATACGGAATCTGCTGCGTCGAATGCATCGGAACCTGCCTCTCCTGTACCTACGGATGATGTGGTAAAACCACACAAACCACTTCCATTTGAACGTCTTACTCCTGAAAGGCGACAGGCTATACGGGACGAACTCCTTAAACGACAACGAGAAGCTGCTCGGGCTGCTAATACTACTGCAAGCACTACTACCGTAAACACACCCTCTAGTAGGCCTGTATCTGCTGGCACCAACGCTTCACAAATACAAGTGACATCATCACCAAACCAAAGTAATGTAGCTTCATCGCAGGTCCCGAATGCATCTTCATCTGTAAATGCTGGAACTGGAGTTGTAAACGAGACAAAGTTAAGGGAAGACATGGTCCAGTCAGCAATGAAGTTCTTGACTTCACCATCTGTAAAGGGTTCTCCATTGTCTAGGCAAATGGAGTTCCTGAAGAAAAAGGGTCTTACTAGTGAGGAAATATCAGTTGCCATGAAACGGTCTGGTGTAGAAGGATCTGCTGATGTATCAGGAATTCCAAACACAACGCTTCGTGTGCAAAGTGCTCCTGCGCCATCGCAGAGTGCTCCGGTGCAAAACAGTACACCAATACAACAATCTATGCAGCCACAGCAGCACATACAGCAGCCTCCTGTAGCATATCCCAACCAGCCATATCCGATGCAACAACAGCAACCATATTACCCACCACAACCCTACTATCCAGGGCAACCACCGTATGTGCCAGCTAGACCTCCACAACAAACGGCTACGGATACTGTAATAAATATGTTCAAGGGTCCGGAAGGTTGGAAGAATGCAGTGTTGGCCGTGTTGCTTGGAGGAGGAGTGTTCACCGCTGTCCTCGTCGCTGTCAAGGTAAGCCTATACTTCTATAATATTACTGCCTGCGCATGGTATTTCGCTGGATTTATTCTTATTCTCTGCCTGTTGTTAGAATTACTTTTCATCGAGTTTGGCTGCCTTCCAAGTTACATATGGAAAATACCTCGATCATAGACAGCAGCAAGTGTACAATTATCTGAAACGTGTAACTGGATTACTCGAGGTCTTTAGTTTGCCTCCTCCAGCAACTCCCGATACCACTACTACAACAGCAAAATCAACGACGCCAGCAGAAGATGGTAAAGAAGAAGTGGCTACAGAGGAAGCACCTATACCTGCATCTGCAACTGCAGTAGTTACACGGCCTACTCTTCCGTCTGTATTGAAATCATCTATAGCTACCCTGGACGATAGAATTGTCCAATTGGCTGCTACCGCTGAAGTCTACAAGTCAAAGCTAGCCTCACAATATCAACCTCCATTGGCTGACTCTACAGTGGGTGAAGAGTCGATAACACATTCACCACTCAAACAATTGAAAAAGCTGGCCATGGAAACCAACCAGCTAGTGACTCAGGAAACATATATAAACACTTCATATTCATATTACTCAACGTATGGTGCCGGTACGCCGGATGCTAGTACTGCCCAAGGAGCACTGGTAGCCAAAATCAATGATGTGAAGGCAGATATTCGATCTTTGAAAGGAATGCTGTTGAACAGAAGGAATTTTCCGATGCCGTCATCTGCTGTCAGGTACAGTGAATATGCATTTCTTTGTGTTAGAATTGCCGAACTCCGCCTGAACACGATTTATTTGTAGGCCTACGTATACTACAACTCCCATTGTAAACTCCACAGTCTCCATCAACACTGGAGCATCTGCCGCAGTAGCACCAGTAGCTAATGGTCAAGTTAATGGAACTACAGAATACTCTGGTTACATGGGAATGAATGGTATCAACGGTTCATCATCACTTCCTGGTGAAGAAGTCACCGGTGCATGAAAATAGTCAGTTGTACTCGTCTATTGTTTCCAACACGTTGTTTGCATGCATTCGGGTGTTTATTGGTATAAGGAGCTGTTTATCATGTTTACAAGCTTAATCATCATAGAGTGAGCCAAACGCGCGTTAGCTCTAATCGATTTTCTGTGACGAATTGTTAAGCTTTTCTTTGTCCCATACAGTCCCTTCCTTCGAACTCAGAGCGATTCAATTCGGCAAGGACAGTAAAAGAGAGAGGGGGATGAGCTCCGAAAGCGGATCACTAATCCTAGAGCAGCCTGCTCTGCGACATGTCGCTCCTGTCATTACGAGAGCTCGAGTAGACGAGCTGGAACCGTTAACACCAACAACAACTGTCGTTCTACCTCCTACAGTAGATATTGGTACGTATGCAAGAAGGAAAGATCATTTCAATTGTGCTATCGTATAGTATTAATTTGCCGAGACTGGTTGTGAATCGCTCGAATCGTTCGAAAACCATGTGTTATCAAACCAAGCTTACACATTCACTTTCGCATAGGTCCTCCACCGAACCTGATCCTCCCACAATACCCAGAAGACCGAGGCTTCCGCAAGGAAGTCGTCGCCGTCTTAAAAGACTCCTTCGTCCAATGTTTCCAATGCTTCAACATCTGCAACAGACCCAACATAATACGCACAGAAACAATCGCAACTGAAATGGTATACGAAAACGGATACACGATCAGGACGCTACAACTATCGGCTATACCCGGTCCAACGCTGCCCGACAACGGTGACTCTTTGTCACGGCCGTCGATAGGAACAGTGCATTTTGATTCGCCACCGCAGTATGGCCAGGCGTCGCAGGAGGAATGGGAGGCTCAGATGAATAGAACTATAGGTATACCTGCTACGGACGCTGATGACTTTACGTCGCAGGACCATGATGACGATGAAGGCGATGGATTGCTGAATAAGGCTGCTCCGATTGCTGATGATACGGTTGTTGCAGTGTCTGCTCGTGACCAGATGGATTATAGGAGGAATAGTAAGAAGGAGGCGAGTAGTAAAAAGGAAGCGGTGCCGTAACACGCTTGGAGGAAGTTTAGAGTCGGCCAAGCGGGACCATAGTAAGAGACTCACTTTTTAGCTTGTTGTACCCCTGTGTCAACCCTGCAATATGTAATGTCGTGTATATAGACTGTATCTGATACCTTGACGGATGGTTTGGTGAGCGAAGGCTTAGAGGGTGTGTGGTCTGGCTTGTTGTGTCGACGGTTACTGCTCTTATTGAATGTTGTATTTCGAACTGGGGAGACGCGACTTCGATGTAAATCATGTGGAAATCATTGCTGTCGCTTATATGAGCTTCAGGGTTCACTGTGTGGTGAGTATTTCTGCAATAACACTCGGTTTTTTTGCCCTTGTCTTGCACAGCTATGAAGTGATTTCAGGAGCTGCACTGAGGCTCGCATTCATCTTCAAGCACAAGGATTTAAGACAAGTCAATACTCCTAACGACACCAAACTCCAGTAACCCAAGCTTGCAAGTATCTGTCATGCAGTGACAAGGATGCTGATGCTGGTGTATGTCTCCTTTTGGCTGGGTAACTGTGTGTGTTCAAACACATTCAAAACATAAACAAGGTATATCTTGCTCCTATTTATGTAGGTGTCGACTTCAATTGCTCTTGTACGAAACTTGGGAAATAGAATTTCATCCACGCATTTCGTAATTTAGTGTCTGTTGATATGGCGACGATGGATGATAGAGGTACTGATATCATTGCAAAGCAAAGGATTACTGCATAAAGCCAGTCGGCCACTAAAATTATGAAGAGAGAATGTGAGTTTGTTGAAAACACCTGTTGGTGGTGTGTTTGCTGGTGTCTCGAGCTTTAGGAAAAGACCAAACCTGGATTGCCTTGTATTATTTCAAGGATGCACCAGCACAACAATAGTAAATTGCCCCACAATTCCAATTATGAACTGAGCAATAATGATGATCAAAGCACAATATTGTACCACCCTATCATGATGGCTAAATGTATCATTTTGAGGGCCAGAACCAGGTGGCTTCGTGCTAGATCAACATCATGCTGAAACTTCGTGCCAAATTACCGAGATCAGTCTCGGTAGTTCAGCGTTTTGGAGATTGCGTCTACAGGAGAGCCTTTCAAGAGCTAGAAACCTGCCTATGGCACTGCGAGGTTAGTATGCATGTGCTACTTGTCTTAGCTAGAATGTCGTTTGGTAGCCAATAGTCCAGAGGTCTTGCAAAAGCTCGATATACATACTCACAGAAGGCCGTCTAATGTCGAGAATCGATGTCCTCGTGGCTTTTATGTACGTAAATGAGTTGGTCCGGCTGGGTCACATTCTACAGCGCTGTAAGCGTTCAAGTTCATTTTTGAAGCTTTGTGATTCAATGAACCATATTGGAGTAGAATTACACTAAGTGTCCGTATACGAGCGACCAGAGTGTGAATCTGTAACATTTTTCAAGAACTTGTTCCATTAACCATTGAAAGCCCCTAGTACAGGCAACGAGTTTGTAAAGGTTGAGGCACGACAGTATACGACAAGTCGTTCCAAAGCGCAAACACAATCTTTCGATGAATCTCCATGCGATCCCATTGACACCAAGTTTTGCGTCCATTAAATGCATCTCGTAATCCACGTCTATTATACCACCCAATGTATTCACATAATAAATCTGCCACTTCGACGTAAAGGTGTGACGTATCACAACAGTCCACGCTGTCTCAACACATCTTCAGCCATAATCCATGTTTGAACTGATGGAAGCCGTAGCTGGCCCTTCAATATAGCCTTTTTCAGATCGGCTGGAGATACATTGTTTCTCATTTCAATCAGTTCTGTAATGAGATTTGATGATTTAGTATCCAGTTTGGATGTTCGAGGCGAATAGAGAAGGCTTTTTTGGTCACCTTCAGCGTCTTTTGCTCTTGGAGTCTCATCTGCGACAGGATCTATAACCAGAAACGGTACGAATCTATTTCTGCCCCATTTCAACTAATAAGGGAATAAAGTTAGAGCAAATTCATGAGGTCGTATCAAGTTGCGTTTGATTAAGGCTTTTTTGTTACCTCAGCAATACCATTCACATTATCACTCAGTTGTATCCATTCACCACCAGCGAGACCAGCTTCCTCTATTGAGACGACATCATTGGCAAACGGAATTAGTTGTGTGGCCAAGTCTTCAAATCAAACTGTTGACCCTTTGAACAAACCTGATAGTTCATGCTTCGCGGCTTCAAGCATATCTTTATGCTTTTTAGGTTCGAATGCTCCAGATGAGAATGTATAATTCATGTCATTGGTACCCTGTTTAAAGAATAACAAAATGTGGTTGGTCGTTTGTGGCGAGCAAGAAACTGGATTTGTACAGACTGTCTGAACTATTTCAAACACCAAGAATCGATCTACGAATGTACCTGAGAGTATTCAATGACCAGTTCAGTGGTCTAAATGGGAAGTGCGACGAGGTTTGAATGTGAGCCAAACATGTCGTCGAGTTTCACGTCACCAAAGCGCCAGACCTAGATATTTGGACCATCAATCAGCAGGTACTCACAGTCAGAGACGATCTGATCATACACTCAGACCTTCAATTTGGTATTCCAAGTCATGCACACACAAAAAGCCGGATTGTTGAGATTATGACCTACGACGTCCCAATCCACTATCGAGCCATCTACGAGATCGCAAATCGTTACAAATGTGGTTGATCTGCATCAATTCGCTAAGAAAGCTTGCCAGGATACTGCACTTTGCGATGCCAAACAGACAAAAACCTGAAAACACGAAATTTCGTGAGCTTGAGTCCGTTTTCTATACGGGAAGCTGATGCAATGTACCTTTTATAGCCAACCTTCTCTTCTACGATGGGCAGGCCCTCTCCGGATTCCAACAGGTCTCGTAAAGGCGTCGTCGCCATCGCAGAAGTTTCGTTTTTTTGGATGAACGATGAACGAAGACCGACCTAGTACAACTACTTGATTCCCACGCTACCCTTTTTTCAGTTTGTTTCTTCTAGAGTACAAACAAAGCAATTGTAGAAAGTTAAATATATGTATGGGAATTGTTGAATTGTTCGTGCTGCAGATTGCATTCCTGGAATATGTTACTTGGATTTCGCCCTCTCCTCCGTCCTCAAAGGTGATGAGTCTTTCAGAAAACTAAAGCTTTTAGCTCTCCTAGCGCCAAATGTCTTCGATGTTTGCTTCAAAATCATCAACAGTTCGCTCTAGATCTAGTGGACGATAGACCAGCTAACTCTCTACACTTTGTGATGATGGACAAGAACTAGAGCCATTTGAGCTAGACGCACTCCACAAAAGCTACGCGTTACAACTACTCGATTCCTTGTTTCTCTTGTAAGTACAAATAAAGCAATCGCAGTCATGCAAATAGACCTCCCCAGTTCTAATCGTCAAGATACAAAAGACCTTCATCGCCATCGTCCATCGCGCCCTCGAAAGCGCTAACTGGCTGGTATCCTCTTCCGCGTGTCAGCCTTGCTCGAACCCAATCGAATCCGGCTCGGGCGGCATCCCATGTCCAGTAAGCACCATCTAGAGCGCCCAGAGCAACATATCGCACTGCAAGACCCGTCCTTTCGGCCCAGTGCTGCGAAGATCGTGCTGTTGATGCTGCGAAATCGTCGGGTAGCCTAGGTTGAAAATAGAGAAGGAGTTAAGATTAATATCATTAAGAATATTTAGTATAGCACGGACGGGAACATATCAAACATTTCGGGCGTGTTGTGATGACGCAATACGTTTTTAATGCGCGCTGAAACGACACGAACATACCTGATAGCACCACCAGTGAATCCATACTTTCTATAATACCAAACTCCACCACCAACAGTACCAGCAATAGTCAGACTGAGCAGCAGATACCCAATAACAGCTCCAGCCGTAGCTCCAGCAGTACCACACCAAATCTTTTCACCAGTAGCGAGATCTACACCACCAGTACAAGTGGTCTTGGCTCGTCTCCTGTATCCAGTAGACACATATTTGTATCCGTCACTTTCACAAGTCGAGACTGGTATGACTCCACCAGGTACCAAGGTGCATGAGCCTTTCGAGTCTCTTACATAGTTGAAGTCGCACTCGAAATCTGATTCTGTACATATACAGTTGGTGGATACGAGTGGTACCGATAGATATGCTTCACCAATGTTGCAAGGACGGCTTGGTTTCCTTCTATAATAATCAACCTAAACCCAAATGACAGTTTGGTCAATTGATACATGAAGTGAAAGTAAGAAATGCTAAAAAACAGAAAGGTCATGGAACATACCTTGTGACCAAAGATGCAGCTCTCATTTTGACCTGGTGGTCCAGGACTCCAAACCTCGAAATCACTAGCTTCAGGATTCGAGGTATCCAGCTTACACATTCTCCCATCATGTGCACCAGAAAAGTCTAGATGCACCGCAACGGTCTTGGATGCTCCAAAATTGAGACTACCATCTGCTCGACGACCAAATAATATAAAATGTGCAGTGGTTCCTGCAGGTTCAGTAATAACATGTGTGATTCGAAGTTTACTACCATCATCCGTTATCTTCAAGTCTTGGAAGGTCAGGCCTTCATCGAGGGAATATTTAATTATATCGGTGGGTGCTTCATCGTTAACCAGCACCATTATACCACCATGATCACCAAACTCCCACATATGAGCATCTTTTGTAACTTCACGCCATGTTCGTCCACCATCTCGAGTCAAGAAGGTGTTACCATCTGTATACTTGTTTAAATACTTTCCGACATTACCAACACCTGCCATCAGACCAATAGCAGATGAGGCAGAGAATTGGTCTCGAGAATCCCGTCGTTCTGTATACGAATGGAGGGATAAGGAGCATGACGATGATTTGCAATCATAAGCGTTTCCTTGCGAATCAGTACTAGGGGGTATCAAGTCCACCCAAGTGCTTCCATCGTCAAAAGTGATTTGAGTCTGGACCTTCTTTGCATCACCAATAGATACATCGGTAGGATTCGTCACAGTATTTACCATGGCGATACCTTCAACTCCTTGCATCTTTTCAAAGTCGACATATCCTTTGGAATTTCGATTTGTGTACTTGACAATATTGGAATACATGGTTCCATTATAATTAGATTTAAAGAGGCTGCCAAATTCACCTTCTACGGAATTCGACATGTATACGTCAATAAAGATGGAACCTGTTGTCGATTGCAAGATGGTATATCCTAAATCAGGCATTTGAAAGGACGGAGGGAACATGGTAAGAGCCCAGTCATTCCCATCCATTGTGACATACAGCAGTAGCTCTCGAGTATCCTCGTGTAATACTGCAGCCACCATAAACTCTTCGAAAATAGCAAATCCTGCAGTATTCCTAAATCGAGACTCCCACGATCTACCACCATCTTTGGCCCTTGATAACGTCAAGGTATGAGTTCGAGGATTCATACGTCGTTGATTGCCTTCTTTAGCGGTATATGCTTGACAATATATCGTTTCTTTGGTAGGTGATTTGAAGACTTTGTGCCTTCCCCAGTCGCAATTATTGACATATGTTTCGATTTTGCTCCATGAATCTCCTTGATTCCATGTAACGTATGCTACAGTATGACACTTTGACGAGTAATCTAAACTAGCACAGTCTTCTGATCCGACCCAAATCCACCAGTTAGGTTCATCAGGATGCGTTCTTAGAAGAGGCACACCGAGTTCATTAGCTTCAGTAGGGACATTGAAGCTAGAAAATGTGGTTCCTTTATCTTTGGTATAATATTGCTTCTTTCCGGCAGTAAGAAAGAAGGCCTAGGTGATGTGATAACGTGTGAGCTTTCGTCCACAGCCCCCTCTAAGTACATCTTTTTTCTTTCTCAATTTCTGTAATTAATGGAGCTAGACTCACCCTGCTGTCTCGATACGTATCTAACAGCATGGAGGAGAACCGAGTGACATCCGTCATTACATGTTCCCATGATTTGCCTTGATCAGGAGATTTCCAAACAACTCCAGCATAGTCACGTATGAGGACGGTTTTAGATTGATTAAAGTACATGTAGTCAGCCATTTCATCATCAAATGTAAACTAGCCAATAGGATGAAGTCAGCGAACTTTTTTTTGGGTTCAACTCGTCTCATAATAAGAAACTCACTGTGGTAATCACAACATCAACACCACCACCTGGAGTTTTGACGGCATCACCACATGGTCGATCTACTTTGGTCTTTTCTAGATCGACGCCACCTTGGCATTTAGACAGACCAATCTTTCTAAATCCAGATGGTGCTGAATATGACGTTCCGGCCTTGCAGTCTTTGGGCTGGTTGAAATCAGCTCCATTGACTTTACATTTAGCAACTCCATCAACTACTTCTCGGTAATATCCAGCATCACTAGATAAGTAAGGAGGTCAGTATTCCAGCTTCTTAGCATCACCATGTAAAGAACCAGAATTTTTTTGCTCGCAATCTTGAAACATACCATTCAAAGTCCTTCTCTGTGCAAGCACAAGTTTTGATGGTTCTCTTCAAATCTGTGAATTCTTTACCAACAAAACATTTACTGTCGGCTTTTCTTCTAGTATATTCAACCTCGGCACCCAAGAAGCAACGATCAGCTCCAGCAGTATCATGAGGAGACCATTTTTCAAAGTCAGAGTCGGTACATTGTTTAGGAAGCACATTGGTAAAGTCGAGCTGGAAGAGGGAAGTGTCACCATCTTTACTGATTCCGACAATTATAAATTTAAGAGACGTGGCTGATGGTTCTGTAGTGATTGTTTGTAATCGAATGGGCTTATCGGTAAACTTGTATTCGCTCCATGTTGTACCGAAATCGTAAGTGTATGCGAGAGTATCAGTTGGTCCTTCATCGTTCACCATTACAATCATAGCGCCGTGATCACCAATGGCCCATCTATGAGCATCACGTCGAATTTCAGTCCAACTACGTCCAGCTTCACGACTGATATAGACGTTTCCAGACTTGTAGTCCATTAACCTGGATCCTACATTACCAACACCCAAAACTACTCCTGGTATAGACTCAGCAGAGTGTATGGTTCCTGTAGCAGATTCACTATCTCGAATAGATGCGTGCGAGTGCAAATGGAGATAGCATCCATCATCAGCATCACATTTGATGGGATTGCCATTCGCATCCTTGGTTGGCATTTTGAGTCCAGCCCAAGTTGCTCCGTCATCAAAGGACATTCGTGAAGCGATTCGTTTACGACTACCAGAAGTGACATCTTCAGGGTTGGCCACTATGTTTGTTAATACGATACCAGGAATGGCCTGTAGCTTTTCGAAATCGACAATACCCGCTTCGTTTCTATTGGTTCGGTCGAGAAGCTTGGAGTAAAATGTTCCATTGGCATTAGAGCGATACAGACTGCCATATTCACGGTGATAATCAGAGGAGATGGAAACGTCCAAAAATATACTATCTGTCGTGGATTCCAAAATTGTGAAAGCCTAGGTATAGAAGTGTGTCAAACGATGTAAAATTTCAACTGTTCAAATTAACGAAATCGTCTACATTGTGTTTCACGTTGACATTGGGAGGGAATTTAGTATCAGCAAAATTGATCCCATCAACCGATACCATCAACTTGATTCCAGTCATGTCGCCCTAAAGATTAAAAATGTCAGTAAAGATATGACAATACAGATTTAAGTACAAAAAGCTGGAGTACCTACCACAGCTACGACTAGAATGCCGTCTACTACGTAATAATCGACAACATTTTTATCTATGAGCACTTTTTTGGTGCCATCAGCGTAAATCATGACCATCTGCAATACGTTATCGCCAAAGCCCAATCCTAGAGCATCTTGGCCGACAACACCATTCTTATTCTTCCAGCTAGCACAATACACAGCATCCTTCGGAATCGTAGTGCCAGCAAATCCAAAGTCTCTCGACCAGACACATTTTTGTGCCCAAGTCTCTATTGGCTTCCACTCGCGATAATCCTTTGAGGTAAAGACCTCAGTAAAGCATTTGGAGCCAGGACAGTCTCGTCCACCGCCAACGAATACCAACCAGTCACTTTCTTCGGGGTGGAAATCGAGAAGAGGTACTCGAAGTCCATTGGGAAGGGCAGGCAGTGTCATAGCTTTCACACTATTCATACGGTCTGTAGTATAGAATCCTTCATCCTTCTCGTTAAAGAAGTAGGCACGAGTGATTGAGCTGTCGTGCATTCCAAACATGACGATTCTGCCATTATCTTGCAGAACACGTTCCCATTTGCCACCTTCATCAGAGGACTTGTACATTTTGCCAGACATTGTTCTGGCTAGAACTGTGGTTGATTCCTTAAAGTATGTGACTCTATCTACGTCCTCGTTCAATGATGAGGTTGTATGTTCGACGGGTCCCGCAGATATCCGTATCTGTAGCAAAGAAGCAAGGAGATCAGATCCTGAATCAAGCAGAGAACGACAATGGATCATTCCAATTCATGCGATATGAGTTACCTTGTCATTGTCTTGATCGTTAGCTTTGACTGCGATGAGCATCCAGTATGCCCAGCACATCCAATAAAGGAGCTTAAAAGAAGCCATTCTGGTGCCAGCAGTCCTACTACATGAATAAGAATCGATCAAATCACTGTTTTCTTGGGAGCTTACAAGTCAAATCGACAATTACCGCGACAATCAACAATCTTGAGGCTTTTGAAGTGATTGGATTGCGTCCTGCGGTGAATGATGTTGAAAACAGGCAGTAGATAGACTGCAGCGACTGGCAAAGGTTCTTGTATATTAATCTTGTGCTGTCCGATGTTGGTTAAATCGTCTTGAAGATTTGACGCAGAGCCTCAGACCGTTGTCCGTCGTTTACATATACAGAGACGCGTTACAAAGTTCGGGAAATCTGATATTGATCACTTTCTCAAATCGCACATTGTTTTGGACGTGTTGACACTTTATGCGTTCAGCTGTACAAATCATAAACGAAAGACAGCGTGATAGTGTTCTTCTTGTTATATTCGGCTTGTAGAAGGTACGCAGCGCTCAGAAGCCTCAATTTACTTCCATTTTACGTTGTTTACATCGGTCAGTTTGGTTGCAATCAACTGCACAATTTGAACATTTGAACATCATGGTCAGCTTTCTTGTCTTAACCCTGCTTTAACTAACCGTATTATATTCACGTTAATTATTAGATGTCTGAATATCGATTGTCACCATTACAAGATGCCATAGCCGGTGCACTTTCATCGCTATCTGCAAATGCAACATCATACCCCCTAGATTTGATCAAAACGAGAATGCAGGTGCAGAGCAAGGTCCTCTCACTCAAAGGAGACGAGGTGTACCATTCGCAATTGGATGCTTTTACAAAGATCATTCAGTCTGAGGGCATACTTGGACTGTATTCCGGATTTACTTCGGACATGATGTCGACCCTAACCAGCTCATTTGCCTTCTTCTATTGCTACTCTGTGGTTCGAGGCTCCTACCACGTAAGAGGTTATGAATGTGTTACTGGTACAGCTACTCATTCGCTGTCTTTATTTAGCGTTTCGCACCTGGTGAACTATCCACTGCATCCGAACTCGCAATAGGAGCTATAGCAGGTGCTCTAAGCAGATCGTTCTCTAGCCCCGTAACCGTTATCACAACTCGTCAGCAAACCAGCACAATCAAACCATCTCCAACATTCCTTGCAATGTTGCAGGATATCATCACCCACGGCGGCATCACTGGATTATGGAGAGGTCTCCCAGCTTCTCTCGTATTGACTGTAAACCCATCGATAACATATGGGCTCATGTCTAGGCTACGAAGCGTCTATGCCGAAAAGTATCCCAACCATAAAATGTCGACACTCCAGGTCTTTATCCTAGGTGCCTTTACCAAGGCTGTAGCAACCATAGTAACATACCCACTTATTATATCAAAGATACGATTGCAGTGGAAGCCGGCTCCTCTGCCTGCAAATGCTACCGCAGAAGATAAAGCGATGCACGAAAAGCTGAGATACAAAAATACGTTTGATGTATTAAGAAAGATCTGGGAAGCGGAGGGGATCTTGGGATGGTATAAGGGGCTTGATTCTCAATTGTGGAAGTCAGTCCTTACACAAGCGCTTCTATTTGCAAGCAAGGATTACTTTGAGAGATACACCTTGGCAATATTTGCTGCTTTGAGTCAGCAAACTGCTGCTAAACGGCAGAAATTGTCAACCTGAGCTTGTTTTAATACTAGTATTATTGAATAGTTTGTACACGAGATTATTAGCTAAAATACGAAAATCATTTAACGTTTGAATCTTCTGATTCAACTATGCGAGTTTAATCTTCACTGAATTTGAATCTCTGGTCCTCTCACAAACCTCCGGCCCTCGATCACAATTTCATTTTCTAGTGCGTGTTTACTCAACACTCCCTTCGTTCTCTGCACCAACTCAAACCTCCTGAACGCCGTAAATGTTAGCCCTTCTTGATCACCCGGCGCCATTATCCGAATCCCATAGTTCACCATCTCATAATGCCAAGCTTCAGTCGACGCAGCCTTATCCTCAGTCCAATACATTAGAATCTGCTCATCACGGATCCAGCACTTCATATCCTGTTGAAAGACTATAAACCCCATTGACTCGTCCCTCCTATCCAGGTTCATACCGTAGTATGTTCCGTGGAGAGACAGGGACTGTGTGAATGGCAATACGCGGAGGAGAGCCATGTCTGTGAGCGTCTCGAACGAGTGTTTTGGGATGATGATTTCATCATCGTCGACTACTTGGGCTGTTATGTTGTCTCGTGCTTCCCATGTTAGTTCGAGTAGGTCGGAGGTTGCCTCGTAGTGGTAAAAGCCTCGTGCTTCGACACCGGCAATGTGGTCGTCTGGGTTGAAGTAGTTGAGTCCTATTGGGTAACGATACAAAGGTGTTAAGTATCCAGACAAATGGCGGATGGCTACTTTTGCACATGACATGACTGTAGACTGTGGATGTTGAAACGTTTTGAAGGTACGATATCACTCACCTCCCATAGAAGGAAGCCCCAGCGATGCTCTTTTATCGTGAGTCAGCACCAAGTATACTTCTACCCAACGACTAGTCCGTCTACTCATAGAACTACCAGTATAAAGCCCTTCCAGCGAGTCCGCACGATCACCCATAGCACCAAAGAGATTCCGAATTGGCTGAATATGCATCCTAGACGTGAGTTCAGACAGTGATCCTTCCCACTGCGGCAGCGACAGCCCATCATCCAACGACATCGGCTTAACTCTCTTCACGACAGTGCCCTTTGATCCAGCTCCAGAGCGAATTACATTATCTTCCGGTATCACGATACTAGAATTCATCAGTCCCGCCATCATTTCGGATTGGAAGGCTGATGTTGTAGCAGCAAAGTAGACTATTATGATGACAGAGGTCGCATCTTGCATCATGACCCCGACGATGCGATGCTGGATACGTCCGTTTGATTTCAGTACGAATTTTTGCTCCCAGCCGACGCGGTCGGCTTGAGCTGTCGCAGGTACTGATGATTTACCAACGTTTTCGAGACCATGGTTTGCTTTTCTACATATTTCAGAGAGATACATGACTGGACTCCATTCAATCGGGATTTTGCGAGGTGGCAGGAATATGAGACAGGAGGTTGGATACCCGTTCGTATGATTCGGAGTCGATACAGCAAGTTTCAGTGGATTATTTTTGATTGGAAGATCATTGACAATAAAAGGAGGTGGCAGAAGGTATAAATAGCGGCCAGAGATTATAGATGAATCAGTTGTTGGTATCAGAGAATGTCCGGTTATATATCCTATGAGGTCGTTTATAGCCTGTGCGTCAGCAGCTACGTGCACATATGCTTCCTGTATGGAAATCGCGAGCGACGGTGTCTCCTGTGGTATTACAATAGGCTCTTCTGGTTCGGGTGATTCCCGTTGAGGAATCACCTTATTCACTTTCGTTGCTGGAGCGATTTCTTTGTTTGTTTTCGTATTTGTTTCGAGCTGTCTCGGCTGAGGCGTATTCAAAGTCTAATAATCGAGGAATGTTAGCTCTCTGTGTGTTTGCACGCCACGTCACTTGGTTGCTACCTGTAAAGTCATTCCCCTTAATAAATCCCTCAACACTGACAAGCTCTTTGAGAACTCGATTACCGAGTCACATAGCAGCATCAACAGAATTGCAAATGGTTGGGCTTTAGGTTTCACAGTCACAAAAGCTCGATACGACGCACCCCCCTTCACCTTCACACCTTGTGCCAAACAATCTACTATACACCCACCCACCGAATCATCTCCAATATCATCAGGCTTCATCGACGTCAGCTGTAACAGATTCAGATTCACTAGATGCGCCAATTCGGTCGTCACTGCTTGTGCTGACGACTCGACAGCCAATGGACCATGAAATACAACCACGGACGTGGTTTTCAATGGATTTATCAATACTGGAATTCCTTTTGGTGAGCTGTGAGTGGGCATTGAGAAGGCTGGCCAAGGTTGATGCCCTGGAATGTTGAATCCTCCATAAGTAACGGGTAGAGGTAGACCAGAAAGTGATTTTAAGCCTGTTCGTGCTGTATCTGCCGTGATGATGAAGTCATTCACGATGTCTTCTAGGGCAAGAGCTACCATCGTGATCAACTTTTTTTCATTTGAGGTTTAGGACTTTCAAGCCTGTTAACCGTGCAAGGTTGTTAATTCACGATATGGAGCTGGAAATTGCCAATGAACAGCTTCCGGGAAAGGCTTTACCTCCTCTTCCTACTAGGTCGAGTCACTTACTAAAGCTTGAATGCGAAGTACCCACAGTTTTCGTTCAAAGCCGACAATAAAATAGCGATGAGTGCAACATGAGCGACGTTTTTCTAATGATTTATATTTCATGTGCAACGAAAAATATGCAAATTTCAATGGTTACAAAGCTTTTAACGCCTTAACCTGCGTTCCAATACTTCAGAATACAAGTTGGCCAATGAGCTCCAGAAGCGAACAGCCCATTCTTCTTGGTTTTCGCGTGGAAATGATATGAAATGCCTGCAGCATTCATCCAATGCTTCAGCCAAGTTTACAAGTGTCCCTAGATGTTGTTTTCTATATGCCCGTTGGTTTGTATTGGGCTTCCTGCCATACCCATCCACTATATAACGTATATACCTCCTTAACTGGTCTTGCCAAGTCTTTGGATGATTCAGCATGATATCAAGCATTGCCAGGACCCAGGTTCCAACATAACCCTTTTCTTGAGCTATGTGTATCTCATGGGGTTGACATGTAGCAAAGTTTGGTACATGGCAGGCCTTCTGGGTACGACGACGATAATTTATACCACGGTGCGTTGGAAGAGCGGGAATAAATGCTACGGTGACGTTCAAATATGATATGATATCCATGTCGTTCAAGTCCTCGTAATCTTCATCATCCGAGGACCATACATCTCGAGTTGGCACGTTTACCTTTACGAGGAGAGAGCGAGTCTCTTCAGGCGACATATCCCCAAGCACAACTACATTATATGGTGAGGTTCCAAGTTGGTCATATATACATCGATTGTTCGGAGAGCAAACTTCCGTAATCTCAGAGTCCTCTACAGTTTCTAGGTGTACGGATACTCTCGTAAAGGATACGTTTTTCACTCTATTCACGATATTTCTCACAATATCGAGACATGGGGTATCACGTCGGCCCACTTGGAAGATTCCACCAGTTGAGCGAGACATTGCATGTAGCGTGGCATATGGAGCCCAACCGCCAACACCAATTGTATGTATTGGCATTCTATATGGTAGATTTGTAAGATCAGGCAATCTGTAAATTGAGGTTCAGCCGATTTTGATCAACGAAAACCTACTGTGTTTCCATCCTGTCAGTAAAAACCGGGTCAAAGCATTCGAGAGGTTGATTTACTGCACACATGTCAGGACGGGGTTGTGCTCCAGTAGCACACAAGATAATGATACAGCTACGTGAGATACCCCTATATCGAAGTTGTTCGTTGCTACATATAATTTGACTCCATTGAGAAGCCCAAGCTCTTTGAGTTGCGATGCCGACATCGACAGCCACATCGAGGTTCATGTGGAATGGCCAGCCACCTGGGTAGTGATTGACCTTAAACTCTGGGGCATCGTCCCATACATCATCCCCACCAACCCAAAGTATACGTGACCGACCACCTGCCCCACACATATCGAGACAAACAGTTCTCAGATGGTTCGCATGCTCAAACCATAGTAGAGTATCTACCACCAATACTAAGTCCATATCTATACGATCATTGAACTCACGTGGAATAGCTGGCGCTGTTATTTCTATTAGACACTGTCCATTATCGCCTCTTAAGCGATGTGCGACAGACCGTATTTTCGGTTCGGATATGGTGGGATACTTTACATGGGTACGATTCTGCCTGTGCAAGAGAGCTTGCTCGTCACGATATATTGATTCTTTATCACTATATGGAGGGAGTCTTATATCTACAGGTTCGTCGATTTCATATACAGGTTTTGGTTTTGGTAGTATTGCTGGTGGCGGCGTTATAGATCTATCTCTTGGTAGTTGGTTACAGGGTTGGCCCTGTTGTTGCTGTGGTTGTTGCTGGTGAATTTGGGCAGGGAGATGAGCAAGAGAATTATCCGCCGGTCCTCGTGGTCCTCGCATAGCCGATGGTGGTACACCCGACGAGGAGGCTTGTTGCAACGTAGCCATATTGACATTCATACTCGTCGAAGCGAGGTGTTGGTTATCGTAAAGCACAGACGGTTGTGGTGTTGGTGTTTTTATAGGTTGAGAAGGTGAGTTCTGAGTGGAAGCTGGTGTATAAGATACAGCACCATTCGAATGCTGAGGAGTCTTTTCGGACAATGTGTGGCCTGCGCCTTCAGTAGCAGTGGATATTGTCGGTGTTTGACTAACATGAGCATCTACTAGAGATTCATATGTAGCTGGCTCAGTTCGTCGTACTTTATTGGCAGAGCCTTGTCTGACAGCTGTTGATGAAACTCCAGAATCATTTCTTTCAATCTCGTTAACGTCTTCAGAGTCTTGCCTCGAGCCGTTGGTGATGATTGGAGCAGCTTCGACGGGAGAAGTGATGCCATTTGAGTCATCTATCGAGCGACTGCGTTTCCTACTAGGTTCGGCCATGACATCCTGAGCATCTTCAATCATAGCGTTCCCGTTATAATTGTGAAGAGATGATGTGTTTGTCCCATGTTGCTCATTCATTATATCAACTAGTGGAGGAGATATTGTCATCAGATTGCAAGGATATTACTGCATAGTAAGAAAAGCTAGCTCAAGTGTGTACCAAGTCAACGTCCATTGTCAAAAATAGACGAGATTGTGATGAATCTTGCCAAACCGAGACCAGCAAATGCAACTTTTTCAATAGCAAAGTAGATAAAAGCTTCTCCAACCAATGCAGGGAATTAGCCCTGGTACGTTTTCCTGGTCCAAAAGTCAAAGTCACTTCAACTCTCACTTCGCAAGTGCTAATAACTCAAACACATGACAAAAAAGTGAACAAGCCTGAAACGACGGGGTTTTCGTGATGTATTATAATATCAATGAGTAAAATTTATAAATTGCTTGTACCATTCTAATATAGAAGTTTGTCCGGAAGTTTTTATCGTATCAGATACAGGGTTCAACAAAGTCTATAGCAGCACTCACAGTCGACGGCAATATCTGCATCGATGCCAACTCATATGGCTGCATCGCGGCTGTCCACTGGCACACGTCCTACGAAATCATCTTCAGCTGCCTCATCCGACGAAAATCGATCTCGTTCTGCCCGAATCGCAAGCAGCAATGGCAGGAATGGAGCCGATACTCTGGCACTTTTGGGTAGACCAAATCCACATAGAGAGGCTAATAGAATGCTGGGTGGTCTCGATCCGTCTATGAGTGGCTCAAAGGACTTGTCGGGTCAAACAAAACCAAGGATTGAGCATCACAGATGTGACGATAGGGCTGAAATGGAGGCTAAATATCGGATAGGTCGCAAGCTAGGAAGGTCGGTATTTTGGTGCTATCCTTAGTCTCACAACACCATCTCCCAATGTTTTTGTCATTTGCGTACTTCGACGACTGTAACCGAGAACGATTTTGAATGTTTTAGTGGTGCTTTTGGAACCGTACGCTTGCTAGAAGATCGGGATACGAGTGTAGTCTATGCTTGCAAAGCTGTTGACAAACCAGCTGTAGGTCATGCATCTGCTTACGAACAACTTCAGCGAGAGGTGGCCATCATGAAGGCTGTCTATCATCCGTCCATTGTACAATTACGAGAGGTGTATGAGACCAAAAAGAAGGTTTTTCTGGTTATGGAATAGTGAGTGCCAAAACTAGCAGTCAGTAGATGTTGATTGGGTTGATCTCAAACTCGATTTTCTCTGTCTCTAGTTGTCAGGGAGGTGAACTAGTGAGTAAAATACGAGCCAGACGGCATTGTCCAGAGTCAGACGTGAGGACGATTGTTCGGAGATTGTCTGACGCTGTAGCATATCTACATGAATATGGGATTGTGCATCGGGATTTGAAGGTACGACAATTTAATTGCTCGAATAGGCAAGGAAACCTCTCTAAATCTCTATTACTAGCCTGAAAACATCCTGATATCAATGGAAGATCCTTCCATCGAGCACAATATTAAGGTCTCAGATTTTGGATTGGCCACATATGCAGACGCTTGTGGAACAATGGACAATGTAGTTGGAACACCTTTTTATATGGGTAAAACACTTGAGACACATGCTTATAGGCGAGTCTGACTAATACCTTCTTCTTCTTGAACAGCTCCTGAAATAGTGCAAAATCTTGGATACACAGCACAGTGTGACATATGGAGTATTGGAGTCATGACCTATTTATTGTAAGCCCATTGTTCTTGCCTTGCATCGTGCCACACTAGTGCATTACGAATCATTTTTAGATTGTTGGGTTATACGCCAGAGGCAGAAATGATGTTGCATGATATGATTGCGAATGGCAAGATTGAATATCCAGCACGACTATGGAAGGGTGTCTCTCCAGGAGGTATAAGTGACTGTATCCATATATGTCAAATCAAACACATCAATTGAATCTAACACACTTCACGACTAGCTCGGAATCTGTGTGAATGCATGTTGAAATTCGATCCAGCGTCACGTATAACAGCACGAGAGGTCCTTATACATCCATGGATAGCAGTATGATATGTTGCTTGCGTTTGGATATGTCGTGATTTCTCACTAGCTCTACCTTCCACTAGTCAACGCTGGACATGACCAGCGATTCACCCTTCAGCACAACCGTATTAGATCTGATGCGGTCTTTCAACGCCCATACACGATTACAGAGAGTCCTCTTGATAGTACGAGCCGCCGTGAGATTTCGACTGTTGCCCAAAATACGGCGACGAGACTTTTTCGACAGGGATACCATAGTAGCAGAGCCGGAACAGGATTACATTAATGATGAGTGGGAGGGTGAACGAACCGACGTCCTGGAAGAACAGTCAAGACGACCGCGGAGGTTTGACAAATCAAGTCAGAGTGTTGAGGTGTTGGCTGACAGAGGATCCAAGAAACGAGATATTGTTACTGCTTCGGCATCGAGTGTGTCAAGGCTATCCAGACACGTACAGAACTCGCGGTCATCAGAATTGGAGCAGACGTGGTCGGATTCTCAAGACATGTCGAGCTCCAACAGATCAGTGGATTTACCAAGAACCGAATCCTATCGCAGTAGAAGCTCTGCATCATCTGCATCAAATTTGGATTCCTCGAATTGCACTCTGGATCATCCGCCGTTGGGTCGCAAAGTGTCGACTGGGTCGTCAATAAATATTTACAACACATCACATCCAGAACCACGCACGGATAACCACAGCGCCCGAAGTAGAAAGGCATCAGATGCACGAACAACAGAAAGGAATGCTAGTTCAACAAAGCAACTTCCTGTATCCAGCCCTACACGAGCGACGAGGAGGAATACCATTAGTAAACCTGTCACTCCTCCCAAACCAGTGGAAATGATTCGACCTCGATCCAAAACACTATCCAATATACCTCCGCCTTTGGACGGGTTTAAACCTGATTCTCCTCCCTCCAAACCAAGTTCGCCCACTGCTGCAAATGATACGCCTCCAAGGCGAAAGAACAGTAGCGAGGCCACAAGTGATACGCCGCCACGAACCATGAGAAAGAACAGTATCGAGACCACAAATGATATACCCCAAAGGCCTATAATTAGAAAGAACAGTATCGAGACACCAGTCACGAAAGTATCGCCGACTGCTAGACGCCAACGCTCAAATACCCTCAAGTGAACACAAATACCCACGATTTATGACGGTATTAAGCTATATGTATGTTGAGTCTTTCAACGATAAAATTATTAGTTGCGTTGACATTGTGTTTGTTTGCCTGTTCGATCGTTCCCGTTGCGTGGAATTTGTAGTGTCGTTTTCGCTTCAGTCACAGCAACTTGCAAAGTCTTAACTCAGTCAGATGCAGTAGCGGTGTTTTACAGTATCTCGAGTAGCGTATCAGAGTGAGGCAAGTCAGCCAATGATATGCTCATTTAGGTATAGGCAGCTAATGCTTCTGTTTGATAGATTCAATGTCAAAACGCTTGGGGACGACACGACGACTAGGAACATCTACTTCTTGGAGCGCAGGAACAGGAAATGCAAATAATACCTTTGGAATGCCTGGCCTCAGTGGTCTAGGCCCACGATCTGCCACATATACCGCAGGAACTACTTCAAAATCAGCACATCCCAACAGCAAAACAGCATCAGAAAAGAAGCTCAAAGAGTCGCTAGATGTGGCTCTTGTTGCTGAATCCAGCGGTATAAATATCAGTACAAAGCCATCAGTGTCCTCAACGTCAGCTGTAAAGAAGTTGGATGTAAAATCAACGTCGACCAAACGTAGCTCATCTGTTGACAAGGTTCGAGAGTCAGAGAGGCCAGCTGTCAAAAGGAAGAAGACAGAGAATGTGGTAAAGAGTAGTGCTGCTGTCAAAGAATCGTCTGCTTCACCAGAACCGACAACAGAACATGGTGGAGGAGACGTGACTCCAGCAGTTATAATAGGAGGCAAGCCTGCAGTAGATGATAAATCTATAAAGACAGACTCGAAGCAGTCGCAGCCAGCTGATACCATACCGATAAAGAGGGACTCGAAGCAATCGCAGCCAACAGATACCATACTGATAAGTAAGGACTCGAAGCAATCGCAGCCAGCAGATACCATACCGATAAAGAAAGAATTGAAACCATCAATACCGATAGATACCACACAACTATCGAAATCCTCGAAACGGGAATCGAAAGCGTCACCGACATCATCCTCAAAGGTAATTCCAATATCTTCAGCCGGATCGCATACTCTGAAAAAGACACAGGAAGTCAACCAAGACGATAGTGATGAAGATGACTTCATGCCCACCAAACCAAAGGAGATCTCGTATGAAATATCTAATAAACTGAAAAGGGATAGCAGTACGACTAGTAAAACCACCACAACGAAGAAAACGAAACGTGTTGCAGATGAAGCCGAATCTGGAGATTCTGATATATGGTTGTTCCCAACTCTAAAGGACTCAACGGGAAAACCCAAGGCTACCGAAGATCAGTATAGTGATAGAGGAAGACCGAAACGTCAAGCGGTAGTTAAATCGAAGCCTTTGGACTTTGGAGCTATATTGATAGACGACGATTGAATATCTCATCAATGAAGCATCATGAATGAATTTCCTCGTGTAAGTAGGAATCCTTGTATAAATTTGATTTATATACACTTATATTTGTAGTTTTCATTGGATTGCATTTACTGTGAAGCACTTGTCTGACGAATTGACTGCAGATTGTATTTCTTCAATTGGTGGTACTTGGGAAGTATCGCTACACCGGCTGCATGTTTGAATACAGAGACGAATATGGATAGATCTGGCTTGGTCAAGTCCACTCTATCGTGCGAGATGTTGTGAAGATCCTCGGATACAAGTACATGTTCCAAAGGAATGCTTACTTGCACCACAGCGGGATTTCTTTGGCGACTTCATTAACCAGTTCCTTCTTCTCTATCGTCGTGCAGTTGCGTATATGATCGACAACTACAGCCATGGTCGGTCCAGGATTGCTAACACCATCCCAGCCTGACGGTTGCTGAAGTGCCTCGTGCTTTGCAATCATGGGCCGAATCATATTGATTATATCTGGCAATGTTGCTGGAGTTGTTGCATGAATGGGCAACCAGCGCTGTGTAGGTTGAAAGTCAGAAAGCTGGGTTTGTAAAGATTCTCGACAACAACAGCACCGTACACAGGTGAATCCGATTGACTTGAATATCTTGGTTTGAGCTTCTGAAGACAGGGACAGAAGATGCGAGTGTACTTTTGTGATGAATTCTAGTTCATCGACACTGTTTCGAAATCGTATAAATAGGAGTCCTGTGTTTCCAGGTTTGATGTCAGAGATAATACTGAAAGAAGAGACCGGTATTCCAAATACCTTGACAGCCTGTATTGACCACTTGATAGAACTTGTCCTTTTTCTCAGCTAGGAGAGCTGACGGTGTATCCGTGGAGCTGTTCCTAATTGTGGCTTCCTCCTTGGGTTCTTTGCAGACGTTAACTTCAGCTTCAGGCAGATCAGCATCACCGTCACCATCAGACGTATCGTGATCATCTTGATCGTCCTCTGCAGCATCAGAATCCACAAAAGTCAAATCCACGTCAAGGTCACCATCTGTCTTCCGATCCGACCAAGCTGTTTTAGCATCAGGAAAGAGAGCAAGTAGCATCTTGGATATAAATTGTGTAGCTTGACCCATGCTTGATGCCTCTGCCTTCGTGTCAGACGAGATCTATCACAGCAAATCAATTGGTAAACGTAAGTTTGTGACTGGAATCCCGAGTAAAGAGGTAGAACGAGTGTGCATACCAATAGACCACGACATGGCTCCTTTCTATTAACCACCAAAGTTGAATGCTTCCTCACATTGAAGCGTTTGATGTCACCCTTGTTCAATTTTTTTCCTCTCTTTGCTCCTGACGAGGAAGAGGGGCCGTCCGTTTGGTGTTTTCTTTTATTGGTCATTTATACGCGATTCTCCTTTTGAGTTCTAATTTGTGGTGACAGTGTTGGAACTTGGGTAACGTTTGCAACAATTGAAAAGTACAGGGAAAGCCGACAGAAAAGCACTAGCGGTCGCTCACCAAATTTCAGGTATCGGTAAAATGGCTGATGTTTCCGTGTCCCAGCTTCTTCTGTATCCTATAAAGTCTTGTCGAGGCTTTCAGGTCGAAACTGCCAAAGTAACTCGATGTAAGTGAAGGTCGTGATTTGAGTCAACGTTGCAAGTGGAGTTGATTTTTAGTGCAGCATTGAGAAGATATCTGTTGGCAGATTTGTTTATTCAATATGAGTGGTTCGGCTTTTGGTGGTGACATTTGGTTTGGAACATTTCAAACAAAACGTGTAGTCAACAAGATCGGATACAATTGATCAATCTGTCGAAATCTTCACGTTTTGCATAATTTCAAGAAACTTACTGATCTTTACATTGCTTGTAGATGGTTTCGAGTTTGATCGATTATGGATGCTCATTGATACCAACAAGGGCACATTCTTAACGCAACGTGAAATCCCAAAGATGGTCTTGATAGTTCCAGAACTCATCAAGCATGGCGAAGAATACAAGCATGGTGGGAGCTTGAAAATCACTCTTTTGGGGGCACCTGGAAGTGTAGAAGTGTCATTCAGGAGCTCGTTTGATGGAGTTCCCACGCGGAAAAGCAAGGTATCTATAGAGTCTTTGGATCGCATTGCTATATTTTAAAGGTGCCAACGCAATCGGTTTGCAGGTCTGGGATCACGACGTAGAATGCATCGATGAAGGAGACGAAGCTGCCGCATTCTTGACCAATTTCCTGAAATTCAATGTACGACTTGTGCTCAAGGATCCTAGATCCAGACGTCCTCTCAGTCCGAAAACTGTCCCAAACGATTCGGCATTTGCTCATCCTCCGCAGACGGCCTTCGCAGATGGTAACAAAGTTTTTTGCATAAGTGTATTACTCTCCTTTGCCATCTAACAATGAACTCTTAGGTTTTCCTTTCTTGTTCGTGTCTCAGGCTACTTTGGACGATGTGAACGAGCGTCTGATTACTAAAGGTGCCAAAGGGATTGATGTGATGAACTTTAGGTAGTAGCAACGCAACATTTCTCAAACCAAACCGGACATGGCCCTGACACTTAATATCCTTTAGGCCGAATGTGGTATTGCGTGGCCTGCAGGCATACGCTGAAGATGAACTGAAGGTGATAAAAATAACAGGTCAAACCTTATACGTGACATCTCGATGTCCAAGGTGCCAGATTCCGACCAACGATACAATGAAGGGGGAGCTCACACACGTTGAAGTCTCTAAAACAATTCAGAGCTATAGACGTGTTGATGCTGGTGAAAAGTACTCCGCATGTATTGGAATGAATGTATGCCATGCAGACCATGGATACTACATCAGTATAGGCGACCGTGTATCTGTCGTTGAAACGACAAAAGAGCATGATCGTCGTGGCAGGGAAGTCAACCCATTGTTTTGGCAGTCCGTTGAGAAACGACCACTGGACTGGGCAACTATCAGCATCTCTATATTGGTGGTGGCTGCATCTGCCTTTGTTGGTTGGAGTATTTTAAGAAAATGATTGATTGCAGGTCACTGGAGCCGGATTACATATCTTTTATTAATATAAATTGTAGTTCTGCCACAGATCTAGCATGTTCGATGTTTCCATTAAATATTTCAATATTTTGATGACATACGCGTCTGTATTTGCCCGACACGTAGCAGCAGTGGTGGTCAGAACGATTCAAATCACTACAATTTCAAATATTTCAAACTTCCTGCCGCAGCTTCACAAACCGCATCTATTTAAAGGTTGAGCTTGAACAGTGTCGATCTTTATATCTAAAAAGGTGAGAACTATTCGAAATTTGAAGCTTCCTACTGTGAAGGTGCTGCAATTGGAAACCTTAGACCTACACCAAACTACAGAACCGAACAAGAAACAGCACACGATGGCAGACAAAGTACCATCATTATCAAAGCCTCTGCAAGTAAGAACCAGATCGAGATTATTTCGTGTACATCATCAGCGCTCTTATGCATTTAACTTTTCACATTAGATTGGCAGCTTGACTCTGAAAAATCGTGTAATCATGGCTTCATTGACACGGTAGTCACGAGTAGAAAGGTTGTTTGTCTATGCCAAAGTGCCAACATGTCTTCAACATTAGAAACCGAGGCATGATTCCTACTGAAGACTTACACGTCAAGTACTATGCACAACGAGCTTCTGCTGGCTTGATCTTGACAGAAGCAACCTTTATTGAACCTCAAGGATCTGAATGGTGAGATCGTCGCAACCAACAAGGGATGTGAATGATGCCTCGTGCTAACAACGGTCTCGTCGTTTTGTCAATCTAGGCCTGCAGCTCCAGGTATTGGTGGTTGGAAATTCTGAAGTCGCTATTTGTTTATTCAAAGACGTCGTATTTGATAGGTCTATGGTCTGCCAAACAAATCGCAGCCTGGAAGAAGGTCACTGAAGCCGTTCATGCCAAAGATGGCGCCATCTTTGCCCAGCTCTGGCACATCGGACGAGTGTGAGTTGTCTTGCGTTGTAACTTCATCAAAATACTTCTTGCCGTCTCACATTGGAACTCTGAAATAGTGCTCATCCTCTCCATCAAGCTGGTCAGCCAAATGTTGGCCCATCAGCAATCGCTGCCAAAGGTGGCAAGTTCCGGTAAGGTGCTGTCCAAATCAATACCTCATTTATGGTACTAAAGTCGGTGTTTATCTCGCCACCAGTTACTTGACTGGCGCTCCAGGATATGTGACTCCTGAAGCTATCGCTACAGCTGATGTTCCTCACTACATTGGTTTGTACCGAAGAGCTGCAAAGCACGCCAAAGAAGCTGGATTCAATGGAGTTGAGCTTCACGGCGCCAACGGCTATCTCGTAAGCACATGTGTTGCCTTCGCATATCATCGGTTGCTCTTCCACTAATACCACATCAATTCTACAGGCTGCTCAGTTCATGGAATCTTCGTCGAACAAGAGGACTGACAATGTAAATATCTCGGCATGAACATCACTTTGTTATTGTATTGCTTGAGCTTATCTCCGCCACACTGACCCTTGTCGACTCGTTAGTATGGTGGTAGCATCGAAAACCGTGCTCGATTCCCTCTCGCTGTCATTGATGCACTGATTGAAGAGGTATGAAGCTATGTTTCTTCTGCGTAAAGTGGTGTTTGATTTCTAATAGCATGTCTTTCGTCATTTTCGTTAGATGGGAGATTCCAAGAAAGTCGGAATAAAAATTTCGCCTGCTGGAGGATACAACGATATGGGCGATCCATTGCCTGAAGCCATTGAATTCTTCTCTTACTTGGTCGATGAACTGGACAAGCGAAACATTGGCTACATCCAATTCAACCGATACACTCCAGACTTTGATCCTGAAGGTCGTGGAAACAAGATGGATGTGGTTGCTGAATTGCTGCCTCGCGTTAAGAATGCTGCTGTCTTTTTGAACGGTGCATTGACAGGTACGGTTCAACGTCCCATACACCGACAATTTTCGAACGATTTTAACTGATTTCACTCATGGAACTTACAGGTGAAGAAGCTGAAGGACTTGTTCAATCTGGAAAGATTGCTGGTAAGTTCGATGATTTCACATTTTTGTGGGGTGGAAGACATTGCTCAAGCTTCCACACACCAACGATTTTCGAATGATGGTAACTGACACTATTCATGGAACCTATAGGTGCAGTCTTTGGTCGTCCATTCATTGCAAACCCTGATCGTGAGTGTTGAGAATTTCACGACTGTAATTGGCCTTTTCTCTGGTCTGATTTTCGAGTTTTCTTTCTAGTTCCAAAGGCACTGCAAACAGGCGCTACAATCAAACATCCTGACTATATGAAACTATACGGTACCATGGGTGAAGAAAGTACATGGGCCGCTGGCTACAATGACTACCCACCAATTTCTGCTTGAACTGTTGTCTAAATAGAACATAGATCTTCTGTCAAGACTTTCTGTTTATAGTCTGTACTCATCTGAATAAAGAAACGACGTCTGAAGTTTTCTGAGTGCAGTTGGAATCAGCCGAGAATCCATAATGGTGCGAAAGAGACTTGTAGTCAATTTGTTTCTCTCAAATGACGCAATCGAAGATATACAAGTCAATATATATTGGATGCTTCCGAAACGAATACAGAGGAATACTTACAAGCAAGAACAAACATTGCTATCTTCGAAAGCGCTGCCTAAGGTCTCCTGCTCCCACACTCTTATAAAGTGTAAAACAACAACTTTGGTATATATGAATAGACTACAGATCGTATTTCTGGCAAAAGCAGGATCGCACTGACATGAAAGAAGAGAAATGTAAATATGGCCAACTCTGGCGAGGTATTCTGACCCGTCTTCTGTGGCAAAAATTTGAGACATCACAATTTGCCCAGAATCTGGTCCAAAGCGAATGAAACCGCCTCTCACGCAAGAAACATGATATTTTAATTCATAGTAATATCGACACATCGCCCCATAAACACCCTTTGCCAATTTTGAAATATGTGATTTTCACAGCGTCAGAACATTTGGGAGACGTATCGGCTAAAGAAGAATACCAAACAGTGATAGAAAATACATGCGCCACAGCTCCGCGATGCTAGAACCCGACTCCTAGCTGATATAAAGCTCTCCCGGCGACGAAATCTTCAAAAAAATTGATGTGAGGAAATCATTGACATTTCAGATTTGCTATAAATACGGTCTGCAAAGGAGGTAATAAAACTCTGCTAATATGCTTGGAAACGGTGCTGCTCGCTGGACTTGACGTGTTTGTATCTCCTGAACTGTCTCTGTGATGTAAAATGACGCAAAATGAAATGCAGGAGTTTTGGGCAGTACAGCAGGTCTATAGCAGATCGATATTGCCGTATACATGCCAGAGTACCTGATAATGAAGTGATACGACTCCTCTTTCAGGTTACTCAACGATCTCTGACGTTGGTGTGGGCAAAAACACGCTCCAGCACGTATTTGACATAGCCAACTCATCTTCGACTGATACAGGCAACTCACTGAACATCGCCAAGCAATCAAATTTCAAGTCAACTATTGCGTTTTATTTCTTTTTTGGCAATATTCTATTCACTACGAAACTAAAGCGAGGGAACGAGAGTATGCGGTTTAATGCTTGTTGGTGGTACCTGATCAAGGAAAAGAGTTAGGACGAGTGGCGAAGAATTTATACAATCTAAAAAGTTCAAGACTAACCTATGACGGTCTCTGGAGCATACTTGTCAATGACGGTTTCAGCATGCATCATGTTGAACTAAAAAACGAAAGAAAAGTCAGCATTCTACTGGCTTTAAGACGCTCTGATTGATTCATTAAACTCACTTCTTCGGTAGCATCTCTGCCAGCGTAGATCATAATGGCCTTCTTTCCTCCGGGGTGGTCCTTCAAGAAGTTGGTGACGTTCAAAACGCGTCCATTCACGGATACCCAGCAGTCTTTTTCAGTAGAGTGTTGAGCGATTTCAGCGGCAGTGTATTCCTTCATGGCAGCCTTTGCTGGAGCAGCAGCTGGAGCAGCGGCAGCAGCAGCGGGTGCAGCGGCGACAGCACCAGTACTGATGGATGGAGCAGCACCGTCAAAGTTGATGGACAAGTTGAGACCTTGGTGGTTGATGGTGATTGATGGACCACCCAAGTGGCCAGCAACACCAGCAACACGACGGGCAGCAGTACCAGCAGCTAATTGTTCCATCAAGTAGCTGGAAGCAGTGTCACCGGATACACGACCTGATATATCCAATCATTCAGTAATTGTTTGGGACAAAGAAAAAGAGCTCAATTGTAGACCTACCATATACGACACAACCCAATAGCGAAGAACCACCCAATCTGTTGGCACCGTGGACACCACCAGCACATTCACCGGAAGCGAAGAGACCTTTGATCTTTTGACCTGCAGAGTTCAATACTTCAGAGTGTTCGTTTATCTTAATACCACCCATGGTGAAGTGCAATACAGGGGTGACGATGGCGACGTAGAATTCATCGTTCATGTCGAATGGAAGGTTGTGGAAGAATTTCTTTCCGTATGGGTCGTTCTTCGAGGTAGCAATACCGTTGTATTTTTTGAAGGTAGCGTCCAAGGTCGATGATGTGATACCCATTTCGGAGGCCAATGCAGCACCAGTCTTGAAGTGCTTCATCAAACCACGTCCTTGGTAGTGTTTGCAATGCCAGATGATTTCGTTGGCACCCTTGGAGTTGAGGACGAGACGGAATGGACCCTTGTTCTTCCACATCTCTCCAGTGACGTAGTCTCGATGACCTAATTCATCACAGAATCGGACACCATCAGCAGTCAATAAGAGACCACCAACACCTCGAAGGGCTTCGGCGGCCAAGAACTATTGAAAAAAAAAAAAAAAAGTTACAAAAAAAGTACTGCAACCGAATGACATCATGTCCGTCAATTGACAGGCCACATGATATAAACTGCATATTCAATTTACCTTGACTTTTGCGTCTGGTTCCAGAGGGTCAACCAAACCAGTAGGGTGGACTTGGATCTTTTCCATGTGGATGGCAGCACCTCCAATAGCTTCAGTCATTTTGATACCATCACCAGTAGAGTGTTCACCGTTGGTGGTTGGCAAGTGCATTAATTCCGGTCTAAAATATGAGAGTTTGTTGTGAGATGAATGTTAGAATGCTGTCCATAGCCAAACCCAACATGGCAATCTATCAAACAACCATCACTACGCGTCTAGCCCTTACCTGTATTTCTTGATGAGAGAGGTTTCGGTAAAGTCAGCAGCGTAACCACCAGTGGACAAGATAACTGGACCGTATTCGATCTTCTTGGCACCAGTTTCATCAGTAAACTCGACACCAATGACGGTACCCTTGTCGTCCTGCACCAGCTTTTCTACTTTGGCCTTCTTTACGATACGGACACGGTTTGGCATGCTGACGGCCAAGTCTTCCAACTTTTCCATCAAGGCATAGGTGATGGTCATACCAGGGAACTTTTCTTTACCACGGTGAGTACGGGGTTGGGAGTGACCACCGAGACGGGATACGAGCGACAGGTCTACGCCAAACTTTTCTTGTACCCATTCGACAGCTGAACCAGAGTTGTAGGTCAAGACCTTGGTCAATGCTGGAGTGATCAAGTCACGGGCAGACTTGGCAGAGTCTTCATAGAAGATTGCTGGGGAATCCTAATTAAAATGAACTTTGAATGAGCGATTTGAATTCGTTAATATGTGCATAAATGGGAATGACATGTTTCAAACATGCACCATCACGTGGCAATATAAGAAGTTTGGTAACGTACTGGGATTCCCAACTTTATTTGGGTGCTGGTAAGGGTTCCGTTCATACCAGAAGTAGCTTTGGTGGAGTTTCCTATTATGCATTTCACATCAGATGCAAGTTCTCACGCAAAACAAAAAACCAAAACAAGCGGTTTTTGGGTTGTGTTCCAATGGTGGAATATGAAGAAATAAGGTGGTGGCAGCCAATGTGAAATGGAATCACTGGCTTCCCACTGATGAATATAGTGGGGAAATGTATTTTCACATACCTCCCAAGAAGGAGTTCTTGTCTACCAAGACCACTGAACCACCTCGCTCCAACACAGTGTGAGCGGCAGACAAACCAGTCAGACCACCTCCAACGACGATAACGTTGTTCGACATATTGATTTTGTAGTAGATTTCTTTTCTAATTGAAGAGTAGATGGGTTCAAATAAGCTTGTTCGTAAGCCTTCAGTTTGTTAAAAACTTGCAAAAAGTATTTTTTGGAAGTGTGTGCAAGTTTCAGGGAGGAAACGGAGGAGACAGCACTTGGTGCAGTAAACTCACTCTTTCTACTATTGCAGTCTATGCTACTCTTACTCTCTTTGGCGCTTACCTTGTAACAAAAATAGAAACTCAGCTAGTTTGAAGGAAAGACGAAGGGAGGTTGTGATTCACATCGGCCAAATTGTTCTGTGTGTTTACGTCATGGGTTAATGTGACTTTGAATCGCCTCGAGAACTTGGAGACGCGTTCATTGCACTTATAAAATATATTTATTGTATATAACAACGTCCAAAACCTCTCATCAACGAGTCCTCTCCTCAACCAAACACCCAAAATATTTTTTTAGACAAAGACACCTTTAGAGACATGCGATCGCCTCCTTAATAAGAGCGGAGACTGCTTCTTTAGTACTCAACTTGGCTAAAATCCACTTTTCAGCTTTGTTCACCACAAACACCCATTCCTCAGAATACGATGCAAGTTTCACTTGGAAGAAGGCCACAGCCAGAGCAGTGGCCCACAGACTATCATCTTTACCATTTCCAGCAGCTTTCAAGGCATCCAGAGCTTTACCGATAACGGCAGACAAGGCAGTATTTAGTGTGAAGGCTCCATCAAATCCTTGTAGAGCCACAAGAGCATCCATTTTTTCAGTATCAGTAGCAGGATGCGAGATGCTAAGCTTTTCCACCTGCTCAACCTCCTCGCATTTTTCTTCCTCGTCAATGTCCATAGCCATATCCGCTTGGTCGTATGCAGGAGCTGATAATGCAGGAGCCGAATATGAGTCCATATATACGGGAGCTGCTGATTCTATAAATGGATTAGAGAGTATGAGAACGCATCATCACGAAAAAAGGACAAAGGATCTTAAAACAGCAATGCGCATACCTTTAAGAGTAGCTTCTGCTGCGACTACATTGCTCTGCTTCTTCTTCATGGGTTTGTTGTCTACAGCAGCCTGAGATGGGCCACTGAATACGGCTCCAAACAGCCCTCCTCGACCTCCAGATGGTTTTGGTCCTGATGATTTGGATGGAGGTGCAGACGTCGCGTAAAACGCGACTGGTGCCGGTGGTGGAGGCATAGCACCATAGCTTTGTGGTTGCATGGGCGGCATGGGCATGCCTCCTGGTGCAGCCATTCCTACCATAGGTGCTGCCATTGATGCCATTGGCATTGCCCTTGGCATTGCCATAGCCTTGAAGAGCATTGGCTTAGGTGCTGGAGGAGCAGACCTGTTCCTCTGTTGTCCCCGTTCTTGGCCACCACCACTGTCAATTCGAGTTGGAACCTGCATGAGATTTGAAATATTAGAAAACTTTGTATGGTCTGAGACACAATGCGTCATTTTTCTTACAATGATTGTCTGCGAGTCCTTTTTGGTCGGGTCTACTGATACCACAGAGTCCACTGCGATAAAGCTAGTGTACGTAGATGCGAGACTGTATTCAGTTCCGAGACGAACAATCTCATCCTGAATCACAAGTGTCATGATGTTAGTGAACGCTTTCCAATGCGACTTGTCCCTCGTTCTTTTCAATGTCTTACCTTGACAATATCGCTGGGTATCGGCAAAGCGCCCTTATACGCCGTGTTTAAGAATGAAGTACTGTCTTCAATGTCTCTAATCAAGGCACGAGCGGCAAGAGTATGCAACATGCGTCCATTTTCAATCTAAAATGGAGATTGAGCGAAAAAAAGCGATTCGTCCGCACTCTTATAGCATCATCCACCAACCTTCTTGATTGGCACTTGCAGTTCAACAGGACCATCAGGACTTTGGCCACGTATTGTAACGACATCTTTCAATGCCGCAGCACCTTTAGCCAGCATACAATATACCGTGAAACGTGCGCCTGGGTACAGGGCGGGGATTTCAAATGGTGCCTGTACAATGTTCAACAAAAAAAGTTGAGAATCGATTTTTCATAATCAAAGATCAAACTTGCTGCGTACTGTACCTGTCTGACATCTCGGTTGATTTCAACTTTTGGTTTGGGTGGTGCTGGCGCGCCTCCGAATAAATTTATGATGGATTTTGGTTTTTCTGGTTCGACGATTTCAAAGTCGTCGCCAGTTACGTTTGCGACATCAAGTTCGTAATCTTGGAGGGGAGGTAACAAAGCATTCTTCAACATTTTAATAATCTGAATGTGGAGAATGTTGGTAAGATAAAGTCAAACAGACTTGAGGATTGCGATCTATCGCTCTTTTTGCATCTACCTTCTTCTCCATACGTTCATTTTCAACCACGTAGTTCGTATACCCACCGCCAACACGCGACAAGGATTCGACTAAATCGGCGGAAACACCGTTCCCGACACCAATAGAGAAGACTCGAACCTACGATAGATGAAATGAATATCGGGAATTCAGACCATGAACCTGAAGATTTGCAGTTGGGCGAAGCTTACGAAGTTGGCCGGATTCTTGGTAGCTTTAGCTTCATCAACAGCCTTCTTCACAACAGCCTTGCACTCCTCAACATTCCACACCTGTTAGGAGACATGTTGGTCAACGAATCACGAATATAAACCGTTGATCCATTTTATCACAACATTACCTCTCCATCAGTCAGCACAAACACCTGTGTCGGCATATCCTTGCGTCGTCTTGCAAAAACGTCCGTCAAAGCACCCAATATCTCAGTTCCTCCTAAATCAGCCTTCAAGTCGGCAACATGCTCTTGTGCCTTTTTGAGGGAGGCTGCAGTATATTCCACTGATGATGGGAAGAGATTCACAAAGCTGCTACCGAAACCGACGATTTGGATGAAACAGCCAGGGTTGATGGATTTTAGAAAGAGCTGGTTTGGGGTATTGTGGTTAATATATGGACACCTTATGGACACCTTAAGGCCAATTGTGATATGCTTGAATTACCTGGAGAGCCTTTGCAGTATGATCAATCTTGAAGCCTTCCATACTACCGGATCGGTCCACCAAGAAGACAATTTCGGAACGTATCTAAAATGTTTGCCAAGCATTGAATGAGTATTTGAAGTGAGTTCAAAAAGCATGGTACGAAGCATTGACTTGAAGACAAACCACAATACCTCGTTAAGCGCAAACTTTGGCACCATAGTCAGCATGGCACAAACCGACCCATCCTTTGGATCAACTTCAGCAAAGCATCGTGGTACATCTGAATCTTTCGCTTTAACCACCAGCACAAAGTCCTTGTCCAAAAACGCGTCGGATATAGCCAAAGTCGCGCCGGCTCTGGCTGGATTATATTCACCACTGGCAGATTCTGCGGTGGATCCCATCTGAACTTCGATGGGATGTGATGGCGATGATACGGATAGGATTGGAGCGGCCATTTCACAGGATACTGTGATTGAAAAGCGATAGTCGGGGGTTCCGTAAGCCATGCCTTCTGAAGTAAATGTAGTCCTTGCAGCGACAGTTTTCGTTTCCGCGAATGGATCAGCACCGTAACGAGGGCTGATCGTTGTTGGCACCACAAATCTTAATTGATCATTCTCGGCATCGTGCTTGAGCTGTGCTGTATATGATATTTTGATTGTAACTTGTTTGCCGGCGGGAATGTTTCCGACTTTGGCAGAGAATACTATGTTTAGAGTGTTGATTGTTTAGTTGACATGGTGATGGGTATTGGTTGAACGAGGCTCGAAGGGGTGTATCAACACATATGACCAAAGTCCCAAACATGACTTACCATCGGGCAACTGTTGTTCCAAAAGTGAAGCAACTTTGCCTTCAGCAATAGCAGTATCATAATCCTGCTTCGCCTGTTCCTTTTCCTTCGCTAAACAAAGAAATTGTGTGAGTTGAGATTCAGCATTCCAAACAGTCAACCAAACAACCAAAAAAAGGCCTGAAAACAAGTAAACCATACCAATTCCAATCAGTTTCCTCTCGTCAATCTGAGCCTCAAAAGCGCTCACGGCAGCCGAATCCGATATTGGGAAACGGTAAACAGCTTCGATAGGATGATCTGTCGTGTTTTCGTAGACCTGGAGTATATCAACGAGAGATACCAAGTCTACAATACGAGCTTGTATCTTGACGGATTTCAAAGGTACGATATGTTCGACTTCCACCTTGGTGGTGTTGTCGATGACGACGAAAATCAATCCAGTCTGGTGCATCGTGTGTTGTTGTTGGAGGTAGGAGAGAGTTAAGTTATAGAGCTGAGAGTTTTCTTTAATTTAGTTTCGATCTATGTAAGATATGGATGTTGTGTGTTAGCCAAGCTGCAAGCTGGAAGTGTGAAGGCACCGCCTCAGTTCAGTTTCGCTGAATCAAGGTAACCGAGAAAAACAGCAAAGTCACGAATCAGTTCTAACCGCCGAGACTGTTCTGTACGTACTGCCAAGTAGACTGAAGCGGCAAAAGTGCTAGTTCTCCTTCTCCATAAACTGTTCCAGTGTCCTTTGTCAATGGGACTGGAACACAAAGTTTTGTTTACATGAACTAGAGCACGACTATTCAACACGGCCGCCAAAGTAACGAAAGAAAATTATATATATATTGATCGTGTTATTTTATAATGTGAGCTCCATGCGTGTATGGCCCATCGCGGTGATTGTTATCTACGCAAAAAATCCTACTTAAGAGCCTGATATCTCTTCATCTCATTACAAAATCAAAGAGCTTACCCCAAGCGCGTCCAAATCCTGATTGATCTCGGTCGACGTGGCTCCTTGCAGTATACTGCACGATGGAAACGTGCTATAATGCGCCAACTGGAATTGTCGCCATTCCGTACCCTCCATCTTTTTCACTCTACGCATACTTATAAGTGTCCTTCGATCTGGTGCATTGCGTGGTGGTGATAATGGGAAGTGTCCTCCGTCTTGAGAATTCGATATTGGTCCATTCAGTAAGGAAGCTTAAAAAATGCAGATTATTAGAGTCAATGTCGAATTGATTGAAGACGGCAACAGCAACATATCATATACGTACCAGCTTCAGCTTGACCTAACCTCTGCTTCTCGGCCTGCAGTTTCCACCTTTTACTCTGCATCGAAGCTGCCATTCGCCTCCTCAATTCACATTTTCGAATCTACCAAAAATACGAACCTTATCAGCAAGAAACACGACTACTGCGTTCACAGAAACACCATCCAATACCATATAATTACAATTAGCCTCATAAACCAGCGCCTGACAGTCGTGCTGATACGAAGCTTCCTGAAACCGTTTCCGATTAGCAGCAATCGTTAAACGTTCAGAATTCCTCCTTTCAATGTCTTCCATATGAGTAACGAGATCTGGATGTGATCCTGCAATTGAGAAAGAGGAATTAGTGTCGTCGCCACAAGTTTTACAAGCCCAAAAAGCCAAAGTCTGCATCATTGCATACCATTCTTAACAGCATCCATTTCCCGTTCAATCTCCATGAGTCGATCCTTGTAGAGTCTATAAGAGCAATGATTAAAGTAGATCTATATCCATAATGACGAATACGGGATACCTACCTATCCCTGAACTTTGCAAACTCCTGCTCAATATGCAGCAAGTCCTGCTGAGCTTCCTTACGTACAGCACTCTGCTCGTCCGTTTCAGGCACTACAACAGTACATTGTAAAAGCAATAAAACAAGCTTCAAAGCATCATTCAAAGCTCCCCATCACCACAACGTGAAAAAAAAGTTTGGGAAATTGAAATCTTTAATGAGTCAACCCAACATACCATCTTGATCATCCCCCTTCCCACTCTTATTCGTAGCTCTACCACCAATAACACGTTTACTGTTCCCACTCTTCCTTTTCTTCTCTTCGAATTCACTTCCAGGAGATTCGCTCCGGGAATTGTTTTCGTTTGTATCATCAATTTCTTGAACGTCGCCCTCTCGCTCATCTAGATCTTCGGATTCGGCGTCATGGTCCGATACTGTTTGCGCCTCTTCCTGTTGGGCGAGTGCCATTTGTTGGTCGTCCTTTGCTCTAGGTGCCTGCTGATTGACGTTTGTGGTTCGAGAAAAAGTTCAAAACTTTGTAACTTGCAAGGCATTCAAAGAGACATACCCGCATTACCCGCTGTGAATGTGTACTTTTTCGCTTGGTGAATTATTATTCACGTGGAGATCACGTCGCTTTCACCCAGCTTGTCTTTGCTTCAGGTCTGAACTTCTCGTCACCAACTGCGATGCCAACTCAACAACTTGAGAAACGTTTTAATCGAAAAAGCTACTCGTTCTTTCCGATCTCTAGCTCTATTGTATGTAAAACGCATCATCGAGGAACAGCTGATACTCCTCCTCCTCCTCCTGTAAGAGGTTTCTGAGCTGCCTGCAATATCTCAAGATACCGTGGCCCATGACTCTGAGCTTCTGTGCCTCCAGCCTTCAGTAAACTCTCCACCCATTTCCGTGCTTCTTCAAATTCATTGGCTTTGATGAGTGTATCGATTACAGGTATCAAGCCAAACTTTGGTGCACTCTTGGAGAACTAATTTGAAGGATTGAAAATAGAGAGGTTTAGTGCGACACTTTACGTAGAAGCGATTTCGTTCATCTTTGTCAAAGAGTTTCTCTGGTATCTTGGCTTTTTTTGTCTCCCGAGCATACCTTTTCGAGACCATCCATATTCCTCAACTGCACTAGTGCCTTTGTCTTGATCCACCAAAACCTCTTGTCTGGCACTTTGAAATCAGTCTTGATCTTTTGTCCTCGTGTGCCTTGTCCCAATAGGAGCGTCTTGAAGATAGTCTCGCTCACTGTCAGTCCAACAAATGTATGGTTCGTGTCTCGTTCAAGTTGAATTTGAGTTTGTAGTAGTTTGATGTCTTCTTCCAGCGCCTGATGTGAACAAGCGTATGTGAAAAAGTGTGAGCAAAACAGCGTGTAAATCGAAGGCGATTATATAGAAGTGGCGGTAAGGCCTCATACCTTAGCTTCCAAAGCGTGATCCTTATCATCTTGATACAGCTTGTGAGCAATCTTGAGAGCGTTGGTGCGAGCGGTAGCATCCTTTGAATGGAAAATGTGTTAGCGCACATATTCTCAAGGCAAAAAAGGAAGCTAAAACATATCCGTGCCTCGGCTTCATAACTCTCGAGAAACACCACATTCGCACTATCAGTCCTCCTATCATCCTGATAATAAAAGTCCTTCAACAATTGTCGATCCTGCTGTTTACAGAACGCCTCAAGCAAGTTGCAGGCTAACTGTTTCCCATTAATAATTCGGAAAAAGTCTGCAATCGGTAGCCTTTTCTTCATACGGAATAGCACCAGGTACACTAAATGAAGACTTGGATGGTGAGCAAAATATGAAAACCAAAAAAAGCGACACCGGATGGCCGTTTCATTACCCAGATCTGAGTCACCACTCTCAATTGCTTTGATGAGAGCGATTTCATCTTCATTCATGCCAAGCAGTAAAGGTACTTGATTAGATGCTTGAGGTTCATGTTCCAATAACTAGACAAAACATGTGACATCATTTAGCTGTGAACTTTTCCCAACTCGAATTATTTCACCTGCTATACCACGTACCCTGGTTGCCAGCCTCGTATGTCCAGAAGTATACGCAACTTTGGCAACTTCTGCATAAGATATGCCCGACTTGTCACCTCCCAACTTGTCGACAATCACCCTCGACACACTTTCATCGTCAGCTACAGTTTGTTTCACCTAGGGAAAAGGGTAATAAAACAAAGGATGAATTACTAAGATGTTCGATGCAACCCAACTCGCACACAAACCTTGACACTAGCCCAATGAGTCAACACACGATCATTATCCAACTTTAAATATTCACAGATGCGTAATGCTAATAAATGGTGATGCCTTTGTACAAGTCGACTGACCAACACTTTGGATGTCAGTCGGGTGTATCTAACGAAAAAAGGGTAAACTAGGGAATAATGCTTGATGCGACTACACATATTCCGTGGGGCTTACTGGGAATAAGTTAAAGGAATACCGATATCTTCATCTCTGACTGCATTCAACACTCGAATAATATGACACATATTTACAAACTTGTCGGCGTTGTAATGCTCCAGAAAGCACTTTCCAAATGATGCAGCCTATGTTTGGAGAATATTAACTGTTTGAGTATTTTGCATCTCTATGTATTTTTTGCAGCTGAAGAACGATAACACATACCTTGAGTAAAGACCTCTGCCGAGACGGCACGAGTTCATGACCTGCTGCTTCTATACATGTGTCGACTGCTTCCGTCAACTCCATTTTGATGGTTCGTATGCTCTCATCTGCTTTTGGGCTTTGACGCTATTGGAAGAAACGAGGAAGGAGCGTCACAGCACAATACATGTTGTGAGGTGCAGAGTGCTTGTTTTTTTTTGTCTGCAGACAACTTTGACCAGAGAAGACCTTCTACCTACCTCAAAGTGCTCCATAGCGTCAAATAGAACTGCTCCAGGTTTTGTCGATCCGATTTTGAATACGTCTTCAGTGGTAGCTATGTTGATAATAGAAGATCGGTTAGTTAAGGCAAAAACACTGCCTAACCAAATAAATTCCTACTTGGTACACGCTGCAAGAATTCACACTTGTCCGAGGTAATGATACGAACACCATCAATCTCTGTCACCATATGAACCACTCCATCATAAGTGTATCTATTGATAACATACTTGTCAATTGTTGTCAGAAATCCAAGAACAAAAACGATTCAGTACAGTCTATACTACATACTTGATCCAGTCACCAAATGGCCCAACCACAAGCAACGTATCTGGCCAATGAAGTACAACTGAATCCGTTCCACACCAAGTCATTTGAAGAGGTGGTACGTTTGAATTGGTTGAGAATTCCGCAAGAGACTTTTGGAAATCGCTGGATACGACCCACAATCGTCCATCTGCAGTGAACAATGCCAGATATTTTCCGTTTGGTGATGCGGATATGCGAAGGAATGGGCCTTGTTGTAGGAGCTATGGTGTTAAGGAAATAGTGTGTGTGAGAATGGGCAAAATGGCTCACAAGATTTCTCATATTCGAGTGGTCACTGACTTGATCTTGAGCTGATGATACATCAACGATGACGATAGTGGTCTTGATGGCGAGCAGGACCTCCAAATGTCTGCTGAGAGTGAGATGAGGTGGCATCACCGTCCAGCAATTAAGACCGTCCAAATCTGCATAAGTCACAACAGAAAATGTGTTGAGTGAAAAGCGTGACAAAGAGCGAAAACCTGGAGTCAGATTTGCATGTCTCACGTACTTATATCAGCGAGATTTCGTGGCCTTGGCTCCTCCAAATCTAGAACAGCCACGAGTTTATGATTGCCTGTTCGTACAACGAGACCAGAGTCCCATATGTGACACTCTACTACTCCAAACTCTTTAGCGTCCTACAGAGATTGGCTGGAATGTCAGCATGCTTGCTCTTAGTGTGTGCGGTTTTTTTCGATGATACACTTCTGACAGGAGGGAGATCCGACAATTTTCATACCTGGCCCAAACTGAATTGAATGTGTTCCCCTTGAATATCGTAGACTCGCACTGATCCGAAATCAAGGACACAAATGAGTTTCTCAGTATTTGTCCAGCCCATGCCAATGATTCGTCCCTTATCCCACTACAGAAGTTCAGTATGAGTATAACGACAAGAAGCGCATCGTATTCTCTAAGCTTCCATAATATATTAACGTGCCTGGAACTGGTGCAATAATCTTCCAGCAGACGAGTAGAAGAACATGACTGGCTTCACACTTTGATGAATCAAGTTCATGATCTTTTTGTCGTCGCGGATCATGGCTAGAGAGTTACCGTCATAGTTTAGTAAAAGATTTCGAATGTGGTTCTCAAAGACGGTTGTTGATGTCCTACCAATTGGACCTCCAAATTGAGCAGAAGCGACGACGTAATGAGATAGATCGAGATCTCTCCATGCCAGAGTGTATATTTCTTGCTTTCTAATGATAAGTTGTTATAAACATGGAACTGCTGATATGACGTTTAGATAAACTGCGTGCCTGTAAAATCTGTGATAAAAGCAAGAAGCGTTAGTTTCGCGTCGAAAAGAGCGTATACGTGATCCAATAACATACCTGTCATGCAGTAGACTCCACTCTGCTGTTGGTGAATTCATTTTATCTATTGTCTCCTTCAAGCTCAACTTTCAACTTTTTTCGTAACGAGTAAAATACGATCGCCATAAGACAGCAATGTGGGCAAGACACGCTATAGTTAGGACGTTACGACAACGGGCCAATCCATCAGCTAATATCCAATCCGCTACATCACGATATGCCAGCCAGTCATCAAAACCGTCCACTCCAGTTTGGGAACCATCCATGCCAACCGAATGGGCCCGTAAACCTCCTCCCAAATACGACGAGGATATAGATTCCGAAGACGTGTCCCCATTTAAAATAGCTCCTCCCGTGCGTCCACCCAACGAGGCATTGGAAACAAAGAGAGCCAGACTCGTCTACATGTCACGGAAACGAGGCATTCTAGAAACAGACTTACTACTATCTACATTCGCTAAAGAGTATCTCCCCAACATGTCAATGAAGGAAATGACAGAATACGATGCTCTGCTGGAGGAAAACGATTGGGATATATACTATTGGGCTACGGGTGCAAAGAGGATTCCAGATCGAGTCATGAAGGACGGCATATTGATGAATAAACTCGTCGAACACTCAAAGAATAAGGGCAAACAGATACTTAGAATGCCCGATCTATCTGCTCGTGTCGCTGGCTGATCTATAGGTGGTCGTAATTATACTACTTTAAAGCTTCTCTTTCCTCTCTCTCTTCATGAATATAAAAGAATGTATCGCATAGTCTTGCACAACATAACAAATTACTACTTCTATTCGTGTTCTTGACTGTCTGATCTTCCACTTTGCGTCGGTTTGTTGCTCAGAAATGCAAAAACTCAACGTACATGGCTTCAGCGATAAGTGTCAAGGAAGTAGCTGAACAGCTTGCAGAGTTTCTTAGTCGATACGGAAAGAACTCTCAAGGGCTTATCATCACTGGAGCTGGGTTTTCTACCAGTTCTGGTAAGTTTGAAACTTGGAAGAAATCTTGCAGCTTTCTCGATAGCATTAGATCAGAATCATATCGGTGTTGACTTGATTTGCATTCTTATTCATATACATCTCCATTGCATTAACTTAAAGAACCTCTACGCATTGCATTGACTTCAACATCAACCTCAAAACATTAGGCATACCAGACTATCGCGGAGCAAATGGCATCTATAATAAAAACAAGGATTACAAGCCAATAACATATCAGGAATTCGCTGGATCGAAAGAACGAAGAAGAAAGTACTGGGCCAGGTCGTTTCTCGGTTGGCCACAGATATCTAGAGCAATGCCAAACGTTGGACATCTTGCTGTTGCTAGATTAGAACAGGCTGGATATATCAGCTCTTTAATTACTCAGAATGTGGATTCCCTGCATCGATATAATAAGCGTGTGATTGAACTTCATGGGACACTGGTATGTAAACGCTGCAAAGCTTAGTTGAATATTCAGCCTCGGTGTTTTTGCGCGCTTCCTCGTCTAATATATCAACAGCAAAACCCTAACGCAATAACTCCACCTTCATAGTCTCGAGTATCATGTGTATCATGCGGCCACTACATACCTCGAGCCGACTTCCAATCCCTCCTCTCCGAAATGAACCCCACATGGACTGACATCCAAACATCTAAAGGAGCCGACGTATCATCCTCAGACACATCAGCACTAACGGTCAATCCAGACGGTGACGTAGAAGTCCTCGACTTTTCCGACTTTAAATACCCAGATTGCCACACATGTCGATCGATATATAAACCAGAGGTAGTATTCTTTGGCGAGAATCTACCGATATCGAGAAAGCTGCAAGCGTCTGAATGGGTCAAGGAGGCTAGTGCTGTGGTGTGTATGGGGACGTCGCTTACCACGTTTTCGGCGTTTCGGCTTGCTAAAGAGTCGATTGAGAGGAAAATACCGTTGGCTATTGTCAATTTGGGGCCTACGAGAGGGGATGCGTTGGCTTCTCTGCGGTTGGAAGGGAGGAGTGAGGAGGTTATGCCTGAGGTCGTGAGGCTGCTGGTTGGCGAGGACGTTGGTAAGGAGGTGAAGGACCATAATCATCAGCATTACGCATCACAGCAATAGCTGAAACATCGTTGACAAGGCGAGAGAGAGAAAGGAAGTCTGTGGTTATAATTTATAGTGATATCCTATTGCTTCATGACACAATATACATATAGAGTTTGAAGAGACCCAAACCAAACCGACTCTGCGACTTTTTTGCATGACTTTCCAAGTTGAAAACAGGATATGAAAATAACCCCCCTCTGTGTTTGATCCCGGTTTGGGACTGGCTTGTAACTGTACTAAGAGTGCGAAGTAATCAGGATTTCGACCAATGAGATTCAAAGAAATATCAGAAACAGACGTGATTCTATGTAGTCAACTCGACTTTTTCTTGCTTGCTGAGTCCAGGCTTCAGGTCCGTCTTGCTGATCTTGTTGCTTTCTAAAACTTTGCCGCATTTCACGTTCGCTGTACAACTATATAGTGCATTTCAGCTAACGCTCTTTAGGTGTTTCCAGTATTAAGTCGCATTCAGCTATTCGCTCATGTGCTGTACGTCTCCATTAAGCACTCAACAGTAGTGATAGACCACAATACAGATCCAGTTGGAGGCAGCAGATATCTTTGACGTTTTTGGTTAGAATTTACATTCATGTTCTATGAATTTATGACACCATATACAGGTAGAGGTTGGAAAGACAATGCAAACAGACTATGCGACATTATTTACAAGTTGTCTTTTTGAATCTTTTCGTGACATTTACATTCCGTCGAGAAGACCCTTTTCAGGCATGATAATTAGCATGAGCATTGGCTAATGTTGCTTTTGTAGTCATACTCGTTCTAGCACTACCATGTCCCAGAGTCACTGAGTGAGATCGTGACCTGGAGATCCTTCCATCTTCTTCAAGCAAGTTATACACCATTGCTAGACCAGCATAAACATCATCTATCGAGGCTTGAAGAATTTGACCTCGATTGTAAGCTTTGACATCTTCTTGTTCTCGTTGTTGTTGACGAATCGTTTCTTCTTCTGTGCTATGAGTGTTACTATCCAAAGAGGCAGTGATAATTTTCGGAGAAGTTGTAGCAGATGCCAGATCAACTATTTTCGATCTTGATGACTCGGCAGTCTCTTCCAGTGTGCTACAGATTTGTAATAAACGTTCAGGTGTAAATGGTTGCTGATTCAATAGACTTATAATGGTGGTCAAGAGACTTTGGGCTGAAGCTAGATCGAGCACAGCTTGGTCGATTTTCTTCTGCTCTTCGTTTCGATAGTGGTTGTGTTCCGTATCAGAAGTACCTTTAGCGTTAGGTTGATATAAGGTCACTACAGATTGTCTGACGGTAGTTTCTGACACGGCTTCTAATCGTGATAGCTGAGTTTGAATGGCTAGTAGAGCTGTTTCGAGCCTATCGGCAGGAGCTGTTGCTTCATCAGCTTTAGGTGGCTCTGGTAGATCACGATGAGGAGCCGATGTGGGTGCTGGGCTTATTGGACTATAAAACGACGATGCGACCGGTGATGCGACTTGAGTATCGTCACCCATGGATCGTAACGAGTCGAGTAGATTGTCTAGCTTCGACATGGCAGCTGATATTTCTGATCCAGGAGATAATATGGCAGCTGCTGATCCTGCTCCTGATGATATTTCGAGACCAGTATCTCTACTACTTGGTGCTCGTTTTACTGTTGCCGTTTCCATGCTTCTATAATATTGAGCACTGGATTGAGTTGGAGTTGCAGGGTTTGAGAATAGTGTATGAGGATTGGTTTGAGTTGGTGTTGTTACTGGAGCAGGATCATCCTCGTTCACTGTTTGCAAGACTTCTGTTGATCGCATTGACGACGATGGTTTCTAAGAAAAGGTGGAAGGTTGATTTGTGCACAAAAACGCAGGTTGACGACCACCATCGTGCGCAACATCCACGGGCTTATAATATCTGTTATACATACCTCCATACTCGTCGTAAGGTCCTCAGAACTAGGCAAAGCAACAATCTCATGACCAGATTCCGATTCCTCAGACTGCGTATCAGATGAGCTACTAGACACATAGCAAGAAGGCAGCCATCCACGATGTCCATTACTTTCCGCCAACACCCAATGTCTATACTTTTTCACACAAGTCAGCACTTCTCCTCGTTTGACGCTCAGCTCATTGGGTGACATTGGGGCATAATCGTCAAGAGCTTTGCCAACTCTAGGTAGTACCTCCATAGCATCTCCTTCCTCTTCATTTTCACTCAACAGACAGCCTTCTGGCACCCAACCTCTGCGCCCATCTCCTCTTTCTACAACGCACCAACCCGTCTCAGAATGTAGCTTCATAAAACGATCTCCAATGTGGACGTTTAGCTCGTCCTCTCTTTCAGCACTGTATTCGTAAATGGCAATCGATACGCCAGCATTACTCGTATTTGTAGGTGATTGTGATAATGGTGTGATTGATACAGGTGATTTCACAGCAAGGAGGGAATCATGTAAAAATGATGCACTTGATATTGGTATTGATTGCAGCGAGGATGTGGGTGTCGATCCTGCTGCTATGGAAGCTGCAGATCGAATTGGGTAGTTGGGCTGCTGCTTTATATGTTTAAGAAGGAATCTCGGTATTTCTCCCGCTTCGAGTAGATGTTTTTGGATTGCCATGGGTCTTTCGTCGAATCTCAAGCACCTCTCTAAAACCAAGTTAGGAGAAAGTGTGACCAAAAAATGTATCGAGTCCCGCTGAGGTATTAGATCCAGTAATGGACGCGACATATGCAAGTACCTGTGTTGTTGCTCCTGAGGAAGATGGCATACTGTCGTTGTTCATGGAAGATCTTGTACTTTTTCAGAGCAACCTATGAAGATCATAAGGATCATAAGTCAGCTTTATATTCAACATGCTCAGGCCGCTGAACACGTTGGTAAGAAACCTCTCATAAACTCACTGGTAATAGCTGACGACAACTGTCAGTCCATCCAACGCGGAAGCCTTTGAATGATTCAGTTTCATGACCTGGCAGCCCATCAGCATATAATCGCAACGTCGTGTTGTTCTCAGCGTCCACAACCATCTACTTCAAAGCATGAGCTGGCATTGCAAATGACGAAAAAAAACCCCTACACAGCATGGCATACCGGAAATGGAGATGAATTCAAGGGAGAGGTAGGTGAATTGGTAGTAGTAGGCTTCAAAGACAAAGACTCCAAAGAAGTTGATTTCATGAGTTTGGCTGATTGTGATCGTCGAAGTGAAGTAGCAGATGTTGATCCTGACAGTGCACCACTTATAGCCTTTAGGTTTGGTAGCGAGGCCTTGTTGTCGTTACTCTTCTTCTTGTCGACTTTGAAGTTCTGTTATAGGATTTCCGGCGTTAGCTCTCGAATTCAGTGTCTCAACGAAACACCCTCAGTCGGTTGTCAACCTTGTATTCAGCTACCAACTTCCAAACCGGCTCCAGTTCTCGTTTCAATTGCGCCATTTCGTCTGATACTCGAGTCAACTCTGTAGACAGATTCTTGACTGTCATGTCTAAGAAAGAGCAGATGTCAGCAAAAAGACGCAGGCAAGTAACCCAAAATACTCGGTAACGGCAGCCTTTACCTCGATCTTTGATGATGGTAGCTATTCTGTGTATTTCATCAGTCAATCGTGCATTAGTGGCCCAAGGACCATATGCATGCTGTTGGAAGGTGTGAATCAGACTCTGGATGATTGTTTGCAGCAAAAAAGAGGAGAAGTAACTCGTGATGCATACTCACCCTAGGTTCAGTTCTTCTCGTTACAGATTCAGGTACATAGTCATCTTGAGCAATGGGTATTCCTTGATTAACTTTAAAATCATATAGGATTTTCAAGAAACTGATACGTTGGCCCACTGAAGCCATTCCCAATTCCCGTAGAAGACTGTGGTCTGCATGTATGAGTACATCGCCACTTATTTCTTGTTCTAATATTAAGAGTAATATGGTATCAGCGTGGTCTTCATCGTGCTTCACATCATCATTTCATCATTTCAATCATGATCAAGTTGAGTGCAACACCGCTTCTTGCACTGATTCATGTTCATCTGATTGCTTTGTAAGTAGTTTCCATTGATCTCTTGTGTTATGGTTTGAAGACCAAGAATCGAAAATGTTGATGACTTTGGCGCGACTTTGAACAAGCTTCCCACAACAAATCTGACTGGAACTTGCCATAGAAAATATTCTTGTATGCAGGAAATCCTATTGACTCGACCTGTAAATCAAGTCAAAATAATAGTAAGACCTCCCTGTGATAAATGTCCATATTGAACAAAGCTTATGCTTTCATACCCAAGCACCAACAGTACTAGCATCCCAGTTATCCATGATTCAGAATGAAGAGTTCATATATATGATCTAAGACAAACTGCTCGACTTCCTAATCGTCTAATTTGGAATCAAAGTTCTTGTTCGGTCAGAAGTTGCGTGGCAGTGTACACGCGAGAATGAGACAGCGAGGGGTTCATCGTGAAAAGGAAATGTATTACTTCACATTTTGTTTTGAATTCTAGTCTGAAATGTACCCCACTGTGAAGCTTAATGTTGGCCTGAGATCTCTGAGATCAATCGTCAATCGGTTGCTGAAAAATTCCATGCAGTCACGTCTTATAGATTAGCCCAAAAGAGAAATGAGTTGGAATTTATGTAAATCTTAGCATTGTTTCGCGTTCCTCTACTCGTATTTCAAATCAAACCTCATCTCGCTCTTGATTGACTGATCAAAAAAATCGTCAGTAATGGAGGAGCAGCAGCAGCCTGTAGAAGAAGCTCTCTTCGAGTCAGACGATGTAGCTGAAGTAGTCGATACTGTAGAAGATGCTGCTGAACCAATGAGTGAAGATGAAGACATGGACATGGATGTGATTGGAGGTAATGAAATGTATTGGATTAAGCTATGTGAACATAGAAACTTATACACTATCCGCACTTAGACACTGAAGTCACAGAGTCCCAGGCTGATGATCAAGCTCTTTCTGTCGATGATTCGATAGCTGCTTTTAGTGATCATCAAGGTAGCTCTGTGTCGCAAAAAAAAACCGTCGCGATGATCATGAACGAGTACTGACGTTCTCATCTCTCCTTTCCAGAACCGGTATACTCTGTAGCCATAAATCCAACTAATCCCATGATGGCCATGAGTGGTGGTGGCAACGATCAAAGCTTTCTTTGGAGACTGGATACTGGCGAAAGGCTGTTTGACTTTCCGTGTACGTTAGCTAGTGTTGATCAAATCAAGACATGCAAGCTCATCATTAGATACACCTTTTTTCCCATACGCTATACAGCACATACGGACTCTGTATCTGATGTAAAATTCAGTGCCGATGGACGATTCGCTGCTAGTGGTTCTATGGACGGCAAGGTACATGTCCTGAACCCAGCAGATGGAACTCTAGTTAATACATTAGAGGGACCAAATGAAATCACGGTATATAGCAGAGTTCAAAAATCTGTTTTTGCACCATTGGAAATCCACTTACTCAACCTCTTTCATACAAATAGTGGCTAGACTGGCATCCACGCGGCGCAGTCCTACTAGCTGGTGGAGGAGATGGCAGCCTATGGATGTGGGCTTTACCAGCAGGCCTATGCATGAACGTCTTTGTAAACAACAATTCCCAACCGGTCACATGCGGAGCCTTCACTCCAGATGGGAAGTCCATAATATCAGCATCAGAAGACAAGACATTCTGTTTATGGGATCCAAAGACTGCTGCTGTATTGACGCGAATGTCGTCTGATGATGCCAGGTTTCATCAGAATGTCGTGACGACTTTGGCTGTGCATCGGGATAGCACGCTCGTCTTGTCTGGTGATTGTGATGGGTCCGCTAGGCTGCTTCATTTAGGAAATGGTCGTGTAAGTTGTGTAGAGAGTTGGGTGTCTTCAAAGATTTGTAGAAGTTTCAGTGGACTGACTTTTCTTCTTCTTGCTCTTCGTAGATTTTAGGAGCATTAGAAAATCATGCGGACTCTATAGAGACTGCTGGATTCTGCTCATCGTATGTCAATCCATGGTTGCGTCAGCTGAGGCTTTCTTTGCTAACCATATCCACAACGTCTTCACAGTATGCCGTGGGCTGCTACAGGTTCTGTGGATAGCACCATTAGTGTATGGGACATCCACACTTTACGACTAAGGCAGACGTTGCGGCATGATGTAAGTGGTGGTCTTATAGTTAGGAGGTGAACAAACAGAAATCTGATACCCCTTCTTCTATAGGATGCTGTCGTATCAGTCCAATGGCATCCGACAAACCCATACCTCTTCTCAGCATCAGCAGACAAGACGGTCCGACTTTGGGATGCTCGATCAGGCAATCAGGAAAGGATATGGAGGGGCCATCAAGCACCTATACTCTCTATGGCTCTCTCATCTGATGGAAGCCATGTTATAACAGGTTCAGATGATGGCAGCGCTCTTGTATTTGCTATGTAGGAAAAGAATGTTTATGTATAGGTTTTCGTCTTGCATTACAATATTATATGAGATCCTCATTAAACGAAAGTTATGGTGTTGGTTTTTGTTGTTTACAGGTTGATTCAGAAATCAGTCTTGCTTCTATTCTTTTTGGTCTCCTTGCGTGAGTCCTTTGATTTTCTAGTTCGCTCGCGCTCCTCAGCTTGCCTACAAAAAAAAAACATTCAAAAACAGTGCATGGACGTTTGCTTTACTACACACAAACCACCACAACCTACGAAAACAGACACGAATAAGCGATTAATAGCAATCACTACTTACAGCAACCGAACACGCTGCCTCGTCTCTGGCGACGTCTCAGCAGGCAGCACACTAGCTTCCACGATCGTACCATACAGCTTGTCGATACAATCCTCCAAGTTCTTGTGCTGCGTTCGATACCGATCTGAAGTTATCACGAATTCACCCTGTTTGTTGATTCGTGATGAGTTCTATGGCGAGTATGGGTCATCAGTGAGGTGTTTTTTTTTTTGGTTGGTCGACTAATATGATAACATACAAGCAACGAGATCTTGTCTTTGATCGGATCAGGCAGCCATGTAGCGTCACGTAGTTTAAACCTTGTCTCGACCTTGGTGTTGACTGTAAATGGTTGAAATGCGTGTTAAAACAAGGATGCGAAAAAAGGATTATTGATTACATCGAATTGCAACACAGATCATCACAATTGGCAGAAAGGAAACACTTATTTGTTAACATTCTGGCCTCCTGGACCACTGCTTCTGTTGAATGTGAATGAGATTTGATCTAAAAAAGGAAGTTAACTTCCAAACTACAAACGTTTTGCGATAATACGACCTCGTTACCTCTTGGAATCGAAGACCTAGTAAAGGTTAAAGCAAATTGACGTATTGCATGCGTCGCAGCTGCACTCAATGACGATGAGGACCTAGAGAACAGACGCCAGTTCATATGTGAACAACAAAAGTTAAACTCGAATGATATATGAGCCATATAGCTTTTATTTCAGAGGTATTACTTCTACTATCACTATACACTCAGCTCAGATTCACGTCAAATCACGCCAATCGACTAGGAAGGATACAAACGATGTCAAGTGTGAGCACATGTGCTTTAAATATGTTCAAAGCTGATCTTACTTGATGGCCGTTTTGTACAGAGTAGAAACATTGTTGGCCCATTTATCAATTGCAGAGTATTGCAATGAATCATTTGATCTAGTGCATGGTTTGTGAGCCCTTCTTGAAAGCTTGCCGAAAAAACGAATTCTTCTCGTAATGGAACATACTGCTGTTGCAATTCCAGACGTCCTTCAACTTGATCAATACGACCAGATATCTTGTTGTCCAATATCAAAGATACCAATAACTCTTCCACAACATCTGGAGCCACATTTAGTTGCTTCAGTGAGAGTGAAAACAGGTATTAAAAGAGAGTCTCTGAGACTGTAAATCTAATATCTGGAGACCCTTTTTTACCTTGGAGACAAAGGGAATCTCAATACGAGTGTATGGTTTGATGAGTCGTTCCAATTCCTTTGTTCGAATATTTCGCAATACGTCATCAATGTACGTTCGAATGAATGGATCGTCCATGATGTGCCTTTGATTGTCTATACAAGAGGGATACCAGAACATAAAGTATGCAACGAATTGAGCAGACGTTTGTACAAAGTCAGCACACAAATTTCAATCCAATTTACCTCGCAGAATCTTTTCAAACTCTCGAATATCGCTTCTTTGATAGGCATTCACCAGATTCGTCATTGGTAGGATTTGAGCATCGTTCTTGTACCTAACAGTTACACACAAAAAATAATCTTCTCAGAATCGAGAATACAAAGTGCCATTTGCAAAGTCAAGCAGCACATACGGTTTCGTTTCTTGCGAGTCAAAGGGATTGATGAGGGAATTCATCAGCATGTTGGCCAGCACGAGATACCTAAAGGTAGAGAATTCAGTGAGCCACCAGCTAGAATGAGACACTAGCTGGGCATCGATATGTTTCTCTTACTTGAGACACTGAATACGCTGTGGACTGCCAGCTTCATCATAATTCTTGAAAGCTTCGAAAAAGTCGATTTGAGCCTTCTCCCATTCCTCTGTTTGCGATAGGTTGAAGAAGGTAAGTAGAAACTATGGATTTTTCTCAACCAACAGTACGCACTTTCACTCATGTGCATCTTTCCACCACATTCCCGAATGACACCCATAATACGTGGATGTGGAATGGCTGATTTGACATGGAGAGTACGATTGTACAAGGCCTAGTTGTTGGCAAAATTGAGCACAAATAGTCTTGAAATGGCCAAGATTGAGATTTCTTGGTCTCATACCTTGAGCTTCTTGTTATTCTTCTGCTCAGTCAACATTTGAATCTCCAAGGCATATATTTCCAAAAGCAGTGTACCCTTCTTTTGGTCTTCACTTCCATCATCATTTTGGCAAGATGCGTATAATTGTTTCAGGATCTAAGTTTGCAAAAGCGTTGAAGAACTTGAACACAAAAAGAATGGGCAAAGCGAGCTGGATACCTTGTTGAGACGGGTGTATTCACCACGATCAAGCCATAACTTGGCAAGCTTGAGATTCGTCTTTGTCCATAAACGCTATGGAAATCGTTTGATTTATGAGCACATGCTTGGGACTCTGAAAAAAGATTAAATCTCCTCGATTGACATACATCATTCTTGGTCTCAGCCAAAGTCTCCAAAGTAGTTTCATAGAACTGTTCCAAAAAGACCATATCAACACTAGCTGAAACAAAGTCCAGGATGTTGTTGATACTCTTTTCAGCGTAATTCCTTGTGATTGTGTTTCCTTTGGTGTATCCAAGTAATGATTTATAGTATGTCAAGGTCTGGGTAAGACAGGGACGGATGTGAGATTCCGCGTTGTACGATGAGTTAAAAAAAAGGAAATCCATTTAGAGGGAAGGATGACAGAGCATCCGAGACGCCCATTCCTACATTTTCAAAGCGATTGAGTTTGAAGGAAAGCTTGGTCATTTGCTTGAGAGACTTGAATCCCCTGATGAAGCACAGAGCAGAGAGAATTTTAGAAAATTCATATAGCGATCGACAGTTCGGTTTTTAAGCCACTAAATCACATACCAGTCACCAATAGGATTCTCTGTATCAACAACATGTTGAAAGTCTCGTAATGCCTTGTCAGGATCATCCTCCTTGCTGCCTACACACAACATAATATCATATCAGTATCAAAACAACGAGAAGAAGGCTGCTGCTAAGCTCGAGCTGCAGCTAATCGACAAGCAAAGAACCACAGTATTGATATAATATTCACCTTTTGCATTGTAATATTTGTTTTCCAAATCGACATCAGGTTCTTCATTGTCCTCATCTTCATAGTTGAAATCGTACTCTTCGTCACCGTCTTCAACCTACGTTGAAATTAATTGATGTTTGGTTGATGTGTTCTTGAATTTGACCAGTTTGGCGAGTAAAACGACGAAGAGCTTCAGTAGAGCATTAAGCGGGCCCTACCATGAACGCATCATCGTCGAAATCCGCAGACATCGAAGCAGTCAAAAAGGGTCAACGAGTTATTTGCTCCAACGTCCCAAACGACAACAAAGCAACGCTGTCTGTGCAATCTGTGACAATCAAGCCAAGACAGTGTCAGGTTCAGGTGACGCTTGTACTTCTGCTTTTTGCTGTTTCCGTAATTTTTTTCTTTGAGCAGCGATTGTGCTGTTGTGAGGAGAGGAGCGTAGTTTGGGGCATTCTCACATGTAACATTTCTGTGAGCCATCTGTGAGTATTGGAATGTTCCTATGCCTAATTTACGTTTATACAGGTCCCTCCTAATTGACCCTGTACTAATTGTCTGTCTTGTCTTCTTCTTACTGCCTCCTTACTCTGCTTGTCATAGTTCTGTCTGGATGATACTGAAGTACACTGCCTCCTTATTCTGTTTGTCATTTGGAGCATACAGAGCAGTTGCAACAGATGAATCAGTTGGAACAGATGTTTCTGGATGCTACTTGTTGCTGCTTTGAGTATCTTGTTTGTCTTGTCGCTTCCTTACTGTGTGTCGCCGTTCTTGCTGTTGGAAAAATTTGACCGTTGGAATAGATGTGTCCTCCAGTGTCCGTTGGAACTTCTACGGAGAGAGCCAACAGTCAGTTCTTCTGTGACGAGCTGTCACTGCAGCGTTTTAACGAGAGGAAGATGGGAACTCGCCACTTGAATGCATTCGAAAACAGGACAGCCGACAATGAATAAACGTCAATTGAAGTTTCTTTTATTTGATTTTTTATAGCTATAATCATCCTCTACTTTATGCTCGAGCGGATTTGGCCAAACCTGGATTAAAATAGTGGGTGTTAGTACAACCTTCTTTCATCCAATTGGATTCTAACAACAAGACTTACTCTCGACATCGCTCACGCATTGGTTGAGAATGCTTTGTTGCTATGTACGGTGAGGCGAATTAGAATCAAATCGAGTTGAGCAAAAAAGGAGAACCGGTCTATGAATACATACCACTTTTGGGTCTTCTAAACCAGCTTCAATTTTGGAGATGACTGCTTCAACCAATCTTCGTTGTTGAGCTTCACGAACACTGGCTTCGTATCGTACCCAAGAGTCCAACATTCCCTTGACTTCCGAGGAGAAAGCAACTTTTTGCTTGAGCTCATAAGTCTCAGCTTCCAAACGAGCAATGTCCTACAGGAGAGAAGATGTTCAGTATAGCGATATCTACAGCGAAGCGGGAATGGTAACAGAGTAGATGATGAATCATCATCCAGAGGCTCCTCGTCCATGTTTTCGTCCCTGTAATCATCTTCTATCATCTCCTACTGTAATGATTATTTACCTTGGACATGTCATACAATCCCTTTGTGACATCGACGACATCGGATAGTTTAGATATGTGGTCAATACGTTCCTTGACGACAGCCTTGTGGTCGTGTCGAGCAGTCTCAAGAACCTTCTTCATAGTCTAAGAGATAAAAATATAAAGCGTTGGCCGATGGTATTGGAGACCAATGATGTGTAGGTAGCTCTGGTGTTTGAATGGCAAGTTTCCTGCCTCTACTTTGTCGTCCAATCTGATAACTTACAGCCTTTCGTTCATTAAAGTATTCTATGGCGCCGTCACGACCACCCAAGTACCAGATGTAGTAAGCACCGAATATGGTCAGCATTTCGTAGAATTCCGCGTCTACAATGTAGACTTCCTTTGACACCATGTAGGCAGCAACAGCGGCAGATAGGAGGACTGTTCCAGTTTTAGCGACCATGCTCTCTCCAGGGACTATGCTGATGATGGCGGATGCAGTTTCTTTAGGGTCTGGTCGTGCTGTAGTGAAAAGAGAGTTAGTTGATGATGTTGAAGGTGGTGAAGAAGGACAAATGGTGACTCTGGTTGAATAATTTAAAGAGTAATGAGCTGTAAGGAGCTTACTGGCAGACATTGAGCGAGCCATAAATGGGGTGCTAGGTTTTCGAGTAGAAAGAAGATTTTGTGAAATGTCGGAGAAAAGAGAGTAGGAGTTTAATATGAATGTGCATGGAGTAGCTACCTGGCAATAGCAGGGATGTGAGCAGACAATGCACTCTTGACAAGAGATGGTCTCCATGCTACAATGTGTAGAGTAATGTTAGTCGAGCAATTGTGAATGCAATTGATGCTGGGCCAATGCAATTCCAATGTGATGCCATCCAATGAAGGAATGAGTGAATGGATGAGTCTGTTAACACGTGTACTTGCCTCTGGAGACCAAATTGGTTGCTTGACGGAAGGCCATCTTTGCTATTCTGTGCAAGAATTTGATGGATCAAGGACGAGTTGGCGAGCTTAAAGGACATACAACAAACGGTACAGAGTAGACTTGTAAGCGTGCAGAGTGAGCTTTAAACTTCTCTTTCTTCTTTTTTGACGCGTCGATGTGATGTTGTCGTCTCAAATTCTTTGTTCTCACCAACACACAAAACATCCATATAGACATGTCTCGGAATGCTAAGCTGACTCTGGCTGGATCTATTGTATTTACAGCAGCCACCATAACATTCGTGTATTGGCTCAAAGATGCCGAAACAAAGGCAAGTTACAGTTGGTCGATTCAATAACTCGTTTAGTTGCTCATCTGGCCTTCTCTAGGTCAGAAGAGTAGGCATCGTACGTGACGATGAAAAGAGACGCTTACGTAAAGAAGGCACTTCATCATCATTGGATACCGTACCTGCCATAGTACTAGACGACAACCAACAGTCATCAAAAACACCAGCATGAACCATCCCTCGCTCTTTTGTTATATAGAACCTCATAGATTTCGTGTATAGTATCATAAAGCAGTCAATAGATTATTGCATCCCATATGCCCCTCGCGTTCCAAGTTGCGTTCTCTCTTCCGTAAAACACATATATGCTCTTGAGCTCGACAGAATACTAGAGCTTTGAACCAGCCATGAATAGCAGAGGAGGAGGTTATGATATGCATCAGAATGGTGGTAAGTATACGCTCGAATCGTTCTATACTAGCCTTATAGCTGCTATTGCAACAAATTGCTTTTTTCGCCTTTTGTGAAAGCAAGCTTGTCAACACGAAGGAAGATGCCAACGACGTGATGAATATTGCAAGACCGAATTATAATTAGGCACAGGGCTGCTTGATTCCTGCCTCGGTCTTGTTCTGTCTCTTGTTTTTGCTGCGACATCAAAAACATTTGGGAAAAATGTTGCAAATCATTTACAGACATAGTGGCTGGTTTATTGTCGGAGAGGAGCTTCATTCATCATCATATTTAATGAATACGGAAGAAGCTTCGACGACTTGACTATATCAACAGCTTGCTTGTTTTGTGTCCTTTCGCTGAAAGTTGAACTGTGAACAGCTTGCCATACTAACCAATCTCTCTCATCCATATCCAATCTATAGATGGCGGACGTTACCGTGACGATGGCTATGGACGACGAGGTGGAGACCGTGGTGGAGACCGCCGAGACGATCGACACAGAGACAGCAGAGGCTCCCGAAACAGAAGTCGCTCTAGAGAAGGCCGAGATGATCGCGGATATGGTGGCAGAGGCGGTGGAGGAGGTTATCGTGAGGCACCAACCCGAAGAAGAAGTCGAAGTCCTCCTCGTGGTAGAAAACGCTCAGAATCACCACCACTACGAAGAGATCGTTCAGTCACTCCCATACATCTGAAAAAGAAGAAACTCAACGCTTGGGATGTTCCTCCTCCCGGTTATGAAGGGATGACTGCTGCTCAAGTCAAGCAAACAGGTATGTGGTGAACACAATCAAACACTTTATTCAGTTGACGATACCTTCATATAACATACTAACATCATATCTTTTCCATATAACAGGACTGTTCCCATTACCAGGTCAACCAGCTCGAGCTGCTGCCATAACAGGCCCTGGCGGTATCCTCACTATAGCAGATTTGCGTGGTGGAGGAACCGCTCATAGTTTAGCTACCCTCAAATTAGCACCCAACGTCGCTGGACCTGCTGCCGTCGCAGCACTAGCTACAAGTGCCCAACGCCAGGCTAAAAGGCTATATATTGGTAATGTGCCAGCTGGTGTCACCGAGGTAAGCTATCTCCTCCGTCGAGGAGTCGCTTCTTTTGCGCACAAATGGAGCCCGTGTTGCCCAAATACATATGCGCTAACCTCTCTGCTCACTCTGCAATCCAACAGGACCAACTCATCCAATTCTTTAATGCTTCGATGTCAGCTATGAGTATGAACATTCTCCCCGGTGACCCATGTGTCTCGTCACAGATGAATGTGGAAAAGAGTTACGCGTTCGTTGAGGTATTTGCACCAGCAATAACTCTTCTCTTGGCATCTCTCACTCCATTGACTCACTCCACTTCATACATAGTTCAGGAGTGCACAAGAAGCATCAGCAGCTCTGGCGTTCGATGGTATTCAATTCTCAGGCCAGGCACTCAAGATTCGAAGGCCAAAGGACTATGCAGGTGGAGGAGCAGAGGAGGATGGTGTTGAATTGACTCATATCCCCGGTATGTGTTGGTTGGTTCTGGTGTGAGCAATTCTGGAAACGACGTTATTGGAAACATTTTTGTTCACTCCTGACTTCGATTTTTTTGGGCTGAATTTAGGTGTCATATCGACCAATGTAGCCGACACGCCAAACAAAATATTCGTGGGAGGTCTACCTACATATTTGAACGATGAACAAGTGATTGAATTGCTGAAAGCTTTCGGTGAACTACGTTCGTTCAATCTGGTAAAAGATGGAACAACCAATGCCTCTAAAGTGAGTATTACAAATGACATTCTTTCCTCGAAGTTCTTGATAACTGATTCCGTTCAATCCTTTAGGGGTTTGCCTTTTGTGAATATCTAGATATTGGCATCACCGACCTAGCTATATCCGGACTGAATGGCATGGAATTAGGAGATAAAAAACTTATTGTGCAGCGAGCATCAACTGGTGCTGCCAACAGAAACACTGGCATCACTTTGAACCTAAACGCAGCAATGGGACCAGGAGATCCCACTCCTGTGTTACTACTCTTGAATATGGTTTCTCCGGATGAGTTGATGGATGCCCAGGAATATTCAGGTATGTTGCGAGATAGCAGAAGAAAAGCATGCACCGCTTTCTTATGCCACCTTGATTTTCTCATCAAACCCCTCTTCTTTTCATTAGAAATTGTGGAAGATATTCGAGATGAATGCTCCAAGTTTGGCAACATACTCCAAGTTATGATTCCTCGACCTCTACCTGGCCAACAAGTCGCAGGAGTCGGAAAAGTAAGTACAAAATGCATGGGTCTCATTCGAGTAGGGTGAAAAACATGAGGACATGGTCTTTGTCACAGGTTATATCTTACATCAATGTCTATGGATTGTCACTCTTCCATTCCACCATTCACTAACACACTCCGGCTTTTCAATAGGTCTTCATTCACTACTCATCACCTGAACAGAGTCAAACTGCTCTCAGGTCCCTCGCTGGGCGTCGATTTGGAGAGAGAACCGTGGTGGCTTCCTACTACCCACCTGAGAAATTCTTTGCTGGAGACTACTAAAACAGGAGAAACGACCAGGAGGAAGAAATTACAGGAAGGAGGTTTACAAAAGACGGAAGACAATTAAAGGGGAGGGAAAAAAAGATATTATTCATTTTTGTTCGTAGCATTGTCAAAATTGTTTGTAGCTGTCCTGTTGTTGTTTTTTCACTAGATAAATCTGCGTAAACCAATACTATCTTTGTGCTCTTGTTGGCGGCGATAGACATGCGATACTGGGCTCTGAAACATAGAGAACAAAGCAACTTACAGTGTTGAACTTAAAAAAGATGGTAGCCGTTCTTGATGCTAGTTTTATTGATTGATTTACTCCTTATTAACATGCAAGAGACACCACCCTCCATAAAACACCAGCACCACAATACTATGTGTTTTGGCAGCCTGATTTTGATTTTTACACCAACACAACACAATCCACACGACATTCCTTAAATTACAACCCACATAAGAAAATCACAAATCAAGGGAATCCAAAAAGGAATCGTCTTCATCGTCATCAGCCACCACTTTGATTGACGGTGGTTTGACTTTAAATGCTACTGCTGATGCTGTTGTACTCGAGTTTCCATTACTAGATGAGACAACAGCAGCACCAGAGCTGCCCATCAATACAGGAGGTGTAGCTCCATTATTACTATAACCAGGGCTACTGCCCAATTCTTTTTGAGAATTCATTATTTTACGAGCTGGACTTGGCATAGGTAGTGGCGACATGGATGCAGGTCGTAATGAAGATGGTTTGGAAGGTGATGATTGAGGATTTCCATTTGTTTCGGTTGTTGAAGTGTTTGGTGTTGGTCCAAGACTAGGTGATTTTTCAGGTGATTTTTCCCTATGAAATGGTTGTGTGCGTAAGTATTTGAATGTGTTGTTGGGTGTTTAGTCATCTCTGGAGATGCTCTAGTGATATCCTTTTTCTACTGTCTGAACACCAAAACAAGCTGAAGCAACCACAGCGAAAAGCATTCCGACCATTAGCCCTCAATTCAATCTCTTCAAATGTCCAATTCACTCACTTTCCAAGCATACGAAAGTTCAAGGTTCTCCTTCTTGCAAAAGGATCCAACCCACTATCACCCTTTTCTAATTTAGCCTGTACAGCAGCCACTTCAGCAGCCTTGACTTCCTGCACATTCTTTTTGCGATTGGCATCATTGATTTGATCTAGATGTCTGGCCTTTTCAATTTGTCTCCTCTTTTCTTCCTCCATGGCATACTCTAGACGTTCCAATTGCATTTTATATCGATCGGCTGCAACCTTGTTGTCAACTTTGGTTGCTTCTTCTTGTAAACGTTGGAGCGTAGCCTTCTCTCGGATGGTATGAGCAACAACGTTGAATTGTCGTCTAGCATTGGTCTCCAGAGTGATTTCCTCCTAAAAACCGTCGGTAAAGTCAGCACAACCTATTGAAGAATGTAGGCAAGGATACGAGGACACAGAGAACTTGAATGCCAAAACTAGCTCCTCCACTATCAACAAAAAACCTTACAGAAGTCAAGGCGCGCTCACGGCGACTCTTGATTTCCTGTTTCTTCCTAGTAACATCCTTAACACTCATAAGTTTGAGACCATCCACTTCCATGGTTTTCTTCCATCGATCGAATTCGGCCTATAAGTAAATGAGACATCTCAGCAACTGACAATTATGACGGAGGTCGACAACGAGATCAACTTTTTCTCTATCTGTCTTTTGCAGGCACACTTTGCACTGGAGCAAACTCGAGTCTGTCTTTTGGCGATACATTTCTAACTCATACCTGAGTGATCCACTCATTCGAGACTGTAGCCATCTTAAAAGTCTTTGAAGACTTGCCATGCGAGACTTTGATCTCTTGATTAACCACAAATCCATCATCCAATTTGTATGGATTGTTGGATTCTTGCGTATCCGTGATGACAACCAGTCGGTAGGCATTGTTTCCTTGAGGATCAAGGCCTAAACCCAGACGAGCGACACAGCCTAAATGAAGTTCAAAAATAGAATTGATGGTGAGTTTCATGCAAAAAAAATACCACAGGGAAGTCATGTCCTCATATCGTCTGCTTAATCCATCACCCACCAGTGACGAGTGACTTGAAGAATGGATGGAAGACCCATTTCTGTATATCTGATCTTCGGATTTGGATACTACGCAAGTCTTCGAGTTTGATTTCAATCGCCTGAGGAAAGATAATGTATCAGTGACGATATCAATCAAAGGCAACCACTGGTACTTGCGTGGTAGTAGTCAGATGCTAGCTTGGCTGGAGATTCTTCTCTCTCTGACCTGCTACTTCTTGTCTTACGAGAGCCCTTCTTCTTGTCGTCGTCTGAATCACCATACTTGGAATCGCTATCATCATCATCTGAATACTTTTTCTTTTTACGACTTGATGATTCGGATGCGGCGGCTTTAGATGATTTCCTTTCCTTTTTCAATTTCGACAAGTTTTTTGAGACCTTGGATTCTACTTTTCGTGACGAACCTATGTTGAGTGATTTGTTGGCTTATGCCAGTCGTGTCGCGTAATTCGGAAAGAATGAAGCGATATTTACGTCGAGCATCTTGCTGCACTTGCTGCAGCCGTTCCTTGACCTCAAGTCGTTCTTGCCATTGTTGTTTCTATGATGTGATTCAGAGTATGATCAAAATTAGTGTCAAAGAAGGAGCGTGCAAGATAAAGCGACCCAACCTGATCTAATCTTTCAGCCAATATTTGTTCTCGTTCAAATTCAGGCATTTTTGATAACCTATGTAGTTGAGCAAAGGTAGCCTTCAGGCGATTTGGTCCGTGGCAATTAGAGAAGAGCGTGAATTAACATACTTGTCTCGATCTTCACTATTGCCATAGCCCCGATCATCATACATTCTTATTTTCTTCCTCATTGCATCCACACTTTCGTCCTCTCGGTCAGACTCTCCCTCGTCATCATCGTCCTGGGCTCTGCTACGACGTTCCTTTGACTTTTTAGGCTGTTTACTCGTATTTGACTTTAAAGAAGAGAATCTGGGACTATCGTAATCATCTTCATTATCATCGTCTTCTCCTTTAGCGTCCTGTTCATCATCATATTCGCCCTCAGTCTTGCTGCTGTCACTTTCATCACTCGAGCTAGAAAATGTATAGTATTGTAAGCAAACAGTGAGTTGATTGATATGTAGTAGCAGATTATGATTCATTGGCATGTGATTTTCAAGTTCTAAACCTCTCTTTGGTGGTATATATAGTCGAACGCACATACCTGACTTCTCGTCTCCTCTTGTTCTTGTTTCCAGAGCGTCCTTTGCTACCAAAAGCCAAAGCTAGGAAATCATCGTCGTCCTCCATGGCAAGAGATACGTTGCCTCGATCTCAGTTGATGACTTGAACGTTTGAATTGGCTGTTTTCCAAAGTGCGAATTGAATGGTGTGGAGGTTTTTGAAAGTGGGGCGGAAGGCACATTTAAAAGCCAAAACTTCTAAATATTTATTATTCTTTATGTAAACTACGCGGAATTCCACGCTTCATCAAGTCGCAGTGTTGACTATTTCATCACGGTCATCACTTTGTTCGTCAGTACTAAACATATTTGTTGTTAGACAAGCATTCTAGAGTTCGAAGGAACGAACGATTGCTGTATTTTACTGTCAGGATATTCAAGTATTGATCATTCTGGGAGCTTGATTCTTGTCGAAGTCAAAAGCAATTGCTGTTTGAACTTTTTGTTGGAAGGGAGCATTTGCAACGCTCAAAATGAGGAAATCAATGAGTTATTGAGTTTCTCTTCAACTGTGCGTTTCAAATTAACCTGATACATCTGCAACCTGTGTGTTCGACATCAAGATCTAAACCGCAACATTTGCTGTTAACAGCTACCTGACCAACTAGATTTTCAATTAATTTCAAGGCCTTTAATAAACTCTTACACCGATATTATAATCTATCACAAACTATGCCTCCACTGCCATCCCTTGTATTGGAAGTCTTATTCGAACATACGTTGGATACCAAGACTTTGTGTGCAGCTGCTCTTCTTTGCAAAGACTGGAACTCTGCAGAAAACTGTATCGAGAGGTGCGTCTCAAAAGCACAAAAGTTTCTTGAATCTTTGGTTTGGATTTTCAAAGGGAAGGCGTCGCAAAATCCAACATACTACCAATATCCGCTACCAAATGTAAAGGAACTGAGCTTCGAGGGTGCCCGTGATAGCAAATGTGCTCATATCATAGTTTGGAGTAGTCTGTTATCAGAGTGCTCCAATCTCCAAAGTCTTACTATCAGCTGTACAGTCGCTGTCGAAGCCGGCATCGACCGAGCTCGCGGCTTCATAGTGCCGAGGTCAAGGTTTTGCGTAGCTAATCACTTTTGTGGAGGCTTGTCTCCTACAACCAAGTATACCAGCGACTGGTTTGGTGGTGGTGTTGCCGTAAGGTGTCTAGTGGTAACGACCTACAAAGCTGACCTAATGTGGCCTTAAGACTTGTGCAATGGTCTGCTTGGGTCTTTAGGTTGATGACGTGGTGTGAAGATATGCGAGGAGCCAAAGAAGTGCTTTTTGGGAGCTCTAATGGCTGAAGAGTGGTCGGCCTTGAATTTGTTTTGAGTTTTTGCCTAATGCAAATGATGCTATTGTTGTTAGTCAGATGCAAGACAATTGACAAGATTCACGTCTTACTAGTATTACTGACTCTGCCTTGATCACGGTTGGTGTGATCTGTATATCTGAGGTGCGCGTTGTGGGAGAGTGCTATTCATTGTTTGATGTCTCGTTCGTTAAGAGTCAGCAAGGTGATCCAGGTCTTCAGACACCAATGAGTCACACATATTCATAGTAGTCCAATGTATTATTGGATACTATCTTGGAGACAGGCCATACGACATATAGAGCAGGTGCAAAAAAGATCCCAACATTGTTGTCATCTTCCTTCACAATCTTGTCACTTTTGCGTCTCGTAATCTGTACTAGTCTTTCAGAGATATTCCTCTGCTGTATCAGAACGAGCTGTGGCTACCGTTTACGGTGCTGATTAGGGTATAAGCTGCTATAACAGTGCCCTGCTGTGTGAGAAACGGAGGAAAGAGTCGAACGCAAGACAGACAAGTCACTCATTTTTTTGGGGACTATAAACTTTCTCTAGTACTCTAGTATTTTCAACCCACACGACACATGCACTACAACGTGTTTGAACACCATAATAACCATAATTGAACATTTTCTTTCATAAAAAGTGTACATGCAAAAAAATGGTATCAGACACATCTATATTGGGAGTGTAGCTGACGACAGTCCTTGTTCAGACTGCTCTGAAGGTGCTTTTGAATGCTGTTGCATCCTCTCGTTTTTGAGGATGTTTTTGATATAAAACTCCCCAGCTTTGTATGAAGACCTTACTAGAGGTCCGGCTGCGACATATTTGAATCCAAGATCTCTCGCTACATCGGCGAAGTGGTCGAATTTGGAAGGGTGGACGTATTCAGAGACCTGGAGATGCCAAGGAAGAGGAGCATTGATTAGAATCTGAGTAGCAAAAAAGGTAGACAACAACAAGATGGTCTTCACCTTCATATGCTTCTTGGTTGGTCTCATGTACTGACCGAACGTTATCACGTCCACATCAATAGATCGTAAATCTAAGGAGACGTGCAAGAGAGCTTGAGAAAACAGTGTTTCAACATGACACCTCAACTTTTTTTACCTTTCATCGTCTGAACGACCTCCTGATCCGTCTCACCCAAACCCAGCATCATAGATGTCTTTGTTACTAGACCAGGTACAGCCTTCTTGGCTGTTTCGAGCACACTCATGCTCTGCTTATAATTTGCTCGTCGATCTCGAACGTATGGTTGCAGTGATTCGACTGTCTCGAGATTATGAGCATATACATCCAATCCAGATGTAGCGACTCGAGACGCAGCCGACAAATTTCCGTAAAAGTCTCCTGTAAGGCATTCAACCAGGATTTGAGGAGCTCTGGTTTGGAGGGAAAAAGGCAAGAGGTGAGACCTTCAATTATTTTTTGCCGTCGAAGAGAGAAAACAAGGTTCATCCTTTCATAGTCGAGTGACCATAAAAGGATACACCGAGTACAGAAATCACGCAAATGTACCTACTTTTGCTTGATGAGCTCGACAGTGGTAGCAAAGTGATTTGCACCACCATCAGGTAGGTCATCACGATCCACAGAGGTCAAGACGACGTAGTCTAGACCCCATCTCGATATTGCTTCAGCCGTATTTTCTGGCTCATTGGCATCCAGAGGTTTGGGTGCTCGATTTGTCTTTACAGAACAGAATCGGCAACCTCTCGTACACTCGTCTCCCATCAGCTAGGGAATGATGTAATATGTTAGAAAATGGTGGCTTGAAATTGACTCGGTAACTTGGCCTTTACCATGATGGTAGCAGTAGCAGTCTTGTGCTCTCCACCACCCCAACATTCACCAATATTCGGACATCGTGCTTCTTCACAGACCTGGCGAAAGAGGAATATGAGCAACTCTAAAGCATACCACAAGCGAAAGGAAGTTGAACATACAGTATGAAGATTGAGTCCTCGTAAATCCTTCTTGATTTTGGAAAAGTTCCTTCCAACCGGTATCTCAGTTTTGAGCCATGGCGGTAATCGCACATGTCTGTAGAGCAAGGAGAAGCTGGTTAGCACACAGTAGAGCGAGCTCCTAAGCATCGATCGCTTATTCAAGCGTGCCTAAGAAAACCGACCTTTTAGTAGAACCTGTAGAGTCTACTATAGGCTGTTGCAGCTCGAGCGATTCAGCCATGGTCATCTGCGAAGAAACAGCAATAAAGTCTCCAAGTCCAGGTCCATTCTTCAGCCTGGCCGTGAAGTCTGTTGGTGATGGATTAGATGCCGGCGATGGATTTGGTTTAGCGGCCGTTGCCAGATGTCGAGCACAATGTATGGCCTTTTGTAGATTGAGATAAAGAAGACAGGAGTAATTTAGTACGAGATCTCTATGTTCAATTCCAATGCTTTTGACAACTGACCTTGTGCAAACTTTTCCTCGTAGATTGTCCAAGTAACATGATCACGAGAGAAGACGGCCTAGATGGACGATGTAAGATATAACGATGCTCTAATATCGAGAAGCTATAAGCGAGCAGTTTGTTTAGGCTGCCAAACAGTTCAATGATTTGAAAAGCGACGACGATAGTAACAATGAGCGTAAACAAAAGAAAAGACGAGACGGAAGCGTCCATAAAATCGATAATGGACGTGATTCCCAATGATTCTCTTCTTCAGAAACACGAAATCGTCAATCTGAAACCTGAAATATTTGTTGCTGACAATCACCTTTCGAAGTAGCGGTCCAATGATAGCGATTCGCGTGAATATAAGATACGAGCTTGATCCATACTCATAATGATGTCTACTCTCCGTCGTACGGCCCACATCGCACCGGCATCATCACACAGTGATTCTTCACAACACTAAAACTCAACAGTATCTTATTCACGACAGGATCTTATTGAAAATGGTAAGAGACTAACACGGCAGCATTTTATTCTTGTATTGTGCATGCATCGAGTCTTTTGGAGATGGAAGTACAGACCGAATCAGCCTCAATTTATTGTGATGGTGAAGACGGCGGCAACATGTTTTATCAACCAAAACAATACGAGATGTGTATATTGAAGACAGTCTTCATGTTCATATCATCAACATCTTGCTACCATGATCATGGATCTAGTCAGATCTATGGTTGGAAGACCATCGCAAAGTCAACATCAACTAACAAACACTCCATTTTCGAATAGTCGGCTAGAAAGCAAAAGAAGAAGCGAGCCGTCAGGCAAAACTCGAATGTGTTTGCCATGTTTGATCAAAAGCAAATCGGTGAATTCAAGGAAGCATTCTCAATGATTGACCACGACAATGATGGATTCATCGACAAGGAGGATTTGAATGACATGCTATCATCCCTTGGTACGACAAACTTGATAAAGCTGATCATTATCACATCATATACAGCTGATACGCCACCGTACACTAGGTCAAAAGCCAACTGACGAGTACCTTGACGAAATGGTCTCGGAAGCTCCTGGATCAATCAACTTTACCATGTTCTTGACTTTGATGGGTGAAAAGCTGTCGGGAACCGACTCGGAACATGAAATCTTGCAAGCTTTTGAATGCTTTGATGAACGAAAGACTGGCTTTATCAATGCTGAACTCTTCCGTGAATACATGACCAGTATGGGTGATCGCTTTACTGATGAAGAGGTATTACAAAGAGTTTGCGTCTGGTCATAATATTGGTCAGGTTCGCTAAAAAGGATACCTTTTATACACAGGTTGATATCATGTTCAAGGGTGCTCCAGTTGATCCCGCCACTGGTAACTTCAACTACCGCACGTGGACTCGTGTATTGAAGCACGGTGAATAAATTGCTCAGAATGATTCGCGTCTTTCCAAATATTCTGTATTCAAGCCAAAAAGTAATCTGTAATATAAAGACAATTTGTGCACTCAAACCTTGGTTTTATCATCGCACGAGCAGTTCCCAAGCAGTTCTCTCTCAGAGCCGTAGATGGGCACATGGAAACTAATGGTGACTTGAGCGAAAATGGTGTGGTCGCTCTTCCGGATAGCGGGCTTCCACAGAAAATGGACGTTGTCGAGCCTGGTTCACAGGAACCATTATCGATGCCGGAAAGAGTCATTGAACAGCGGCTATTGCCGATTTATGCGTCGTAAGCTTATCGCTGTCTGTGTAAGTCTTCATTCTTCTTAGGAAGCCAATCCAACAAATTTCCACAATTTTTGTCAGATTGTGTATCTCCTCATTTATTGGAGTTTTGATACGTATTGCACTGCTCGATCTGCATGCATATACTGGAGCACCTGTTGTGTCCATTGTATATCCTCAGATCGTAGGCTGCATCATCATTGGATGGACGAACGCAAACAAGAATGTCTTGATTGACCAGTTGAGTGGTTTGTCTATACTTTTATTCGAGTAGAGTCACTTAGAAACGATCATTAAAATTAGATACTATCCATTGTACATTGGCTTGTCTACTGGGTTGTGCGGTAAACGAACACATCGAGGTTTGCTTCAAACGTGTGATAGTGACTGACTTAGAACCTTGACTTTTAGGCTCCATCACGACTTTCTCTTCCTGGAGCTTATCTACGTTTTCAGCCTTTGCTGATCTCGGGCTGACTGCCCGTAGTGGTGGTTATGATGTTAGTCTTTAGAAGCCACGATATTCGGTGACAGCTATCTGATAACCGTGCTCTTGTCTCTAGTTCTTGGCTGGAGTAGGAGTTGCCATCATCATTATTGGAATGTCCTTAATATCTGTGCCATTTGGAGAGCACATTGCGAAAGTGGTGGACTTGCAAGCCCTCCTGACTCAGGATTGGCAGTCGCCTACTTTTCGCTTTCACCCTGTTGGATTTCGAACTCGAGGGCTGAGTGTTCTAGATAGGACGATGATGGGATTAGCATTGCTGCTATGGGTCATGCTTGTTTTGATTGGGATATTCGTTGAGAGTGGACGGTCGGTTGTCTTTGCGTGTATTCTGGCACCTCTGGGTAAAAACTTTGGTCATAGGCAAATGAGAGCACCGTGACTCATTCAGTCATTCGTAGGGACACTGTTGAGATATCGACTAGCGGTACTCAATGTTGAATATCCTCGCTTTCCAGCAGGAACGTTTACAGTCAATATGATTGGAACCTTCTTATTGGGACTCTTTTACATATTCTCGCATGGAATGAGTGGCATCTCTTCTATCAGCTCGTCTGTATGCTCGTTACTGGCTGGACTGTCGGATGGGTTTTGTGGTTGCCTAACCACTATAAGTACATTTGCAGTTGAATTGAGGACTATGAAATTAAGAGATGCATATATTTATGGTATCACTTCCATAATCGGGGGACAAATCATCAACCTCATTGTCGTCGGATCTGCGACTTTTACACACGGACAACCAACTGCATGTTTGGCATAATATTTAAATAGTTTTCATGGAAATTTTGCATTTAAATTGATCTTAAATTAATGACAAATGTTGATCTTACAGCAATGCAGTTGCAGTGAAAACATGAATTCATATCCAGGCTCCTCAGAGCCCGGAAATGTCTACGAGCGAGCGATACGGGCCTAAGAAATATTTACTTTGAATATTCGTCGCCTTCGTCACGAGATCAGCCCCGAAACAGCATAATGGTCTTGTGGTGTGATATCCAGGAACCAGTGCTTAATTGACCCCACCAAAAAGCAGCCACCTTAAACACAAGACTGTTTGGGCATTGGGCAAGGGGAATAGGAAATAAGAAGCTCAACACATTCATTGCCATATTTCCGAACGGATTAGCATCTCACAGTAAACCGAACGCTTGAGAAACAACCCTTCTGTCAACCATCTACGAAAGTGCAATTTTGCTCAAAATGAGCAAAAAGGTGCTATCCATAATATTACGGGCTGTCGTGGCAAAATCATCACGTTACTTTATTGAAACTATTGCCATCTGTCTCATCGTAGCCTGTGGGGCTTACTTTTCCCTAGTCCATTTATTCCCAACTGTTACCTTCAACTCTACACCCATAAAGCCACTACAACCACCAAGCTTCTATCTACCAAACATAGATAATTTAGCATCCGATGATCAAGGACAACTGAGCCAACGTAGCTTCTCTCTTTGGAATGCAACCATACACCCTGATGTCCAACAACACATCATCGTCAAACATATAATAGTAGATACTCCTCGGACATTATTGGTCGTACCTCCTCAAGGAGTCCTCACGAAATCAATCCTAAAGTCGCTCCATACGCTACACATGGCTGCCTTGGACTTGCAGGTCATAGATCCTGAAGATGGAAGCTCCGTCGGTTTGACAGATATATGCTATCGATCGTCAACCAACGACGAATGTCTAATCATGTCTCCTCTCCAACCGTGGAATAACGATATCACGGTATTGAATGCGGATGACAATATCTTTAATACCCTATCGTCATACAGCCAAGACTCCTGGCGTGACGGTGTATTCGCCAAACCTGCCATCTCTGCTGCCACAAACAAGGTCGAAGGAGCCTCTGCTCTGGTGCTGAGCTTCTTTATAGATAGCAGCAAACACCCGAGAGCTATTCCTGTATGGGAACGGCAGCTTGATGAACTGCGCGTGGACAATCTATACCCAAAGTTTATGAAACGGGAGGTCGATGGAAGTGGCTCTAACTTCCTGTTGCCTGATTGGTCTGACGCTGCTTGGAAGTTTCGTGAATTCCTTGAGGTAAAAAAGCAAACCGTAAAACTTTTGAATGATCAGAAACCGCTGCTGACACTACAATCAATCGATAGACCTCGACAAACCACGACTTGTTTGTCGTCTTCACAAGCTTTGTACTCATGCATGCCACATTCATCTCCCTCTTCATCAACATGAGGAAGTTGGGCTCAAAGTTCTCATTGGGTGAGTTTTATGGATGATTGAGAATTATTTTTTGCATTCCTTTAAATGACCCTTTTCATTATAGGATTCACTGTGCTCATCAATGGCACATGTGCTCTATTGGTTGCTCTTGTTATCGCTCGTGTTGTTGGTATCAGTCTTGATATTATTCAACTGAGGTAATGCCCACAGCAGAAAAGAAACCATATATTGATGACACGATTCTCAATTCTCACGATCATTCTATGTACAGTGAAGCAATTCCATTCTTGGTGGTGACTATCGGTTTCGAAAAGCCATATATTCTCAGCAAGGCGATACTGAACGCAGTCAATACCAACCCTGAAGCATCGACTCGTGATAACGTGTGGCGTGGAGTAGAAGCTGTCGGTCCATCGCTCTTACTAGACTATTTAATTGAAGTTGGTGTTCTTGGACTTGGTGGTTCTACTGGTAGGCTCCTATAGTTGGCTTCTTGGCATACTTTTGTTGCTATTGCCGCTTGACTACGAGACTCACATTTTTCACTTTTTACAGGTTCTCGTGGTGGACTAAGAGAATTCTGTCTATTGGCATCTTGGATTTTATTATTCGACTGTGTCTTTATGTTTACGATGTTTGTGTCTGTCCTCACACTGAAGCTTGAGGTAAATGGTGTGGAAATGTCTTAGTAAAATGAATGAATCTCATCGTGAATGATTTCTGCCTGAATAGTTGAGACGTGTACAAGATCCATCTGGGAGTGTTGATGGATTTGATGGACAACCTGGAGCTCCTGGACTACCAAGGGCCTTATCTGTAGAAAAGCTATCAGACGCTCTCAAGAAAGGCGATGGTGAAAAGCAGTCGGAGAACGCGGTGATTGGACGTGCCAAGCTCTTCTTCGTAAGCATTTTTCTTCAGCTCTATCGGTTTTTTTGCACTTCACGTTTCTTACAATATTTCTGAACAGATTTTGGTCATTTTGGTCTTACACGCTCTGAATGCTGGAACGGCCTACACATATACCTCCAGCCAGACTGCCTTAATCAGCATGGATGTCGACAATGCTGGCACGGCTGCATTGCTCAACACCTTCCGAGCGACAATGCCATCCAGCGCTTCCTCAGTAATAGTAGATGTGTCTCGTCCATTTATTGTCTATCCAGTGAGATACGACTTTGATGAACTGGAAGCAGTGCCTGTTGCACCGGTCGTCAATCAAACTCTGGCTCTATTGGTGGATGTCTTCCATCATGCTCGCTTCTTTGTCCTGTCTTCACATATAATGCCAGCACTGTTATCAAATGGTCTGGCCATGGTTACCATATACGCATTCTACCGCTACTTTTCATGGTTGGCCAAACGGGCTGAATCACGTAAAGTCAAACAGGCAGCATCAAAACGTGATGCCTCTGTTGGTACAGATCCCATTTTAGAAGCTTCTGCTTCTGCTGCAGCACCACCAGCATATAGTCCACCAGTAGCTGGTAGTAGACAGCCACCACGAGTAGATTCTGGGGTGGAAGTACCTCAATTCGCTGGAGAAAAGGATCAACAAAGAGCACCAAGGTCTACAGAAGAATGTGTAGCCCTGTTTAAATCTGGAGATCTCGACCTTCTAAATGACGCTGAAGTCGTTTTATTGGTTGATGCTGGCAAAATTGCTGCCTATGCTCTGGAAAAGGTTCTGAATGATTGTGTGTGGGCCATTCGAGTGAGACGTATTCTTATCAGTAAGTATACGTTGACTTGTGGATCTGTCGTTGATGGACAATCGCAGGATATAGGCTTCGTGTGTACTGAATTTGTTTTCTTGTGGTTAGGTCGACTTGCCAAGTCTGACTTGACAAAGTCCACGTTACCTCTTGACCGAGAGCCATTTGATTATACCAAGGTTATGGGTGTATGCTGTGAAAACGTTATTGGATACCTGCCTATTCCCGTTGGGGTTGCTGGTACGTATTACAACAAGTGGTCTCCTTCAAACATGGACGTGGAGTTGGTTTACTCTATTCGGCATCTGACTCTCGACGTTTTCGTTCTATATCAGGTCCATTAACAATTGATGGCGTCCAATATCAAATACCGATGGCTACTACTGAAGGTGCTCTAGTAGCATCAACTTCTAGAGGAGCCAAAGCAATCTCAATGGGTTCGGGGGCATCCACAGCTTTATTAGCTGATGGTATGACTCGAGGCCCAGTAGTTACCTTTCCAAGTTTATTAAGGGCAGCAGCCTTAAAAACATGGATGCAAGGTCCTGGATTAGAACTCGTCCAGAATGCATTCAATTCAACGTCCAGATTCGGTCGTTTGAATAGTGTAAAGATTACCTTGGCTGGTAAATTGGCCTTTTTAAGGTTCTCGACAACCACTGGAGATGCTATGGGTATGAATATGATATCCAAGGGTGTTGACAAGGCATTGGATCTTGTTACAAGTCATTTCCCTGATATGGAGATAATATCTATCAGTGGAAACTATTGGTATGTCATCTGCTGGACCTGTGCTGCCCTCGCATTGGCTTTTTTTGGTCCCTCGCAATGGTTGAACTTGACCTTTTCTCAAACTTTTTTTTCCACATAGTACGGACAAAAAACCTGCCGCCATTAACTGGATAGATGGTCGTGGTAAATCAGTAGTAGCTGAAGCAGTTATACCCCAAGCCATCGTCACTTCAGTACTCAAAACGACCGTAAAGGCTTTGGTGGAGCTCAACATCTCCAAAAATTTAGTTGGATCAGCCATGGCTGGAGCTATGGGTGGATTTAATGCACACGCAGCCAATATATTAACGGCCGTCTTTATCGCTACTGGTCAAGACCCAGCCCAAAATGTAGAGTCATCGAATTGCATCACGCTTATGGACGCGTGCAATGATGGGAAAGATCTATACATATCATGTACCATGCCTTGTATTGAGGTTGGAACGGTTGGTGGTGGAACGGCTCTGCCTGCTCAATCGGCATGTTTGGAAATGCTGGGAGTGCGGGGTGCCCATGCTGAAACTCCAGGAGAGAATGCTAGACGGTTGGCACGTATTATATGTGCTTCTGTTATGGCTGGTGAATTGAGTTTATGTTCTGCTTTAGCTGGTAAGACATCTCTGCAATAATAGCAACGTGTTAGCATAAGTCACCGTCGTGGGTATTCAATTTTTTTGCTCCTACCATTTAGCTGGACATCTTGTCAAGAGTCACATGCAGCACAATAGATCTGCAGTGTCACTGCCATCGTTGGCTATGGCTTCCTCTGGAAATGCTCATCTTGGAAATGGAAGGCCGCCTTTGCCAATTTTGAGGAGAGAGTAGATGAAGGGACAAAACGAGAAACATACAAGTTCCCATAAGCAATGGGACTATTATGTCTTAAAGCAAGTCTTCTGCATTGTATTATAGAAATAATAAGTTTGAATTTTGGTGAAGGATTGTTATATATTTGCTGATACGCAGATGACTTTGTTCTATATTTATACTTCGGACGTCTAGTCGATACTGAGGGCGATATCAATTGCTTCACTATACCAAATTGTACCTGTCCAACTTTGTATCCCACCTGCACAATACGTCCATTCTTTTCAAATGTTGTTTGACAAGCTCTTTGCTTTGCACTGCTGGATCCGTTAATTGGCGATATCTCGTGCCATTCCTCGTGACAAGGGCAATTGAGGTAGCGAAGTAGATGATAAAATTTGAAGTTTATATGTATAGAACAAGGGAAGTATCAGAGGAGAATAGTAGAAAAAAATGCAACTCTATGTAAAGGAACGACTTGGATGTCTCTGCTCTTGTGTGCGTTGGGTTCTTATCGACCACCAGATCCAGCATGTTTCATCAGCCATTGTAGTGTGATGTCGATATTTGAGCCGAGTTTGGCAGAGATTGAGTAGCAACACACTTCTCGATCAGTGATGTCTCTCAGGCTCCTAATACGTGAAAGGGTATCAGTGAAGATACGTTTTCGTTTTTAACATAACAGATAAACGACTGGTAATTATAATTCGAGAATTCCTTTCATTCTGTAGCTTCGTAATGCTTACAATTCATCAATGAGTTGTTCGACGGATAATGCACCCGGCAGATCAGACTTGTTGCCTAGCACCAATACAGGGATGGAAGCTAGCATTGGTTTCTCCAGTAAAGCGTGTAGTTCGGTTTTGGCGGCTGGCAATTTGGCGGTATCTACAGAGTCTGCCACAAACCTAGAAATATATTAGAAGGTTTGAGGCTTCAAGATCGAATGGAAGCGTCAGTTCAGTGAAGTGACATACACGATAGCATTCACTCCTATAGGTTGAAATGGTATGTCAGCGCTACACGATTGATGAGACAATGAGGAAGCTGTATATACCTCTACAATATCGTTCCCACATGCTTCTAAAACGAGCTTGACCTCCCAAATCCCACAATTTCATTACGACCTAGCGAATGCGGGGTATTAAGAAACAAGCGATCTCGTTGCACTTATACTCTATGTAATTCTCGTTTACGTACGGCTCCTTTTGTGACCTTCCTATAAGACGAGAAGAATGAGTTGTCGTCAGTGAGGCTCTCTGGTCAGGTATAAGCAATAGTACACCCACCTCATATTGAATCCGACAGTTGGTATCATGTCTTCTTGATAAGATCCGTTCTATAATGAATGGTATTGAGTGGGCAATACTGGGTGGTGGTGCTTCTGTTTGGAAACTCACGGCAATGACATTGACCAAAGTAGTCTTTCCCGAGTTTTGCAGGCCGACGAGAGTGAGTTCCATTTCTACAGAAAGATAATATGAGTTGGATTTGATATGATAATAGATATACAGGTCATGTTAATGGGGACAAATGCGAGACGGAACAACATGCTACCTTGTTTGAAGAAGAGGCTCCTTAGCCAATCGAGCAGGGCTTGAACGAGTGCGGCCATGATAGATCGGCGGTGTGGCGTTGATGGTCTGTCTTTGTTATATATCACACTCTCGTCCTCTAATCTGCTGCCACTGACTTGCTGTTCGTTGCCAGGATCAAAGAAGGCAACCACCACTAGCTTGTCACGTGTAGATTATATCTAAGATCATTAATACACGTATATTATTACTATCATTACGTGGATCTTGCTTCTACTATCGCTACAAGTGCTAAAAGAAGTGCAATTAGGGCTACCATCTCGTAATTCCAAACAACGAGACCATGAACAGACAAATCCGTGTCGATATGCTGGAATACAAAATACTATTAATTCATCAAAGTATATCTACTAAACCTTTCAGTACTAGTGTCTGTTTCATACAGACGTGACGCGTCGTTTCCTTCCATCATATTTGAACAGTCAACATATAGCAGAACAAAACAAGTGTATAAATATGGACAAGGACGCCATGGACAAGGATGTCCCCACTGAAGTCAAGATGGAAAAGGATTGTACTGCTGAGACAGACTTGGCTCTCCCTGAAGCTGAGAAACTCGCAAAGGTTGATACTCTTTTATCTTTCATGGCGATTGCATGACATGCATACTTAAATTCTAATTACTTATATTCAATTTAGGCTCATAAATTACAGGAAGCCTTTGATGTACTCCAACCAGTAGAAAAACTCACTAGAGGAGTATGTCATGCAAATATTTGGAACTAATGACGATGCTTGTTCGTGACAAGGACGATCAGTTGGTCATGGCTCTTGTTGATATACTCATCTTACGAATCATTCAACTCGCGCACGTCACATTCATTCAAATCGTACTCAACTCCCAACTTTTCTCACTAGATGGGCGACTTGGCAAACAATACTAAAATATTGACTACATATGTTCGAATGGCTTACGAGGCAAAGGACTACAAGCAATTGAACGAGGTCGTCATCAGTCTATCAAAGAAACACGGGCTCCTCAAACAGGTACTACATTACATTCATTCGTGACGATGTGTCTACTTTCATCATTTCTCAATACTCTTAATTGTAGGCTGTGACAAAGATGGTGCAAGCAGTCATCACCTACTTGGAAGCCATAACTGACATGAAGACCAAACTCGATTTGATTGAAACTTTGAGAACTGTCACTGAGGGAAAGGTCCGTTCAAGTGCAAACAAAAAAAACGCATAGCTCAACAGCCGAATGGTGTAACTCAACCTATCATTTCCTGGCTGATTTAGATCTATGTTGAAGTAGAACGGGCTAGACTTACCCGAGTCCTCTCCAAAATCAAGGAAGACGAAGGCAATATAACAGAAGCTGCCGACATCTTGCAAGAATTGCAAGTCGAAACTTTTGGTTCCATGGATCGTCGAGAAAAGACAGACTTTATATTGGAGCAAATGAGATTATGTTTGGCAAAGAAGGATTACGTCAGAGTGCAAATCATTAGCAAGAAGATTGGATTAAAGTTCTTTGAACATGCCGAGCACCAAGTGAGTATACGATTCGCAAATTGTTGCCTATTTTTCCTCCTGCTGATATTGGTCCCAACGTTGCTAAACAGGACCTCAAATTGAGATTCTATGAAATCATGATCAAACATGCTCTACATGGAGACAACTATCTAGATGTCTGCAAATACTATCGAAGCATATATGAAACCCCTTGTATCAAAGAAAATATTGAAAAGTGGGGTGAAGTATTGACGAACGTAGTCATGTTTATCATCCTGGCTCCATACGATAATGAGCAATCAGACCTCATTCATCGTATCTATGAAGACCCAAACTTGGCAAAAGCACCACTCTTCAAGTCAGTATTGTCAACTCTCATTTGCATTAGTTTTTTCTTTTCGCTGGCCCAATAAGACCATGCTGATTCATGTCCGTCTCTTCCTGTGTAGGCAATTGGTCAAGGGCTTCATTACTGATGAGTTGAGCGTGTGGGGAAAGATTGAAAAGAACTATGCTGCTACACTTCAGCAATCCTATGTTTTTGCTCCTGCCACTGATGATGGCGCAAGGAGATGGAAGGATTTGCATTCACGAGTTATTGAACATGTGAGTCATTCTTGCTTGCAGTGTAGACTCGCTTGTAGCCATAAATGCTTTGGACGCCCTCTTTTTTTCGCATGCTAAGTTCATCGAATTTCTTATCTTAGAACATTCGTGTGATTGCCAAGTATTATACACGCATCACAAACACTCGATTGACTCAATTATTGGAATTATCTGCAGCAGAAGCTGAAGAATTTCTCTCCAAGCTGGTAGTATCCAAAACCATTTATGCCAAAATTGATCGACCAGCTGGTATTGTATCCTTCGTTCCACGCAAAGATCCCAATGCTGTATTGAATGAATGGTCTACCAACATCAACTCCTTGTTGGAATTGATTGTCAAGACACAGCACTTGATTACAAAGGAGGAAATGGTGCATTCAATCACCAAACAAATCGAGGCTTGATGTAAAAGCGGTAGAAAACACGTAACGCATTGTAAAGAATTGCCGTTGAATTGTGTAATATAAATGGATAGAACAGAAAGAGCGAGTAGTGAAGCAGCACCGTTCTTTGCGTACATCTTTTACTTTATTCCATAGTGTGGTGCTTCATGTACTTAGAATGAACACGATCCTACAGCTGGCCGCAACACTCGTCATCGTCATCATCGCTCGACTCCTCATCCTCTTCTACCTGCCACATTCTCCTTCTCCAAAATCAAGAACGCAAGCTGCCAAAACATGTATTGTAATGGGATCAGGTTTGTTGTAACAAGGCAGCACTGAACATATGTTTAATATAATTTAATTTGACATTTAATAAATGCTTTAGGTGGCCATACTGGTGAAATGACACGCCTCCTAACACATTTACCATCACATCAATTCTATCCTCGGTGCTATCTTATTGCGTCAACAGACACCATTAGTGGGAGCAAGGCTAAGGAGTTGGAGCGGGAGGTGCTGAGTGGTGGTGAAGGACGTGATGTATGTTGTCTTGGTAGTGTTGGTAGTTGAACTGACGGCTGAAATGTTAAGCTGATGCTTCGTTCGAGGCTAGTTTCGAATCGTGTATATCCCACGGAGTCGAGAAGTGGGCCAGTCGTGGATTTCAACTGTTGGGAGTACGGTGGGAGCGCTTGTGGCTTGTGGATTAAGGTTTTGGGACGTATGGCCTGATGTGGTATGAAATTGATTGATGTTGGTTTTCTTTACAGTGATTTATTGGTATCTAAATTATTGCTTGAATACTTTAGATCGTATGTAACGGTCCTGGAACATGCATTCCAATCATCTTGGTTGCTCACTTCTTCAAAGTAATCCGTTTAACCACATACGCTCGATTTTTTTGCCGTCCCCAACCTAATTTCCTTGGTTTTTAGATACTCGGACTTAAGCAGACGGCAGTTATATTTATCGAGTCGTTTGCACGAGTCGAGTCTCTGTCGCTTACGGGTCGAATACTCTATGTGACGCGGATGGCAAACAAGTTTGTGGTTCAGTGGCCAGAGCTGCAGGAGCGGTATCCCAGGAGTTTGTATTCTGGGCGTCTTGTGTAGGGTTAGATGGGGTGGAGGCTGCTCAGAAGAATGAGGAATGAGGTGTGTTTCGGAGGTGTCTTGTCGTAGAGACACGTTTCTTTGTCAGAATGCCCGTTCGACGCTGTCGATCAGTGCCGAATCACAACGATACCAACTGACGCTGATATAACATTTGTACACAAATATTCATGTGCGTTAGTTCTTCATTTCTTAAATGCAAACACCTTTTTACATAAATTATTAATATCTCTCTATAAAGCGTGAGATTCACGATTCTTCCTCTTCATACGTTCCAGCTCGTTGGCCAGTTGATTAGGGAATGGTGGTTCAGCAAGTGATGGGGTGAATGTAACTCGTTCAACATCGGCAGGTATGGTGTCCATTGGTCCTTCTACGAGTAGAAAAGGAGTAAGGGACAGTTGAAGGGGATAATGAAGGAGACATTCAAGTGGAATTCAGTTGAAGGCCAAAAAACACGTAATGTGTATAGAGGTATACCTTTTTGATTTGCAGTAGGATTCCTTGGTGGTGGTATCTTGACATCCTGTTCCGATGTTTGAAACCGTCGCACCAGGACCATTCTATTGTCTCTGTCTCTGACTTTGATCAAGTCTACTTGGTCTGCCTTACTACAATGTGAGGGTGCGTGAGTTACGAGTATTGCTACCACCAATACGGACCATAATGAATGTAACGTACTCTGTAGCAGGATCTACTAGTAATACAGAGTGATAGGGTATCGGCTGTGGTTTATTAAGAGTTCGTCCTCGTGGAAAGTCCAGTGAGGGTTCTTTAAAGTCAGGTTTCTGTGAATACGGGGAGTGAGACAAGCAATCAGAATCACTGACAAGTATAATATTTCAGTAGCATACCACATTGATTCCTTCTACAGTTATTTGGTTGGCAGGAGGATAGATGGAAGCTACTACTCCTCGCATTCCAAGATAGGACACAACAGCTGGTGGTTCAGCATCCTTTGGGATCTTTTTCTTTGTATCTTTGGGCCAATGGGTGTCCTTGATAACCTGGACCTGTGAGGGTGAGAGACAATGTGTCAATAGATTGTTGAACCTAGACGATGTTTTTTTGCACCCAATGTATGTAGCTGATGGGCTAATGCATTCCCAAACAAGCAATAGAAGACAGCAACGGATGTATGGCATACAGTGTCACCAGGATAGATCTTCCATTGTTCTTGAGGAATGACTTCGGCTCTCTTTACTTGAGGAGTAGTTAGTGGACGTGGCTCTCGCCAACCCCCTTTCCAGTGCTCGATAGGAGGCTCCTTCTTCATTCTGCTGGCATGTCGACGTATTACGTGTATGCATGCTCGATGGCTCGATGCCACTGCTCGAATAGAGATCATATTGTTGGGATTTTGAAAGAGAATCCGAAATTGAAATTGTCGCTATTGATGACCAAATTGTAGACAAAGTTTGACGGTGACTTCACGTGAAAATAACGGACGATTGAGATTCTATCGCTGGTATTCGCGTCGAGAATGTGGTCGTTCCTTCTTGAAAAGACAATCCGCAAGCGCAGAAGGATAGAAGCACGAACAACAGACTTGATTATATGGCGGATAATGAATCTAGTACATCAGAACTAGAAAAGACCACTCCATCGCCGCCAAAGAACAATACCATCGGAAGTGCATCAGGTCGCTATCCCAATAGTCAGTTTATTGGAATTCGAGCCTCAGACAGACAAATGACTCCTCAAAACCTGCTAAAAACACTGTCAAGACTATCTACTGTAAGTTCCTGTCTGATTCATTGCATTGCATTCACTGTATCGTATCGCTCTTTACTGTATTCACTAACATCAACGAAAATTTACAGCCCGAGGAAAACTACCAAACTCCTCTTCAACAACCACCCTCTTCCACGAAATCCAATGCAAATGCATCACAAATGACTGGCAATGATGATCCATTCACCGCCCCACAAGATGCTGGTCAAAAACCTGTTGTGGTGAAGAGTAGAATGATAGCTACTACAGAGTCGGAAAACAACCCCACACCAACCAGATCAGTCGGTGGACTTGTATCTACTGCATCATTGGACGATCTCATCGATGCAAATAATCACATGTCCTTCTCGGCCGCGACCAAGTCCAACTTGGCATCATCACAGCTCCCAACTATACATAGGCGCCTACCCAAACCATTACACAATAGTAACACTAGTAATACCGCAACCAATCACACGCCAACCCCATCTGCCACATCAACTCCCATACAACCACAGAAATCACCACGACAATCACAACAACAGCAATCGGCCAATCAATCACTAGTAGAAGGCAACTCGGGTGGATTCTATTCTTCGCAAGGTCAGCCAATATTAGATTTCTCAACCATTGTCGAAAACGAAGAAGAACTACGCGACGACTCATCCAATGTAACAAAAACGCCCGTAAACGAACAAGAAGTCCTTGAAGTAGTACGACTCAAACTAGGAAACGCCCTATCAAAGAAAGTACCAGCTGTTAACGATATCGTCAAGAGTGATTTGGCTGATGAGATCTACTTGGAAGTACGGGAATCACTCAAAGAACTCAAGGATGTCGTCCGTGAAATAAAGAGGAAACAAGATAGCACCATGATTGAACAAGAGACCATCAAGGATGGATTGTATGACTTGATTGATGCTAGAAAACAGTTCCAAGAAATACAAGGCTCCATAGATGAAGTGCAGAATACTATAAAAGAAGCCGAAGCTGAATTCGCTGCTCATCGAACCACCTTGGAAGAAAGACGTAGAGAAGATGACATCTTGGAAATCCAAGTCAAGGAATTGGATGCAAAGACTTTGAAGTTGGCACAAATCATTGAAGACAAGGTATGTTCTGATTATTTTTCATTTACGCTACATAGCAAAAAAAATCTCAGACGTTCATCAATAGAGGAGGGAACAGCAACAACTCTCATCTCAACAACCTCCACCGTTGATAATACGTGTATTACGAGAGTTGAATGAACTTCGCTCCAAGTTCGCTTCACTCATCGGATTGTTCATTCTCTTCTTATTGGCAGAGTTTGTCTTTATCTATCTATTGATGATGTAAGAGCCTTGTCGAAGTCTATTCCGTTTTTGTACTTGGCAGATGTCCATTTTCAACTCCTTTTTCCAAACAGATCAAGAAGGGAAGAACTTGAAACCAGATTGGGATTGACACACAATCTATCTGGCTCAAAAGATGCCGACGGTCAAGGTGTTTGGGTCATTCCAATGTTGCAGTCGGTGTTGAACTTTGTATCGTCAGTGTTTTTCGCCGATGAGAGATATCAGACACCAGTGTAAATAAAACTGTCTAAGATGCTAGAATATAAAAACATGTATATGAAATGCTGAAACATTTTCAAGCAGGCCAAAAATTCAGCTTTCGTGATTGGAAATACTGAACGGAATTTTTATGAGAAACTTGACCGACCACAGACACATTTGTCTGGACTGAAGCTTGAATCAATCTAATACGTGATTCGGCGTATGAAGACGCGCTAATCAATCATGTCGCTGAGAGCAGGTCCCTCTGGATCAGGCGGCAGAGCCACAAACATGTCGCTAGCTCATCTAGCATCGCAGTCACGACAGCCTAGCACTATGCAGAATATCGCTATGGTTGCATCCAAAGCCGTGGCTGCTGCCCGATACGCTGAATTGCAAGCAAACAAGTTACGAAGTCAGAAGGGAGCAAGTGACAAACCACGAGTTGAACGAGATATGAGTCTCGAGCAGTTTAGAGAGTTGTTGAGAGTTTTTCAGGTGAGGTTATGTTAATAGCGGGGCTTGGGCTTGATCAAGTCGTCTGGTATGAAATACAATTTTTGACATTATTCACTCATATAGAACTTAACAAATGACGGCGACGGCTCACTCTCTCTCGAAGAATTCAAAACCACATTCGGACGCATCCTCGGCGATGGCCTAACCAACGACCAGATGTCTGTCCTCTTTATGCAAATCGACGCAGACGCAAACCAGGGTATCGATTGGGACGAATTCTCAACGTACATGCTGCTGCGTGCCGAGGGACAGAGCATGATGCGGGAAGCCGAGGAGGTCGAATACTTGGTGGTGTTGGTTAGCGACAAACGGATATTGACATGTTTGACCATTTAGAACCACTTGTTTGATTTTGAAGGTGCCATGGGAGCGCTAGCTAGACCACCTATACCGACGCCCCATACGAATATGATTGTGCACATGTCGTGGCTGAATCATCTGAGACGGTATATTAGCTTGAGTCGGGACGGTGGGCTGTGTATGTGGAATGATAAGCTGAAGCTGCAGAAGGCGTTTCAGGATATTCATAGGTGAGTTGGAATTGATGTGTATCGGTTGAGGCTTGTGTTGCCATCCTGTAATCCTGCTGACACTTTTTTTCGCATCGGAAAACGAACTTACGAACATCATCTTAATCCTTATTTTTTCTCTCTTATAGCAGCATGTTTGGAAATGATGATAAGAAGGGCTCGATACCGAGAACGAAACATGGACATACCAATCCATGGGCCCATGATGCTGTGTTTATGCCGGGAGCGAATAAGCTTGCTGTTACATGGGCTAGTCATGAAATAACATTTCATGGTACTACTTTTCGTGATCCTTTCAAAATTTCTACATTCTGATTTGCTTTTATCGTACATGCAGACATGAACTCAATGGACGTGCATTATTGCCTGGACTTAGAAGATGCCACCGCCCTGTCCATCGACTTTCATTATGATCCCGACGATTTGCAAAGCGAAGGACTCCTATTTTGGGGCACGGATACAGGACACGTCGCTGTGCTTCACATTGAGCCTGAAAATTTGACCTCGTTAAGCGGTCCCAAAAAGGACTATGGAGCCATAGTCCGAGACTCATGCCACGGCCACTTTACTGGTGCCAACGCCACGCAATCGACGTCCTCACGACCTGTAAATGCAACTAGTACCAGTTTAGGAGGTCTTGATTCCGCTGTAGGTGTTTCGGCGAACGGACCACGTCTTGGACCGTTACAGAAGAGGAAAGCGCATGGAGATTGGTGTGTCAAGGTTAAATATCTAGCGGATTTGGGTGCGGTGGTGTCTTGCTCGCCTGATCCACAGGCTAGTCTGGTGGTTGCTATTCATCGGGGCCGGTGGCGGTGGGATGTTGAGACGCTTGCTGTGCATAAGGGGGTGAATTGCTTTGCGTATTGTCGGTTTCCGGTTACGCTTGTTACGGGTGGTACAGGTGAGGGTTTGTGCGGAATACCAAGGCTCTTCTGAAAACTTGATCGAGTGTGTGAATATAAGACTCTTTTTAACCAGTTTTTTTCCATCCTGTAGACCGACAAATACGATTCTGGAACCCACATCGCTTAAAACGACCTATCGCTAGTTTGAAAGGCCACGTCGCACCAATATCCGAAATATGCTGCAACGAGACATATGGACAAGCCATCACTCTGTCTGTCGACAAGGTCATTCGAGTCTGGGATATACGGCGACAGCAGTGTCTCCAAACCTTGACCGACACTGTCCGCCATCGACCTGAAAACATTATCTCGACACTACACTTTTCACCGCAAAACCTGCGTCTCGTCGCAGCTTCTACTACCCTCCAATCCTTCGTCCTCGCCGAAAAGAGATCTGTGGGATTCCAGGCACGCCAGCCAAAAAGCCACGACAGTCCGCTACGATCGGCGCTATTCAATGCCAATTTCAGACAGGTCGTATCGGGTTGTGATGGAGGAGTTGTAAACGTCTGGGATGCCACATCAGGAGCTAAAACATTCCGATTCACTGGCGCCAAGTCTGAAATCACCGCCATGGCATTCGATGTCGGACGACGCAGAATCGTTATTGGAGCGCGGGATGGAAGCATTCGGATGTACAATTTCAATAATGGACAGTGTTTGCATGAGCTCTTCAAGGGTGATAACTCTGAAGTCACTGGACTCGTTTATGTTGAGCTCAAAGACGCCAAGTATATTGTCGCTAGTGGATGGTCGAGACGTGTTGCTGTCTTTTTGGATGATTCGGATTCGTTTACGTTGGAACCGACCTTGGCGTGGCCTTCGCCTAATGAGCCAGGGAGTGCGTGGCATCGCGATGATATCTTGTCGGTCGCATTCTGTTCTCCGACTATGCTGGCGACGTCGAGTTATGATGGGGAAATCATCTTGTCGACCTTGATGACGGGACATGTCATACATCGCATGAGGCCACCGTTGTGGGAGCATGCTGATCCACAGCAGCGCTCTATCGACAAAGGTAAATAGTCACCAGCGATTTTGCTTTGGCTTCAGTGCATGTCGACAACAAAGCTAACAACAAACCCTTTCTGATTTGTAGTAATATTTTTACCATCTCGTATCAACAACGTGCACGCCGCAGCTCTGGTATCATCTGGATCAGACGGCGTTATAAGATTCTGGAATGTCTGGAGCGGCCTTGAATTACACGAATTTGACGCTACAGATGGACGCCAAGAAGGTGTCTTTGCTTTAGCCATCAATGAGGATGAGAGTCTGATGGTTACTGGTGATGCAGCTGGATTCGTCACTCTGTGGAATATTTCCGAGACATGTGTTGCACCACCTCCACCAACAGGAGATTCAGTTATCATGGTGCACCAATTCCGAGCGCATATTCGAAGTATTGTTAGTGTCGATATTGCTGAGCTTTATCGGTCGATAGTAACGGCTTCGTCTGATATGACTGTGCGGGTGTTTACTGTAAGTGGTCTACTAATCATGCTTGGAGATAAAGATCAAGTACTAACATGTTGATTCATTATAGTATGAAGGACACTATATCGGTACATTTGGTCAAATATGGGACATCTCTGATCCATCAACCTACATGCATCCACTAATACCTGAAGACGTCCTCGCTGTCGAAACAGCAGAAGCCGAACAACGAGAAGAACAAGCTCGTGTTAGGAGTCTCAGTAACAAGGTCAAGGACAAACTGCTTCCAAAGCTCCGCAGACATCTTTCACCTACGGGTCCGGAAATGACGGTGAATGTCGAGGGCAAGGAATTTGTTTCTTCACAGGTGCAACTTTCGCCCGAGAGTGCTGTTACTCCGGTAGTCAGGAAGGAAGTTGTGCAGCTGCCGGCTGGACAGCCGAGGGTTTCACCTGCTACAAATTATGCATCGACGGTGTTTGCAAAGGAATTTGGTGCCAAGGTGCCGCATAAGAAGCCCAATAATTCGTTGCAGATTAAAGACTCGCAGCGGGTTTATCAGCTGTTGGCTCATCATGAAATAGGTATGTTTTGAATCATACTGTTTGTGTTGAATTGTCAAATGAACTAACAACGTCGTCTCATAGCTGATATTCTTGAGGTCAGCCAACCGCCGAGTTTGAATCAAAAGCATCGGAATCATAGCTAGTTAATTGAATTAGCCACTTTACAATAAAACAGTGTTTAATTGCGCCCAGTGTCGAATTTAAGCAAGTTCGCAAAAAAATGCAGCAATATCATTGCATGTACACTGCAAACGTTCTTCCTCTGTTAATTTCGATATTGATCCTTAAAGGAACTAAATTTGAAGGAATGGAACTACTTCCACCGGCATGGGCGGAATCCAATGTGCCTTCGCAACCGACTTTGCTCTCCAACAAAAGGCAAGGTATGAAACGGATAGGCATAAACCTCATAGCGATCGTTGTGCTAAATCAGCTATGCCTGTATTCCATAGTATCTGCAGACGTCCTGAGCGCTCCTAGTATACAGTGAGCCCGTCCTATGATCTTAAATTACTGGTTCGAAAACTAACACTTTTGGTGATAGGCTGTCGCTTAGATCTGAGCATAACCATGGAGACTCTATGGGACGCAGAGCATTGCAGCTATCAGAGAATGTCGCTGCAGCTGGAACAGCACGGCCAAAACGTCTTAGGCGGCGCATCGGAATCAATAAAGGTGTTGCCATGAGTAACTATTTTGATGTTCAGGTATGAATCGTTTTTAGGATGATCGAGAGGCGAATGATCTAATGCTTGGAGATATAGTACTATACAACCGTTTATCTTGGAAGTCCACCGCAGTCATTTAAAGTGGTTGTTGATACAGGTTTGTGCAGAGTTCAAGATCAAGCTATAAGTGATATCTGTGAATTGATGATAAATGTTTCATAGGCTCCGCAGATCTGTGGATACCAGGCGTGAAGTGCACAGTAGCTCAATGTGGAACGCACGCCAGATTTAACGACACAGCATCGTCGTCTGCCTTTAGCAAGAAGCAAAAGTTCTCCATACAAGTAAACACTCGTCCTGAATATAAGCATGTTCAGAATGCTCATCTTTTCTGCTATAGTACGCTATGGGTTCCGCCGCTGGAGACCTCTTTCTGGTAAACTTCGAGTCATTTATTCACACATGGCATTTGTGTCTAACCTCTCCAATTTAGGACCGGTTTTTATTGAATGTTTCCACCAGCGCCACCAGATCAGTCATTCTCCAAGTACTGAATCAAACTTTCGCTTCCGTGACAAGTGAAACGTACTGGAAATCATACACACCAGATGGTGTGATTGGATTTGGCAAGTCTTTCAATGCTGAATCCATCTCCTCACACACCTTTCTAACGCACCCTACCAGCCTTCTCGAACTTGGCACAATCACAATCTCGAACACCACTCGAGAATCTATACCTCCAACGACAAATCGGATGGCCTGCCTTTTCGCTTTGGCTGCAATACAACAACAAATCTGCAGGTGTTGCAGGACAAGGTGGGGTACTCACACTGGGTGGTGTTGATCCAACACTTTACTATGGCAGGATTGTTTTCGTCCCAGTCGTGAATCCTGCCTACTGGAGTATTTCCTTGGATGCCGTCTTATGGGGAAACCAAAGCGTACCACTCGGAACCACCAATATGGCTGTTTTGGATTCGGGTACGTTCTTGGAAGATGGTTGTTGATGATGCTCGAATACCTTTAGTACGATTCTTCAACTTTCGTATACTCATCTCTATTCCTACATTCAGGCACCACATTGATAGGGATGGACCCAGCTTCAGCAAGCATGCTCAACAATGACATCGGCTCCTCACCAGCACCAGGAGATCCCTACTTGTATCTCCTTCCCTGCGCCACACTTAACGGCCTCAACTCCACCTTTTCTCTGGTGTTTGGAGGCATCACGTTCCAGTTGTCTGGTCGTGAGCTAGCGGTACCCATAGACTCGTCTGGAACTACGTGTTATAGTCCGTTTCAGTCAGTGCCAGTGGTAAGTTGTTATGTGTGTTTCGAGATCGAGGATTTGGAGCTAATTCACTGGTTCCAATTAGCCTGGACTGCCAGACGATCAACGATTGTGGATTCTTGGGACAATCTTTCTGAGAAAGGTACAACTCTGCGGTGTTACCGTTGTGAGACTCAATCTGACAAACCTAAATCACAATCTAGTTCTACACCATCTACGATTACAATCCTTCAACTGATGGAAGCACCATAAGTCCACGAGTTGGTATCGGTTTAGCTGTGCATTAACAGCCTGTGTGGTTACAAGTTACGCAAACACGCTTTCCGGACTATCCTACAATAGAAGTAGCTGGTTGAACGAAATGTATCGTATTCAAATTTTAGAGACGATCTAAATAAAGTCTAGTTCACGCACTTACAACTTTTCAACGAACATGTATTTTGGGGTTTCTCGCCGCACGGTTTTTCACGACTACGAACGAACGATGGAAGCGATAATGGGGAGGATGCTTCCTGCTTCTAACTGTCTCATGCGATGTCATAGGGCTTCACGACACTATATAGTCTACTCAACAAGCTCTGTTACAAGGAACAACAACTCATCTGCTTTTGTGCTGCGGACCATAACAAGTCAAGCACACACCAACAAAGCCAAAGTCCTCTCGTTCGGTGCTGGTCTAGATGGGAAACTGGGCCTTGGAGATATGGAAAATCGAGCTAACCCAACGCAAATCCCGACATTCAACAATATGCGAGGTTTGTTTGTTTTTGAATGAGATCTTTGTTGAATTGAGCTAATCAACTGCCTTTGGTCTAGTTAAGGCAGTGGCGTGTGGGGTAAGTACGATGAATGCAGAGGCATTGACGCTCTGCTAGTGCCTTGCAAAAAAAATCTGTGAAGTCTGGACGCTCATGTTTCCAACGTTGACACTTCTTCTGTCACCAAACATTTTTCTCATTGAAACCTTTTCTATTTCTTAGTTGCTTCATTCTCTAGCTTTGGTCCACGACGATGCTACAAATTCAGGTCGAATTTATTGCTGGGGTAGTAATTTCTTTGGCCAATGTGGACATGTCTCTGATGCAGTATGTTTGCTAATGTTAACCTTCTTTCTACTCATTCTAATCAGCAATCTCTTTCCAGCCTTCCTTCTTTGCTGATGAAGACGAAGACCAAATACCGTCGCCTCTACTGTTGCATCGACTGACGCAGCAAAACGTAACGTCCATCGCTTGTGGTGACTTTCACAACGCTGCATTGAGCGACGGAAGTGTTTATACATGGGGCGGTGGTGTGCTTGGAGGAGCAGAAGAAGCAAACGATTCAAACCCGACTTTGGTTCGACGATTCTCAGACACGCAAAGAAAGGTCATGTCTATACAGGCTGCTGGTGCCCTAACTCTAGCAACTGCCAAAAAATCGGATTCGTCATCGTTGGAATACTATTTGTGGGGATACTTGAGGCAGGGCAAAACTTGGATGAGAGCGAAATCACCATCGTTATTGGCTGCGTGCATGAAGGAGAATATTAGATTCTCGGCTGTTGGGCCGGGTGGTATGGCATTTGTGAGTCAGGACGGAAGTAGAGCCAAGTTGCTGGTGTATGCTTCGGTGGGAAATGAGGCAATAAGGGAAGGGATGCCATTTCAGCGAGAGAATGCAGAGGATATTGGTGATGTATGCTTAGTGGAGCCTACGGTATCTGCTCGTGTGGATTTGGATCTGTCGACTGTAGCTAGTTTGAGCATGGGTGAAGACTTTGGATTGGTACTGAAAAGTATGGTGTTTGACTTGTAACGCTAGAAAGAGTGAAGTTGCTCAAATCCTAATTTTAGATGATGGAAGCCTCCATTGGTTTGCCGTGAACGAATTCAAGACATTACAGCCGCTACCACTTCCTGTTGCTCTGCCCGATAAAATCGTATCAATCCAAGTTGGCCGTACCTCCTCTACCGCTATCACTTTGCACGGACTCTGCATCCAATGGAATATTGCCCAATCCGCATATGCAAATCGAGTCAAGCGGAATCTGGACTTGGTCACTGAACTACAGGAGGGTAATGGAAGGGTCATAAACTTGCAAGGGAAGGTAATTAACGTCGCAACAGGGCTAGATCACTGGCTCGCTGTGGTTACCCAATAGAGATTCTTTATATTGTAGAGATTCGTTGTATTGCATTGTTGTAGTATATGAGGCATACTAAATTATTTGCTATCCATCTTGTCGCTTTCCATACAGAAAACCAAGTCCGATTGACATTTGTCCGAATTGGAGGTAAACATCGTCCTCTCCAACTCGTTCAAATGTGTATTCTAATTGTCCGATTTCTCGGTTGTTTATGTGGAGTGGAGCCAGTCGTTGTTTTGTGTCAGCCGATGTAGTCAAGATGGCTCTCGCCAACGAAGCCTCTGATAGACCGCCGTTGCGAGACCGTTTACTGTGCCTCGCGTCAGGCAGACTTATTTCGAGAAAGAGTTCCAGCTGGCGAGTTGACAGCAGCCGAGAATTTGGAACCTTGAAGCGTGATAGCTGGTATATGTCTGACGTTGGCACGAATCCAACGTGAGGCAAATGTATACCTAATAGAGAACAGAGTTATTCTACGTCTCAATACTGCAAAACCGTTTTGAAGAACTAGCTGCTCAACGGGTCATTAAGCTACCAAAGCCCAGTACGTCACCATCCCAAACCTCAAACCACACTCACCAAAATCTGTTCTACTATCATACGCAAACCGTCCCCGACCTATAACAGCATCGTCTTTCCCACACGGCTTGAAGTGCATCCTGCTAACCAGCTGATTATTCTCAAACATCGGGATCCGTCCCATCATAGCAACGTACGGCGATGTAGCCTGTACATTCCTGTCTAGCCTTTTCAGCCGATCACAAATCAGTTCCGATACTAGTTGCTCAAACTTGTGCGATAATGGTCGGAGTCCCACTAACTCTATGGTTTCTAGATGCTGGAGGAAGTCTCGCCTATTGGTGATTGTTTCTGGTTAGAAAGGTTGTTTTTGAAGATATTGAGGTGTATCAGGGGTGAAACTTGCCATATCTCGACTGGAAGACCTTTGGCCACCGTTGTTTTGGTTGTGTGTTTTTCAGGTGACGCTTTTGGGGCCTCTAGGACGTCCTCATAGGGATTCGACATGGCCAGACTACGATGCACTTGACAGAAAATGTCGCTGTATGCTCTTTAGACAGCGACCGAGGGACCGAATCGTATTAGGTTTTGTGTTGATCGTTTTACAAGTTTTACGAGCGAAGGGAATCACGATGACTTGGAGACGGGTTTCACTTGGAAGTTTGAAGGGTTTCAATGTGTGGTCGAATTGCAAAGTATTTCGAATCGTCAGGCGTCTATTACATCTCAAATTTGTTGCTAAATGCGCATACAATCACCAACACTATCTAAATAAAGACTTTGCATTTTGTTTACAAAGGCTTTTAAATGCAGAGCTTTAAGAGGAGAGATCCTCCATTGGATTTCACAACACGTATTTTCACTGAGAAAACGATCTCGTGAATACCGAGAAAGGAGAGAAAAAGCAACGAAGCATTTCCTTGCGGTGACGAAGCCTTTTGATCCGAATCTTGAGATTCACGCTTCCTTTTCAAGATTGGTGGTGTAATCTCCTTGTCCACGCTCAAAAGTTGTGGGATGTTCATTTCGTCATCGTCGTCTTCTTCTTCTATATGAATACTAGTGCGCAGGGGAGATGGCTGGAAGACTGTTTCACAGTTTTAGTGAGGTTGTTAGTTCACATAAAAAGGGCATTGTAATGCGATGGTCCCATCAATCGCATTACCTTCATAATAGCTTGGAAAGCACCTTATAAAGACTTCAGGTACGTCATCAAAGTTGAGCAATGTCTTGTCTTCGACAATTTGCTCAGGGCCGAGACATCGATCAGGCTCTTCCTGCCAGTGGAATTCTCGTACACGGCTGAGAGCATATGCAAATGTGACTGATGGAGTATTACGGCCTTCACGTACTGGGATTACGGTTGCTGTTTGTTTATCACGTGATCCAACGGCCTTCTAGTATTTGGCTACTTTGGGAGTAATGTCGGCAGCACGGTTCCATTGAACGGCGATACTGCGAGCAGCACATTCAGCGGGTTCTGCGGGAGAGTCTTTGTTACGTGGTTGTATTACTGGGACTTGGTCTTCTTCGTCTTTTGCTAGGTCGAGTAACATGGGTGGTCCATACTCGAACACGGTGTTGGAATATGACATGGTTTCGCTATTCGCAACCACTACTACTACTGTTGCTATCATTCTATGCTATGCCATCGTTGACTGCCGAGTCGAGAATATCAGACCACGAGTCCAGGTCCACACCGACATCTTCAGTTTGTTCAATATGATCCTGATCAGCTACTATAGATGAGTCATTGGCAGCAAATATAGATGAGGGAAGGGATACTATGGTAGTCGAGTCGTCAAAAGGTGTAGATGATATATCGGGAGACAACATTGTTGTCGATGGTGTCGTCCTATCTATAATCAATCCATCCACTCCGTCTCGCGGTATCTCGCGGTTTGGTAGTATGAGCGTATCCATATTCGGCATACTATTCAATACCATCGAGACCAGATTCTCTAGAGGCTGTTGGAATCTGATGTTTTCCACAAACAGCGCTGGTGGTGGCTGACCAAACGAATGTGAATCAGTAATCAGGTTTACACAACTTGACGTGGAACTACACGATAACATCATAAATATTTACCACAGCAACATTCGACGGCTGCACTCTAACATTAGCATTCACAGCTGATGGATTCGGTGATGGCGTAACGGAACTAAAGGCCGACGAGGTCGCGATGCTGATACCGATGGACTAGCAGGGGACGCACCACTAAGAGTAGGGGTCGACGAGCAATCACTAGTTTGACATCTTTTTAAGACAAACTTCGTGAAAACCCATGGACCAGCCGTTGTGAATCCAGATAGTGAGAGGTCTTGTACCCTCGTTATATCGAAGCCTGAGAATGCGTATAAGTGGCATGTTCGTGGTGCTTCCTGATGTGTAGGATGTTGATACTACGGTGTTTGAGCCCGAGAGGGGAATTGGTGGTTACTGCCAGAGCCTTGGTGCAACCAATCGCAAACTTGTTGGCAACGTCCTTCCGAGTAGCGTTGTGCATTTTGGATCTCGTCCTTGCAATGACATTGAGAAACTACCAGAACCAGATACCTAAAGTATGTGTGTGCCAGCTTATAATTGGACATTTTACGGCTCGGGTAAGGTACCTGCAGTTTACAGGTATTTGTTGTTTGACAGAAGAAACATATCGCAACGATGAGCGACACTGTAGTGCTCTGGATACAGCTCTTTAAGCGTAATTCTGACAGGGCAAACGATCAATCTGCTGCAGTTGAGGAGTTGGGAGACGCTATTGAAGTAGGCGTCAATGATACACACGTCACAAACATTAGCAACCTACGCAAATATCTCATCAATCATGGACGCTTCAAGAAGTCATTGGATGGTGTGAAACCAGATCAATTATATGTATATATGGATGCAGAATGCAAAACGCCACTTCATGCCGACACATCAATCACCCAAATCGAAACATCAGACGACAATCCATTGAGAGTCGTGAGGCCCGCTCCACCTGTAAGTAGGATGTCTTTTACGACGGAAAGTCCAGGTAGGCAACTCCCCTCGTTTGGTAACGTCACTATTGCTGTTGACTTGAACAATATTGTTTTACTCACAAAGCAAATCCAGATTCTTTCCTACAGGCTTTGCAACTTCTCCATTCAATACTCTGGAGCAAAAGACAATCAATGCACGATAGTCTTCATGCAACTGTAGTATGCAATGTTCCAACTCTGGCAACCATGCAGCAAGTTGGGGAGTTTGACACCGCCACTACTACACTCTCTCCATTGAGTTTCACTGTGATTAAATTGAAAGATTTGATGGATAAATATGAATCGCAAGGCCTGCTAGGTTTATTCCCATTATTTATCAACAGGTCTGCGCCTAAACTACTTGTGAACCGGGAGTACTGCCTCCTGCACGAATTTTTAAAGAGAATCTCTGCTGAGGGCATTGTCAAAGAAGGAATGACGTCTCGAGCTATAGTAGGGAACCCTGGAATTGGTAATACACCCTTTCTTTGCGTTGATGTTAAATTGTGCATTGACAAAGTCCTACTGTGATGAAACAAGGAAAGTCCATCTTTTTTGCTATATATCTTGATCGAACGATTACTGGATGGTCTACCGACAGCACTTCAAAATGAGCTATCTTGCTATTATTATTTTGATCATTCTGGCGTCGTCATGAATGCACCTAGTAGAACCTGTCCGTCAGATATTGGGAATCCAACTTGGGCCTTGGTTGATTCAAATCAGTACGTTGTCATTCCATGCATTGGACTTATCGGCAATAGTCAAGTATTAGTGGTTCAAGCGACTTCACCGAAAGTCGAGCGCTATAGAGAGTGGACGAAGCAAGCTGATGCATTGCTCTATTACATGAATACTTGGACGTGGGAAGAAGCTGCATTTTATGGGTAAGTTGTTTAGTCATCATTTCAATTTTCTAATGATGACGACCATTATAAAGCTCTGAGGTACTCCACTTGAACATGAATCGAATATGGGAAGCTTGGAATGATTGGAATCCTTGTCCTCGATACTGCTTCAGCATTGCAAAATCCAAGTATCGTTTGGAGTCATATCAAAGAAGTGTGGTCAAAAGTCTCAGAGTTAATAGACAGAATCTCCTTCCACTCGTGCTCTCTGGAAGTTCTGCCAATGCACAAGAGGCTTCAAAGCTAATACTGATATCTGGTGTTGAAGTTCGAACTGCAGAGGACTGGAGTCTCGGCCGAATGGACTTCAAAGTAGAAATAATAGGAAAACAAGTCATCCGAATGATGAGTGACAAAATTGAAACCCGCTCCGAAGTCGATCGTAGGTCTTTCTATGAAATGCTAGGGAGAACGTCAGGTGAAGCAGCTGTACGTGGTATGATGCTGCAAGCCAGAATGCACCGTCTTATGTCCAAGGAAGGGCCTCCACTAAATGCTACATGTCTGACCGACAGATCAGAGTTACTTGTTGCACCAACAGGTACGTATGTATTGCTGAGTCGTTTTGAAAAATTCTTGGTAACCCTCATCGCCTTGGAATGCTAGAGAAAGTCGTCAGATTCATGAAGACTGATTTGTCAGCAATGCTGAAGGACAAAGAGTCTGGGTACTTCTGGCCAATAGCATCAAATTATGCCAGTTTTGATGGATTTATATGGGACAGGAAGACGAGCATCATTATTCTATTGCAGGCTACGGTTTCAGCTGTCCATCCAATAAAGCAAAGCGGTTTCGAGGAACTATTGAAAGCGTTTCGAGACGCTGGCTTGAGAACACCTGAGTATCCATGGCCACTTGTATTTTGTACCTCAATCAATGCACTTGCAATTCAAACTACTCAGCAAGTCCAGGGAGTTTGGAATACAAGGCTTACTCAGTACATCTTGAAGATATAAGTAAGCTGTCGAGCCGCACAAACCCTAACGCCGTCGACGTCTAACGAGTCTTTCGTAGATTGCCAATCAAATGATCACTTGGTGAAATCGTCAAATAGCAACCAACTATGGTTTCATTATGCAATATTTGTTATATAGTGATTGAACTTGCACATCAATGAAAGTTGAGTGTATATATTAGATCGTTTGCCTTCCACATTGCAACAACAAATAAATATAATCCTTTCAAATTCCCTTCTGCTGTTCGGTTTGTGCCTTGAATCAGACTCCTTTGGAAATACGTTGGAACTGTTGTAAAGGCTGTCTGATAGTGGGTTGTATAAGTTGCTCTTCATAATTTAGGGTCTCACTTGTCTCAGAATGTCTATATTTCTAATTGAACAGAACTGGCATAGCAAAACTACAATCTTACACGTCGCCACGCCTCCTACAGGCGGCCCAAACAACGAGTTTGTAAACTACTTCCGCCTTGAAGATTATTCCCGACATTCCAAGAGTGTGAAGAGAAGCATCCAACCAGGTCTTTACAAGCTCATTCAGCGTGTCAGCATATAGTCTGCTGGACCGTAACGAGAACAAACGAATGAACTGTATCGATTTGATTATTTTGTCGGAGCGCAATGCGAAAGATATGCTATGAAGTGACGTGGCGGGGACCACGGGTATATAGTCACGCAAATAACACCAATTTTGTGTCGTTGCATGGCGGTGTTTTTGTAAGTCGTGAGTTTTTGGGTTACTTTTGTTAGAAATCTCATTAGTCTGCATTGCAACATTTCTTGTTTAGGCATGCTCTTTAGACAGCGACCGATGGACCGAATACGATTCGGTTAACAATTTAAATAGAGAGATCTTCACTTGCTGTATTTTTTACAAAGGTGTTTAAATGTTTATCTTTAAAAGCAAACATCCCCCATTCGGGTTGACGACGCGGATTTTGACTGAGAAAACGATCTCGTGAATACCGAGTCAAGGAGAGCAAACACACAAAACCACACACGCATACCTGGCGGTGACGAAGCCTTTTGATGATCCGGTTCTTGAGATTCACGCTTCCTTTTCAAGATTGGTGGTGTGATCTCCTTGTCCACGCTCAAAAGCTCTGGGACATTCATTTCATCATCATCAGCGTCATCTTCTTCTTCTATACGGATACTAGTGCGGAGGGGAGAGGGCTGGAAGACTGCAATACAGTTTTTTTGTGAGGTTGTTAGTTCACATAGAAAAAGGGTGCTTTGTAATGCGATAGGTCCCCATCAATCGCATTACCTTCAAAATTATTTACAAGATGTCCACCCTTCCTCATACCCCTTGTTTTTGATGTAGAGCTTGACGTACTCGCCACTGCAAGTGTCCCAAGGTAGTGTTTTTTAGAACCAAGGTTGATTTTAAAAAAACAACACAACACGACACACAGGTGTGATGCTTACCCTTTTCCTTTCGCAACACGACCGAAGAGCAAACCAACTCATCACAGACCACACCAACACACTCTCGCCATGTCGTATAAGCATTGTCCAAGATATCCTTGGAAACAACAGCTCGATGCAAGTCTTTGCCTTCTTTGCGACTGAGCCCTCCCAGACGGGGTTTGGTGATGCGATAGCTAGGCAAGCACCGTATAAAGACTTCAGATACGTCATCAAAGTTGAGCAATGTCTTGTCTTCGACAATTTGCTCAGGGCCGAGACATCGATCAGGCTCTTCCTGCCAGTGGAATTCTCGTACACGGCTGAGAGCATATGCAAATGTGACTGATGGAGTATTACGGCCTTCACGTACTGGGATTACGGTTGCTGTTTGTTTATTGCGTGACCCAACGGCCTTCCAGTATTTGGCTACTTTGGGAGCTATATCGGCAGCACGATCCCATTCGACGGCCATACTGCGAGCAGCACGTTCAGCAGCTTCTTCAGGAGAGTCTTTTATACGTGGTTGTATCACTGGGACCTCGTCTTCGTCTGCGTCGGCGAGTAACATGGTTTGTCCATACTCGTATACAGTGTTGGAATATGACATGGTTTCGTTATCAGCACCACTACTACTACTGTTGCTATCATCATATGCTATACCATCGTTGAATGCCGAGTCGAGAATATCGTCCAAATCGCTCCAAGCGTCTGCCATACCAATATCTTCAGTTTGTTCAATATGATCTTGATCAGCTACTATAGATGATTCATTGGCAGCAAATATAGATGAGGGAAGGGATACTATGCTAGTCGAGTCGTCAAAAGGTGTAGATGATATATCGGGAGACAACATTGTTGTCGATGGTGTCGTCCTATCTATAATCAATCCATCCACTCCGTCTTGCGGTATCTCGCTGTTTGGTAGTATGAGCGTATCCATATTCGGTATACTATTCAGCACCATCGAGACCAACGGGTGTAGCGGCTGCATAAATTTGATGTCTTCCACAAACATCCTTTTATCCTCTAATACCTGGCCTCCTAGACACCAGCCTGTCGCTATGCGACTGCTAAAGAGTCGATTTACTTATAGGTCTCTCAGTACTTGTAGCTGTGGTTGGGTTCGAATGGGAAGTCGGTTTGTGGTATGTCGTTTTGAAGTTTATGTGATATAATAAATGAGTAAGATAAATGAGCAAAGAAGTTTAACTTGTGCCTTGGAATGACTGACGTTCACTCTCGGCACTCGTTGCTGCTTCTATGCGTCAAATCAAAGATTTTGACGATTGTTTGAAATGAAGAAAAAGGGGCGTGCAGTCATTGAGCAGGAAATCGACAGCTTTGAATTCAACAAAAAGGAGAATCATTGCATTTCTATAATGATTATGATATAATAAGTACATATATTGGTCTAAGTCTTCTTATACAGCATTATGAAAATTCTCCTACGCTTTTGTGATTGCAGTGAGCAGGAGTGTCAGTGATGTGATGTGTGTATGCGATTATGTCATGTTGACTGTAATTTTTGACTGTCTTCTTTGCCCTTTCCAACGCCATTGCTTTCTATTTCAGAAGGGTCGCCCAGCGTTATGAGCGATTGACCTGTCCTTGCGCTAGTCGGAAAGAGTGGTAGTAATAGTGCACCAGCACGTCGTCCCTCTTGTAGCAGTACGTTATAAGTCGATGCTGCATTCCTCTATGTATTCAAAGATGTGATCAGCCAGTGCTTGTATTTCTCGAGGTCATTCACAGACAAACACTTACAGTAGAAGTGACCTCGATCTGCATTCCTAGTTTTAGCAGATATGCTCTTAATAATGATGGCAGAGGATAATTCTTTGCTCCTGTACCCAGCACCAATATTTCTATCGTGTGTGATTTAAATTGGCAATTGTTCGCTTGTTTATGATCGAAAACACACACTTACCAGGACGTGGATCGACGACTTCCAGGAGACGCAAGCATCCAATGTCCCATCCATGAAAGGGAGAGCCCTCTTCATCGACACTTTCGACACCATCTGATTCAGCGTCGAGGATTTCATCACTTGCGCACCCAAACTGCGGTACATCCCACATAAATAGCGATCCATTGAGCAGTATGACAGGACCAGGAAGATCGAAGTCTCCCACTATGAAGCCATCCTGTTTGACAGATCCAACCTTCCATCCTGAGGAGTGAAGTGGATGAGTATGTGTGATATACGATAATATAGAAGTGAGAGCTCCAAAAGCAAGCACCTGGAGGGACCATATCAGCCATGACATTGTATAATTGTAGGGGCGGCCCATGCTCTCTGCTTTCAGGATTGTCGTTTGGATCAGGCTGCATCAATGATGCTCGAGCAGGTATCGGCTTCGACAATGGCTTTTCAGAGGAGGAATGGCAGATGGAAGTAGTATGAATTTTGCGGTTGTAAGGTTGGATAGGTGGATGTATGAGCATGCAAGTTGCATTTGGATGTGAGGCCTGCAAAAGTTTAACACTGCTAGTTCGTCGAGAGTTGTTGAACAAGCATCTAGTTCTGATTTGCATCAGATTACGGGCAGCGTGTCCCGACATCCTGATTTCAAAGGTCCTATTCGTGTTTGTTGCTAAAATCAAAATAGTACCAGCTAAACTTGAGTTTATTGAGACGACTCAGGGAATGGTGTCGATACTTGTAGGACGTGTATTTCAGTTCATAATAGCATACAATTAGTAGAAATCACGTAAATACACACCGATTGATTAGAACTATTTTGCGCTCAATTCCAATTCCACCACTTTACACCACAACTATAGATAATATAACAAGGATGAGCAAGAAGCAGCCTTCCGCTTATGGCGCACTCCCTAAGGCCGGTCTCACTGAGGCCCAAGTGCGCCAGGAACTACAGAGGTGCGTCCTTCGAAAACACGTTTTTGCACTTGTATCACAATGCCATCAAGATATGGCATCGCCTTATATGATCCAAATTTATATCCTATTTCTATATTCTATGACTTGCAATATTACCTTGACGCTTTCAAATCATTGCAAACGACCACTCCCAATTCTCAACATTTTGCTGATTCACTAGGTACTCAAACATGGGCAAGGTCGCTTGGCAAGACGGAAGAGTCACCGGCGCCGTCTACCACGGAGGCCCAGAACTCAACAAGTTGTTAATGGACGCGGCCGGAATGTTTGCAGTCTCAAAGTATGCATCTTGATCCACGCTTCCATTTCCATTCATGCTCGATCTTGCACTCACACACGCTCCTCCTATAGTCCTTTGCATCCCGATGTCTTCCCTGGCGTCAGGCAAATGGAAGCGGAATGTTTGTCAATGGTTCTCCGAATGTACAATGCGCCAGCAGACGCTGGGGCTTCTTTCACTTCTGGTGGAACAGAGGTAGAGGATTAAAACTTGCCTTGACTTTACCATTGCCGAGTCTTACATTCTATTTCAATTTTTCAGTCTATCTTGATGGCATGTATGACCTATCGAAACATGGCCAAAACCCTTCGAGGCATTACAGATCCCAACATGGTCGTCCCACGAACTATACACGCGGCATTCGACAAGGCAGCCGCATACTTTAACATTACGATCATTCATGTCGATGTTGATCCAACCACTGGCCAAGTCGACTTGCAAAAGATGGAGGAGGCTATAAACCCTCAAACCGTGTTTTTGGGATGCTCATCGCCCAATTATCCACATGGTATTGTCGATAATGTTCCCAAAGTTGCGGCATTGGCCAAGAAGCATAATTTGCCTTGCCACGTGGACTGCTGTTTAGGTATGTCTTTGTAGAGGCGATACATTGATATTCGAACTCAGCGTATACTTGCCATTACGTGCTCTTTGATATCCTTATTAAAAAACATATCCTTGCTATTACATAGGTGGTTTCATTGTACCGTTTGCTGAGAAAGCTGGCTATCCGCTACCGTACTTTGTAGACTTTAGAAACGAGGGCGTCACATCCATCTCTGGTAAACAAACTAACCCTGTCAAAAGAATCAAGCTCGATGGTGTAAAATAGGAGCTGACATGATTTTTTACTAGCCGACCAGCACAAATATGGATTCGCCATAAAGGGTAAGCAAAATCATTTTGTTTACAAGCATACGAGATTCTCACGCTTACAATTCCTCAGGAGCATCCACTATCATGTATCGCAACAAGGAAATCCGTAAACACCAATACTTTGTCGCACCCATGTGGCCTGGCGGACTGTATTCGTCGCCTTCCACTGCAGGATCTCGATGGTAGCTGCATTCGGTTCTCTCTACTACATTTGTCTATATTATTCAACATGATTCGTATTCAATCAGGGGAGGATCAGTTGCATCATGCTGGTCTGCAATGGTCACGTTTGGTGAAAGTGGTTACGTAGAAACCACACGCAAGATTATTGAAGCCAATAGGAAGATTGTGAAGGGGTAGGCAAGACGTTCGTAGTTACTTTCAGCGGTTGAACGTAGACCACCGTGTGATATTTCGAATGGCTGAAGAACTCGTTTCAACTTATACGACCATTCTATTCTTCACAGAGTCAGATCCGTTCCGGAATTAATTGTTATTGGAGAGCCGCTGCTCACCGTAATCGCATTCACGTCTCGACCAGGCTCCAACATTAACATTTTTGGTGTTAGTGAGCTCTTGGGTAGAAAAGGATGGTGAGCTAAAAAATAATAGTTGGATCTGCATCACAGGCTTTGGCACTCATTCAACTTGCTTTCATCTACCATCTAGGTCGCTCGGCAATCTCCAGGTACTTTTGCTGTTGTCGAAACGACTCATTTATCTTTTGCTAACACTTAAGACTTTCAGCACCCTGCTGCAATCCACTTGTCAACCACATTACTCCATGTTCCTGTTGCTGACCAGCTAGTGCTAGATATCAAGGAAGCCGTTGAAGTCTTGCGTAAAGACCCACACGCTGGTGATGGAGCAAAGACCATGATTTACGGGTCTCGTGCTGAAGTTGGCGATGACAAGCTCGGATCGAAGATGGATGGTGCACATAAGTTCTTGGATAGTCTTACCCGTCTCTAAACCTTTCCTCAATAAAGTTGGTCCGTAATCATGCAAACATTAGTTCTTCATTCACGTTTTTTACTATATTTTCAAGTCCAGGCAGCACTAAAGGTATACAAAAATCAGGAGGGGAATTTTACATTATCAAACTAGCTTTAAAATTGGGTGTATCGATTTGGTGACTAATTGAGTCACGATGGCCGTTTATTCCGAGAAGGAGGAATACACCTATTGTGGACAGAAGAGAGTCAGTATCAAGATGGGAATAGCAAATTAGTTCAATCCCGTACATCTCGAGCGGCTGGGAAGCTAGTCCCATTAAATTGAGTTATCCTTGAAGATAACGTGGCCCTGATGGAGGCAAATGATATTGGTTCGGCGATGCGAACGGCTCTAGCTTGCTTCAGCACACCGACGGATCGTGACCAGTTGACTGGATGGGTGTTGAGCTCCTCTTGCTTTTGCTCTCGTAGTTTGAATGATTCCATGGATTATTTGATATTTGGTTTGTTTAAATTGAGATGGGCTGTTGAAGAGAAAGGCCGAAGGTTAGAATGTAGTCTAGTAAATCCGACGACTGTGCCGTACCTGGAGTATGTCTTGTAGTCTGTAGTTGCTTGTTGTTTGTAGATTCGTATGCGGTAGCGTGGATTGCAAAGCAAAGAAAAGGTCCTGTCACCGAACTCGAGCGTGACATCACATCACACAAAAACGAGACTGGCCAGAACAAGAACAGAAATAAGATCGATGTAATTCTATATTTATAATCGATGCAATCCACGTTGCTTCTCCGTACATCATCCTGAACTGACGCGTGGCATGCCTTCTGACAAATGGTTTGATAATTTACTCATGGCTTACAGTCCGGTACGCGTCGATTTTTCCTTGACACTCTTTACTGCCGCATCTGCATTCGAAACTCCATATGGGATCCCAGTAGTCTGAAGCAGAACCCACGTTATATATAAACGTGATTTGGTCTCCCATCTTGACACTCTTGATCGTTTTGATATATTGTTCGTCAGTGATTGTGCTGTTTGGCTGACATGAATCTAGTACGAGACGTGTGTGTGAGTGCTTTTTGGAAAATGGAGTGAGGAAGGGACTGTACTCACGGTTTGTGTATCTGGCATTTGACTGAGGAAGCAGCCTACAGAAGATCATTGTCAATGCGTATGATTAGTGAGATTTGAGGAAGCAGACTATACGTAGATCAACGTGCATCAGAAACAACCCAAACAAAGGTTGCGTGAAACTTGATCCATTACCATTTCCAATCCGTGGATCCCTTGGGCTGGTAGTTTAAAACATAAGTCTTGTCATAATCACTCAAATCCTCGTAAACGACATCTGTGTTTGAGAGTTGAGTGTCAGGGTTGATGGTGAAGCGATCCAACCAAATAACCTAAGGAAAACAAACGATCCAAACCTGGGCCTTCGAATTTCTCTACAATTGTACCAGGCTAATGTATAAAACCCTATGGTGTTAGATCGTCATGATGAAAAGCGCGACTGAAGATTCCACAAAATTCCTACCTCAAGATCTCTGGCTGCCACAAGAGCATGGCCGTATTCCACTTTTTCTACTCGTGATACGTTAGAATATATGCTAGGCTGAGTGCTCTCTTGTTGCCCGATGGCCATCACTGTGATCTATTTGATGTTTGGGAAAGAACAACCACTTCTGAACGAATTTTGCGTTTGGAAAAATCTAGCTTTATACGAGAGTGTACACAAAAATATACATATTTCTTCTACCTACAAATCCCAATTCGTTTATACTCTAGTTCTCTAGTTGGTTGAGAATCCAGTCGAGCCAAAACCCCCAGCTCCGCGTATTGTCAAACTCAAATCCTCAACTTCTAATACAGTTGTATGGTAGATACGTTCTAAGATCAATTGAGCAATACGGTCTCCTGTTTTGACTAGCGAATGCAAGGCAAGTTGTAAGCTAGAAGCTGCGCACATACTTTGTTCCAAATATACCAATGTTATACCTTCAAAATCCACATCAGAGAAATTAAACATGACAACTCCCACATTCCCACGATAGTCCTCATCAATAACACCAGCACCGACGTCCAGAAAGTGTTTGACTGCCAATCCAGAACGAGGTGCTACCCGACCATATGTACCAGGAGGAAGTGCGATTTGGATATCGGTAGGCACAATGACTTTTCCTTTAGCTGGAATTACAACGTCTGCCGAACTAGGATGAAAGGTTGATGAAATGAGAAATGCGAAGTTATAGCTTGAGAATGTAAATTTCTTCATCTCATCCGGATCACCATTAGATGATTTGATAAAGTTGATTGAGATATGATGATATTGAGCATACCTGTACAAGTCCCATCCTGCAGCCTTGTCAGAGCCTCGAGTGGGAAGTTGAGCTTTGCTTCCAACCTTCTTGACGAGCAATGGGATTGGTTCGTCCATCTTTTGGCGCTTGGTCGATGGTATGGTAGTAGCTGGTTCTGATGCAGTTGCCAACATTCTGTGAGCTATATACAAGTTGTTAAAAGTGAGCTTTGAGGTATTTCGGTTGTGAGTGAGTTTTGGGGCAAGAAGCTCCGAGGGCAATGACGACAAAAAAATGAGAGATGAACGTGTCAAAAAGCGTCAATAATTCTAAATAATCTATATGAGTTTCAATACTGGACTATATTACAGAGAGAGCGAGAAGACATCGATTATAACACGGCATAGGCGAATACCACAAGTGCGACTACAGGAAGACAGAATCTCCAGTTTCCATCACTCAAAATCCAATCACCAATTATTGTAGATCCATGCGCGACACGTTCACTGGCATACAAAAACACGACTGTCACCACTACGAGATTCAGCCACCAAACCACCCCAACACCGGGCAACACGACCAGCGTAGCCTTAGTATCTGCTGCTAATAATATATGGAATTGCATTATAAACGTCTCTAGAGATATCCGACCAAACCAGGCAAAGAATCCAGAATACGTCTTCCGTAGCTTGGCCGTTGAATTCCGAAGAATGGCATATGACACTACAGGTATGGCCGAAATACCAATATGAAGAGTATTATAATGCACCTTGACTTTGGCTAATGATACACCATTGTCAAGTTGTGTCTCTTCCATATAAATCATATATACCAACAACACGATTCCTATTACAGACCCTACCACAGCACCTAGTATCCATGACGGTTTGACGGGCATTTTACGGAAACGGCTTAATAGAAAGCCCATGGCGACACCAATAAAGCATATATAAGAGTCCAGCTCTAATCTAAACCGCCATTCATTAGCATCCCATCCTTGACCCAGTCCAACTCCCTTGAGCGCATTGAATAGTACTTCGGTTATCGGTGGGAATGATATCAAGGCTTTTGTGATGACTGAAGCTGATATGATTTTGAACAGGACAAACGTCAGCGACGTGCTGTACGTATGTCCAATCCAGAAGACAATCCATATCACTGCAAACCATACAGAGACTAGAGGCGAAAAGTAATATCCAACATAGGGCGAGCCCATGGTCAATGACAAGAGCACTGGTAGTATATTCAACCTCACAAGTACCTATGAATTTAGCAAACTTTAGAATTCAAACACAAACAGAGAACAAAAAGCTCAACATTTCAAGTTACCTTGATGGCTCGCGAAGCGCTGAAATCCTGCTTTGCGTCAAAGAATTGGGCATGACCAAATCCCGTCATGAAGATATAAGAAGCCACTAAAATCCTTATGAGAATGTACAACCACATTACTTGCGAGCCACCTAAAAAGTGATATACAAGGATGGCGATTTGCATCCAACCCTTCCACTCATCGGTTTGATGGCGATTTAGTAGCTCGTCTTTCGGCAAGGTTTCCAGTGTCATCATTCCGAGGACGAGCGGCACCAAGAGGATTAAACCAAATACACCGACGTCAAAGTGTTTTCCAGCCTTGCCAAATATCCACGTTCGATCTGCTAGATACATGTAAACTAGTGCGATGGCAATCCCTTCCATCCCGACCAAGATATCAGTATTTTTCGGACGCCATTTACTAAATACGTCTAGATATCGGATGGCGGATACCCATAATATTACAGCAACGAGGAAGCTCATCATCAATACTTGACCGACACGCGGTGGTTGATACTGCCTGCAGCATGTTGCACTGGGAGCTGCATGAGGTTCCATAGATTTTAATATTTCGGCATTACACCGGTGGTTTAAAAGGAGCTGTACGGCCATTCTACTAACTGCTAAATCATAATGTAGACCGTCCGTTGACGCCTCAGCAGCCTGACGATATAAATCTTCAAAAGCCCTTACATAAATAGCAGCACTGGTATCTGAGGCACCGTCTAAATAGTGAGCGGTTGCAGCCAGATGTGCCATTTCTATATTTAAATCTGCAATACGTGGGTTCTTTAGAGTAGCTTTTCGTTCTTCACTCAAGAGTGCCTCTACCACGGGTGGTAGTGGCAGCAAATACGACACAGGAGCAGCTGGATCTCTAAGAGTGGCTAATTGTCCCAACAATGCTCCGACTCGTTCTATAAAATCCTGATCACCTTTTGGTCCGCCATATCTCATATACCAAGGCCCAAAACTTATGGCCAGCATTGAGATAGGGACGTGAGGCTTTTCCGACAAGTCCTGCTCTATTTCGGTGCCGTTCAGGAATGGATCATATATGAAGTGGTGTTCGATATTCCGTGGGAAGGTGGTCAAGATAGGTTGATGAGCTTTAAAAGTCGTGACATTGGACGGCAGTGGATCCTTTGAGAAGATGTCCAACAGACCATAGTAAATATTACGAGCAGATGAGTCTCCATGGATTCTAGTGCGAATTGTGCTGATGGGGTCGCCGAGACACTGCCACGTTTGAGCAGCATTGTATTCGTGCAGGGTACATTGTAATAATTGGTAGCTCAGACCCTTCCTGTTACTAGTCGGCGAGTAGATCCAGCGACCGGAATCCTGAAGGATTCCATTACAATCGACATGTGATCCTTTTGCAAAGAAATTTGAGGGTGTAAGTTAAAAGCGAGTTCACGATGCAAGCTGCTTGGGATTGATTCACACAATACAAGACGGCAGACGTGTAAAACACAAGGAGTACCTTTCCGAAACCATCTGACTATAGCCGATATGACAGTTATAGCGATGCAAGCTTGAACCATTGTAAACCAAATTCCTGAGCCTTTGAATTTGGCATTTGCAGATGGTGACTTTGAGACCAGACTTTTCCGTTTAGCATGAGTCTCTGTGCTTTCAGTCTCATTGGGATGCCCACTTCCGTCTTCAGAAAGCACCTGCATCAGCAGTGATGCGTTCTCTTCACCACTGGTATTGTTACCATTCATTCGTAAGTTAGCTGTGTATAAGCTAGACGATTAAAGCTCTTCTTAGGCAGCTCTGTACTTGTAAGTGGGATCTACAATCATAATTGCGTCCATCCAGTCGTGCCTAACTCTTTGTTGCTCGATAGTTCCAATTTTCGAAAACAAACAGAAGAGGGCAACCAGCTACAACATTCACTACCGTGAAAATTCACTCTATTTTTGGAAGATATGGCTCATTGGTTGAGAAAGGTACGAGTTGAACATAGCCATCAACATCGACACGTCAAACAAATCAACATTCATTTGACGTGACATTTTTTGACCTAGGCTGCAGTTGCTTTACTCGCTGCTAGCTCAACCACTATATTCCCAAATCAAATTGATGAAGATACTAGTGGACATTGGCCATTTGAAGTCACTGCGCCAATTGCAAAACCAAACACTCCATCGTGCAGTATCCTCTTGGCCCAAACATCGTTTGGAAATACTTACGGTCGTCCGTTTGTTGCGTCGTATACTCCTCAATGTGGTGGTGACCCTCAGGCTTGGAGTCTGATTGTATTAAAGTACGAAGCTTCTGGGACAGGTAGACAGTTTGATAGGACCTCTGGAGTCTGGCTCGGTGGAGTGGAATTGTTGAGAACTACTACTGCCGAACCTTCGCCAAACTTTACCGTGTCGTGGACTATTGAAAAAGTAAAAGTGCATTTCCATCGGTTGTCAACAAAAATACTCATTGTTTGTGTCCAACCCTTTTCGTTTAGGATGTGACTCGCTTTGCTTCAGTATTCGCCCTCAAGAATGCCAAATTGGTTGTCGCACTGGACAATATAGTCAACGACATATATACTGCAGTCTTGCATGTCAATGTGACAGCCACCTTCTATGCTACTGATACCCAAAATCCACCTGCTATTGTGCCAAGCCTCGTAATTCCAGTATCAGCATCCGAGAAGTCGTATGGTTGGTGGTCGATGCGTGGTGAAGAGGTGTCTTATAGGCTCCCGCTTGTGCCACGTAATGTAGTAAAGGCGAGGTAACGTGCAATTTCAATCTGATGAAGTTGCTCGTAAATTCGTGTAACACTTTCTCATGCTGTTTTTCATTGATCAGTTTGGAAGTTTTCATATCTGCTCATGGTTGCGATGAATTTTGGTATGTACAAATTGTGATGTTTATTCCATTTTATTTAAAGCAGTTTCTTTGTAGGTATACCAACATACCTTCCTCAGACCCAGAGTGCGGGAACGGAACCTTCAAAGAACTCATGGTCTCCTTGGACGAGAAATTGGTATCCGTTGCCTGGCCAACAGTCACAATCTATACTGGTGGCATAAATCCGCTCTTATGGAGGCCCATATTTAGCATTCAGGCATCCGATGTACCCTCAATCGTCCTCGACCTTACGCCTTATATTTATATATTGACAAACAACGACCGACATACCATTGGCCTTAGTATCTTCAACGCCAACTCTTACTGGCTCGCAAGTGGCAGCCTACAACTATGGACCGACAGCAGTATAGAAGTTTCCAAAGGTGGAATTATAGAGAATGATATCCCAGCACCGGTCTTCATCCACACCTTCAATAATATCACAAATGAATCAAAAACCATCGCCCATCGGAACATCTCGTATTCTGGATTCTTATTTGGTAGTCAAGGCCTTGTAAAAACTATAGTGCGGTCGAAACTGGACTTTGACAATGTTGTCAAAGTCAAAAGTGGATTTGACAATGTTGTCAAAGACAAGTCTGGCCCGAAAGTGGGTTCCAGTGGGCAGCAACGGGTGTTGGGCGTGAATAGAGTATCTCGAGCAGAGGTGGACGATCAAACGGTCTCTCAGTCTCAATCCATCGAGACTGTCGTCGAGACTATAGGAATCAAAAAGTCTGTGGAATCACTTCAAAGGGAGAACTTACTAGAGCTCCATGTTGTGCAGACGTCGTTTGAAGACAAGAGTTTTGCGATTGAATCTGAAATATTTCAATCGGTGAATCTCGAGAAATTGTCACCAAACACTTTGATATCCGTAAACACGAAACAGCAGTCTGATGGTGACTTTTTTAGGAACGCCACTACTCAAAAAGGGGGAGGTCAGACAACTACATCGCAGATCTACGATAAGATTACAGATGTAAAAGGTGCACCGCGTCGCTGCTATACTCGAAGTGTTACAGCAACAAATGGCAGTATCACGTTTGATGAATCTGATAACACATGTAACACGACACTGTAATTATACATAGACTAAATTAAAAATTATGAAAACTAAAACACCCCTAGTTCGGTTTGAAGCGACTTGTCTATTTTGTGTCCAACGTTCCGAACTTCAACTTTTAACAGTCAAAAGCTACAGTGTGTCTGAGAATATGGTTGTAAGTCAAGTAGAGATCTGTCATAACGGACCCAAGCTCTCGCAATTCGTCTATGGTATGGAACCCTGCATGAAAATGTGCTTTTGCACTTTCTTTTGACACTTTGAACGCAAACCTCGATTTCATGCTGACTGCGACGTATACTGACAAGTTTCGACCGAGGTTATTCACTAAAATAACTTTTTTTCTTCCTTAGGAACATGGCGACTAGCTGATAACGGAGCGACACGAGATCCTCATTTGATTTTGCAACGAATTCAAAAATGTGTCGAGCTCGGCATCACATCATTTGACTTGGCCGATATATATGGAATGTATACGTACGAGAAGGTCTTTGGCCAGGCTCTCGCACTCGCTGGACCCGAATTCAGACAAAGGATCCAGCTTATTACGAAATGTGATATCGTTGCAAAGTCGGATGCATTCCCGCACGTGTCGGTCAAACACTATGATACGTCCTTTGAATATATAGTAGCAGCTGCCACTCGCTCTTTGCATGAGCTTGGTGTGTCCTACTTGGATGTACTCTTGCTTCATAGGCCCGATGTTTTGATGGACGCAGATGAAGTAGCACGAGCCTTCCACGAGCTCAAATTGCAAGGAAAAGTGCTTCACTTTGGTGTATCGAACTTTAATAGGGACCAGTTTGAATTGCTACAGAGCCGCTTGGATTTCCCACTTGTTACGAATCAGATTGAGGTGTCGTGTGTGGAGATGAAGCATTTACATGATGGGACATTGGACTTTATGCAAAAGATACGGACCTGCCCTATGGTTTGGTCGCCTTTATGTGAGATTGACGTTCGTTTGGAAAAACACAATGATCATGCGTAACAGTCACAAATTTTAGGTGGTGGTGCCATTTTCAAAAGCGATCAGCCTGAAAAAATTGCCAGGATAACGGAGGCACTTAAATCTGTGGCTGCAGAGATTGGACCCGAAGCCACTATCAGTGATGTAAGAACTCTGACGTCTCTCGCACCAAAGTATGCTTTGCTCACAACATCGTTCAGGTGGCCTTTGCCTGGATCCTAACATTGCCCTCAAAACCTATCATTGTATTGGGCACAAACGATTTGGCAAGATTGGAACAAGCTTCAAAGGTCAACTATAAACTCAGCCGCTCCCAATTTTTCACTATTTGGCAAGCGTCGGCTGGACGCCGTGTGCTATAAGTAGTGCATTGAATAAGCATTCACCATCATCATGTAAAGTCATTGTAAACACAATAAATCATTTAGACCAGACAAAGATTTTTGACAATTTACATGTTTCAAGCAATACATAGGTTACAAGTGTTCATTTACAAGAAGATTACTTACAGTCCGTGCTCAGCAGCTCTAGCAGTAGTATAACGCATCCGTTTCATATTCCTTCTGACAAAGAAGGCATCTGGAGGCTCCACGCCTGGATTTTGAGCATAGTATCCGTCTACTCGACTTTCGATATAAAAATCATTCCGTAAATAGAAGCGCAGGGCACTTTCATTAGAGGTCTGCACGTGGAGACAGACATGGTCTACAGACACATCATATTCCAGGTTTGAAATGATGTGGTTTAGCATTAATGAGCCTAATAAGTGCAAGATGAGGTTGGTTTTCTAGCATGCATCCGATTAAGTGAGGATACAAACCTATATGAAGTCTCCTATATGGTTCCAGCACACATAGAGTCATGATATATACTCGACAGGATGAGTTATCATAGTCAGGTGGTTGACAATCCGAGGAGAATACCTCCTTTCGGCATGAAATGGATCCAATGCAATCGTTACCAGCATAAGCTACGATAAAACGATTTACCAAATCTTGCAAGATCTTGTGTTTGCATTGTGTGTGCACTCACCAATACAACTAAGTTCGTCCGAATGTGTTTTGACGATATCATTATAGAACTGATCAGTGTACTTTACAGGTATAATGGCCTCGTTGAGTATGCGGAGATGTGACACGTTGTCGTCTGCTATCGTTCTCAATGTCAGCGTTCCGACACTCATGGCCATAGATAATACGTTATGACTGTGCCGCTGCAGTGGGATTATAGGTGTTCTCGCTTCGTGGAGAGGTCTTCTGGAATGTGATTGCACTGGGCTTTGGTTGAGTGCTCGAAGGGGTGACGTTTTAATTGATGCTGTTGATGTTGGGGATTCCCAAGAAGAGGCAAACCGATCCTGCATATTCATGTGCGTTGTAGATGTGTCATCGGGATGAATCTGGCCTCCGACTCTCCTCCTCATCGTGCGTTAATGTTTGCAGAAAGAATGAAAAGTTTGACGACAAAAAGCAACGATGCGACGCGTAGTAGCGTAATTTACAATACACGCTTTAGTCTACTTGCCAAAGATCCCAGTCTCAAGAGTCTTAGGAACTAGGAACTCGACAACACACGTCATTACAAAGTCTCGGAAAACATAAATGTTGGAACCATAGCTAGGTTGCAGATCCACGACAAGACAGACATACGGTAAAAGTGCAACAACTTCTTCTACACCATTCTCGCTACAATCTCGTATACAAACCATCTATATTGACAAACGACCACCTAGAATACATGAAATGTACAATGCAATACAAAGAGAAGGCTACTCGGCATTTGAAGAGGGTACGTCAGCGTCTTATTATCTACAATTCGTTGTTACTATGTGTATCATTCATTCTGTTCCTTGGAACTCGTCTCATTGCAACATTGTCTTCCTTTACAGGCACACCTTCATCGCATCAAAACTCGAAGAAATGAAAGAAAATGGGTTACTTCTCATTCACTTTAGGCCTACTACTCCAGATCTGGAAATCTACTTTATACTCAAGTCTCTCGATATCTGCAAGGAGTGGAAATTCACCAACTCTTTGGAACGCTATCATCAAAATGTTGACGAACATAGGTGCTTCTCCTGGCGTAGGAGACAAGAAGTCTTTTGTCATATTCCAAGAACGACCTGGCTGGGAAGAACTCAACTAGCGCTCAAGTTGTTTCTCAGCAGTATCCGTATATGTGAACAGCATAGGTTTTAACCAATGGTGTCTGGGTTAAACGCGCAGACGCATATAATTCCATTTCGAGTGGTAGATCCAGCAGATTTGGATTATATTACATGTTTTATTTGACATAGCACTCATTGTACAATACTCAAGGCCCTACCAATAATTGATGGATATAATCACCAAAACGATCATAATATACCAGATCCAACTGACTACACGTGCTGCATGACGTGGAAGAGTTGAAGACACGTTGGTACTATCAAGAGATACAGCTTTAGGTGGCAGAATGCTCCAAGGCGAGCCTACACCACCAGTTGACACAACCACGTTGAATTGTACACCGTCCAAGCTACCATTCCCACTACTACCATTATATTTCGAGATATCAGAAGCAGTAAGAGTCCACGAAAACGTGACATTCTCGCCCTTGTTATCAGGCACAGAATGAGTGATGGTACTGCCTCCCACGTCAGATTGTTCGACTGAAGCAGATGTACAAGCACTACTGGTTTGTGGCCTAAACATCGTCTTTGGATATGTAAATGTGCCAATATGTGAATTGGTCTCAACAACACTGGTTCCATTCGACAAGGCAAAGATAGGTAAGCCATACATAAGTAGACCATTCCAAGGGACAGGTGAGATGATGGAGAGTTGTAGAGGTACTTGGGCAAGCTGCGGTTTGTCGACCTTTATCCTGATGCGTGTGCGAGTTTAAAAAATGTCGCGAAAATGTCGAAATGAATAGACACAAACCACACCGAATGCCAGTATCAGATTGAGCAAGCTGATGACCAGATTCAATTGCGTGCTCATTGATTTGACATCTAGGTATGGAAACACTTAGCAAATGCGAAAGAACAAGGTGGAGTGAACTTTGGCAAGACAACCTTGGAGCACCATTTGGAAGACACGAACCCAGTACACATAATCCCAAGAGTATCAGTACGATTTTCTTCATATTAGCACTCTTTGGCGTCCCTCTTTGGTGATTTCATAAGATTTTGTGAGTTGGCGTGTTTTTCCAATGTTGGCAAGTTTTCAGGAGCAGCTGTCGCTGTGTAATGGATTCAGCGGAATCTAAGAGTTATACATCGAAGTGAGGTATATGATATGATGTAGGGAACAGTTTCAAAAGTGAGCGATCGCACCAAAGAACTGGTCAATACACCGACCTTGGATCAACGTTTGGACGAGACCAACCAAGAAGACAAGGGCACAAGAGTATCACCACAATGTCTTACATTTTTATCATTTCCTTTGGGTGTCGTTCGGTTGCTTCAATAAGTTTTATAGATTGTTGTTTTTCACATCCGTGTCAAGTTTTGTGAACAAGCGAAAATTTTGTGTTTTTGTGCGATTCGTTGGTTGCGCTCCCTAAAGCCATGGACGAGGAGAGTAAGTGCAAAATGTTTAGTTTCATGAGATGTTATCTTGCAAGTTTGAACTCGGAACAATCGTCCTCACCCTCTCCACTACAATTTATCGAAACGCAGCTTCCGACGATATCGAACCAGATCTGCGCATGATACCCACAACACAACAATCATCTGCACTACATATGTTGGCAAACATTGCATCTCTGAAACTAAATCAACAGGTACTTGCTTGAGACATCTGGCATCAACCACCAAACGAACCACCTGATGTTGGAAGACTGACTCGCTTTCTTCTTTTTGCATCTGGGACAGCAGCAGAGTCTCGAAGCTGATACCCGGCACATACCAGACAGCTATAGAAACAGTATACCTTCCCATGACCTACACTACTCCTATCCAATATCCGGTCCAAGGTCAACAGCGTCAAATTCATCAACACACCTGGACTTTCCACTGTTACCGCCCACTGCTTCAACTTCTTCTCACTCGCCAGCATCTGAAAACGTTTATGATTCTACAGAACTCCATACCCAAAACTCTGCTACGCCTGACGAGTTTGACGATAACGATAATGACATGACAGACGACCACGAACCCTCGATAGCTGCTACAAGTAGAAGACGGAAGTCGGTAGTCTCAATTCCATCAGATTACGATGATCAAGCGCCACCACCACATTTTGATAGACGAAAGTCGATTGTCTCAGATAATGACGATCAGAATGCTGGTGGATTAGCTGGAACAAGAAGGAGAATGTCGTTATCTACAATAGATGCAGCTGGAAAGAAGGTGTACAAATGCCCCAAGCCTTACTGCTCCAAAGTCTATAAAAACAGCAACGGCCTAAAATATCATTTGGAACGAGGACAATGTGAGGCCGACGTGGATAATGGTGATTCTGATGTTGATACCCCCGATGGTAAGTAGTTCTTTATGCGCAGTTTCTCATTTACGGCAAAAACCAACCTGATCCAATTTTTCTCACAGATGTTCGCCGAGCACATCGACCATACGTTTGTTCAGTGTGTCAAAAGAGGTACAAGAATCTGAATGGCCTAGTAAGTATCTTCGACAGCGCATTTATCAAAGTTTGTGACTGTGACGCTGACTCTACCTTCAACTAGAAATATCATGCTCGAGTAACAGCAGGACACGAAATAGAAACAACTCTTCGCGTTGCAAAAGGAAGGCGGCCATCGACAAGTCAGGCCTAGCTGTTGCGAAACGCGTAGATGATAGAAAAACTCATATACTGGTAAACTTAACTGTACAAACGAAATTGCATAATATAGAAGCAAGTAATAACATTAAACTGTCGTTTGACGAAGATTTGATGCATTTGACACCAAAAAATTGCTCGTCAACGCGCTAAAGTTTCAGTGCAAAGAAATTCCTCGCTAACTTGATCTTGTCAAAGATGTCGTCGATTTTCGACATCCTAGCCCCAGAACTAGTTGTGAAAGTGGTCGCCAAGGTAACATCGTCTCACAATTCTAGTCTTCACTCTTCTCTGTTCTGCTTGACGGTTTTTGACTTTGTGAAGTTTTTTCGACGCATTCACCATCTTTATACATATATGATAGCTATCGCCAAGGGACGTGTCTCGTTTCAGCAGGACCTCCATTGCTGCATCTCAGATTGTCGATGACAATTTACTATACAGAGGTAATACGTCGAAAACACATCAACATCACTATTGCTGACGAAAAACTTTACCAAACACAGAAGTGAGCCATTCAAAGCACACCATCGTGGATCCAATTCCATTCCCAGTTCCTGGTGCTAGTACTGGCGAGTTAACGTTCAAGGCTCGAACGCCAGACTACAAAAAACTGTTAAGGAACTGGTCGAGTCCAAGCCCAACCACACTTCGGATCCATAAATCCTCTTTGAAACGAACGTCTGTATCAACACATACGAATGTGCTGGCTGTCACTTCTGAAAACAATTCGACGATCGAGATCTACGATATAGAGAATGGGACGATGATGGCCGAGCTGTTTGGCCATATACGTGGAGTTAATGTAGTTAGACATTGCTCTGCAACGAATCCGTTTCTTCTTGTTTCTGGTGGACGTGATAAGTCAACAAAGATTTGGGATTTGAGAACTTCGGTAGAAGATCCAATTTTGACTGTGAGTAACTATTTCTATCAGAGAATTTATATAGATTTGAGATGACCATTCTTGTTGACGTAGATTCTGGACGTTCATACGGACGAGATACATGCTGTGCAATTGGCCGAGCACTACTTGTTCTCTGCAAGTGCCGATGAGACTGCGGTTGTGAGTACTAATTATTTGCACATAGCCATTTGAGATCTCACCAAATCGGCTGTAGATGGTCGATACACGGTATTACGGGACCGAAGAAGACAATGGAGTACTCTTCACGTACGAAGGTCATCAAGACTCGATCTTTGCTCTGGACTACAATGGAAATGGTCTATTAGTAACCGCATCGGCCGACCATGATTTAAACATATGGGATACCAACGATGGTGGTTGGTTGAGCACAATCAAGACTCCATCTGAGTGTTATTCGGTCAAATGGTCACAGTATCTGAAGAAAGGCAGCAAATCGCATATAATGTCCGCAGGAGATACGGGAAACATTCATCTGTGGGACTTTGATTCAAAGAACCCAGACGAATATATCGATACTCCGATATGGTCGTTTCGGACTGGGTCTCAGATATCGACATCGTCGTGGGATGAGATGGATGGAGCCAACGGGTTTGGGAGACTTGCTGTGGGCGGTTGGGATACGCATCTACATGTCTTGGATTTGACGTCAGACAGAATCGGTGTTCAAGTTGCCATTGATCCGGATGAAGAGGATATCATAATTTGTGAAAAGCAGACGGACGACTATAGGTGTAATGTAAGGAGGTCGAAAGGGCATACCGTATACGATTATTATGCTCATAGTGGACCAATATCGGCTGTTACTATGAATGGTGGTAGGATCGTGACCGCAGCTCACGATGGCTCTGTAATAATTTGGAAATTCGATCATGATTGCATATGAAAACATCAAGTATATAATCAATAGATCACGCTGGTAACTATATCGCTCATTCATTAGTATATATGAGGCACGATAGACTTCATTTTATAAGAAATTTACAAGGTTATTGAGCTGCTGCTGCAACGGTTGATCTAGGTTGAATTGGTTTGAAGCCAAGTTCTTCTACAGGAATAGCGTACTCTCCCAGCTTGGCCTCATAGACCCTCATCATGTCATTATAAGCCTACATCGAAAACGTGTGTGAGCGAACGTGGAGCAATTATCGTTGAATGTAACAAATGCACAAACCTTTGTTGTTTTCGCTAGATCATACTGAAGCTCACGAACTACAGTCGGGGTGAAATCGTTTGAGTAAATTGAAAGCCGTTTTGTGACGAATGAAACAAAAAATAACTGGCGATGAAAGGACGGTAACGACAAGACAACCATACCTTGTGAGTTCTTTGATTCGAGCACTTCCTCCAAACGTTTGGTTATATTGCCGATGGACACAGGATCCAGATTTGACGCGCGTAATACTTCAGACAATTGGAGATCCTTTCGTTCTAAATTCTCACGTAATGATTCGACCTTCTTTTCCAAGATCTAATGATACGTTATACCATGAGAATCACGATCAGAATATAGGATTAACCGCTATGATTTTCATACCAGATTCTTGAAAGCAGTCTTTTGCTGAACACCTTGTATACGTTCAACAAACTCTTCATAAAGCTCATCCCGTTCTTTCTGGGCTCTCTCGAATCGTTGCGTCAAGACTTCGTGCTCCCACTCTAGCTGCTTGAACTTTTCTTCTGTGACTTTGAGTCTAGCTTTGGTTGAAGCTAGAGCTTGACGATCTTTTTCGTGAGATAGCAATTGTCGTTTGAGGGATTCACATTCGTTGAGAGCGGCTGTTAATGGTTCGGATAAGCGTTTGTTTTCTGCTGTTATGTCGGCCATTAGTTTCTCGGATCGTTCTTCCTTCTTCTTCATTTCTTCGACTTGTTCCTATATGGGTTACGACAACGATGTGAGTAACGATGCTTCAAGATAGAAATCTGGTGGGTTTCAAACCTTGAGGGAGTTGATTAGAGCCAAATTGTTGAGAGTAATGTCATTGTAATAATTCTTGATTTCAGCAAACGCCTTTTCATGACCTCTCATCAAGGCATTAATCTGACCATTTTTCCTCTCCTCAACTTCATGGATTTCAGCTTTACGTTTGACCTCTAGCTCTTCTCGAACATTCTTGCTACGTCTCTCGTATCTTGCATGTAGTTCCCGAGCATGGCGATCAAAGTCTGCTCGTAGTTTGGCAATTTCAGCATCATGTTTGAGTTTTAAATCACGAACAGCGGCTTCGTGGACTAGCGAGCGTTCTCGTAATTCCAATGACAAGGCACGGGAATCTCGTCGTAGAGCAGCTTCTTGGCCCGCATGTTCATCTTGGTCATGTTGAAGGGCACGTTCTGAGTCTGCTTGTAGGTGGGCGACATTGTTTTGGTATTCGTAAAGCAAGTGCTTGACTTTTTGCTTGTAGACCTGTCGGAAATAGGAGTGTTGAGCTTGTTGCCCAATTGCACAAAAGGTGGGATGGTCAACAAACCTTGATTTCCACTTGATGCTTCTCTTCTTGCTCTTCCAATTCCCGATCCTTGTTTAGCAGTTCAGCACGAGTATCAACCAATTCTTGCTTTGAAATTTCCCAAAAATCAGCAATCTTGTCCCGCTCCAACTGATAAAAGTTTCGTTCCTCCTTTTGCTTGACGGACTCTTCCAAGACCTTCTTCTTTTCTTCTTCCCATTCAGCAAGAGCTACAGCTGGATCTTTGCCAGGAGATGATGGTTTTGTGGTACTTGGTCCACTTGTTGAACCATTTCGAGATTTCTTGAGGAGCGCCTGGCTACCAGCGGCTCCACTGGCGGACATTGACATTTTAGAGGAAGCGGCGATATTTGGTCGAGATCCAGCTAATTTCATGCTTGATGCCTTTAATTTGGTAGTTGAATTGCGAGCAGAACCACTAGGGCCGGCGAGTGGTTGGCCTCCATCTCCACCACTTTGAGATAGAGAGCCAGAGGGTTGGCGTGATAATGACGCGGCTCCAGTAGGTGGTTTCGAGGTTGTGGTGTTTTGCAATGCAGTGTTCGACGCAACACGCGAAACTGGTTTAGACTATGAAGAAGATATACGAGTGAGTTCAGAGAGTTGACCAGTTTGAAAGGTCAATGCTAAAGGATATGTTTCACACCATGATTGCTTCACCACTATATTAGATTATGCTCGTTTGTGCTAAAAGTGTGATTTTGTGCTGTTTCCGCAACGATTCTCACCGGAACATTTTTTCACATACCGGTCGCTCACTGAGCTTACAGTTCAGCAAGTAACATAACAATTCCAAGCAATTTTTGTTATAAAGCACTTCGTGACTCCTTACTCTTGAATTCTTGTATATAGCATTAAGTCCTCGTTTTGTAATTGAAGCAGCAGGAACATGATGGTGACGCGACAATAATTGTTTCAATATAAATCTGTGCACCTAGAAACTAGCATCCTCTTGAAGAGCAAGTCGCGAACGCGTTCAGCTTCACCCACCTTCAGCACTCGACTCCCACAAAACATAGCGATCAAGATGGGCAAACAACCGTCCAGGAAGACTAAGACAGCATGGAGGAAGAATGTCGACCTCTCAAAGATCGAAACTTCTTTGGCGGAAATCGAAGTCGAAAGGCGTCAACATGGGTGAGCTAGCCTCTTTTCTTCAAAACACATTTTCACAAAAAAAAAGTGGACAATAAGCAAGAATGTAGTTCGTTTTACTAAATTCTCTTTACATGTATTTAGAAAACCATTACATCAACAGCCTGATGAGTCTCTGTTCGTCATTGACAAGAAACCAGATCCGAAATGTGAGCCAACATTCTCACATTTTCAAGACCAACAACTCACATATTATCATCTCACTCAGACAAGATAGCCGATCGTCGTGGTGTTCTACGCCTGGATCAAATACTGGCTCAACGTAGCAAGATCCCAAGTTTCAGCACTCGACCAAAACAAGAAAAGTCTGCATTCCGAGTAAAAGTCAATAGAAACTTGAAGGGAGAGGCTGCACTGATACAGAAATTAGTTGAAAAGGCCAAAATCAAGTCAGAAATCAAAAGGAAGGGCGTCAAAGCTATTCAGACGAAAACAGCTAATCTAAGTGCAAAGGATGTCCAATTGGGCAAACGGGGGAGAGAGCCATGGGATGATGGTATGGCGGAACAGCCTGAATACGCACATCTCAATGAATATGTGAAGGCAACTCTGCCTGTTGCCGTTAAGGTATTGGAAAAGGACTAGCAAAGCTTTTTTTTGCTGGTCAATCAACCCACACATGTATTTGAATGATGTAGAAACCCAAAACCGTAGCATCTGCACCTGTAGATCTGCCCGCAGTCGCTATACCACCACCTGGTACATCTTACAACCCAACATATGAATCACATCAAGAACTGCTTCAATTAGCAGTCGACAAGGAAGAATCCCGTCTTGCTAAAATCGAGCAAGTGAAGAGAAAGTTGTGGTATCCTCCTGAATTGGATTTATTGGTATGTCGTCGTTGTTGTACTTTCAATAGCAGGTTTGTTGGTAGATATCCAACCCGTTCTCCCTAGGACGATGAAACGTTTTTTGACGATCAAGATAATGCAGACGATGAAGATGATGATGCTGCTCAGGAAGGTGTGAACGGCGTAGTGGCGACTGGTATAATCAAAAGACCAGCAACTGCAGAATTCCGAAAGACGAGAAAACAACGGCTTGAAATGGCTAAACGGGTCAAAGAAGAGTATGAATTGGAAAAGAAGAGAACGGAGAAACGGATGAATAAGGAGCTCAATCGGTAAGTGCTTGTATAGTATACACGAATACGATATTGGTGCGAAAATTCGCACATTTCCTCACATCGCCTCTCCATCCTATTGCACTATATAGGCTAGGAGAAATCAAGAAAACACTAGAACAGAATAAGTCTACCGCCGAAGGCTCTGAAACACCTCAACCAGCCATCCAACAAAAACACAAACAGAAACGACTAGGCCCTCATAAACAAAAAGATGAGCCAATTGATGTCGTACTGACTGATGAATTGCCAGATACATTACTTCAACTCAAGGTTGGTTCAAATGGTTGCTCTGTTCTACCAATCTTGGTGTCTGTTGCGTTTTTTTTTTGTTATCATCGAACGATGACTAACAATGCATTTCAATCCCTTGTCGTAGCCTGAAGGAAACACCTTCCAAGATTTGTTTTTGGGAATACAGAAACGAGAACTTGTTGAACCTCGTAAACCTGTTTCCAAGAAACGCAAGTTCAAGGTCAAGACTTACGAGTCGCATGACTATAAGCGATTCGTATAATAATACAATGCTCTTTCTTGTAAATTGCAATACCCTCTTATTGTGTTTTCTTGAACCTTCGCCTTTTCATTCCTTGCGCTGTGTCGTGTATTTGTAACGAGCTTTTGCAATTGTGACAACACTCAAGACCGAAACATAACGAACAAACGTTGGCAAATGTGTATGTCTATAGATCCCAATTTATCATTTGTAGAGTGGTGTGTGTAAAAAAACAAACTATTTGAACGAGAATTTTACGGCTAAGTTTTACCTACAGAAGTGGTGGACTCGTGTTAATAAATGTCTCCTTTTCTACGAAATTGACTCCATCACGTACTGAACAAGAATAGATTGTTAGTTGCTGCCAAAGCTATAACACCATCCCTTGGATGCCATGAAGCATGAAGAATCTTCTTGGAGAAGTCTAGAGCATCCACATTCGCAAAGTCCTCCTTTCTAGTAGTTTTGCGATTTTGCATGACTCCCTTGTTCTTTGTTGATCCAGCTCTCTTGGCTTTGAATGCGGATTTGTCTGCTTGTAAAATAGTGTCTTGTTGGTTGACACAATCATATATATGGAAGTAGTTGCTGTAAGATCCTGTAAGGACGTGCCTAGAGATTGGGTAGAGGATTTTGAGTTATTCATTTAGGCAGGATATTGTTTGTCGTCGCAACTTGGCACGTACGTTCCATCTCCGGAGAAGGTAGTTTCAAACTTGTCAAAGATGCAATCATTTTCGTACAAGTCACATAACTTGCTTCTCAAATGATCATGGATGGGGATGGTTTGCACTGGTTTGTTTTCCATATTCAAGTCCCAAATCTTTACCGTGAGATAGTCTCGTGATAAAATGTACCTTCCATTACGTGAGAATTTGAGATCTGAGATGGATGAAATGATTTCTGAGAAGAATGACTTTGTTGAAGGGTCTTCTTCCTCTTCAAACACTAGACAAGAACGTTGGATGACACGTTAGTTGACTACACTTCCACACGGTACTTATAAATCCACATTACATTTTGCATGCCGATCACACAATGCCGACTGCCTCATGTCTGCCAATTTGATTGTGCCCTTACTACTACTATACATGAAAAGGTTGCAATGGATTGGATGGAATTCTGCTGCTGTGATGACTTCGGTCAGTTCTTCCATATTTACAGGTTTAATATCGACAATGTCTACAAAAGAGAGATGGGCATGTAAGAAATCATCCCCGTTATAAACATTCATCATTCAAAGAAGAATACAACTCACTAAAGCTCTGATCCGAGACATTTAAATTCCACAAATTGACTCTCAAGTCGTCGGCAGATAGATAGGTCTCTTGATCAGAGTTTACCGAGATTGAGTTGATGTGGTATGCATGAGCATTTTGATAAATCTTTCGAGGGATTGCGGCAATCATGCTGTCGTGATGGACGAGTTTGGGTAATTTTAATGATTTTTTCCCATTCATTTGGTGTTGACTCATTCCTTCTGATGCGTTCGATTCTGAGACTACTTTGATTGATTTTTCGAATATCTTCCATAGTTTTATCGTCTTGTCTGCGAGACGGAGATAGTAAGTTAGTTATGTTGCGACGTGGCTTTAAAGTCGGGATGGACGATTCAAATCATCCTCAGACAAGATGATGATTACCGTTGGTAGAGAGTAGAAAGTGAGCCGAGTTTTGTCTTTTGCACCAACGAATCTTGTTGATTTTCTCTTCGATTTCCAAACTCTTTAGATAGTCGAATTCAGGTTCGTGAGATTGGAATTCCGTATAGAATTTGTACTCGCAGCCCTTTTTCTATGTGTGGAGAGTATTACAGGAGGGATGAGTACGTTCGTTTGACGTGTGGTGAGTTGGAGCATCATCAGCAGTCGAGGTTTGTACATTGTACAAGGATGGTAGTGTTGAATAGCAATAGCATACTGCTCATGTACGATGAAACAAGAGTGCATACCCCTTCGTTTCGTTCAAAGAGGACTACACGACCGCCCTTATCACCGGTAGCTAGGTAGTCGCCCGTGTCATCGAATTCGACAGCAGATATGATATCAGCTAAAATAAGAGAAATAAGAGATGTATGAGTTGAGATACGTAGTTGGGTAGATGGTGGATAAGAGGCCAGTCGCATTTATGCAGAGTTTGACATTGTTTTTAAATCATTTGGGACGAGATGCGCGTATAGGAGAATAAGGCAAGGAGAAGATGACAAGGGATAGAATGGGGAGAATAGGGGGAATAAATCAAGCCAGTGTGGGCATTCATGGATTTTAGGTTGGATTCTCATCCAACCTTTTTATCCCTTGCCCACAAACAAAGAAGACCATGGGATATAATTACCTTCAGTGACATCTTCTACCTCGCCCTTGTCTCCAAAGCACTGGGCGAACTTCCAGCCATTGTCTTCCTCGGTCCCCTTTGTATAATTCGACATTGACCTGACGATTACGATGCTCGAAAATGTGTTGTTGATATTCTCGATGATGAGCGAGGTGTGACTCTTCCAAACCAGAAAATAAGCGATATATACGTGTATTCAAGCACGTAAGTGAATAGAAATTTTAATCTTCATTTATTGGTCTAGTACTCTGACACGAAAACGCGTTTGTGTTGCAAAATCACGAACTGTACAAGGAGGCTGCTCCTGTGTAAAAGGAGCCCTTTATCAACGAAACGATCAGAATGAAGAGATTACTACTCTCATACGGCTGCTGTTTCTCTCCTATTGGGCCGCTCTCTCTTCACTTAGTATTTCAGGACAGTAGCTTAAACACTACACATAGCTACTAACCAATGAGCCAGTCAAGCTCTCCACCGACTCTGTCCGCTCAAGGACCATTATATGTAGCTGCCTCCAGTCTTGCAAATGACACTTCTTCTCCGTCGGCCATGTCGGGAGAGTATGAATATGTTGACACCGTCAATTCAAACCTAGTCTGCTGCATATGCTACGCTCCTTTCACGGCTCCAGGTACTATTGCTTACGTAGCTTACACCACTCGTTGCTACTGTGCTTGCTTGTTTAGCCAAACATGAAGCTTGACATCATCCATGTGATATGTCATTTACCATTCCACCAACATTAACTTCTCCTTTCACCACATAGTATCGGCTTCATGTGGCCATACCTATTGTAAAAGCTGCATCACACAGTGTCTGGCTGCTACCCCCGAAGACTCGACTCCTTCCTGTCCAATTGATCGAATCCCACTCACCACAAACGACCTACTCCCCGCCGTCAAAATAGTCACAAACATGGTCGACGAACTAGTCATATACTGTATACACAAACGAACCGGATGCCCCTGGACGGGTCAGAGACAACACCTAAACATGCACTTGAACGATGAGTGTTTGTGTGTCCGTGTGAAGTGTGAATTGCCCGCTTGTGGCAAACTCGTCCTCCGCGGCGATCTGGAAGCTCATATGAAGGATTGTGATTATAGAACCGTAGAATGCTCCCTCTGTAAAAAGTCGCTATCTTGGATTAATCTCGAATCCCATCGGAACGAATGTCCAGCTGAAGCTGCTACATGTCCGTACTGTCAAAAGGAATTGGGCAGACACGAGCTAGAAGCTCACTCTTCGTCGTGTCCAGAGAGACAAGTTCCCTGTCTGCATGCTAGACATGGATGTATATGGCAGGGGAGATACCAGGACAGAGACACTCAGCATACCCTCAGCTGCCCATATGAAGCTATAAAAGGCTTCCTTGTATTACAGGAACAACGTAACGAAGAACTGGCTGACGAAAACAGAGATCTAAAAGGTCAAGTAGCATTGCTAAGGCAGGAACTATCAGAGTTGAGAGAAGCTGCAGTAGGACCAGACCATCTTCAACAGGCACTAGGTCCACCACCTATACTAGATCCACCAACTTTGGAACATCTCAATCAAATCGTCGCAGAGAACGAAATACTACGTAATGACATGGAAGCAATGACACAAACTATCGCTTCAGTAGAACTCAATCAAAATATGGCTCTCTTATCGGAATCCAATCGATTGCGTGAAGAAATGCAATCTGTAAGAGCAATGTGTCAAGCGGTACAGATGCAACTGGTATATTCTCTTGATCGACGTAAGGATGGTGCTGGACCAAGTGCTGCTGCCAATGTAATAGGTGCTGTAGCTAAAGCCCTAGGACCAGTAGGTGGACCTTCACCGGTCGTAGTAGGTGCTGGTGGTGTTCAAATACCGCTTGCCTCGCCAAGTCTAGATGAGGCCAAACTATCAGATATGGCCATTGCCACTCCGCGTCAGAAATGGGTTAGATCATCATCTTCAGGTACGTTTTGTTTCATACATTAAGTTTGGGTCGGCTGCAGATACATACCTACTGTGCAAGGAGAATCAGGCTAAACATGTTGCTTTTGTTCATAGATGAACGATTGAATACCAGTCCAACTGCTAGCCAGCAAAATACAATCACCAAGCTGTAATTTATAACCCACATGTACTCAAGCTGCAAATTAAAAATCATAACACATCATTAGCTAAACATATGAGTTTGAGCGTCGTTCTTGTTATCGAGTTTCTATTTGAGATAAATAACATATGTCTTTATCTACATCTTTCAACTATTGTCGTGGCAGAGCTTCAGTCAACTCAAAAAGGTCATACCCTCCCCTCACTCCAAACAAGTGAGACAATACTTTTGACTGCATCTTCAACCCGATACCCATAACAGTCAACCTGACAGCATCATTCGTATCATGTGCTATATTAGTCATTGCTAAAAGTTGATGACGTCCAAAGGCATAGTTTAGAATCATGGGAGTCTCACAGTCTGCTAGTTCTATAAATCCCTTGATTCGATATATGGAATCTACAGACAGTTTTGCTAGTGCATCTGACAGTGATGATTGTGTGTGTAGTGTTAGCTCCTGGGGTTCTACGGCTGACTCTGTGTGATCTTGTTTATGTGAGTGTTGAGGGTCTATAGAGTCTGAGTGATGTGCTGAAGCGTGATGGTGATTATGATGAGAGTGAGTAGATTTTTGCTTTTTATTGATGACGATTTGTATAAGATCCACTTCCTTGTAATGATGATCCTGTCGAACGAGACAAAACTTGTTACCACGTCTGCTTGCCAATTCTTGATTCTTTGCAGCAACTTACAACATCATTCAGAACCACCGAATCTTGACCTTTCTTCTCCAGTTCAAACAGTTTGGAATCCAGCCCAAATATAAGATTAGCATCAACGGTTCCACCTGGTCCAGCTTTGACCTTTGGCGTATCAGTGTTGAGGTCACAAACTGAGTCCATGACGAGATCGTACTCTCGTTCTGTGACGAGTTCGGACTTGTTCATGATGATTAGATCGGTATACTAGATGTGGGTGGAAAATGTCGTGAATGATGAGGTTGACGTGGCATGCGGTAGCGTGCTGGTCCTACTTTTGCTTGCATTTTAGCGGTATAGCTCGTATCTTCGTAGCCACTAAAGTTGACAGAATCCACGACGGTTACGATAGCGTCGAGCTTGAATCCGTCCTCCTTTTCCAATTCTCGAATCTGCCATGCAATGGGGGCTGTTAAAAGACAATGTTAGCCGAATTGTAGCTTGCATCTTCGTTCGGTGAATTCTGGGGCCAAGAAATGTAACAAACAAAGTTACCAGGAAAGGCTGATCCAGAAGTCTCGACAATTATTCGATCGGGATGAAGCTTATCACGTATCTCCAACAACGCGAGCTTCATTTGACCGACAAGAACACAACAGAAGCAGCCATTCAAGAACTCTGTGACTTGGACGTTGGATTGACTTGCTATTTGAGAGTCTACGGCAATATCACCAAACTCGTTTTTCAAGATGACAACATTGTATGCTGGTGGAAGAGACTTGATCAAGTTCAATATGATGCTAGTTTTTCCAGCACTATGAGAGATGCGTCTGTTAAACTTTTGATCAAAGTCTATATCATTGTCTTTGTTTTGGCATTTCATCAGATGTTGGTGAATGTGATGGAATCTGATGATGACGATCACGAAAGAGAGACCGACGTAATCAACAACACACAAGAGAACGAGGAAGATCTCGTTTATAACGACCACAACGCCGTGGAAACTTCAAAAATGACTTTCCAAAAGAGCAAACTGCGAAAGCTTTGTGAAAACTCACCCAAGGAACCCAGTGAACACAGTTATTGGGATATCAACCATTGCAATGATCCAGGGTTCGACGCAATTACCCCCCTTTTGCTTGAAAGTCGGCCAAAAAGTGACTTTGCAAACAGTTTCAAAAGTGGACGTGAATTTCCTGTGGACATGTATATAATATATAATCTCTGATACAGTGCTTTAATACGGTCTTCAGCTGTTCTTCAAAGATGTCATCCTCCTCATCAATTCATCGTCTTCGGCATTCACCTTGGACGCGGTTGATGGAAGCGCACTGCGGTGAGCATTTGGAATTTGCTGACCAATACTTATTCCAATTTCGTCCAAGACCTAGTCGTCATTGTCGTGATTAGCTTGCTGTATAGTAGAAACCAGTACTTTTCCCTAGCAACGCACCTGGTTCATGATGTTGTCGCTTTCGTCTTCATCTTCCTCATCATCAAGGCCATCAATGGCGTCGTTCATCATCTCCTCCTAGATAGGGTTGTCACAAAATGTTTGTTGGCCTCAATTTAAGAATTCTCTCTGGGTTAAATCTGGTGCCAGATCCACATTTAACTAATTCAGCATGCGGTAAAAACTACCTTCATATCCATCTTCATTGATTCTTGCTCAAATTGCATTGTTGTCTAGGAAGCGGGAGCGGAGTTTAGAAGGGCTTGAAGTACCGAAAACTCGATCTGCTTTTTGCGTGCCTGTTGTAATTTCTGCATGTCCATCTGCTTATTCGCCGTCTTCATAACTTTGGCTGTCGAAGCCATTGCACCTGAAATAGCGACCGTCGAAGCAATAGCAGTTGTGCGATGGCCTACACCACTAATTTGTGCTGACATTGAATAGCTTTTTTCCTTTTGCTTTCTCACTCTAATCAGTTGTTTGGCGAGAGTCTTTGCAGCAGTGACATTGTTGGCCTAATTCACAATGTGTCTCAGTTCTTGCCCAGCAGCATTTGCTTTAAATTCTAGGCTTACTTTTCCAGCTTTTCGAATCTCAGCTTCTATTTGCTTTCTAAGGTACAAGACATGTACGTGACGGTTTCAGGCAGCAATTCAGACAGCAATTCGTTAGTGCTGACTTACTCTTGACGTTCCAACTGTTGACGATCTCGCTCTAAATCTCGACCCACCCCTGTTTTCAAAGATTGAGTGAGATACCAATTACTGAATTGAATATTGAACGAGGATCAAATATTGAATGAGGATGGTAACTGGCTCGAGCTTTCCGACTCGGATGTGTTTGTAGGAAATGTTGATGCACATGATATCTGCACGCCGTCATGGCGTAAAGGCATAAAGTAGTGGTGGAAGATACCTCGAATTTCTCTCTAATAAAGCAATTGAAACTGTCAGTTCATGTTGAAGCAACGAGGTGCCGCTTGACCAACTTTGATCTTTCAACAAACGTGCATTTGTAGTCCTGGCGACCTCTTTCGCACTTGGAGGAGAGAAATAGGACTTTATAGCATCCATCTAGCTAGGCTGAAGCTTGTACTGGGCTTTATTCGTCTTGAGTTGCCTCTCTTCGTCTTGAGTTTTGGTCGACCTCCTTTGAGAAGCGGTTTAATCGGAGAAACAATGTACAAAACTGAATATCAGGTATGCATCTGCTACACGTATTTTATCGTCATTCCACGAGCTCTCGTGCCTATTCTCAACCGTCAACTCTTGACTGATCAATATTCATTCAAACATTCCCCAAATAATATTTGCAGCGGGAATACACCTGGAAGCAACCGAAAACTCATGTACCAATACGCTCCAACTCTCCGTCACGTCTGCCATCGCCCACGCGGCTAGCTGCTCCACTCTCTACCGCACCGGCACCGCCACTTCATTCCACGTCACCACCTTTCCTACATTCCGATGCCGTGCAAGCAACCCCACCTGTAGCTGAATCTGGTGTCCAGACCTCCATTCCGGTAGTCACATCGTCAGTGCAGACACAGCCCTCGGCTGCTGCTCCAACACCTGGAGATCGTGTGCTGGAACCGACTCAATACGGAAGTCGACATAATGCTGATGCTCAGAAAGAAAACGCACAGGCGCTGAACACGCACCGCACTATGAGTGCGCTTGAGAGAGAAAATCCTGTTGGAGTGGTTCCGTATGGACAAGGAAATGTGAGGCCAACAACTCCCTCCACGTATCTAAAGTCATTCAATCAACGAGCCCCTGTCGACGAGGTAAACTTATTTGTTTTTTAGTCTGGTAGTCGTCACTGCTTGCAACGTTTTGCGACTAACGGCTTGTTGAAATCACTACACAGCAACATCCGGAAACATTGGATCGCCCTGCTAGAATGCGAGAGTATGAGGTGATGAGAACGGGCAAGAGGCGACCTGTAGGTCTCAAGAACTATCTGTCTGCCCGGAAGATCGTAGATAGAGCTTTGAACCGCTTCGAGACTGAATACTCTAGAGAGGTAACGTGTTTATCACTCTTATTATTGACACCAGTATCGATCGGTGACGTGTTACGGTCTTGTCACTAACACTTCGCTACAGTATGTCAATTGGGATCAAATTCTGTCCAGGTCACCATCTCCCATTATTAGCGTGCCATCACCTATCGTGTCCGTATCTCCTCCGAATGTATTAGCACCACAAGATCGACCTGCTCTAAAATCTTCTATCAAACCGGCCGTCTCTGTCAAAGTAAATCCCGTTATACCTGTCACCAACGTGTCGCATCAAGCACAGGAATATATCCCAAATCCAACTAGAACAAGCAGGCCCGTCGTAGCATCGATGATGAAAATGTCTTCAGATATAGAACCGGCTGGTATATCAGACAAGCTGTTGTATGCCAGAAACGAGAAACGACACTATGCCATTGAATACGTAAAGGATGACATTCAACTATTAATGGAAGCAAGTGAACGCGACATGATTGAATTGGCAGCTAAAGAAGGTCGCAATTTAGCAACACAAACTGCATCTCGTAAGTCGCTGGGTCAGAAACGTAAAATGAGGTTGGTGGAGGAGCCCGCTATTGATTCTCGGGAATATAGCAGTGAGCCTCCCAATATGTTTACTTTGGCCCAGGAATTGTTGAAACGAGTGAGAGATAGACGGAACTTGTGATTATCAGTATGAGAGAGACGGAACTTGTGATTGTTCAGTGAGAGAGAGGCGGAACTTGTGCTGTATATAGAGTCCATTTGACACTTGTGTGTATGTTTGTATCTACCAACGTAACGTCATTGATAATAAAAATTATTGACATGGTATCAACGATTCAAGTGGATGATGACAGAGCCTTTTGCCTGAGTAAACAGTAACCTGTTAAAATCTAATTGTGATGCGAGATAATCAAACTTTTCACTCACGCTTCGGCCAGAAATATTGCTGGAGTAATTGGTTGAATAGGTGCCTGATTTGCGTTGGTTGCTCCTATGATTTTCATTGCTATACGTGATACGTAAGCAGTACGTTCATGCAAAGATCACCATCAGAACTAGACCCAACGCACCTTCCAGATACTGTGCAGTAGTGATCTGACCTTGTTCAAGACGATCAAAGGTAGAATAGAGTGCCCGGAGGTCTTGATCAGAAAAGAACGACTGGCTCTGGTTTTGAAGTTGTGCTATTTGATCAGTTTGATGGTGACATGGACGTAAAAGGAGGAGAGAATCACACGGTGGCAGCACTTGCCTTGCCATTTCGATTAATTTCAGAGAGTCGCTCGATCAAGAACGCCCTCAAATTTTCTAAAATGGATGTTATTGGCAATCAAGGCTGGTGATCTACCCTAGTTCCAACTTACCTGGTCGATGATACAGGACTTCAGCTGTTAGGTGCTCGACTAGCTGAGGAATCTTGTGGCGATCCAGGTACTCTTGAGCAGTCGCTGCATTTTTAGACATGATTTCTGGATGTCAAGGTTTGAGAAAGAACGTGCCAGGCTGTAGTTGGTCTACCATGACGTGTTGACGCGTTGAAACGTGTCCCACTGCTTCACATCCCAATGAGAATTCTATTTCATTTTTCTACGATTTTATATTTCTATAACGTTGAGAGTCATGATATAAAGTGATGTTCCTCATCACGAGCTATAGCTTGATTTTCAGCCAACCTTAGCAAGTTGCGAAGGAGCATCGACACTGTGACTTTACCAACTGATGATACGTATATAGAAGCCTTGGAAACGATGTCATCGTTGAAGTTCTTTGATGAGGAAAAGTTGATGGCAATCACACCGTCCTTTAGTTTGGCAGTATCCACTCTGTACTTGTCTGTTGGGACACCCGTGATGACTACATCTGATGCAGCCAGTGCTTGTTCGATGGTAGCTTTTGTTTCAAACACCTAAGAAACAGACCGAAGAGCAGGGTGAGTGACAAGTCCAACATCTCACGTACTGGGAAGCCACATCTTTGACTAGTATGACATGATTGAAACAAAACGATAGGCGTACCTCGTGTTTTGTGAGCCTGATTCCTTCACCACGATGGAATTCCAATATTCCAAACTCGTCTGCTGAATAGACTTTGGCACCATCATTAGCTAGTAATGCTGCTAATGGACGACCAACGACTTCAGATCGATTTATGACTGTGATTGTTCTGCCATAGAGTCGATTGCCATATGGTAATATTTTGTTGTAGGCACCGATATGCTCCATGATCTAATGACACGATTTGATGAGGGTGTGAGATGATGGAGGAGACATTCACGATAAGGATTTGAGATTGCTTACTTTGATGACAGCCAGAGGAGTGCAAGGTAGAATGCACTTTTGCTTTTGTTCAGTGTCCAGAAAACGGACATTGTGGTACATGTTGACTCGACATTGGTGAGATAAGCCCTATTGAATATCTTTCCTGGTTAAAACTACGATATCATTTGATGTTTTGCCGTTGACGTTTACCTCGACGTCCTTGTTGATGTCGACAATATTTTGCAGGTATTGATCCTGGAATGAATAAAGGCGACATGATCAACATGAAGATGAAGTTGTGCATGATAAGATGGTCGTACTTGAGTTCCTCCAAAGACAGGGTAGTAGCACATCATTCCATTGACTTTGGGATCCCTGTTTGCTTCCAAGATGGCGTCTTCAAGTTGAGTTCTTTGAACTTGACGTAGTTCAAAGTCGACGTTAGCCTGTCTGCAGGTACGCCCTGATAATCCCGAAAAAAAGTGAAGGTCAAGTGGATGCCTTCCAACCAGATTTAAACCCAGATGTAAATACCAGTCCATTCCGCGTATCTCTTTGCAGCAGGATCATCGTTAGCAAGGAAAGCCACGAGCAAAGGCTTTTCGGAGCCAGCAGCGAGTTTGTTTTTGATTTCCTCTCTGTTTTCGTGATTGTTAGCTTGTTTCGACGGATAAGATAAGTTGCTAGTTTTGCGAGTAACAACTAGTCACGTACAAGAAGGGAGCTGCAATATCGGAGGGCTGCACCACAGAACAAGCTGTCTCTGCCGTCATCGTGATGTAACTAAGTTGAGTTTACTTGTATGTCTTGGAGTGGGAGGTTTTTTTCAAACAAACAATTTTCTTGCTGGAAATTGGCACCCACCTCATTCACGTGAATAGCCTACTCAATCACGTATTGTTAGACATGAATATATACATGTCTGCACTGGCGAGGCATCCTTTATGTAGGGATTGCTTGAAAAGGAGCCTTTTAAGGCATTCTTCGACACAAGGTACGTGCTCATACAAACACACTCAACTGCCATTCATGATGATAGATGACGTTCTTGTTGTTTGAACAAACGAAAAATCCATTCTAAATTCGACTCATTCTACACAGCATCACCGCCATCAGCAACAGCATCAACATCCGAAAGGCCAGAATCATCCATCAAAGAAGGCACCGTATTGAAGGGAATAAACGTATATGCTGGCAAATCTGACCCAGTGGCAATGAAGGATGCTGACTATCCAGACTGGCTCTGGACTCTCACTGCTCCAAAACCAAAGGAGCTAGCTACCGAAGACAAACTCAACTTTTCATATCTAAGAACTCGATGGAGGCTCGCAAGCCGACAAAAGAAGAAGCTATAAGACTGCAGCAATACTCTGCTCATTTGTACCATAACACTTTTTTATAAATTCTAAATCTAGCATTCAACCACGTCATAATCTTATAACATGCAATCTCAACCAGTCTTGGTTCCCAACATTAAAAACCACTTATTCCTAGTGTTGGCGGCCTCTTTGCGTACGATCCTTTTCCCATCATCCAAAAACTTGCCAACCTCTTGTTGAACTTGGGTCTTGAATGGATGCAGAGCTTCATATTTGAGCGCTCCTGGAAGCAATCCTAGACATCTCACTCCTGCCAGTCGTACCTTCTAAATAAGCAGCAAAAGCACTTCAGCGATTTGTCTTGATCCACGATTCAAACAAAAGTTAACTCACTGGAGGATTGCCAGCACGCTCAGGTCGACATAAGTCGTACAGGAGTGGTATCAGCGACGATATGTGTTGTACGAGAATATTTGGTGCATCAATAGTGAGTGTCTCAATGATACCCAAAGTTGTCAACTTCAACCCTGGGTCTGTACTCGCCAAAGCACGTAGCAATAACGGCATCAACTAGAGTTTTGTTCGAGTGAGATTTTTTTGACGTTAAGCGGATGAGTGCTCCTTCAGAATCTCGAAAGAGACATTGCATCTGCCTTACTTGTGGGAGTTGAGCAAAATATACTGTCTTGGGTGTGTTTTGAATGAGATGCAATAATGCAATGAGGTATTTATATGATTGATCTGCACGAGAATATGTAGGTTTGCAGATATGTTGAGAACCAAATATTAAAAACGATTGCAAAGAAAACATACCGCTTGAGGTTTGATGAAAGCCAGACACCAACAGTGGGACACAATGATTGAACAGACGTTGTTTGTACAAAAGCTAGAAGCAACAAAAGTGATGAGAAGTATGCCATCGGAAACGATTTCAAGCTGGATTACCTGAACAGTAGCAAAGGAATCTCTGGTCAGTACTCCTTCATCGTCATCCTTGACAAAAGTCTCAAAATGGTTGGCCACTTCATGTCCCAGATCGACATTCTCAAGTAATGATACCAATTGCGTAGCTAATACATAGCCAGCCGATGCGGAGAGCCTCAATAGGGCAGTCGTAATCTAAGTTTGGTAGACAAGAGTTACTTTTTCTTCTGTTTGCCATGTTCTACTGTTTGCCATCGTACTACTACTAGTTTAAAGCTTTCATACATACCCAAACATGCATGGTGAGGAAATTAAGTCGTTGAGGCAATGAAATTGAGGTATTCTGCAAAATTGCGACTCTGCCTGAAATGCTCTCGGCAAAGTTGTTCTTGGCAGACACTAGAAGGGTTATGGAGTTGAATATTCTTGTACTTCAGTGAAAACGCATCTTTGAGCTGGCCTTCAACAGAAAGCACCTTACCATCTCGCCACTTGTTGACAATTGACGCCACGGCCTTCGATATAGCTAGCACAAACTGTATATTGGTGCTGGCAACGACTCTATTTATTAGATCATTCAAAAAGATTGGCAACGAGGGAACAGAGAGATTCACACTTGGTCTGGCATTGCTAATTATGGATGAGAAGACAATGGCCAAGTTGGTTTGTGACGCGGGAGAGGTTGACTATTGAAATGGACGGAACAGTTATCAAGCCGGAATCCACAAATTATTCTTTGCGACTCAATTACCTCAAATGGAGCAAATTTAGCGTCCGAAACATCATGTCCAAGTAAAACATCCAATCTTCCCTCAAGGAAGCATGGCAGGATACGGTCCAACAATGATGTTTGCTGGGAAACATCCATGGCTCGCGTTATACATCCAGCAATGTTGGCAAACAACTCAATACTAGTCACATCAGCCAACACCACGTCAGCTGAACTTGGAGAATCTCTTAGTGAGGCTAGAATACATCGATTGAGAATCGGTATCAGTAGAGACGTTTCGAGCTGAGCAATGGTATTCGAAGCTGAAGGAGTTTTAAGCTGAAATCGGGAACGGGTTTTGATCAATGTAACGGTGGCTCGAGTCAATGCATGAGTGTATTCAAGATGCGCTGGAAGAAGTTCCGTAGGCATCTCTATTATTGGGGATGATTGATTAAAACAAACGACTAATCGATATGGCAACAAAATGGTGGCACGAACCATCGAGACTCCTAGACAGTACAGCAAAAACACCATCCAAAGCTACCTGGAACGGATCTGTCTCTTCACCCAATTCCGTGATGGCATTCAGAATTCGATCATATCCACTGTTGGGCAGCCCTTCATCGTTGTAATTGAAAGGTGAGAACCCCGTCGTCCTTGTAGCGGAAAAGCCTCAACAAACCTGACAGACCACGTATCAGATCATTCAACGAGAACTCAATAACAACCTGAGGAATACGATGACTGGCTGTCACAAGGACTTGCAACGCACACCGTTGTAATTCCACTTCAGAAGAAGGGGCCACAACCACTTTAGTTAGACATAGAACCAAAATGTTCTGACATATGTTGTATTGAAAGACGAGTTAGAGGGTATTTTCAAACCAATTGCTCAAAAAAGTACATGTACCTCATGGGGCCGAATCAGAAGAGGACTCTCTAACAACTGCTGCATTCCAGAAACGGCTGAAAGTTTCAAAGCTAGTGATGAATGAGAGTCTAAAGCACACGTTGTAAAAATTTCGATGAATGCGGACTTGAGGGGCATCAGAGGGCTTGAGATTTCGTCAACTAGCAACAAATGAAGTTTAGGGGGGGGGGGGTGAGGGCGCGCAACTGTATTGAAAAATTCACTCAATTCAATGCTCACCTTCCATGGCTTCGGAAGCATCACTGTCTGAAGTAACAATTGACTCGTAAACCAATCGATGCGCCCTTATAAAGCCCACTAGAACATCCAACAATGGCTTTTGTCGACTTGATACCGTTTCAGTCCGATATTGATCCACGACTTGAGAACATATCCGATTTACTACATATGTACATGCCGAATCTATTAAAAGAAAGTCCGTTGAATTCAATAACAATGCAGTGGCAAACATAGACAAAAATCGCGATCGCTCACTAACCTGAGCCAGATGCTACGGCTTCTAGTAAACTTCCACATTGTTTTGCAAACTTGGACTCGGGTTCCTTTAAATTTGTATTTGCATCGTCTACTATTGGATTGATGAAGATTTCTAATGGGTTGCTTGATGATGTAGCAGTTGCCAATGACAATCCTTTGGCTACTGCAGTGACACATGTCAGAGCATCATGTTGGTGCGCATCGTCCGATGCTTGAAAAACTTCAGTTTTCAGTTCTGTAGACAGATCCAGAGCATGGGACGCAATAGAGTCAGGTCCATACACAGGAATACAAGCTGCGATCGTCAGCATTGTATCTCGCTATAATCAAGTATTTAAAATGCTCAAATGTGAGACGTGAAGCAGTGACAACACACAAGAAAATAAAACTTCAGCATACCTTTCCAGTTCCGGTAGTTGTTGACATCTTGTCCATGAGTTGGGTTATTGCGAATAAGGCAAATGCACTTGTAGCAGTAATGCAAGACCTGAGTAATTGCCGAATGAATACATGTTCAAAAATGAATGATGAATTTCGTAACGTTCGCAAATGGGTTTACCGTAAACCCAACTTCAAATCCTCAGCACTGATATTTAATGGATCACCAGGCGGAGGTCGGTATGTGATGGGAAAGTATGCAAATATCAAATCAAAAAGTTCCTAAGAAAGCATTTGTCAGCGAAAGTGATCAACATGCTGTTCCTGAGTTCCCTCAAGTACCTCATAATGAGACTGGCTCACGGGCACATACAGTAAGATCTGTCTCATTACATCAAACGCAATCAGCAGATTACGAGGATCTTTTTCGCCATCCATGACACGCATATAGCCGACAGCAAAGTCACTTCCCATGGACGCAATATCTGAGAAAGTTAATGGAAGCATCAATTTGCGGCAATCTATGGACAAAACAAAGAGGACGCACTGGTGCGAATCTTGTACATCAATCCAGAGAATATCCGAAAGAAGGTGTTTCGTACACTTTGAGTATGGCTTTGAACTTGAACGTTCAAGAAAACACTGTAGGCAAGAGTAGGCTGAGTTTAAACAAGGGGATTGGTAAACACATGAATGCGATCGTGCCTTGACGGTATTTTGAGCATATCAAGTTTGGTCAGAGCATCCAAATTCATGAGAAGCAGAATCCCGTTGGCAAGCTCTTCCAAGCTGAAGACATCGTGAAGCCTCTCCACAAAAAAATTGAAGATAACACTAGCTAAGAAACCACAATGATTCGAATCAGCAAAACGAATTGAGATGAGATCAAGATGGGTCATACCATGAGACTTGGAAACTTGAGTCAAATTAGTCAAGACTTGGACCATGAATCGAACTCCTGCGTTAAGCCAAAAGGTGACGGAAATGTCAGCTCTCTAGCAATAGTTTGAGAGGGAATGTAAGGTTACCAGCAGCTCGAACAGATGGATCTTGACTGGTTAATTGAGGGCCGAGCTGCTCTACGAGTCTCAGTAAGGAGGAGTTTCCATTGTTGATGCCTGAGTTTGTGTGCAAGTTTAAAGTCAGCTTTCTGGTCAAATTGTGGGAACAAGAACATAGATGCATCGTTTTCTTACTTGCAGCGACCTCCGCACTAGATCCCAAGCCAGCGAACAAATCTTCAACCTCGTCCATGGTAGCTTGTGCGTGAAGTGTTTTCTGCAAGATCATCTCGTCACGAACAGGTTTTTGAGGGGGATTGATCAAATTATATCCGTATTGTTAGCTTTTGTAACATCAGACTACTTGTATTGCTCATCTTCCAATTCGAATTCGTTATATTCCGTCCAAACGTTGATTTTTTACCAATGCAACAACACCTTCACGTCCGAGACTAAGTCTTAACTATTTTCTACCCCAAATTGACGCGTCATGGCTTCTTTTCTATTACTGCACGCTTGTTTCTATCGCAGACGTAGTTTGCAAATTTCATCGCAATCCAGAAAAACAGCTTGTTTCATAGGCCAGCGATGTTGGGACCTCAAGTTCCAGCGCAAGGGCCTTCTACAATGATGGAGCCAACAGAAGACTTGAGATTGGCTGCTCGAACTGTCCTGGATTCAATGGACAAAGACAAATGGGTCGATTTCATTGAAATACTACGACGTAAGTCAAAGGGATCAGCCAACACCACACCGCATTTACGTGTATTTTATCTTATAATGGCGTGTCATTCATCCTTTTTCTTTATTTTACTAGGTCCTGCTCCACAACTTGCGCAACAAGACTTGGACAGTCATTTGGCAATGTCTCGCATCCCTTCCTTCCACATATCCGACGATCTATTCAGACCAATGCCTGATGCTTTACTCAATCACTTTGACAGTATGTATCTCACATCTGTCTTGTTCTTGCCATCCTTCCTGTGCGCATGTTCCAGCTCACACATCCGTTTATGGTCTATCTCATAGACGCAGAGAGTAGTTCATACATGGGATTACTTATGGAATTACAACGAGCATGGATTGCCATAGACAATAAGCTCTTTTTATGGAACTACGCCAAAGGGTAACAAACATGTGCTGTAGTCAACACCATCCCAAAGCTCACTCGTCAAATATTACAATCAGGAATGACTTTACAGTATGGGACGATCAAGAACAGTTGATTAGTACTGTGGGCCTGGTGAAGCCACGAAAAAGTTCGTTTGATTTAGCTTCCAAAAACCACTTCATTCTGGCCCTGCGTCTGACTCCGTTTTTGCTAATCTAGATATATTTATCAAAGAAATCGAATACATACTGGTCATTGCCACTTCTCTCGAAATACTGCTAGTTGGAGTAGCCTTCTCTGGCCCCACAAAAGAGCTGAAGCTATATCCAACCGGATTTTCCGTTCCTACTGATGGAGTACGCATAACAAACATTAACGGGACAAGTGAAGGACGATTATTTTTATGTGGAGCAAATGGGCATGTGTATGAACTCGTCTACCAGGTCAGAATATTGCCACTTTCGTAATAACATCTTGGACAATTCTGACCAGCCTCCATCAACAGGCTGTGGAAGGACTCCTTTCTCGCAAGTGCTGGAAGATTGATAGGAGCTCATCATTTGCTTCTTATTTCATGCCCACATTCCTACAACCGTCACGTGAAGGTCTGTCTGTCAACGTTTTAAATCCAGCTTTGCGAACATTTGCTCAACCCCTTCTTTTTACACGCAAAGATCCACTTCGAGGTGTTGCTTTGGATGAGTCAAGCAAGGTCCTCTACACACTGACCGGAAATTCCATCATAACTGTAATCCGCAAAACACTGAATTCATTATTACGTGGACTCAATTGTTCACACTTTTTCGTTGTAGGTATATACATATGGACCCGACATGCACACCTTCCAAAAGGTCCAAACTCTACCCAACTTGTATCACGATACCCAACAAATTCTAGAAACACTTTCAATTTCTTCACACATCGTTGATCCAAGTAGCTTTTGGATTGTCTCATTACACGTCTTGAAGCGAACAGAATCTCATCAATTGTGCCTCATGGCTGTGACGCATGTCGGTACGACCAAATTTCCTAAGGATCAAAGTTTATGTGAACATGAGCTGACACAAACTGCATTGTAGGGTTAAGATTGTACTTTGGGCGCATGTCATGGGACGGTAGTGTTTCACAAGCAGCATCAGCGTCTGCATGCGCAATCTCATTACGAACTGTTCGCATGTGGGTCCCGCCAATTTCTCCTCTTGGCATGGCTCCAGCAACGCATGCTAGTGCTGGACCAAATGTACACACCTCGCTATATTCAACAGGTGTCTTAATTGCCGCTAATGCAGGAGAAGAAACAGATGTTTTGGTTGGAATTTCACCAGATGTTGCCATCATCGGTCGTGTAAGGAGACGTTTCTTTATCATATCTTTCCCAACTTAAAACTCACTTTTGGCAAATTCGCATCAGACTGGATCGAATTCCTATGCAGAAATATCGTCAGACTGTCAAATACAAGGACGTGTATGGACATTAGCGGAGGTCCCTAGTGCCTTTACAGAAATCTCTGGTGCAGCATTCAGGGCTGTCGGTATTGATACTCCTTTGAACGAGTTTGCTACACAAACAGTCATGCCCCCGCGAAAATTTGTAGTTCTCACTAGCACTGGCAAGTCAATCCTTGCTCGTTTTGGCAAATCACGGCAAAGTACTAAATTTTCTGAATACTAGGCGCCTATACTATAACAAAACGAAGACCAATCGATATCTTGGAAGTGTACTTACAGAGCTACAATTACAATTTCAAAGACATTGAATCATTCACCAGGTCTTATGGCTCTGACCAAACATGCGCCATGTCTCTGCATTTAATTGCTCGTGGAGACGTCTCAACGGCTCTACAAGGATACTACATGATGGCAGAACGAACGTATTTCGAACAAGGTGGCAAACCAATAATTCAAACTCGTTCTGCAACCACATTTGAAGGTATTTGGATTGAAATCAAATCACTCTGATCAAAGACTTTGCGTCCTCATCTCAAATTCCAACCGATTCTTACAGGCGGTCGTATGGGTGTTGCATTAGCGGTACCAGAAGTTGTATATAGTGGGAAGCACAATGGTCTAGTATTTTGTTTTGCCAGGTCTATCATGTCCATTTGGAGGAAGAAGATTGCAAAGACCTTGTAAGTCAATTATTAATCGTGATTTTCTTCTTGTCAGCGTGATACTGACAATGACATTTATAGGACTCCTGTTGCTGGCAAGCCTCAATTTGATTGCAATTTCGGTGAACAGGAATTGACAAATGTGTATACTGTGCTTCAGCGCCTTGATGCCTTCGTAACCAGGTAAGTTTTTAATTCTGCTTTCTGATGATTTGAACGACATAGGTTTTTCCTGACCTCTAATCTATTAGAAACTTTGACCAAATCACCAAAACAATGGTAGGCCAAGCGTTTGGTGTCCAACCACAAGTCCTCGATCAGGCTGATGTCGATGCACAACAAGTATGAGACTGCACTTTCAGTCATCATATCTCACCTAAACTGACTTGCTTTTGGATGTCATATAGAAAGAGACAGAGTCGATGACGAGGATTCAAAAGTTGATCCGAGCTTGCCTGGAAAACATTCAATTCCTCTCTCTGATGATGACCTCATTCACGTTGCTGGTCGCCAGGTTAGTGCTTGAACCAATCGATTCGCCACATCAACTTACTCAACCAAATTAAAACCCTCTTGCATTAGTATACCGGAAGCCCGTCAAAAGGAATTATTAGAGCTTAACTTTGAAGGACTGGTGACGACACCCAAGGGTGTATCGATTGCTCGAGAACTCATTGCAGCGTCTGTGAAGAAGGAAGTTGATTTGGGTCGTGATGTAGGCTGGAAGCGAATGCGTTCTAAATTGCTCTCCAAAACGAATCTCACATGATTTTAACCGATTTTAACCCACAGGTAGAAGAGATTTGTGAATCTCTTGAGCAAAAGTGCCCATCACTTTGCTCCACGACTGAAGTACTTCAATTCAAGGTAGCAAAGTGGTTAAATTGTCTTTCCCCGACAGGACTGATTAATAGTTTCAACCATCTAGGGAGTGGAAGCATTGCACAAGGCCAAGAATTCAAGTGGAGAGATACAACGAAACCTGCTGAGTCAATCATTACAGTAAGGCAGTCAATTCACAACCTCGTTGTGGTGCTTGAACCTTAGACACTCTTGCTCGTATAGATTGTTTATGACCGCCGTCAAGTCCATGAAATTTGCAAAGGTGGAAGATATTTGCAGAACGTATATAGCACTCAATTTTCCCTCAGGTAGAAACTGCTACGGTGCTTTAGCTTGCTGCACAATAATTCACTGAGTACAAATCTGACTTTTTGCCGTGTAGGAGCAACAAAATTAGCCCTTGCATTCGCAAGCTATCAAGATGGCTCGCCTCTACAGAAAGTGTTGACAGTTGGATCTCATGTAGGCAAAACTTCTTTGGAAATGAAATTATCGCGATATTTTGATGCTTTCTTTTTCTCTTGACAGCCTCCAGGTTCCCAACCAACTGACCGAGAACTGGCATATATCCTCATTTTGAGCCTTATTTTCTCCCCTACATCGACGCAACCAAGTGAGTAGTATATTTAACACTATTCTTGACCTCGAGTCTCACATATTTGCAATCACATCTGCGCAATCTAGTTTCTGATGCCAATATCAGGACACAGCTTCAAAGTGCTTTACAAACTCAAGATCGATTATTCCATCAATACGTTTACGAGCACTTGTTTGCAGAGGGCAAGATACAACTCTTGCTTGATGTAAGCAGATTTATTTTGAACATGAGCAAGTCCAGCATGTCCATTTATTTTCGACTCCATCATAGATTCGAACACCACAACTGGTTGAGCATCTTGAGTCTGCATTCCAACAGACTCTCAACAAACCAGGTTTCAGTGTTGACAAGGCTGAACTGCTGTCTAGAATATATGCGGTCTTGAATGCCTTTGATGAAGCTGCTGCTGTCTTGTTTCAAATTGGTGAATCAGACTCGTAAGTCTCATAACTCCAATTTGCAGGACTGTAGCTTTGAAATTCCTCACCAGGAGTTTCTAATAGGCCGATTGAAATTCAAAAACGCATCGGTTATTTTACAACTTGTATGAATTATCTCAACTCTACCGGAACATCTACGATCACAACTCTTTCATTGAAGAATAATGTACAGGCCGCTCTGCAAGTATCTGAAATCCAAGGCGAAGTATTGCAAGCCTTGACGGCCATCGCTCCAAATGATCCAAGAGCCACAGCAACTTTGGGACGTGTCATCAATGATTGTCGATTCAAGTTGATGTCACTGGACGACGTGAGTATCTCATACATACCTTGACCCCAGGAGAACTGGGTCAGAGTTTGAATTTTGGTGTTTTTCTCTTAGTTGTGGAATGGAATTGTCAAGCCTTTCTCGCTGAATGTCCAAACGCTTTTAATCTTCCATGCTGCTGGAAAGCGTGATATTCAACATATACGTCAGATTTGGCGCTCGGTGATAGATACTGGTATGTTACATTAGATAGCTCTCTCTGACTCTTCGTCTATAAACCAACTTTCATTCGTTTTCTAGCTGGGCCACCCAATTCCACAGTTACGTATGAAAGGCTCTGTACCACAATCAATGCTTTGAGCAAGCGTCTGATGCCAGATGAATACGTTTTTCCTCTTGGTAAAGTTTGCTCGGCATTTTTCGTCTCCCAAGGTTTATAGCTTGTTGTCTGCTCAACACTTTGGCTAATAATCGATGTACTAGGTTTCTTGATTTCAGATCTCGAGGAACTCAATTACCAGAATCGTCAAGTAGCTCCACCTGGATGGGTCATACGGGCATTATCTGGTCCTGATATTCCGATACGAGCAGTGTACCAGCAATTCTACGAATTGTACGATTCCAAGGTATGCAATCATTAAAATTTCAGAAGCGTCTTCAACCTCCATCCAGCAACGCTAATTTTGTACGTCTATTTGTAATCGACTAGGTATACCCATGGTCTTCAGATGACGCACAGCAATTTCTGCTTTCTGAATTTTGCGTGGTGTTGGAGTCATGGCTGCATGCTATTGAGCGACGAAGTGAGAAGAGGTACTTGTCAAAATATTGTCTATGCATCTTTTTCTATGTGTGTCTTGATCCTCCCTTCTTATGTGACAAATAGGGAGGATTTACCTGCTCCTGAAGTCGATCAAATTATTGCTCGCATCATGGTGACACCCAATTTACGTCGAGATTTGCATGATAAGTTCAGTGGCATCAGGAGGAAATTGCACGAGTTTTATCAATGACAGTAAACCGACTGCAACGAAACAAGAGCAAGAGTAGAGTTTGTAAGAATCTAGAGCCATTCAATAAGGAATATATAGATTCTTCCAGACTTTCTACAAAATATGCAATTTTATTTATGATTTAGAGGAGTAGAGTGGCAGTCGAGAGCTCGTATACGACACGTTTACGTAGATCGGGCATGTCGTTTTGGACAAAATCGAATTCTTCTTCCCTTGCTAGATATTCGGCAAACTGTGAAGAAAAGAAACATGTTTGGAGTGAGAAGGCAATTGTCCTCTGCGAGAAAAAACCCCCAAAGTACTGAAAGAATACATCGTCCTTACCATACAAGTAAATACTCCACAATCATAGCCATTCATTTGTACAGGGATGCTTTTAGGACAATAGTCCTGCCAACCAGTGAAATCAAAGGGCACTTTTTTTGTGTTTTGGGATTCTTGATCCAAGTACATTCGTATCAACTAGATCAATTATAAATGAAGACGCTGAAAAAGTGCTTTACAACAAAACACACTACTTGCCTTGAAAAACTGGTCATTACCACCATGCATCGAGTCATAATATTCGATTCGTTGCTTCTTCAAGTTGATCATGCCACAACACCAATGCATGCCCAAGTGTACAGGAAACATGATGTAATCTTGTTCCCAGAAGGATGGTTTAACCTGTATCATTTGGTGACGGAAACGTTAAGACATAAACAAAAAAGATAGGAAATGCGTAAGAAAGTACCTACCTTTTTACTCCATTTCTTGACCTTCTCATACCCACTCCTTTCCAGAAACTCGTAAAAAAATGAGTTGTAGAAGTGGATTTTGGGAAGTTTCCCAATGCTCTGTTTGGATCGATCCATGATCATGGCTCCATAAAAGTTGATAACCTAGCATGCAAAAAAGTGTGAAAAATTCAGTACACTCGCCTGGCCCAGACAGCTTCGAGTAAAATTAGATAAGGAGCTGCTCTTACCTCGTCATTCAACCACTCTGTGCCTCTGAGTGTTGCAAGATCACTCTTTTTCAGGTCAATGTTGAACTTATTGATGACTTCTCGATCTGGACCTGCAGCCAGTAAGCTCTTCACCTGGGCATTTACTAGATTTAGTGACAAGACCTGAGGTCAATAAGACTGTTGCTTACTGGTTTCACCTTTGAATCTTGTTCTGATGTGAGAATGGGAAAATTCTCAGGTCTGCGTGGACGTGCCTAAGTTCAGATATCAATTTAGTAAACAAGATCCAATATGAGTCGTGTCAAAAGAACTTACACGTGAAGATTTGCGCAGTAGTTCAATCTGATTACGAAAGACAAGAGTTAGCTTTGCATGCAAACAAAAGCCCATAGAAAGATGCAGCTTTTAATCACCTCAGCATCACGCTCGTCTTCTTGGGCCTCAAGTTTGCTAATGTACTGCAAGGCAAGTTCTCCACCCTTGAGAGAGATGTCAGCTCTAAATGAACAAGGTAAAAGTGGTAAATGAGTGTGCTGAACGAGTGTAAGAAGAAAAGTGAGATATGGGAAAGTGAGATTACCTCTCTATCGATTCAGCTTTCTTTCTCAAATCACGAATCCATAATGGCTCTCGCGCCAACTCGCTGGCAGGTGTTTGAAAGATACGCGCCACTTGGCTAATGGGAGTTGCAAAAGATGGTTGCCTAATGGAAGCAAATGGAGGTGTTTACAAAGAGGATCGAGAATGGTTAATGCCAAATGCTACAGGAACTCACGCATTCAAGTTGGATAATAATTCGGGCATTTTGATTGTGGCCAATGGCTAAAACAAGGACGTGTCAGAGAAGTAGAAGATAAACTGTCGAACACCTCTCTTCAAAAGATCCATACCACAGCTTTCTTTCTCCTTTCGTTGATCAACTGGACTTGGTAATCCACAAAACCTGGAGTAAACACGTCAGTGTATGAAGTTCTTCTCGAAAACCTCAACAGCTCACTATCAAAGTCCTCTTGCGGGCGGTCAAAGCCTGATTGACGAATCAACAAGTAATTGTTAACGGTTCTGATAGTGGCGTTGTGAATGACAGACTTGGGTACCTAGCTGCTTTGAAGTTGCGAATGAAGGCAAGTATGATTTGTAAAGGGTGTTCAAGGCTTGCGCCTTTCGCTTTTCCTTCTATTTTCCAATTGCAAAAGATTCAGGTTTAAGAGTCAGACTCTGTCAAGCGACACTGAAGTCTAGGAAGGATATGAAGCAGAAGACAAACCTCTCTGTCTAGCAATGTGATGCCTCCTTTTGAATACGAAGTATAGTCTCGTCTTTCTCCATCAAAGAGAGTCGTGGGCATTACAGGTGCTTCTGGTATTGTTGAAGGAGCATTGGTAGTGGTTGCCGTGCTCGCTCCATTACTGGTGGTGGAACTCGCGACATTGGTACTAGCACTATCAATAGTAGAGGCAGTAGCAATAACGTTCAGAGGGCTGTATTGGGTAGATTGAGCTTTTTCTTTGCCCTTTTGAATCCTTTTGGAGAATCTCTTGGGGTCTGGAGCAGTACGCTTTGTCACATCAGTTGGACCTTCGGGTGGCTGAATGGCTAGAGCTGATGATGGTGGTGCTACTGGAGATGATGGTGGCAAAAAATCCGATATTATTGAAGGATTTGGATAGATTGATTGTATGGGTTGATCGGGACTGTGACTATTCGAGGTGTCTTTATCGGTGTTTGGATTGTAATCGACGTGAGGAATATGATATTCGATAGGATGAACATGATTTGATTCTAATAAAGATTGCGATTCATCAGACAGTGTTGGCTCAATCAAAAGGACCGAACGATTTGATTCTCGCAGTCTTTTAATGTCGAGCAAAAACAGGGCAGACTGTTGAAGCAAACAAGGCGAAAACGTACCATTTGCGATAATATTATTAACAGAGTCTGCATTATATCGCGATGGTTTGAAGATCCCAACAACTCTCTTCACCATCTTAGCAAACGGAGCAAACAACCCACCAGCTTGACTTGTATCATTGCCAGCATTAGCACCACTAGCTACGTGGTCGTTGTCCGGAGTACTCATCTGGGCTCTACTCCTCTTCTTTGCCATCTTGGATCCGAATGTAAGTTGGAACTATTTGATTGCGACAATGACTGTGAGGCATGTGAAGGAGACCATGATTTATATTATTGCATTATATCGGAAATATTTACATGGATTGCACACTCGTATTCTGATTCGCTTCTTTTCCAGCCAATATCATCTCAGACTGAAACATCTGCAATCTCGTAATGGCATCGCAATCCCCTCCTGTTCCAGAGGAACTAAAGCATATCGCTCCATATTTGCAAAGGAGTCTGGAATTGGCCCAGCGCGAACCTGTCGTCTCCTACTACTGTACGTTGACTCCTCGTCATGTCGCTTAGGGACAGCCAATTCCCAACCTGAACTCGATACGATGTGATGGAACGATTCCTCCTTCGAAAGACACACTCTCATCAACCTTGGCTTTAGGCAAATACTATGCCGTCAAACTCGCTATCGAAAAGGGCACAAAGTCCAAGGAAGGAAAGAGCTTTGCGCTAGCTCTTATGGATACTCTAGAACAAGTCAGCAATTTTCTCCGTTTTTCGCGCTCTACCTCGTATCTTACAGATTTTCTTGATCGCCTATTAGGAAAAGAAGCAATTGTCAAATAGCGAAGCTCTCTCAAATGATGTCGTAGGATTCGCACATGTCGAAAACTTTGCCCTAAAGATATTTCTGAATGCAGACAATGAAGATCGTGCGGGAAAGGCTTCCAAGCAAGTCTCAACATATTTCACGACAAATATTTCCAGATTTCCAACCCCACACAAATTTAGGAAAACTGCAAAGACCTTTCTCGCTGCCTCCCTGTTTTTGGAATTACTACGGACCTTTGGAGAGTTGGACGGAGAAGTAAAGTGCCACTTGCCGCCTGTCCTTAGCGTTCCGGGATAATAACATTGTAAATTTATAAACTAGATTGAGGAAAAGATAAAGTACTCAAAGTACAAGGCAGCAGACATCATGAAGGCATTAAGAGAAGGAAGAGTCCCAGAAGCTGGCCCACCTGGTGGAGAACAACAAGACCCTGAGGGTGCTCCTGATCCAACTGGACCACAGGATACATTTGGCCAATCGGACCCTACTGGAATGCCAGATTCATTTGGTCAACCAATAAGTAGTCATACACTAGAGCACCAGCCAAGTAATGCTTCCTTTGCTAGTACCTCATATGGCACTCCTCAAGAGCAACCGGGAGGTTCATTTGCACCACCTCAAATGCCAGGACCATATGGATCAACACCAACGTCACCAACTTTTCCATCGCCTCCATCTCTATTGCCGACAGGCTATAATAACAATAATAGTAATCCCTACTTGCCACCACCAGCAACCTCATACAACCAACCTCCTCCACCGAATGATGCCTCTTATAATAGTCGTCCCGTGGATCCATGGAACCAATCTCCTCCAATGCCATCACGGCCACAGCAACCCAACAACCAAAGTTATGGCAATAATAACAATAGCAATTATAATCCTACACCCTCCGCACCATCTGACCCATGGGCTCAAGCTGCACGTCCTGCCACACGGCCTGCGTCGGCTCCTTTAGATCCTGGCAGTGGTGGTATGTAGAATTTGATGCTTCGTTCTGTCTGGTCTGCTTACTGCAGAATGGGAATTATACTACAGCAGGCTGTTACTAACATTATTATGAATATTTGCATTAGCTAGTACATTGTCCGACGCCTTCCAAATGGATCACAAAGCTATCCAGAATGCTCAAAAAATGGCCAAGTTTGCCATATCAGCTTTGCAATATGATGATGTAAATTCTGCAATTGAAAACTTAGAAAAGGCATTATTCTTGTTAAAACCACTAAAAAAATGAATTTCGCTTGTTTTTGCTTTGTACAGATATTTCAAACAATGAACCAGACCGTTTAAACTAGTCAGACAAGTAAAAGGTTGTAAAGATGGATGTGATGAGCGACGATAGTTTAGTGTTTTTTCAAAAAGACAATTGACTAACGAAATCAAACCAGTTTTCAGCAAGTAGATGGATTGCTTGTACTTGTCTAGAGCCTCGGTATCTTTGACCATAATACAGGACTCCAGGCCGACACACCACCACAGCTTCTTCCCATTGACCTTCTTCCACACAAATTTATCAACTCGGATGTCCACTTGAACAATACCCATATTTGCCATTACCAACCAACCATACCATCTAAGTCATCTGGCCAAAATTGGATGCTTGTTAGGTGATGTCGACAGTTTTCATTGAATAAAAGCAATCAGTGTGGAAAGAGATGCGTTTACACACTTATCAGGTGGAGCAGTTACGTGCTTCTTGTCTTGACAGAATAATGCTACCTCTGCTGCATAGCCTTGCCCTTCCTGTAATTCATCAGGTTCTTGTCCCGATGGGCCTGTACCGTGTGATGAGGAGCTATTAGTAAGGAATTCCAACTCATAGAGCTCTCTTGTTAAAATGGGCGTTCCCATGTCACCTGCCCTCCATTTGCTACTTTGCAAATCTATTTCCTCATCAGACTCGGACAAGAACTGACGCTGAACCTAGAGCGGCATCGCAATAAACCAAAATACGAATATACGCCAAATATACGCACTCCGATACGTGTTGCTCAATTATCTCGAATGTGCAGTTTTCGTTGCCTTAATTTGTACACGCTCGAAAGCACTACGTGCTACAGCAGCCTCTAGCTTACATTATTTTGAAATCGACCTCTTGAAGTCCATTACATCGCCCCAACTAGACTTTCTAGCAGCAGCGTATTCCAACTTGCCTTTGCTCTTACTAATTACAGTCCGTTCCAATTGTCCAGCTGTAGAGCAATAATCTAGTATGACATGACCATGTTTTTTCATTGGGGCTGCATTCAAGACTGGTCGACGTGCTTCTTCTAAACTGGAAGGCAACACCCCCTTGCGAAGGATAACATATGAGAACTTGACTGTGTCCCATGACTCATTTGCATTTTGTAGAAGCCGCTATCATACAAGATAAATCTCATGTTACTGATTGAGCTTTGTTGGTGGCGAATGTATGAGATTGGCTTACCAGACGGCGATTGAGCTGAAACTTTTGTGGGAAGTGACACCATGACTTTGATTTCACCATGGGACAGGCATATTCATGTGGACACTAGAGCAGATTGAATAATCTGAATATGCCTCATGCTCATACGTAGATGCTTTCAAAGAGAACTCACAGGTGCAAGAACATGTGCAGGATCCGGCTTTTGTAGAATCTGAGCTCGGGCAGTTTCAGTAAGCTTGAACCCAGATGGGGTCCCAGATTCCAACAAGACCTTTTAAACATAATAGAGAAAGTGTTGACAATATGTACATCTAGTTTGTTTCATGTGAAAGGTGTTGACTTTACCAACGTGTCGGATGTTGCCTTCCATAACGAGTCTACTATACGAGCTCTTGAGCTGACATCTGAGAATTCGTTCAAAGTAAACGCACACAAGACCAAATCAGCTTGCGCATCCTTTAAAAGGCCAAAGCTGGTTGAAAAGTTATGATCAACAAGTTTCTGAAAAACATAGAAACTTCACCATTGGAATACGCTTCTCTACAGCTATTGGGGATCCTGGAAGCTTTTCTATCGACATAACACATATGTTGAGATATAGAAACCAGAGCGAGTGCAAGCAATGTCAAGTACCTGACATGTCTTCCAATGTCTTTAACATTACAGATGACGAGTCTACAGCTGTATATTTATCAACATTCCAAAACTCTCTACAGGCCCTATCATCCTTCATAATGTAAGCGAATGCTGGCAACGAAGAAAGAGAACCGAAAACGCACCATATAGCTGTTCCAGGGCCGCATCCAAAGTCCAGTATATGCTTTGGTGCAAAATCGGGCGATCTTCTCATCAATTGCTGTAAAACGTGGTTCATGGCCACATAAGCTCCCACCAAGCGTCCTGCGACATATGCCATTACATCTCGTTGGCTATATTGCACAATGTCACGACTTGGATCTGTAACGAATAGTCAGATTTGAGAGGACGGAGGAAAACAAGACATGATTCAAACGCTATTACCCAACTCCCGAGATCTAGCATTGGTAGCCTGTCCAGCATAGAGGCGAGCATCCAAAAAGGCCAGATCGTCTTTGAGTGCTTTGTTGCTAGAGTCTAAGCATATAGCGACGAGATCGTCAGCAAAAGCACAGTGGTGATACAACACAACCAGGTACCTTTTAGAATGGCTTCAATAGCCGTGTGGATCTCCGATGGCACAATGGCAAGACGTTTTGGTGATATTGATGATGAGGACGACACATCAACAGGATCTTTAGCTTGCAGATCCGTACTTGAAGAAGTGGTTTGAATCACTGATGCATGAGGAATTCCAGAGAAAGAACGCCTCATCGAGCTTGAGAAGGGTATTCGGTAAAGCACGTTGATGGGAGGCTGGCTATATGAAACACGTGTCAATGGATTCATCGAGACGACTAATCTCGTTATAAGACACTATAAAGATCAAGATTACAGTCAGACACGTTGAAAAGCGTTTGTTTCACTGAGCTCCGAAAATCGAAAATCTCAGCTTTCTCAGATCAAGGCAACAGACAATATTGACGACGACGGTTGGAGAAGCCCATAGCGTACAAGGTCAAATAATGTCTTCCAATGTCGGCCTGTCTGTTATCTTTGAAAATACTGCTGATTTGCCTCGAGTAAGCTTACTCTAGTTGTTGTTGATTTGGCAAAGCGACGATGAACGATGTATTTAATAGACACTTGATTCAACTCTTAGGAATTGACCGATTCTCTACGTGATGAACAATCTGGAGCTTACTTGCAGGGCTTCCTCGGCGCAGATAGGCTCTTTGCTGGCGAAAATCAAACATCAACATCAGCTGCCCCTGGCACGGTGCTTCCACGACCAGGCAAGTCAGTTTCAGCCCTCATTTGAACCTTTCGATTTTCACCAAATGTCGTGCTTCTCATACTCGCAATACCTCTACATTTGGTGGTATCTATCTCACTCTGTCACTCTAGATGCGACGGATTATAGTGCAGAAACTGAATTGATTGATGACCCAACAGATGCACGTCCTCCTCGACAATCATACTTACCATATACAACTCCACTATCTCAACCTCTTTTCCCCATGCCGGTTCCGATGGTTCAGCAACAGATATCAGGCCAAGTGAATGGATATGCACCCCCTCACATACAGCAGAGTCATGAGAATGTACGATTCTCAGAGGCATTTGGTACTCGATATGTTCTCAAGTCAAAGGAAAAAAGGCCAGTCCGAAGAGTGCGAATGGACAACCAGTTTCGTATTGATAACGATGAACGTGAAGCTTTGAGCTTACCGTTTCATGGCCAAGTCCCTGAAGAAGACGATGATGAAGTCATTCCAGATATGAACAGAGACCCATCAAGTGAAGAATCTTCTATGCTCGTGGTTCGTTCAAACATCAAAACTCCATTCAAAACCAGTCACTATTGTTAACTCGCTTGATCTTTCCGCAGACAAAGGCTCAGCCAGTGGACGACTTTGAGTTGGTCGAGCTGGATGAGTGGGATTTGGCACTAAGTGAACTGGAAGACGGCAAACAAGTCGAATTCTCTGTCAATCCGTAAGTAAAGTACCTTAACATTCCAATACGAATCTCATATCTTCTCACGAATGTTCTCAATAGTCAGGTTGCAAACCGTTTCTTTCGAAATACGTCTCTACACGATATAAATTGGGAGGATTCCATCATATGGGACGAGAATGTTGCTCAGGAAAGACTTGTCAAGTTACGGAGAGCCGATCGAATCACAAACAGTAATACTGCAGGTAACAATCAAAGCTCCTGCTTTCGATATCACAACAAGTGTAGAACTCAACTGTGAATGTTCAACTTAGTGACCCAAGAGCTTCGAACCAGTGTCAGAGCCGTTCATGTAAGACTTCCCCACATTTCTTACACAAATTTGCTGACTTCGATTCTTCCTGCCAATCTAGACGGATGCTGGTATCACACGAGTCGACAAATTCAACATCTCGAATGACCATGAATATTCGTCCTACGATGTAAAGCAAGGAACCATCAGACAAATTGTAGGTCCAGCTGTCTTACAGCACTCAGTGCCTGCCATCAGATTGCAGTATCCCTACGTAAGTTTGTTTCATTTCAGAAGCCGCATGAAACAATGCACATCTGACACTGCTTTTTGAAAATAACAAGTTCAAAACAGCACGTACAGTCAAGGAACTACGACATTTCCATCGTCCAGCTTTCAATGTATCTGTCACCGAGCCCATCACTTTTTCGAGAGTCAAGAATCGAGCCAAGAAGAACAAAAAGAAGGATGCCGTCGTACCACAGAGCTCTACAGAATTGACTTTGAAAGATGGTTCCGATTACATATTGCTGGAGTACACAGTACGGAATGCTGTTTGGGTTTTTCAATTCTGTATCAATTATTTCGACACTGACACGAATTTGCTGTTTGTAGGAAGAATATCCACCAATTATGATGAACACTGGAATGGGTGCCTTGATCCAGAACTATTATCGCAAGATTGATGAAAGAGATACCACTGTCCCTGATGTAACATATTGTTGATGTGCGTCTAAAACTCACTTGACCGACTTCTCACTCTATAATCCTAGTTACCGATTGGTGAACCGAAACTGTTGGAACCTACAGATACATCTCCATTTGAAAGCTTTGGTCAAGTTGAACAAGGTCAAACTATCCAAACCTTGTACACTGAACTCTTGCGAGCTCCCGTATTCCCTCACACGCCTCATGCAACTGATTTTCTTCTCATTCGGTATGTGTAAAGCTGTTTCGCTGTTCGGCATTGGTCTTCATGAGTTGCAATCTCTGCGCTAACCATGCATGTCCTAGTACGAGCACGTTTGGCAAGGATGACTACAAGAGCCCCAAATACTATATTCGAGAGTTGCCTACAACTTTTGTCGTTGGTCAAACGTTTGCTCAAGTGGATGTACCTAAGCCACGTGGTCGCAAGATGTTGAACATGGTGAAATATCACATGCAGGTATTTACTGATGAACTGACATTCCCACTCCCGAGGAGAGACCTCAAAGCTAGAAAAATCAAATTTCCTATGTAGTTATGGATGTATCGCCAGTCTATCAAGAATCGTGTGACTGGTGAGCCTAACAAGACTTCAGCATTACTGAGAGCTTTTCCAGGCACTGCTGAGGCACAGTTACGTCAACGATTCAAGGTCAGTTTTGATTTGAGCCTTCATCCGAAAAACATCCTCTCCACCCAGAAAACGGCTTTATTTGCTCACTTTTTACTCTAGGGCTTTGCCAAATTCAGCAGGAAAGCCGCAACAGATGGTGTCTATGAATTGGACGAAAGTCTTCCCAAAGATGAAATACCTGAAGATTATTTTCGTCAATTGTCACCAAACCATGTAAGGTCAACAAGTTTGGTTTTTGGTTGAATTCACCGTCTAAATATATTCAAATCCGTCTTCACACTAGGTTTGTCTCGTCGAATCAGCTCGAGCATGGGTTCAATGGTTGAATGATTGCGGTGTCAGCATGTCCAGAAAGAAAGATAATGACAAGGATGATGATGACGACGATGACGACGACGACAAGGAGGAAGGAGCAACTACAGACCTACAACTCCAGATCGCACCATGGGCTCTTACCAAGACATTCCGATTGGCTGCTCAGGTGAGATAAATCGAATATAAACCCGCCTTTCTTGAGTGACTAAACCAATATGGATTTTTTCGTAGAACAAGGCTAGAGTCAAATTACATGGTGCAGGTGATCCAACAGGTCGTGGTGAGGGTTTCAGTTTCATACGAACTTCTGCAAAAGAAGTATTTCTGAGGCCCGGTGAGAGTTTGAGTGACGCACAAGGTCGTGGAGTCTCAAAGGCTCGACCAAATGCAAAGTATTCTGTCGCCACGGAGCAAACTATCTATCAGGACTTTGTAAGTGGGATTCGACTCAGGGAATTTCGATGCGTGAGACTCGGTCTTAATGCAGCTCTTTTATTGTTTGACAGATCAAGACTGTGTGGCAAAATCAAATTCGCACACTGTCCTCTGCAATAGAACCAGAATTGGATGATGTGAATATGCAAACCGCCACTCAGTACAATGCTGCTACAACGTCAGCTCGTAAGCAGTGGCAAGATGAAGAAACAGAGCGACGAAGACAAATGGGTGGTTACTCTGGTGCATCATCTCCACCTGGCCCAACATCTCCTACGTTTATGGGTGGTGCATATGGTAGTGGTGGTCCTATGTCACCAGCTGGTTCTCAAGATGGAAGCCGTGGATTCACCAAGGGCAAGACCTTGTTTATCAAACGACGAGTAAGTTACTTGGTGACTTGGTGTTGGATATTGTCGAGTACTGAAAACTGTTGTCTTTTAACCAGATTCGTGATAATTATGGCGCAACAAGTTGGCAGAGTGAAGTGGTCCAAGATCCTCAAGTCATCGCTTTGTATATGAAGTATAGAGGTCAGATTCCCGCAGAAGCCAGGTACCATGATTTTCCGATTTGATCTCCCGAGAAATAGTTGTTTAACTCTCGACCGTGTCACTTGTAGTCCTGCTGACCAACGTGCAGCTTTGAGACAAATTATGGATGACTTACAAACCACTGGAGAAGTTGATCATGATGGTGTACCTCTACAAACAGCCACGACTCTTCGCTCTTCATTCTCAGAAGCTGGTACCTCTACAGGTGGCAAAAGACGAAGGTAAATCATGTTTCTAATAGTCAGGTTGAGCTTGAGTGCTCCGGTTGATATTCATCACCTTAAACTCTCACAGGAATACTGTTGATGATGACGGCCCGTCGTTAGCTCCTCGTCGATCTTATGGCCAACGTCGATCCAATCCAACAATCAACTTTCACAACAAGTTGGAAGACATCATCAAAGCCATGCTATCTCATCCTCGAGCCTTTGACTTTTTGCAAGTTCCTCGTATTCCTGGTTACAACAACAGAATCCCCAATCCAATGACGTTGGAAATGATGCGAGATGTAAGTATAATTCATCGTCCTCTTCTATTTGTCTGTTTGTCCCTGTCTGACTCTTCTCTCACCCCCTTTGTCCATTTTTTAGAAAATCACACACTTGCAATATAGGTCTGTGAACGAAGTGATTCGTGACTTTGAACAAATCGCAATCAACAGTTCTATATTCAATGGGGAATGTCCGTTGACACAGTCTGCCCGAAAAATCAAGGATGAAGGCATCAAAATGCTCCAACGAGAGCGCCCTTACTTGATCTCATTAGAAGCCGAGATGAATGAGTAAGCTCGATTGGTCGGAAAGCTACTGCTGGATATAATGGTACAAAATGAAAATAAAGGCAAAATTGTATACTTGTATATTCTGCAAAGAAACTTTAGATATGCTGGATTCTGCTGCGACATGCGAAGATTTATTTAGATTTCAAAATCATTTGCAATTATTCGATCTAGTGGTGATAATGAGCCAGAGGGTCGTGTTGTCCAAATACAGTCACCTTATGTAACGAAGAAATTGTTAGTGCTTTCTACGAGTTCTAACTTCAGTCCCAAACAACAACTTACTGAACCTCCAGTTATTGAGGATGCGGCCAGAACCGGTTTATAGGAATGGAATGCGATCGAAGAGATAGGACCAGGTCTCGGGCCTAAAAAGCCACTGTCATGTAATCTCAAGTGTCCTAAGGGTTGGAATTGTGTATTGAACACTCGAAGCTGATGGGCACCACTTCCACTAAAGGACGAGATACAAGAGTTAGATAGGTTGCGAGCTATACATTGTTGAATATTGAACATACCAAGCTATAAGAGACGCGTTATCGTGAATAGCCAAGGCGGTGAGCTCTTGACCTGGGAAAGGCTCGATAGTTCTTGTACATCTCCGTTGTCTTAAATCCCACAGCCGAATATCTCCTTCCTGACTACCAGACAAAACATCACGATTGGAGCCTGCTTGCAATTGCACATTGACAATCCATTTTTGATGGTCCGTCAGCATGGCAACATGTCTAAGCAATGGAAACTATGAGCCCTTTTTCCTTCATGCTCAGTCCGGCAAAAACTTGGACAAATTGATCTATATCAATGACTTACGCATCTTTGGAACTAATACGACGATCATAAAGCCGTATATTTCCATCTCCACATCCAGCAATAATCAAATCACCGGCTGTCTTGTCACTGGTCAGAGATGTAATGCAAGCCGAAGACTTCGTTGGCAAATCCTGCAATATGATTGTGCGTACAATGTAAGTGATATTATCATTCAATGCCATATATTCCGTAATTGAAAACCACTCAAGGTGTACCTGAACACATGCTTCGCGTTCTACGTCCCAAATACGAATCTGCCTCACATCACCCGATACCAATAATGAGCCAGTAGATTGTTGCCAATCGGTAACAAGTCCACTACCTCTCATACTGGGTAGCAAATCCGTCAAAGCTCGCCAAGCAGTAACGAGTTCGTGACAGCCCATGTGCTCATAATTGCGATAAATCCTGACGATTCCTTCATCTGGAAACGATAGTAAACAAGTTTCAGTATAAATTTTGGTGGAAAAACCCTCAAAACACATCAGGCCATTACCTGATCCAATCAAGAGCATTCCATTGTCGTCCTCGTTGATAAATCGTAATGAGGTAATACGTGAACCAAGTGGATTCATATTCTGTATGATATTCAGCCGTAAATTTTCCTCCCATAAATATATAATTACTTCGTCTTGATTGTCTGCTACAGCTACATGGGGTTCAAACTGATGAAACGTCAATACAGCGGCTGGTGTTGGATCGGAATGCAAGACATTTATAATCTCGTCGAATCGATGATGAGCTACAAATGGAGAAATGAGACTTTAGTATCAACTATTTGATTATCTCATCATCATATTAAAACGCGACGAAATACTTACGCGCCACCCGTCGCACATGCTCGGTTTCAGCAATCAATTTTTCATTCCTAGACCGCCTCCACATTCTTTCTGTATATCGGATACTGCCTGGTTCTTCAATCTCTGGTAACCGATACTGTGGCTCAGCAAAGTATTCACAACTCCATTCGAAAAATGACGAATGAAGCGGTATACCTAGTTCCTTGTCACTACCAGCATTACTAATTCCATCAAGCGACTTTTCTCGTGTTATGGGTGAGCCAAGACTACTACTGGCACCAATATGTAGATTTCCGGTATTCGTGTTGACTGACATGACAGATGTATATGAAGCTGAAGCGACACTAGCAGCTCTCAATGGTCTACGGTCACCATTTGGTTGTCCGACATGCTTTTGTGCGGCAGCATCAGCAGCTATATTTTCGTACGATAATGTTGTCTTCAATCCCGTTAGACTACGAATGGTATTTGCGAAAGACGACGTCCGACGTAAATCTTGCTGTTGCTGTTTAGGTATGAAATTATTTAATACACTAGAGCTACCATTAGCTAGTGCAATTTTCGGTTGTGGCGAAGGAGATGTCGGAGTTGTGGCGGTCGACGATGAAGACAGTCGGTTGGGTGTTGTGGGTGATGGAAGTGCCGATGCCAACACGGCACTGGGAGATTCTACTAATGGCGACGACAAGAGCTTTAAATTAACGGTATCTACCACGCGACAACCCAGTTCCGCGACGTCTGGAAAGGGATCTACTGATAAATTCAGCAGGACTTTCCATAGACATGCATACACCGACGATGCACCAGTCAATCTATACAGAGAATCACTTGTCTTTCGATCTACAGAGCCACCATTTAGTTTGGTTCCTTTAACTGGAGGAATCCTCCTACGGTCCTCTTCAATCAACTCGTACGCTGCCGTTACAAATTTGGATACGTTCTCCTGTACGATGCGAGAGAGAGCAACTACTAGTTCCTTTCTACATACAGGTGAAGCGTCACCGGTAGCTGCTAGAATGGCGATGCCTATGGATTGCTCTGCACTGGCTACTTGTTCGGTTTTGTCTAAATCACCGATGAGAGCTCCAACAGCAAAGAGAGCAGCTGCACGTACTTCTGGCACTGGATCAGTCAACATACTACACAGTTTTTCATGTACATTATCGCGTATGCCGGCCCATTTGGCGTCACCAAAGCCCTGCCATAGCTTTTCTAAACATAGACAAGCCCACTGTCTTAATAATGGATCAGGATCAGAGAGGTGTGGTACTAATGCAGGAAGTAGCTCGTTACGGAGACAAGCGACTTGTCCGGATCTAAAGTTGTGGCAGAATACAGATAGTATAAATGAGCACATGGCTCGATGTTCAGACAAGTTGGGTATTGGAGGCATGGCTGAATCTGTAGTAAGAATATTGATAAAGTAGGTATATCCATTATCTTTGAGCAAATCTTGTTGGCAAGACTTGTCTACAGCCAAGATTTTTGCCCATATAAAGACCAAAACTGGCTTCAAATCTGCGGCTGGAGATTGCAATAGTTTTAATACATATGGAAAGATTCCGACTAATAGAGCCAGATTAACTGCCCATGGTCCCAAGTCCAAAAAGCGAGACAATAACATTAAAGCTCTGAGACGATGATTTTGCGAGAGCAACACTTGCAACACTATAGGTAGCTGTTCGGGTGCTGAGCTAGATATCGGCCCTTTGGACAACCAGACCTCGAATGCTGTCAATTGTTCAGCAAAGAAGGTGGATGTCTTGTATTCATATGAAGGACCACCATCTTGAGCAGCCAAGAGCGCCGGTAACTGTGATAAGCACATATCAGCGGCTAGATCCCAAGCTACATGAAACAAGTGGGTGAAAAATCAAGCGAAAAGATGATTTTAAACACGGGATGACTTGGAGTTGCATCTTTTGACATACAAAAGAACACATACCTTGCCAAAGTGGATGCTGAAAAGTCGGTTGAAGTTCAGGCGAAGACACGGGTGTGCAATTATAAAATCTCATTATTCGATCAGCTAGTAAAAAGTTTCTAAATAGAGCAGCAACCATCAGATCTTGTCTAAATAGCTTTTTAAACAAGTCATGGGGCAAGACATTCCAGGCGATAGTGTCTGTGATTGCTGTGAAGATCCAGTTTAATTCACCTAAAGGAGTTCTTCTATCATTTAATTTGCCTGGAATCTTCATAATCATATCGATGGTGATGTTTGTAAGTAGCGGATTTTGGCCGACAAACCAGCGTAATGCTATTTCTATAGGAGTCGTCAGGCAACATGAAAACATGTCGGCTGGGAGGTCTGGGTTCATTGGCAGCATTTCGGTTGGACGACAAGCTGCTAATTGTATGCATTCCCTCATTGGAGTGTAAGGCAGAGGCACATTTACAGGTGGTGGATTTGAAGGGTTTGCAGCAGCAGCATCAATCTGACGTTGAGCTTCCGTATCACGTTGCTCTGCGAATCGATTGAATGCAATTAAGATGTTTCCGGCATTCGAGCCTAAACGAAGAAAGGGGGCAAAAGGTGAGATTTTCGTATTGTGATGGTCATTCGTCATCATCTGTGCAGCGCATAATAAGTACTGGATGGAAGAATGGTTGGTCGGGGTAGATGGAAACTTACAATCGTATACAAAGATGCAGGGTGAACCGAGCCAAGTCTGCAAGTCATAAATAGAAACAGGAATATACTGAGTATATTGCTTGTTGAATACCCAGATTTCGCCACCAGGAGTGGGTCTTGGTACACCATGACCATTGTAGTGGAAGAGGATTCGTTCCTCCTTTGCATTCTTGCGGACGTTCAGACATAATTTCTTAGTTTCTTCTACGGACGGATCTAGAGACAGACGATATCTAGCTCTAGGCTGCCAAGCTTCATATTGAGCCTGCAAGTTTTGACCAATCTGTTCGAGAGCTTTACGTGTTGGAGTAAGGGAGAATGGATCGACCCAACACTCGAGTTTAGCGCAAGGTGAAGTTTTTACAATATCCGGTGGATCCACGCCAATGTTGAGACACAGGACCAGAGCACCTGACACAGTTTTAAGTCTCTCTCGCATTCGCCAACTAGAAAAGAAGTAATGGTAAGAGTAGATATCACGACATTCACGATCAAGACGAGTTACTCTTGGATGGTCATTTGTAGATGAAGTGGAGTAGAGAATGAGGTAGTATTGCGAGCAATAGCCGAAGCAGACATTGGGCGAGCACAAGCTTCATGCCTTCTGTCGTCTAGATAGCGACTGGTGAGTTCAGCGTCGTTCAAAGATTCCTCATGTGATGGATGGTTTGTAGTGCTATGAGATTGTTCGGCAGAGTGCCGTGCGGTAGTGGTAACAGCAGCAGATGCCTCATTATGTTCATGTACACTATGGATAGTCAGTATTCCAGTAGCTTGGTTTGATTTGGTGCTGGATTCAGACTCCTTGTTGTCTAATTTCCCGTTTGTTGGAGGAGAGATGGGACCCGTTGCAGCTGACATGATGCATCCTAGAGTCGCAGCCTATTCAATTGCCTATGTTAGTACAGTTTGTAGCGCTTGTCTTGTTGACTGCTGCCTTTTGTCACAATCTAGCTAGCACGAGCAAAATTGGCGTTGGTTCCGATAAGACTGAACGAAGAATGGCCCACAGAGCTTGCCGGCTAGTAGATCACGTCGCGATTACTCGAGAACGACAATCCAATTTCATCGCAGCAGCACTGCTTGATTCTGTTTGCAAATATTACCTTGTTGGCAACACATTGTAGCAGACTCTAATGCGATATGTTTCGATATCATAATTGATATTTCACGCTATAATTTGCCTGTTCGACCTTGATCTTCTACCATGACGCGAAATTTACTACTTTGTTTTTTTCTGCCAGAGCTCATCAACAACTGAAACCCCAAAGATGAGTACTGCGAGCAAGAAGAAGGTCAAGAATGCTGAAGACAAGGAGGCAGAATACACAATAAAGCCAACTTCTGTCACTCCATCTCTCGACACATCCAAGTGGCCTCTGCTCTTAAAGGTAGGTCCAAAAAAAAAATCGATTCCAGCTTGGACGAGGGCGATGCATGGCAAAGCGACAAGATGGGCACCTAGACATCATCTAGACGGTCTATAAAATGTGTCGACCATGCATTTCGACTCGGGATATTGAAGCGTACTGCAAGCTTGGAGCTCGCATCACTCTGCTGCCAAACTGACACAAATCAAACTTAGAACTATGACAAGCTCCATGTAAGGACGGGCCATTACACGCCCATACCGAATGGAACTTCACCACTGAAGCGTGATATAGACAACTATGTCAGGTTAGTCCTCCTACCCAACATTTGAACAAAACTCGTCGCTGGGCTGGCCTTCATCAAGAATTTTAAGCTAAACTTCTCAATACCGGCTAGATACGGAGTCATCAATCTCGACAAACCAGCCAATCCAAGTTCACACGAAGTCGTAGCTTGGATTCGACGTATCCTTCGAGTCGACAAAACTGGTCACTCTGGTACTCTGGATCCAAAAGTAACGGGCTGTTTGATTGTATGTGTGGATCGGGCCACTCGGCTGGTAAAGTCGCAGCAAGGTGCCGGAAAGGAATATGTCTGTGTATTAAGGCTACATGATGCTATCGAATCAGAACGAAAACTCTCTCAGGTTTGTTAATTGCTAATTGCTATGCATATCGTTCAATATTCACGGTACCACAATCATTCAGGCACTGGAAACATTAACAGGAGCTCTATTCCAACGTCCCCCTCTCATCTCTGCCGTCAAACGACAACTCAGAATCCGAACAATCCATGAACAAAAGCTACTCGAGTTTAACAATGAACGACATCTTGCCGTATTTTGGGTGTCTTGTGAAGCTGGAACTTACATCAGAACATTATGTGTACATCTCGGCCTGCTACTGGGTGTCGGAGGTCATATGCAAGAACTTCGACGAGTCCGATCTGGTGCCACGTCTGAAGATGTACGTCTTGTCTAGTAAAAATGCCCTTTCTTATTGTATACTGACTTTTCTGTTCAAGGATGGAATGGTGACGATGCACGATGTCTTGGATGCTCAATGGGTGTTGGATAACAGCAAAGATGGTATGTTGTTTTAATATTCGCGTAGAATCAGTACTCGTTGGTCTGGATAGTTGCTCTTCACATCTTCATCATCTGACTCGTTTCTCTACACTGCTTTCAGAATCATATCTAAGACGAGTCATTCGACCACTTGAATCACTCCTTACAACATACAAAAGAATAGTAGTCAAAGATTCTGCTGTCAATGCTATATGTTATGGTGCCAAACTCATGATTCCTGGTTTACTGCGATATGAATCTGGTATTGATATAACAGAAGAAGTGGTGTTGATGACTACAAAGGGTGAGGCCATCGCCCTTGGTATCGCTGAAATGTCCACCGCAGAAATGGCAACATGTGACCACGGCATTGTCGCCAAGATAAAACGAGTCATTATGGAACGTGATACCTATCCTCGTCGATGGGGTCTAGGTCCAAAGGCTCAAGAAAAAAAGAAAATGATTAAAGAAGGCAAATTGGACAAGTTTGGACGAGCAACTAAAGATACTCCCAATACTTGGACCAAAGGATATACCGACTATGCCACCGGCATGAATGTGGCCGGACATGTCAATAGTCTGGCCCACACTCAAATTGAAGCTGTTGTAGAGAGCACCGCTCAAAAGGTATGGATTGCGTCTCAAAACTTGATAAACAGTACCTGTCAGACCTAACTTCAATTCCATTCTACCTAGCGAAAGGCACCAGAGCCCGAAGCCGCATCAACCGAAGAACCTCCAAAGAAAATCAAAAAGAAGAAATCAAAGGTTGCTGAAGACGGAGAAGCGGAAGTCGCAGCCCCAGAAGTGCCAGCACTGGCATCTGCAAATGGTGAAGCTGAAGAAGAGAAGCCAAAGAAAAAGAAAAAGAAGAGCAAAGTAGCTGAAGAAGCTGATGCTTGATGTTGACGCCGTAACGATATTTTGTATTTTAAACGTAGAGTAGTAGCTTAGGACAACGATTTTGCCAAAAAAATACATTACATTCTCCCAACTCATTTGTCAAAATCATAGAGGACAAACAAGTGGAGCAGAAACAAGCACAAAAGCGGAAGAATTGAGCCAAATGGGATTTATTGCTAACAAACTATTATATCAGCGAGCAAAATAAAGGTGAGTGATGCCATTCTCTCTAATGCTTGAATTGCTCCTCAGTCACACCCTACATTCAAGTTTCTGTGAGTGAGTTGGCCACAAAACATTTACAGGAGAAACAGATGTTTACCTTGCCCATAGCAGCAGTTGAGGCAATACCGCCTTGGACACTCTTGATCATGTTGTCATAGTAGTTTGCGCCAGACCATTTCTGGTGTTGCAAGACATCCACACCATTCTTACGTTCTTGTCGTTGAATTGTTTCGACATAAGCCAGCATGCCGCGTTGTGAGAAGTCACGGGCAAAGTGTTCCGAGATAAGAGCGTTCGAGTGTAATCTATTCGAGTTGTTTGGGTTGGAAAGAGTTGAGAAATAAACGTGTATGACGAGGGACTTGGGCATGTGACGATTTCGAATGAAGATGTCTCATATACAGAAACTACCTATAGAGTGCATACTAACAGCAAACTCAAAAACTTACCCAGCAAGAGTGATGAATTGCCAAACAAAGCCCAACTTGCCCAAATCAGCAATGAAAGTCTTCATCTGTTGATCGGTCATACCAGACGCATCCCAGTTGAAGGAAGGCGATTGGTTGTATGCTAATTTAGCCCATGGGTGGACCTTCAAGACACCTTCTGAGAATTCCTTTGCTTGCTCATAAATTGGATACTTTGTTTCCATCCACAAGAGGTCTGCATATGGGGCAAAAGCGACTTGACGAGCAATACACCATTTAGTGGATGGTTTGGCCTGGAAGTAGCCTTCACGGACTCTAGAGGCGTCACAATTCCAGAATGGATCGACACCCATTGATTTGGCCAAGGTTCGAGATTCTTCATTGGACATGTGATCGTATTTGGCCAAGAAGGAAGCAACCATATTTTCCTTTCCAGCTTTTTTCAGAGCTTCGACGACAGCTTCACCATAAGTCATCAAGCCAGCCGAGTTTGTCCATTCTTCTTCTACAGCGGCCAATGCAGCACCTGTTTTACCAGAGAGTTGAGCAGCATCTAATACAGAGACTAGTGGAGATAGTTTAGGGTTTGTGGTTCCGACGATAAATGGATGATCGCGTCTATCAATGTTGGAAGTGATCAAGGTGGCGGCTTCTGCGTCGGTACGAGCTACAATAACGTTTTCTACACCCATTATATCGAATTGGAGACGGATGGCGATGAGACGGTTGATGTGTTCTGAGATTGGGACCAATACTTTGCCAGCCATATGCCCACATTTCTTTGTACCAGGAGCTTGATCTTCTATATGAATACCAGCAGCACCTCGTTCTACGAACATTTTTGCGAGTTTTACTACAGCGGTGATACCACCATGACCAGTGTCAGCGTCGGCAATCAAAGGACGGAGGTAATCGACCAATGGAGTTTTTGCTCGTTCAGCAGCAGACATTGTGAATCTGTCTTCACGCTGTTTTCGGTCATGGAAGCATTGAGCCATAAACAAGTGTTCCACCTTGTTCGGCACCGTGTCCTATAGGTTGAATGAAGGCATATAAGCATTCAGTTGCACTGTTGTCAGTTTTGCAATTGCTTTGATAAGAAGATGAAAGATACAAGAGACATTGAGAAGTGAATGAGCGATGTCGAATCTAGCACTCCCTGTCCCCCAATAGCTTTGAAAATGTATGCAAGCACGTGTCATTGAAAAAAAAGTTTACCATGGGATAGTCAGCGAGGTCGGGACCAGGCTCGTTTGAAGTAGAAGCAGTGGAGGAGCATTGCCAGCCAGATACATAGACAGTTTCTAGATACTTTGCCATCTGAGTTACTTGTACAGGATCCAAGGCTCCGTAAGTGAAGGTAGCAGTTTTGGCATCCTTGTTCTTCTCCAACATGGTCCATAGCTTCTTTGCCATTTGGTCTGAAGGATAGGTCTGCTTGAGAGTCCCTCTCTTTTGGACGACTGTACAAGGAGTAACAAGGATGGCATAAGCGCATAGAAATATGATGCTACCCAATTCAAGACAAGACGAATGATAGCATTGGGGATATAACCCAATTCAAGACCCGAACAAGTCACAGCATGAGCGTCTGTGACATAGCCAACTTCATAACCCTCCGTAAACAGACAAAGAAAATGCTCACCGTCAGCTGCTGAATAAGGACGGGTGACCTTGTTGAAGCGAGCACTAGTCCACCATTTTTCGACTTGCTGGATCTCGAGGTCGTAGATGCGTTGCTCTTCTTCTAGGTATGCTTGGGAAGCCATGGTTGCTTGTTTGCTCTCGTTGTTGATGTTGCTGACTTTGAAAAAACACAAAAATTACTCTTCGTTCGCTCGGATGAAATTGCGATTTGGAATGACAGCCGTGGGAGAACGCCAGATACCAGATACCATCTAAAATAAGTGATTAATCATTAATATCGTGCAATCTATAGGGTCAATTGTGCGTTATTTTCGTGGGGTTTGACAATAACGCGAAACGCACGCCTTTGGTCGATCTGCACCCTCTAAAGCCAAAATAAGCAGCTTCTTGTACCATTGTATGCCTTTCATCTGTCTCGGTTGTTTTGAAACTACAAGAGCTTTGGGACCACAAAACGAAAGTAGTGTGTATACAAATATAGAGAAGTTTGGGAGGAAGGAAAGATCCTCAGTCAATTTAGCTTCGATCTGCGGATAAGAAGCTTTGATCCAAGAAGAGTCGCTTACATCTAGGCGGGATGAGATCTGAGAATGCTAAAGTAGCCTGCCTTGGTCCTGGAAACGCATTCAGTGATCTGACTCGAAAAGAGCTATTGCAAGCAACAGAGAAGGCCTTTCGCCCTAATTGGAAACTTTCTTGGGTATGCTTCCTCACGCTGACGCATGGATCTGTTGGTTTGAGACTAATCTGCTGGCTTAAAACCGACATTTGAACCGCATCTTGCATCTTAGTTCCTTCGGACTTACACTGCAAGAACCCTTTTGGGCTATTATAGGACGTCGGTAAAGAGGGCTAGAAAGCTTGCTCCAAGAGGTACGAAGAAATGTCACAATTCAGAACGAACCTCGTCAAATATAACTGATTGCATCCTGTGACCACTCACAGCCAAGAAGGCCCCGAAACGTATCATTTTTCAGAGAGGAGTCATACCTCGACGAGAAGATTTGACTATTGAAAGTACAAAAGAGAAAGAGAAAGTCGATGGGGACGTTGACGTGGAATGGATCCAAGATCCTCAAGCACTGGACACTCCTCATGACCAGCCGGCTCCAAGGTCAGATGTTTTCGACCATTGTCTCCTGCAACAAGAATCTCACAATCCACTTGTTAGAATCATACTCTTTCTGCATGGAGGAGGCTACTATTGTGTGTTAAAAGTGTGCCCATTGGACGCAGTTTTTGTTGCTAACGTTTGTGCAATATAGTGTATGACTCAAAGTGCTATCGGGGTATAACATGGAGGCTAGCGCATTTTGCTCAAGCCCGAGTGCTATCGGTCGATTATCGTTTAGCTCCGGAATCTCCCTTCCCATGTGCGCTTCAGGATGCACTTAGTGCCTATTCGCACTTAATCAGTCCTACGGACGGGAAGTCTCCATGTTACAGCCCGTCTCAAATCGTGATATGTGGTGATAGTGCTGGTGGAGGTTTGGCAATGTTAGTGGAAATGCACGATTGTCATTTGAAATTGCCATTTGCCATCGACTTCTCACTGCTTTTTAATGGGCAGAGGGACCATGTTATACATTAGAGATCATCCAGATCAGTTCCCGCTTCCAGCTGGATTGGTGGGGATCTGTCCCTTACTGGATTTAACCAGCTCCATGCCGTCTGTGCAAATCAACCGAGTCTGGGTAAACGTGCAATCAGTGATCTAAAGGCTCATTCGTTAACAGAGTCCTCGTTTTCTTCATTGTTAACAAACTTCTCATCTTCACTTAACCATAGGACTATCTTACAAAGAATCCGATAGATCCTATCTGGTGTCATGAGAACCGGCAGCACGTCTACATTCCAGACAATTCGTATTTCAAGCACCCTTATGTATCTCCATCTTTTGCCACTGAAGACGTAAATCGTCCCATCTGCCCCACCTTGATCCAAATTGGTGAAGTAGAGCTATTTAGGGATGAAAGTATCTATTGGGTGGCTGAGACCTTCAAGCACTCGCCAATAAGTCTGGAGGTAAGACTTTGCGTAGTGTTGTTATCCGCTGTGCGCTTTTCACAATTACTACTCGAATTAACAACATGTGTTTAAGATCTATGAGGACTATGTTCACGACTTCCATCTCGTTATGCAACCAGCCAACACCCTCCAAGCATATCAACGCATTGGGACATTTGTCAAAGACATAACGAGTGGAAAACCATTCGACGTGGTTGGTGAGAATCGGACAGTCAAAGTGTTTTATAAAGATAAAAGCATGAAACCGGTGGATGGTATGAAGTATATAGAGGATGGCTGGGCTTTGCTGCGGGAATACGCTGCCAAGAATGCTGCTGTTGCTGATGGGCAGCAAAGCAGGGTACCCATTAAGGCCAAAACTGATGCAGCAGATGAAACGAACACCGATGCAATACAAACCGCAGATGTGTCGGCACAGAGCCTTATGAAGAGGTTGAGAAAGGTCTTCCGGTATTGACAACATATCGAGCATACTGTAGTGGGGTAGTAACAGCACGACAAGAATGTATTTTTACTGAATATGTCGTGTTTCTATAATTATTTTTACAAAAGACACCATTCACAAGGCCCATCCCTTCCATGTCGTTTCATCAAACGCAGCTTGTTGAGGTTGTCGCATTTGCTCGACAACTAATTCTTCTTTCAAAGATTTACGTTGATATGACTCGATCGTGAGATTCCGGTTAATATACTCATCGATATCGTAGGCTTCCTTTGTCAGACTAGATTCCAGGATGGAAGCCAGTCTCACTACATCAGGCCAGTAATGCCTTCTCAGGGCGTGAATCTCCCATAAGCTGCTTTCAAGAGCATTGCATTTGGCCGCGTCTGTTTCATTATGGTCGTATTTGTCTAAGTATTTGGCAAAAATTTGAGACATATCACATTACGCTGGTTGTAGCTTTTATAATCTGAAAGGTATACCTTCGACACCAGTGTTGTGTGAGGAAATTCTGTTGACCAACACAATGCAAGACGGATGACTTCTGAGTAAATTGTAGATCAGGGCTACGATCGCCATGGCAGCAGCAGGAGGAACTGCCAAAGAAACTCGAGCGAGCCGCTTCGCAAATGCAGCAATCAAGTACGCTGGCACATGTCTAGAAGAATGTAAACGGTCTGAGTTCGACGAGTTTCCGTTTCAGACAATCCAGCAACACTTGCTTACGTGGAAGTCAAACAGGTAGAGAGTAATCTGAAAAACCTTGACCAATACTTTACTCTAAAGTTTTCGGGTTGTACCAGAGCGTATAGCTGCTTGTAAAAGTTTGGATAATCCCTACGAGAAAGAGAGGAGCTTGAATTGCTGATTTTGTCAATCTCATTTTAGAGAAGACACTTACAGGTTGTGTTTTGATATCAGGAGAAATAGACCATTGAGAGCCAGCACACTGACAATGCCACCTGTCGAATACAAAGCTTGAGACTTTGAAAATTTGACTCTCAATCAGGAAATCCTCTGAACGTACCTGAGCTGTACAAATCAGTGAGGTAGTCCACCAACAAAACTGGTTCGTGCATGTTGGGTATGACATGCAAATGGAAGGTCTGCAGAACCAGCTTGTGATGGTCCTCATCCATCGGGACTCTTAGCAATGCTAACCAGCATTCTCCAAACAGTTTCTTGTGTGCTGAATGACTCTGTATGGATTTTGCGGATTCTACAGGTTAGAAGGGTTAGACTAACGACTGTGAAACTTGTTCTCCGACGACGATTCATACCTTTAAACTTTGTACAAAGGACATTGATATCACCTTCAGCTGGCAGGGGCTTAATACGGGCCATCAGCTCGATGAGGAACTTTGGATTAATCAAAACCTGTGTTTGATACAGGTTAAAAAGATCTCTCGGATGCTATAACCAAAACGCAAAGCCATACGTTTCCCTTTAATGCTGATTCTTGGGATGTATAACGACTTAAATTTCGTCTAAGGTGAGGTGAAATTGAGAGAAATTGTTGAAGAAAGAGCGCATCGACTGTGTACTCACGAAAGATCACGATACAGGTAAAATCGGACATCGTCGAACTCATTGGCCGTTTCAGCTATAGCGTCGACGAGTTCTGAGCTTGGTGCTGAGTGAAACAAAAAAGTCTGCACGATTCTCATCATGAGATCATTCGGAAAGACATAGTTTGACAGATTACTGGATAACTCGGTTTCCAGGCTTAGGGCCTTCACAAGAAGCTTCCAGCTCAGTGTCTATTGAAAAACAAAGCGTTCAGGAAACATGAGTACAGTTCCGTTTTGTCTTGTTGCGCGTACTTGGTAAATAGCCTTTTTTCGGCAGAGAAGCACAATGAGTAGATCCAAATACAGTTTGTAGTTTTCTTTAAGCCACTGATTGACTTGTAGGTTTGCGCCGGCTGGAGAGGCAGAGGCTGTCTTCAAGTCGGGTAAGAGCTTGGCGAAGATAATGTCGAGATACATGATGCAGGCCGTAGCTGATTCGACATTAGATGACTACAAACGAAAGAAAAGAATGATTAGAAAGAGAATCCAGACTAGTAAATAGTATCGCACACTTACAGTTTCAGCCAGTTGTAACAGCGTAACTATGTTGTTGAGTTTTCCAGTTTGAAGCCGTGTTTCATTGGCCAGCACTTTCAGCTCATCTAATGGCAATGAAGATGCGATCGGTTTGGACTTCTTTTTGGCTCCGGCCTTGACAACTTTGCTAGAGCGACCGGTCATTGTTAGTTTTGGTAGATCTAGAAAAAAAAAGTGTGAACCAGTGCTCATTCTGTAAAAACCGAGCTTAGGAGGAATGGTAAGAATACTACAAATGCTACCAAGGCTCATAAAAAGTGCACCTACGAGGGCTATGGTCCGTACGCAACATGTTCGCTTGCTGCCTCGGACAAACAGCACGTTAAGCCAAGGCCTTCCATCAATGCTATCGTAAGTGTACATATTGTATTCATAATGGTAATAACTTTGATCTAACGCATATTTACTCTACCTTACGCTTCATTGTAGCCGGGAACATGTGGAAGAGCAACTAGAATCCATTGCATCAAAACACGTCTCATTCACCAACACTCATGACTGGAAGGCAATCCATTTTGGGGACTTGTCACTAAAGAATCGAGTAAGCCTTCTCGAACGATGTCCTCGCTTGGCTTTTGCCTGCCGCACCGCATCCAACACATATCGCAAAAAACTCACTTCCATTTCATCGAAAATCCATACCTAGATCGTTCAAGAAGCAATGATTGCACTTGAACGAAAGGTACCTAATGTGGAATTGACCAAAATTGAAGATATGGCTTCCCTGGTCGAATTTTTCTGTAGAGATCCATTTGCTGGCCCATTCAACCCATACAGTAATATCGATACCGTGCAAGCAATGTTTGAACGGAGACGAGACGAGATACCAGCCAACGTCTACTTTATACCCAAGGCATCTCAATCACAATCGTCTACGATAGATCCAACATTGTAGGTTGTAATCTGAGCTGCCACCTCTTTTGTAAATATAAAGACAACCTCTCTTGTCTCTTGCCGTGCATGTTCCCATGTCGAACGCCTGAAAACTTGCGACAGTCAGAAAGCGTATAAATAAGTATTTCTATTATTCCGGCTTTTACTTGGAAACAGGATTCTATGAAGTCCGTATTTACTGTGCATTGTAAGTTATTTCTTTATATTTTCTCAGTCAACGATTTGAGGCGTGTGTGCTGAAGGTGATGATACAGGAGATGACTTTTTGCCACTGGATTTCCCTGCTGTTTTCTTCACGGGACGTGGCGGCATGATGTATTTTTGAATTCCCCTTGCGTACTCAATACTATATCTATTACGTGTAAAGATTGATTAGTTCATTGCAGTAATAGTTGGAAGACTGAGAAATCAAGACGCCAAATGCGGCTTAAGTTCGAACGAGACTTACTCTTTCCAGTCTACTTGAGAGACATCCATAAAGAAGGCTTCATCATCGCCAACTTCATGAATGAGGGCCAAAAAGTTGTCAACAAACCAAGGTCCTTGTACAGTCATCATTTTCTCGAGTTCTCCCTTAACCTCATTCCACTACAAGAAGAGTTACAAAATGACAATCTGCTAAATGAGAAAGAGCAAACATACCTTGGCATAAGTCTTCTTCAACATTGGTTTACGACCAGTCATAACTAGTATGGGATCTAAGACCATTCCGAATAATTTGTGGCCGAAGAATTCATGCACATTGTTGATAGCTTTCGATCGGTGAATTGTGAAATTGGGGCGACGGATTTCGGGATAGTACTTGACCCCTCCGTGTTTACGTGCCTCCAACATGTTGGTACATAGAAATTCGCCCCAAGTTATGGGATGAATTTTGCCAGATGTGCAGTGGTAGATAATCATAGGAGTCATGTCATCTACTACAGTGTCAGACGATGTGGAGGGTTGAAGACTGGCACGGGATGCTAGAGAGTGTTGGTCTTCCGACACACGAGTGGCAGCCTGCTCCAAATCAACTTCCGATTGTGCTGGAGTAGGATGTGCGGTTTCATCGGCTACTTCGTATTTGTTTGGTGACATTCGGTGAGTACGGTAAGCTGCTGCTAGAGTAGTGTTGACGACAATATCCACCGGAATGATGTCTGCTATTATTGATCCGTCACCCCAGATCGATCGTAACAAACCAGTTCCTCCACCGACAATACCTATGGACGACGATTAGTCAGGCACGCTATAGATGAATAGCATTGCAATGGATGAATAAGATTAAGCCAACCACTTACCACCAGTGATCCCTTGAAGTCCTTCCACCCATCCCGGCTGCTCACGATAACTTGATGTAACTGTTTTGACAAATTTTTGTCAGGTTCAGATTCGTTACAAACAACAAATTCACACCTTCTAGGCTCTTACCTATTGAAGGGCGTACAACAGAGCATGGAATGTTGCCTCGTTCGGCTTCTAACAGTTCCTCACCAAGAGCTTTCGACCAACAGTAACTAGTATGTTTTGGAGAGTTAGGGCGATTTAAATTAGAAACAACAAAATCGAAACAGCCAAGCAAAGAAAAAATAAGCATTGAATGAAAGACAAGATTGCCACAGGGCATCTACAGCCGACGGGCAGATCTCGACAAACTTACGCATTGTATTTGTCACCCAATAGTTCAGTCTTCTTGGCTTCCAGCTCTTGTACAGACATAGTATCGAGCATATGCAAGACTTCTTTGTAGTTGTTGTTGGTGGGATAGATTTTCTCGACAATATCCCGACGTTCACAGTTCGTGAATGCAGTGGAAACGTGGACCAAGGACTGCAAATGTTTGCAATCACGTGCCAGCTCAACCAAACTATAAAAAGGATGGATTAGTCTCTTGAAAGACTGGCTAAAGAGTTCATTTGACTTACAATTGCATGCCGAGCACATGCATGCGTATGTATTGATCTAGAGTGCGGTTCCAAGCAACAATAGCAGCACAATTGATGATTACGTGGACCTCCTTGCACAATAGAGCTCGACCTTGTGGCGACAAGCCCAAATCTGACTCCATAATATCACCGGCCACGCACTCCACTTTGGTGCGAGTTTCAGCATCAATGTCCAGAAAGACGTGAGAGGATAAAAGCTTGTCGATACGTTCCTTTGGTTCCGTATTCTTTTTAGTTCTGACCAGCACGTACACAGTGGCAACGTCGGTCGAACGCAGAATTTTTGCTAACAGAGCCTATACAAGGAAGGCAGTGTCAGTGCGGTCTGCAGCTTTAGATTATAAGGACGGCGAGGAAACAAATAAACAACAAACTTTATAGTGAATTTCACCTTGCCAACGAAGCCAGTAGCTCCAGTTATTAGGACGTTCTTGTGAGCAAAGAAGGAACCAACGACAGACTTTTTCTGGGACATTGTGCTTTACAGGATGCGATGGAGGTTGTGAGAAGAATCAACTGAATCGATCTTCGTCCCAAGATTAGAACTTGCCGTTTGCTATTTTGGTTCTAGGATTGGGGTTGCAGCAAGTTTGGCTATTTCAGTTTTGGCTGAAGAGGCAGCAAAAAAAGAAAAAACGACAGTAGGGTCTGGGAGCCTGGACTCTATTTGCGGTCATTCAGGTCCGTTACGAGCGACGGGTTATCATATGGTTTGCTGCCCACCTTGCAACGCTTCGGGGCAGTCGTGGTACGCAGAGCTGGGTGCCTGCCACGCCCGCCCTCCTTCTTTGGTACCGAAGATCCGATAAAAACTACAAGATGGCCAGACATTAACTGCATTTGCAACTGGGCCTCGTCCGACAATTCGAATTTGTTCGTTGGATATCCACTTGAAAAGTAATTCTACTGTAAGATTGATCCCTACAATACTGAAATCACCACAAGCCAGTATTTATATCGCGTTTGCACGACCTTTGTCGCTTGTAATGGTGCGTTTGTCCTCTTCTTCCACTTTCTGCAAGAAATTCAAAGCATAAAGGCAGACGTTCAGTACGATACGGATCAGCGACGAACGACAGCCATTTCCATTTATAATCTAGGAGCACGTTATAATCCATGGCTACGGCGGCTGTTGACGACCGGTCGACCTCACAAATCCAACCTGAAATCACCCTCAACACTGGTGCTGGCAATGACGCTACTTCATCAAACAATGCCCAACCAAGTTCAGAAGAATGGCTACTGCTGAGAGTAGGAACTCTACCACGTAACTCATTGGGATGGTTTCGTGCTGGTGTTGGATTCTATAACAAACGTGAATATGCACGATCAATCGAATGCTTTGAACGCGCTATTGAAATGGACCCAAATAATGCAAGTATTTACAAATTACAGCATCTTTATCTACTACACTTTTTGGTTCTTGCAAGATCATAGGCTCCTTGCAATATTGAATGTCAACGTTGATATTAATGTTCTTTATCCTCCTAGTATAATGCATTTCAAATCATGGCGCGAGCTTGCATAGCTTTGAATCGTAAGGCTTGGTTTGTTGCCTGCTCCAGTGTATGATTCAGACGAGTGTTTGACCAACTGATTTAACTGATGAACAAATAGGAAAGGACGAGGCTATAGCTGCCTTGAAACGTTCAGTAGTATTGGACAATCCCTCGGATTGGCAGCTCCTTGTCGAATTGACCTCAAATCTCGACTAGACCGATTCTGAGATGTGGAGTGTATTACAGATTGTAGTCTGTATATTGAATGTATATCAAAGAATGTAATCTTAGTCATCTTTTTACAGTGAATGATGCAACGTATATATATGTATACTATTTGACGGACATAATTTAACTGAAGCGCACATTTTGTGATGATCGACCAGAAGGTGCTCCCTCGTCACCATCGTGCCTTCTCTTTCTGTCAGGTGGTCTGTCTACTGGTCTTCTGACAAGATCTGGATTGAATTGCGAGTGGAAGAAGCGTGTGTCCTCCCCGTGCTTCACTACATCCTCTGGCGGCTTGCCCGTATTGATCAAAACTTTGGTTTTGACCCGTTCAGCAGCCTCACGTTTCAGCCTCAGTTCCCGAAGTCTTTGAATGTCAAATGACTGACTACCAGTTGACGAGGAAGACGGCGAGGAAGTTGTTGAATGTTTCTTGGAAGAAGATGATGACTTTTTGATTTGGGATGCCATAGGATCCTCCCTCTGGTGCTTTGCAATTTCCTTCTTCATTCTATGTAAGGGTTCAGTCAGATGAGCTTTTATCAGAATGATTCTTTTCCACACCTCTCCTCGTCTTTGGCGTCATTGGTCTCGACCAGTGCTGGATCGTTAGACATGTACCACGGAGCTTTCGTAGGTGCATCTTTGAGTTGTCCGAGGTACATTGTATACTGACGGTCTTGCTTTTCCTTTTCTTTGCGCTTCTCGTCCTCATATTCAAGATTGGCACCAGACTGAGAGTTTGAATTTGATTTAGCAGTCATAGACAGAGAGTAAGCCGTGTTCCGCATTGGGTTCTTACAGCAGTAGGCTCATCAAAAAGTTGAAAGCGCTCTAATTTCTTGGATTGTTGATCAGCAGGATGGTCATCTTCAACCTTCTCACGATCTTGTTTTTGATGTCGTAGCAGCGTTATCCTACGCTCTTGCTCCTACAATAGGTCAGTAGATTAGAACATTAGGATGAACAATCTTTCAGTTTCAGAAACGAACTAGATGACAAAACCAGTACATACGGCTAGTTGAGCTCTGGCATCGTTCTTGTCTTGTTCTTCCTGAGCAGCAGCTTCATCTTTTCGTACTTTCTCTACGTTCTTGGCATTATACACATGCCACGACTTGTGTTTCAGAATATGTGACATGCTCTGTTGTCGTTTCTGTGTTGGGAGAATTTGGACATGTTCCAGGACATGTTGCTGCGATCTGAAGACTGATTTGGCGGACACGACCTGCAGCGTAGAGTTTTCATTTCCGCCGATAAATTTCTCTATCTAAAGTCACTCTTCGGCCTGCAATGTACCTGCTGAATCCGCAAAATCACGTAAATAATCTAAAACCAAGATGATTGTGATTCGACGGCCTTCACGAATATTTGGTAGTCGTAAGGCTGCACCAGGAGCTCTCCCATGTGCCTCGCAGCTCCTTTATCGCAGATATTACGAGACTGACATGAACAGCGATGTGGTTGTTGTCGGTGGGGGAACCGTTGGTTCTGCTCTCGCCTGTGCATTGGGTATAGTTTGGATCAAAGCAAGACTCCAATATTCACGTCATTTTACACCTTGCATTCTCTGCTAGGTCGCATTCTTCCAACATCATATTGTGTGTCATTGATTGACGAAAGCCCTACACTTGAGCCTTTGGAATCCATCAAACCATTCTCGAATCGACTGTTTTCCATCACTCCTGCTTCTGCTCGCTTCTTACAAGGTACGCTTCGTGTTTGCCTCTTCGAATGGCTGTCATGATTGAACTTTCTCTCCAGCAATCGGTGCTTGGTCGCATTTGGAAAAATCCCGTATCAAACAATACACGTCCATGCAAGTTTGGGACGCTGCCGGTTCAGGATTCGTACGCTTTGATGCGTCTTCGGACTCATCGCCGATTGCATGGGTCATTGAGAACTTGAATTTGCAACATGCTCTCCAAAAGGCTATAGCAGAGCTAGGACCTGAGCGTGTGAGAGTCTTCAGCCCTGCGTCGGTGCAGTCAATAAGGAAGGGCACAGGTATTGACTCTTGGCCACAAGTCTGTATCAGGGACGGACCAGTTTTGACCACCCGCTTGCTGGTAGGTAGTTCTCTACTTGTTTTTGCAAGTATTGAATCGGTATATTAACAATTTTGCATCTGCGCCTCTTAGATCGGAGCTGATGGTACTCGATCCAGCGTGCGTCAATTTGCCAATATTGACACAATCGCCATCGACTATGATCAACGTGGTATCGTAGCAACCCTCAGAGTCGATGCAGTTGAAAACACAAGTGCTTGGCAAAGATTCTTACCAACTGGTCCCGTTGCATTGCTTCCAGTAAGTCTATAAGTCTATCAGGTCGCTTTGACAAAACAGATTGGACGAGACGTAGATATCTTTCTTGGCACGAGACGCGATGTATAAATAACCGAGTATTTGCTTTCCTAGCTCGATGAATATCATTGCTCACTGGTTTGGTCAATAAGCACAGATTTGGCGAAAAGGATTTCACTGTTGCCAGACGAAGCCTTTGTTGCATTGCTGAATACGGCACTGCTGAACCCGCCTCAAGACGTTCAGTTTTTATGCTCTCAAATCTCAGCTGAAGGAACGACCAATGTAGATTTCAGCCATGAGTCTGCATGGGGACGAAAACGAGTGCCGCATATTGGTCCTGTGCCACCACTTGTGGTGAATGTACTTGACAAATCCCGAGCTGCCTTTCCTTTGCGATTATCGCATGCTAGTAGATACGTAGCTCCTAGGATTGCTCTCATTGGGTAAGGTGTGGTCTTTGATTGTGTAGAGAGATTATAACGCTAAATCTTGAGCCTAACGTATCGTAGTGACGCTGCACATACAATACATCCACTTGCAGGGCAAGGCTTGAATCTCGGCCTCGCTGATGTAGAGGTGCTTTCAAACGTGCTACAAAATGGGGTTGAATCTGGACAGGACATTGGCAGTGTCATTCTACTCGAGGAGTATGCCAAGCAAAGATATACCTCAAATGTGATGATGCAGACTGGTGTACATGCAATTCAAAGGCTGTTTGGTACAGATTCGATAGTTATCGGGGGTTTGCGTTCGTTCGGATTGAATGTGGTGAATTCGTTTGGATCACTGAAGGTATGTTTCTCATACGCGTGATGCACTTGTCATTTGCTGAAGCTCTACTGCCCTAGAATCTACTCATGAAGTTAGCTGGCGCGTAACATAGCGTGGTATGTAGTTTCTTTGCATACAGTGAGTCAGACAATGTACATATAATAAACGAGAAGGAGAATAGTACACTGTTATTAAGAATTTGGAAGCCTTGAGCGGGGTGTCGCTCGGCGATCGCTTGGTTTTTGATTGAGATTTGAGGGTTCGCGAAACCACACCACACTTTTTGACGACAGGCAGACCAAGCGAAGTAAAACCAGAGCAGAGAGGCTATGGCAAGCAACGACGCATCCGTTCTAGAGCGCCTGCGTGCGAAGGGGCAAATTTCGGCCACCGCATTCACTCAAGTAACCCAGCAGGTACGACGGAATTGGACTGTTTTTGATAACGGGTTGGTTGGATCGTCATTAAAGCAGCTTATCAACCACTTTCTTTTAGTATATTGCTCGTCCCTCATCAACTGCGGGCTACTCTGATTCGAATTCACCACATTCACTTACTTCTTTGAACGGAGAACCGTTACCCACATTAGCCACAACAAAACCGCCAATGTCTGGACTTGGAAGTCAATCGCCAGGCACGCCAATGAGTACGCCCAAGGTAAAGGCATCGTTGGAACCCTTGGCCGATGAATAGCAACTGTGTGCGTGATTGCGTGGTTTTCACTGATATTTGCATACATTCTATAGAGTCTTGGTCGTCCTCCATCAACAGCTAGTGACTCTGGCTCACCACATTCAAATGTGTCTTCTAACAGAGCCCTATTGCCTTCATCGGCGTCAACGAAGTCATCAGGGAGTACACTTGGAAGTAGCACTCCAATTTCAGACAAACCCAAGGTAAATATTTCAAAAGTTATGAGACTGTATCGTTGTTTCGTATATCGCCGCTGGGATTCCAGTATGGGGGATTAATTGGCGAATTCCACCTCAAAACAGTCTGAGAAACACTAAAATGTCCACCGCCACTTAGACAACTAGGGTGCCAGACTATTTGGAATCCCTCAAAAGCGCCGCATATTACGCGAAGGAAGTTCAAGTTGCTGAATCAAAAATTGAAAAGTTTGCTGAGGACTCCATAACCCTACAATGGCGTAATGTTGGATATGCCCTTCCCAAAGGACGTGGAAAGGAACCTAAACGAATATTGAAGAATCTATCTGGTGATGCCAGGCCTGGCGAGGTGATTGCTATTCTGGGAGGCTCTGGTGCAGGCAGTAAGTCCATTTCATCTCTTTAATACAGGATCGCATTAATTCACATTTTTTGATTTTCATGCGATAGAAACATCGCTGCTTAACGTATTAGCAGGTCGAGTAACGTCTGGAGTGATTACTGGTGACATTCGCATCAACAACCAGAAACGAGAACGTCACTCTTGGAAACGTTTGGTCGGGTATGTTGAGCAAGATGATTTGATAGATGAGACACTAACAGTCAGAGAATTGTTGGTACGTAATTATTGTCATATTGACCTTTTTATTACCATTCAAGCTAAATTCATTTTGACTGCAATAGACATTGGTTGCTTCTCTCAAGCTACCGGAAGATATGACTGCTGAGGAGAAGCTCCAACTCGTTGATGAAGTTATCAGCCAGATGCGTTTGAACGACTGCGAAAACACCATTATCGGTGACTCTGTAAACCGTGGTATTTCTGGCGGTGAGAGGAAGAGAGCTCATATTGCCATGGAATTAATCACCAGTCCTAAATGCATGTTTTTTGATGAACCAACAGTAAGTCACGCTCTCATGATGTTAGAATTTCGTTTTGGAATGGTTTCAAGGTAACCTTCGTTTTGGGCCTTAGACTGGTCTGGACTCCTTCAACGCTTACCGTGTGATTGATGCCATTCGGGAGACTGCCAAATCTGGAAACAAAACCATGATGATGGTGGTTCATCAACCACGTGAAGAAATCCTCGCCATGTTTGATCGCATTATTCTCCTTTCTCAAGGTCGTCTAGCATTTACTGGAAATCTTGAAGGTATACCTTTTTAAGCTTCTCTCAACAAGTTCACTCGGGCTAATTGCCTGTGTGTCATTCAAACTTGCACGAAACTCACAATATAACACAATAATGTAAAAATACCAGATGCGATACGTCATTTCACCACATTGGGATTCCCGTTTCCAATGTCGACGAATCCAGGGGATTATCTGCTGGACATCACCACAACAGATCATTCAGCAACCGCTCGACGAGCAAAAACCATCAAGAACATAACCAATCACTGGCGTGATCACAAGAACCAGAACATATACCCACCTTTCTCCATTCCACCTGTTGAAGCTCTCAAGGCTTCTGGGGAAATTCAAACCCCTAGTCATCTCAAGAATGTCTTAAGAAACATTCGTCGATGGACTATTCTTTCACGTCGCAATTGGATTCATACTATGCGGGACAAGGACACAACTCTCGTGTTGATTATTCAAACTGTCACAGTGATCTTTCTTTTTGGGTGGCTCTTTTGGCAGCAAAATCTGTACGCTCCTTGTCTTCAAATCCACAAAAATTGATTACTAAGAAATATTCTTGTAGGGACCAACCATCCATTCCCAACCGTCTTGGAATACTTTTCTTTCTTGGATTGGAACGTTTTCTGATGGGCTTGTTTCTCATTGTCCGAATTCTCCCTTCGCAACGTGCCTTGATTGTTCGAGAACGAGGCAAATCTATGTACACGGCTTCTGAAATCTACTTTTCCAAATACTTTACGGACTTGATTACCATTTTCATCCAGCATGTCATCGTCTTAATCGCACTATATTTCATGGTCGGACTGCAAGTAGACGCAAGCAAATTTGGAATTTATTTCGGAATGGGAATTCTGCTCAGCCTAATTGCCCATTCACTTGGATATCTACTTGGAGCTATTGCTCCTAGTGTAGAAGTTGGACTAGTGATGGCTACTATGAGTGCTTCGAGTAAGTAGTCCTTGTTAAGCAAAGTTGCGATTTGAAGGTGGTGTGCTCGGTGGTATCTGAAACGATTGAGGCGGGTTGTTGATGGCCCAAAAGAAACGCACAAGCACAGATTGTCTGCAACGTAGTCCTATACTCATCATCTGGACTAAATAGTCTTTGGAATGTTTTCTGGAAATATGGTTACTCCATCAAACATTCCCATTTGGCTTCGATGGATGTAAGCGGAGGACGTGTTCGCTATGCCTCGTTTCTGTTTTCTAACATATGATTAATAGTATATATGTCAATCCACTATACTACACCTTCTCCAGCTGGTCACAAAACGAATTTACGGGCCTCGTTTTCAACTGTCCTGGCCGAGGTTGCATTCCGGATGGAGCCACAGTACTCTCGTATCGAGATTTGCAAGGAGTGCCAATCGTTTTCGCTGCATGTGCTCTTTGTGGCTTGTGGCTGGTCTTTACATTGCTAGGATACCTAGCAATCCGTGGCAAGACTCGAGCTCCTAGAATCAAACTCTTTGTGTAAACTGTCGAGATGCTTTGAGACGTTTCACCTCACATACAAGTTTAATCTGTATTGATAAGTGATCCAATAAAGCAAAAGAAGATGAGTTTGGATGTGTTGGATGGCAGAAACAATGTTTCCCACCGTCAAAGAATGAGCATGACGAATCTAACCTTATCAAATATTTAAGACTGCTATTTTAAATGTGGAAGAGGAAGGGGTAGGACTAGAGGTAAACAAGATGAGCAGACGGTAGACGACGCAAGATTGGGAAGACATAACAATAGGGCTACATATATTTAAAAAAGGGTGAGAGGGAGAGTGGAAATTGTACATCCAATAAGTAAACCAATTATTTACAGTCAAATGATCTAGCTTTGGTTCGTAGGCGTGCTGGTTTAATCTCTGCGTGATCCTTAATTATGAAGCGAACACACACAAAACGAATAAAGAGCAGGCGTGCGTGCCACGATATAGAAGAGCCAAAATCATCCACAGTTCTTCGTTCAACACATTCCACGACGCGACACGCTCAACACAAGCTAGGGTTATGTGCCTACTTTGTAATACATTGATTACCCCACGACGTGAGTGGTGATTTCAGTTTTGCGCTCAAATGGGTCATGTGATTCTGACTTACAAGACGACATTGAGACCGTTTACGTGTTTACATTCGCTTGTGTAGGGAGTATGTTAGTTAATCCTTTACATTAACGTTTAGCACACTATACCGGTACTCGGACTCCTGCATTCAGCCCCAACTAGCCCCTGCTCCCTATTCCTGTCTCGAGAACATGTCCAGGAAGGTATGAACAACCTACAAGAATCAAAATCCGATGTATTTTCGGCATTTTCTGATTTGAAGCTCTTAGGCGACGACAAGTCATGGAGTCATACCAGAGCCATCAGAAAAGAAGGACATAGCCGTACCACCGTTACGATTACCACCGATGCCAGGAAATATCGTTGTCGACACTGGGATATTGCTACAGGTCGTGGCGGATTGCTTTTTGGGTATTTTCTTTGCTTGACAGTTTCTAATAGGTCAATACGTTTGCCGGTGGTTTTACTATTGCCGGAATCCTGGGATCCGCTGATCCTGAAGCACAGTTTTACTTGTCGCTGGCATACTTATTCTTCTCCATAAACATACTTGCCTTACTCACCATTCGAATAAGTGCAACAGACGAATCAAAAGAGCTGATATTCGACAGCCCCAAAGATCTTCTTAAAGCTCTGCCAACCCTACAAAAGTTTGACGAGCAGGAGTCGGACTTTCGACACTACATTCAAGCCATCCCACTCGTTTACGCAGGTGAGCCAAAGAAGAGTTATTTGCAATTTTGGGTTATGCTGCTAAAGCTCTGCGACTTCGTCTCATCGCATCAAGGGGTAATGCTGTATACATTTACGGGCATTTTCATGCTGGATTTGGTTGTGAAAAATGCCAATCCACTGGTGGGATGGCTTACCCTTGGGATTCATGTCTCTATTTGTGTTTTCACGGTGTACTGTTTCTTGTACCGAGCTGGTGACATTAGGTGTGTTGTTTTTAACTGGATAGTTTAGCTTCGAGTGTTTAACGTCGTCCGATCTAATTTTGACAGGAGGCGTCAACATGAATACTATTCTCTTCATAAACACGTCATGAACGAGTACCTTAGTACCTTCAATGTCAACCTTACTCTCTTCAATTACGAACAAACAGTCACACTTCACGAACAGATTGAACTTCCTCTTGAAGAAGAGATTGACGAGAGGCTTAAGTAAAGCTCAGGAGGTCTGTAACAGTGGTCGTAGCTAGAGCGGAATGGGCTTAGCAGTCGCGTGTGAGGAAGTTGTTATGTACTGAGGAGTCTTGTGCTAGGAGGTGTAAACGATAAATACACGTTTCAAGTTTAATTTCTCACTCAGAGAATCTTGTTTCTTGTCCTATTATTTCATTGAAGACCAACAATTTGAAACAACACCATTGAGCAACCATTGAGCAATACCCAACTCTAGCAAGTGCATTGCCATTGCGGGAACGTTCGTTCTAGCTCCTTATAGAGGATAGAGAAAGGGGATAGTAAGAGGTAGGGCAGAGAGGATGAGGCTAGAGAGGTGGTAGGAATAGAGCTAGGGGAGAGGGATAGGTAGAGGAATAGATAAGACTACATATAGTGAGGGAGGCTAGGGGTAGGGTAAGGATAGGAATGTGGGAACACGGATAGGGGTAGGGATAGGGGTAGGATAGGCCAAGAGCAGGGATAGGGAACGGGGTAGGGGTAGGGGTAGGG